CTGCGTTCAAAGGACACAAGAGAAGGCAATAGGAGAGAGGAGAGAGAAACAATTATGCGGCAGAGCAGCCATGGATACGAATAGCTCTCTCACAAAACGAGCTTTCTCTCTTTCTCTCTCTCTCTCTCTTTTCTCTTTCTTTCTCTTTTCCTTTTTTCCTTTTCTTTTTTTGGGGGGGGAGTCATTTCTTTCCTTTTTTTTTTTTTTTTTGGTGCCCAATCGAATGCCTTCTCAGACCAAGCAGGGGCATCGAAAATGAGGATCCCCTTTCAAAAATTGAACTGTTCCTGTCGGGTCCGCCGTCCAAGGATTTGGGACGCACCAGAACAGGGGGATCCCAGTCACCGAGTAAAATCCAATTCAAGCAAAAGAGAGAGCAGAGCATCAGAGAAACAGCACGGGAGGGGAAAAAAACCCTCACGCTATGTGTAATGCTAGTCCAAGGCATCAGCCTGTACCTTGCCAGATCCCTCTGGGTAGATACACAGACCATGTCATGTCTAAGAGCGTGTCGAGCTAAGCAAACAGGGCGTACACGGGAAGAGCCAATGGGATGCAGGGCATGTCTTAGAGTGGTGTGTAAGTTCGGTCGGCGCAGGGAGCAATGACTTGTTGGCAAAAGAAAGGAAAAAGGGAAGAGAAATTTGGAGGCACACAAATTTCAACATGGTGGCATCGCGTGGCCCAACTGGTGCTCAAATCGCGCGCCACGGCTCCCGGAATAGCTGAGTTGTGAAGAGGTGCGAGATAAAGTGGTGCCCGTTCCAGCTTCAACTTCAACTTTGGGTTCCGGCAGTGGCGATCCGAAAGGCTCGGGATGCACTAAGTGGCTTGATGGGGGGCTCGCGTAAACTTGTTAGTTGCCAGACATCGTGGAGAGCAAGCAGCGGGATTCCGGCTTGTGGATTGAGCACTGACACAAGACAAGCCAAGACAATCAAAGTACGAGTCGTTTCTGACGGCTCCTGAAGGGAGAGCAAGCAGCATCAGGACCGAAATATGGGCATCTAGTGCTTGTCAGTGGCAAAACAAGCTTCATCTGGGTATAATGGCTATGCACTACCAACCGGGGTGTCATAATCCTTGATGCTGCCAACCTAACCCGCAGCGACGGAGCCTGAGGACGGTGCTAATTTCGAAAGCAAGACAACAGATGGGGCCCAAGAGGCGCACCAACCAGCCCATTGGGTGTTGAGTGCTCGACAAGCCCAAGTGATGTGATGAGAGTGCGGTGCGAGCACTCGCAACAGCATGCAACTCAATACTGTAGTCCCTGCAATGTTTGTAAATGGAGCGTCATGCAATACGTCGCTCCATGGGTTCCTGACCAGCATTTCCATTCACTAGCGGCATCGTCTGTCCGGATACAGATAGAGTAGAGATACAGTTACCCAGTTGCTGGTGCCCTCATCCTCGTTTCTGCCCGCGTGTTTTAGTGGCTCGGACACAATCCAAGCAAGCTGAGCCGGGGTCCTTCTGTCTAGCACGAGTGCCAGTAAGCTGTCAAAACGAGGCCGGTCCGTTCCATCATCTCGCGCGTGGCGGGCCAGCTAGTCCGCGATCAGCGTTGCAAGGCTCCCTGTATGTAACCTGTCAGCCACTTGAGAGTGTTTCGTATCACATGGAGGCCGAATTCTGTCGAGACGAAGGGAGAGGGAGAATGGCCGGGAAGCTGTTGGGCGGAAGATGGAGAAGAAAGGTTACCGTAGAGGGTATTTGTAGGTAGATGATACAGCAAAATTTTCAAATTGGGTGTGGGATAGAAGAAAAAGAAACTTTTCTCAATCTCAATATCCCAAATCACCTGGCTCGCTTACAGGCACCTCCTACCTCATCTTACTTGTTGTATTTGCACCTTGAATGCCTTGGTAGTAGGTACCTACCTAGTAGTAGAAAAGATAAGGCAAGCAAAAGTCCTTGCCCATGCCTTTTTCGAGCACCATCATGGACAAGGTACCTGCTTAGGTATATGTGATGCTTGCAGTACTTGTTTAATCCCTACCTCTCGCTCTATGCCACTACCTTGGTTAGATTGGTTCAAATATAGCTTCAGCTGGTTGGCCCTTGTTCTCATCTTTACTTGGTCTGGTTCAATATTATATTTTTCTTTCTTTTCTTCTTTTTTCCTTGTTTCCTTTCGACTCTCCTGCTGCTCCATTATCTCGAATGCCTTTTCCCAGAATACAGGCAGCCGATTTCTACAACCATTTACCGTGACGAAAACCATGCCTCATAGCACCATCGCTACATCTTGCCCTGCTCCATCGACGTCGATGATCTCTGTTTCTCTTTTGGGCCCCTCATTTGTCAGTCTGTCTCATCCCTCCTCAAGGTGCTTCCTGTTCGCCTAATCCGAGAACGGAAACCCGTGAATCGACACCATAGACAATCCGACTCCCACCATCGCCACCAGCGATTCCAACCCAAGACCAAAGTTGCCATGGGCTATTAGCTCATCTCTGCCCTTGGCCTTGTCTCAGATTGCGCAAATACTAGCCCCTCGCGGGATACCGAGGCCGCTTCCGTCATGCTTGGGCAGCAACTCTGCCAATTTAACAATTGTCACGAGGGCTATCAGACAATCACTTTGTCGCCAATTACGCACGGATCCCTGGCGTTAGAATCATACCCGCACGGGAATAAGCCTGGTGAAAAGAAGGAGGTTGGTTAGTAAAGGGAAAAAAACAAAAAAGAAAGAGAGCTCTCGGGCTTGCCAGGCTTGCAGGTTGAATACCAACCTAGATTACCAAATTTGGCCTCAGCTTTTCTTACGACGGACTCAGATCTCGGTTCCATCGACGGGGTGCTACCTATACGGGCAGGCCATTTCGTGTCTGACAACAGAGATGAGCAGAAACCGAGAGTTGGGGGAGGGAGAAAAAAAAAAGTTCAGCATCCACTCGCGGCTGTCTCATCAAATCCAGGGAATCAAATCCCACAAAGTCGGTCTGTTGTCCCGCTTACAAGGCAGTCCCCCGGATATGGTCCCCGAAACTGATTCTTCTTGGTCAACAAACCCCCATTTGTGTCATATTTTGGGGCCCCGGTCGGCATTTGGATTCCTGTCTCCTTCTGTTCGGGGACATACATGCAGCTTGCGTCGCCATCTCCGTGCACAAATCCTCCGAGCCCGTCTTGCCCGTCCTGTAAGTCGCATTGAAGGTGGGAAGCTGGCAAGTGTCATGTTTGAACGGCGAGCTGGTCCAAATGAGCGGCATGAGAGCATTTTTCTCAACGGAAGCTTCCGCCCGGGCTATTCTGCTTCTGATACCGATGGTAGTTGGCGCTGCTTGAAGCTGCCGTCGAGTCTGTCGATCTTCACGACTACCAAAACACAGGCGCGTCATGAACAGGCCGTCACATGCAGCTCTCCTTAGCAAACCACAGCTCGGATCCCCTGACTCGCCGGTTGGCACAAGCTAGATGGAGCATGCTGCTCCGGATATAACAGCAAAAGCTCGGTACTATCCATTCCGAGTACCGACATAGTTTCAAGTAGCAGATCCCGCCTCTTCGGTCACCGTTCTTGGAAGCAGCCCGTGTTAGTTCCAGTATTTTGAAGCCGTGAGCCATGTGCTTACTACGTAGGTATGGTGTAGCAAATAAACGGCTCATCCGTTTGCCTTCTTCTCGGAGCAGGCAGCATTACCGGTATTGGCAAACAAAAAGAAAAGATTGGAGATGCAAGCTGGGCCTGTAATATCCTTATATCCAATCCCAGCCCGTCCTAGCCTACCCGCTTCCGCCAAACCTTGACGGCGATTCCGCTAATCCACCACGGGTCGTCTCGAGGATACCGCCACTGCCGCTACGGATGCACGCTAGGTTTTCTGCATTTTACATGGACCGTTTGCATTTTCTGCACGTAGCAAGAATTCCCCATCATGGCAGCATTCCCTCTGGTAATCCACTGTGGCTCGCATAGCTGTGGGGGTGTAGATTTTGCTCTTGCAGGGGCTGTGTAAGTGCAGGCCGTCATAGGGAACAAGCATCAGCTTGCTTGCAGCCGTGGCAAGCTTTGATAGTAGCCATCATGTAGTATGGACATGCTTGTAAGACGCGGTGAAGAAAAGAGCGAAATCTTGGCAAACTTCTCGTGTAAGCATGGCCGTGAGAGAAGACAACGTGGCTGTGCCTGATGACAGTCAATGATGCCGAGGATGCTGCATTTGGCATCTGATTTCCATGTATAGAACAATCTGTGTCAACCAGTCAATACCAGTTAATGAACATAGCCTGGCAAAGATTTCGTATCCGGGATGTACAAAGCGAACCATGTTGTAAATCAACCGAAGAAAGCAGTATTAGTCGCCGATGGTGGCCAAAACAAGGATACCAAAACTGTACCCTGTCTTTTCAACTCGTACTAGGTAGCTATCATAATTCTCTTCCCATTCCTAGCTCCTGGCAGGCGGCGGCTGTGTGATCAACTCTCATTGGCATATCAGTGATGCCACATGAATCGTATCTATCCCGACCATCCTTGTGATTTTGGCCGCCCATCCGTTATTACCATCCTCAGATCCTGGGGCTCGGTTCTATTTCGCCCAAACATAAACAAGACCAAGCATGCAAGAAAAAAAAAAAAAAAATACTCGGGTGCACGCCCAACCCTCTTTGTGAAAGTAAACCAACAGCCCAAATTGACTCAAAATCATGTAAACCAAACCAGACAGACGCCATGACACCTCGCTCGCACATAACATGATGTGGGTAGCATGCCTTATTCAGTTCGTATCATCACCGTCCCTTGTTTCTCATGTACGGTACAATCCCATCGCTCCAGCGCCTAGGGCAACGAAGAAAGAGGAAGAAGATTAAGAAGAAGAAAATAAGAAGAACAAAGAAGGGCAAAACGAAGATAGTAGAAACGAAGAAAACAGAAACGAGGAAAGCAAAGGGAAGAAAACAAAAGGAAGACGCCGGCTTTTGCAGATCGCAGCATGATTGTTCCGAGCATGTGGGCAGAGGAGGAGGGAGAAATGTAATGTTTCTCAACATCAAAACCCAGGTCCATGATCAGGCGGTTTGTTGAGCGCCCCTTTGACAACGCCCAAAGCCACCCCGATGATCAACGCGCCACAAAACATAAACACCACAGCCAAGAGAATGATGCAAATCTTAAGGCGTCTCTGCTTGCGCCGGCGCTCCGCAGCTGCCGCGTCCAGCTTATAGGGGTCTTCGACAGCATTGCTAGCCTGCGTCAACGCAGAGGTCGAGGCTCCCGGTGCCAAGGGTGCTAGTTGAGGAGACATGGCCGTTGTCGCGCCTTGTAGCGGCATCATCTCGATGCCCCCCGTCTGAACATGTACGTCGATGCGCGCATTTGGACGTGTAGCCGGATTGGTGGGAATTGTTGCATCGATTTGTGTGTACTGGTATGCGCTTGGAGCCTGACTCGGGTCATAGGGAGGAGGAGGGCTGCTGGGGATATCGTAGGGCTGCCAAGCTCCCTGGTTCTGAGGCTGGTGCTGATGCTGGTGCTGAGACTGGTATCCAGGCTGGCTCCCTACATGTGAAGGTAGAGGCGTCATTCCATGCGAGGGATGCGAAGGGCTCGCGCCAAAGCTTCCAGCGCCGTAGGAGGCCTGGAGCTGCTGGTGCCGGAACGGCGAGTCGTCTGGATAAGCAGCATCGGGGATCGAGTGCGAAGGATGGTATTGCTGCCGCTGGATGTCGTCATCGTATGAATCCATGGCCCGGGCCGAGCCGTGGCGATTGCGCAGGGCGGTCGAGGAAAGCGGTTTGATTCAGCCCAGCAGCGTGGGACGGGTCTGAGATGCAAGCAGGACGAAAGATTTCTAGAACTGAGGTCGAACGAGTGAGCCTCGGGGGTCTCCACCAGCGTAGCCCACACGAGCTGCAGGCTTTTAATTCAGTAAGCAATAGCGGCAAGGGGCTGTGGAGGCAAACGTGCATACATAGAACAGGTGGTAAAACTATACGTGTATACGGAGTGTGTGCGCGTGGGATTCTAGGTGGTTATGTGATGGTGGCATGAACAAAAAGTACGCAGTATGGAGTACAGGTACTCGTAAGTGCTAATCCAAATCCAAGAAAGAGTGGCTTGGATCTAACAATGGAAGGCAGATTGCTCAGGGGCCTAAGCCAGCATCTAGCAGGCCATTGACGTAAAGTGAAAGTTAAACGCCGTGTAAGAAAGGGGACCGGCTGGAGAAGGCGTGTTGCTGCGGTATCGTCTCGCGTGGGAAGGGAAGGATGCCCGACGGGGGACCAAGAGTGAGAGAGATGTTTGGGGATGAGAAAAAGGCGCGGGTTGCCAGCAGGAAGAGCTGTCCTGATGCAAACAAAGAGTGAGGCTGTGCTCGGGGGTAGCGGATCGACACGGCGCGGGTCTGCTAATAGACTGGATGCTAGCAGCCATGCTGGCAAAGCTAGTAGTACGGAGTATTAGTATATGCCAGTTTGCGTTTGCAGTAGAAGAGCTGCAATCCGAGCATAGTGTTCCGCATCCACGTCTGCCTGCATTGCAGCACAGCACTGACTAGCATTTGGTGCTTGGTGTGGCCAATGCCAATGCCAATGCCAATGTCTCCGTGAGATGAGATTGGCCGCCTCCATGTGCGAGTCCAAATTGCATCGCGTGTCTGTGCTCCCACTGCCATGTTTGCGTTTGATGGCCTCCATAATACGAGTACCTGCTTGTGCGCTGTAGGCTGTAGGCTGTAGGCTGGCCTTCTGCTCCCTCCCGGCAGCGATCAATCCAGACCGTCCAGGTTCCTTCGGCTCCCAAAGACAAGCTCATTCACGCTGCGCCTTGGCAAGAAAAGAGGCCTCGAGGCACCGACCAAACGAGCCAGGGGTACCAAGGAGGGACTGGATCGAGCAGGGGGGGGAGACGAGAGTAATTTTGTCGCCTGTTCCATATTGTTGACGGGCCTGTAACGGGGTTAGTTCGCGCCAGAAGCTGAAAGTGAAACGGGCCAACATGCCTGCGCGTTATGCGGCTGTGCCAAAGAGTTGGGAAACAAAGCGGGTGAGTGATTTGTTTTGTGTGATTGCCTGTACTCGTATGAAAGAGAAAAGAGAAAAGGGAAAAGAGAGATTGTATTTTTGTTTTCCAGTGTGTGGTCAAGTCAAGATTGAATCAGAAGGAGGTCAGGAGAGGCAGAAAAAAAGGTACAGAGGAGCTGGTACCGATGCATGAGGAAAGAGACGGGCCCATTCTGAAGTACTCTGAGCTGGGAATGGCGAGGGGAAACACAAGAATAAATAAATATTAACTATATACATATGTACATTCACCTTGTACGAGAGAGAGAGAGAGAGAATTGTATTTCTAAGTGATAATCGCGTTGTAATGGATCCTCATGGAGGTGAAGCCATTCAGCCTCCGTCCCCCTTTGCTTCTTCCTGTGTGATAAATGCGATACAAGCCATACCCTTTCTAGACTGCAATTCGTCGTTGCTTTTTCCATCATATACGAACGTACGAATCATCTCTCAGCTCATTGAATCTCACTTACTGATATATCATATGAGTTCATCCCCAGTGGCCTTTGAAGCAAGATCCTTTGTTGATCTCACCTCTCCCCTGGTTCGCCACGGCTCTCATTTAGCCTCATCCAGCGCCTCTACAACGGAGCTTTCAGCAGTCGAACTAACAATATGAGAATCAAAATATGACATTTCACTTCCAATATATTCACGAGAAAAGAAAGGAAACCTCTCACAAAGCATCCGCCAGAATGCCGCTTGTATTAGTCGCACAAAGTCAAGCCAAACGCTGTTCCTAGGTAGTTGAGCCTCACAAGTACCGTACATCAATAAGCAAAAACATGAGAAAAAAAATTAATAACACTCATATGTAAAAGCGGCAAAGACTTGATTACTTTTTCTCCAGGCTCAACCCCGTTATTCTAAATTAAACACCGGCTTATCCGCCTTTCTAGCAGGTAGGTACATTGCAGTATTAAAGACAAAAAGAAGACAACACAAAATAAAAAAAAGGAAAAGGGTTTTCAAGACGCGAACCCGCTGCTGGTAAGAGGGGAATAAAATGGGAGTAAAAAAAAAAGATGGATTGAAAAAGAGTGATGACAGGAGTCAGGACAAAGAAAAAAGAGAGAGTGGAAAGAGAAATTCGTGAGCATCGACTTCTTTATCCCTGAGATGCAAGTTTGCCGTCATGTGAAGTTCTGTGCTTCAGTGCGTGGTTGTCTTACAACGTGACAAATAAATGCGAGTCGAGCTGCTCATCCAGCCATCTTCCACATGCTCTATCGTTGCGCTCGCTCTTCCAACTGTCGAGTGTCTCGTCCCCGTAACAAATACAAAAGAGAACCCATGGGGTAGATGATGACGCCCCCCCTTGGTGCATGCGCGGCGGTATATATATGTGAGTGAGGGTGTAAATGCGAGTATGCTAGTATGCGAGAATATGCGGAGGTGAGTGTGTGAGTGTAAGAGTGTGTGTGCGCGAGAAAGGAGGTTGGGGTGGAAATGGTTAAGAGGAATGGAAGCTGAGGAGAAAGGGGTGAAGGTCCCAGCCGGGCTGCTATTCACCACCAGGAAATCATGCCGACTCTCAATTTGACTCCCTCTTACACCGCTGCTGCAATGATGTGTGACTGTTGTGCGTTCAGGTAGGGAGCCCATATCAAGCCCCCCTAGTATGGAGGTCTGGTCAAATTGCCCAAGCTACCCTCACCAGGACGGCTATCGATGCCCCTCAGGAGCTCTTGCAAGTCCATCGTTCTGCCACCATCATCGTGGCCACCCAAGATGGACCGGTTTGTAATGCTATCACCTCCGCGGCTGTTGGAAGTACGCTTACTATAGGCCTTGGCTCCGTAGTCTTGAACTGCAATGTTTCCTCCATTCAACTGCCCTCCCTTTTCTGAAAGGGAACTGAGGTTGGGGAGCGGGGGCACGGGAGGAATACCCATACGCAGCCCTCCTTCTTCTTCACGGTCACCATCCAGGTAGAGCCTCGGTAAGCTGTCGCGGTTCGAGCCTGCGCTAAGCGGGGCGCCAGAACTGCCAGATCTCGACCTCTTGCTGAGGCCGTCAGCCGACGTGGTTGGCCGGTCTGGATCTGTGCCTGTCGGACTGAAGCTCTTTTCTGACGGGCTATAGTCGTAGCTCACCATACTCTCACCGCTATCATCCTCGGAACCAAAGGTGTTGGGGGATGCGTTGCCAGACAGCACACGCTTGAGCTGCTCAACAGACGCGACGCCAGCCTTGCTCGACGATGATATCGTCTGGGAAATGCCGCTTCGAATGCTTCCCTGCCGGAACCTAGGCGATGGTCCGAGAGGTCCAAGGTGGTTTTGATCTGCCATGTGCGTTTGGGAAGAGTATGGTCGCAGGTTATGCTGGCTGCCGTAGGGCGAGTATGGCAGATAGCCATTGTTGCCGTTGACAGTGCTGACAGTCAAGTTCCTAAGGCCGGTAGCCGTGGTGCCTGTCCGTGAGCCGTTGATTGATTCCGTCTTGCCTTCGGCAGCCAGGGCGGCGGCCACTTGCTCTCTAGACCACTCCGTTAACATTTGCTCTCGGTAGGCATCTGGAAGCTCCAATGACCTGTCAGGGGCCATCGCGATGGATGAGGATCCTGGGCTCATGGGAGTGTTGAGAATGGGTCCGGAGAGAGATCGGCCAGGCGAGGCAGTGGGACTGTTTGGCGGGAACGAGGTGCTCTCTTCGTAGCCCACAGCAATGCACTGGATCAGAGAGGCTCGGTCATCAAACGGCAAGAGTTCCTCCGTCTCGAGAACGCTGAGATCCCACTCGGGCTGAGGCGAGGCCTGGCCCAACGGCCCTATCTGATCGAGGGCCAGCGCCGGGACGTGGATGCCCGTAACCCAAAAGCCTTTGCTCTTGCGCCGGGCAACCTCGTTTCCAATCGCCCTGCCCACTGCAGAACCCTCAAACTCGAACCTATCGGTCAAGGCCCAGAAGTAGCCGTGGCACAGAGCCGCGATTCGAACCTTGTGGACGGGCTGGTCGACGGCCAAAATTTCTTCCTGGAGGCGGTAAATCATGGGTACACCGTAACGGACAGCATTGACGCCGAGACGGGAGACGAGCTTTGCCAGTAGCGTGTGCAGCACGGCAAGATCATTCTCGAATTCCACAAAGTGGAGGGCGCTGTCGTATATGGCCAGGTGAAGCTGCGGGAGGAACTGCGAACGTCGAGTCCTGGGCTGGCGCTCCTTGTTCGACGCACTGGATACAGCACGCCGGCCGTTGGGCAACTCGCGAGCATTCTTGGCGGCGGCGAGAATGCCTGCCGCCGTAGACTTGTGCGGCTCAAGCGCCTCGTCTCTGGCCAGCAAATCGATGGGTGTCGTCTCCAGATCCAGCCATGTAAGCAGGGCGTCAATATAGCCGCGCCGCACTTGGCCCGAGGGATCGCGGAGAAGCCATTGGGTGCCTTCCCAGACCTGAGTCGGCACTCGGTTCCGGCCCAAGTCGGCATTGGTCCTGATCTTGGACTGGGGATTGGCGACGTGGAGGATGATCTTGACGATGCGGAGCGCCGAGATGCGTCCCAGCGTGTAGGAAAAGTAGACGTCCACCAAGTTGTTGATCTGACTATCGGCGAGATCTGTCGTGGCAGTTGCCGAGGGAGGCGAAGGGTTGCTCTGCTCGTTGCCGTCTGCCTTCTCGCCTTGTGGGGTTGAAGGAGCGCTCGACGACCGGCCAGGCTTTAGTCGTCCAACAATGGCAGCAATCATGTCCGAGATCTGATCTGCGTAGTAGATGTGGCTGGCGAGGTCTCCGATGCACTGCTCCAGTCGCTCCAAAAGCTCTTTACGCTGCGGCTGGTGTAGATTCTGCTCAATGTCGCTGTCCGTCGCCACCTTGTCGCTAGGAGTCTCAGCTCGGCTTCCAATGTTGGAGAGAGTAAAGAGCTTCCTGATCTGCTTGACGAGACCCAAAAGGACATCCATGACACTCAGGCCAATGAGGTTGATGTCAGATCTCAACAGGGACTCAATCATGGTAGTCAAAGCTACATACTGATCCAGGTTGTCGTCTCTCATGGGGATGTGTGTCAAGGTATCGAGCGCCATGACCAAGATGATATAGCGATCCTGCACCGGAGCCCAGCGAGCGATGATGCTAAAGATCTTGATGGCCCAACCCTCGTCGTTGCTCGTCATGACCTTTTCTCCCTGCTTTACACGCTCCAAAATGAACTTAAGCAGGGCTGCTGTCGCCGAGTGGATCTGCGACCGGGAGGGCACAACAAAGATGCTCTTAAGGCACTGCATCGCCAAAACACCAGTGTCCTCTTCAGCCATCTTGTCCACGTCCATGGCGGTTCCTGAGATGGCAAGCGGGTTTGCATCACCACCGGCTTCGCCATTTTGGACCGTGGCAACGCTCGTCCTACGTCGCAGAGCCTTTTCCGTGTCCTCCTTTTCCTCCACTTGGACGCGTTCCAGTAACAGGTCAAGCAGCGTCTCATCGTCGGTCCACAGGTTCTCCAAAATCATGGGCACGATGACGTCGATTTGGCGTCCGCTCACAGAAGAAAGGGCATCCGAGGTCGATATACACTTGATGGCACCCAGCCCGGCGTTCCTCCACCGCATCTGGACCGGCCGGCTGGATGCGTTTTGGTTTGGCGAATTTCGGGTCGATGCAAGCTGCGCGTAGGATCGAACGACGGAGACGTAGTGGCTGAGATATGCTTGGTCGGCGAAGAGGGACGAGGCATCATGGTGTTCGCAAAAGGCCTCCCACGTGGGGAGCGAGGATTCGATCATGGTAATGTCGTTGGACCGCAGGATGAGCTCGAGGATCTTGAGGATGCACGGCGCGATGAGGACGGCATCTTTGGGCGACTTCTCGACGAGGGCGGCGAGGATACCAAGAGTCACCTGTACGTTACTGCACAAGAAGCAGGGGCAATGCCGCAGCAGTCAGCTTTCAGCGCTTCAACACCTCCGACACCATCGCCAATATCACATCACGACCATCGCCACCGAGGGGTTTGGAGGCGGATGCCCCGGCAAGGCCCGGACACGGCACGTACCCAATGCGCATTCGCCAGACATCGCTGGCCGTCTTCTTCTCCAGAAAGGCGCCAATCTTTTGAATCTTGGACCGCCGGCTGGTCGCGTAGTAGAGCAGATAGCTCAGCTCGCTGCTGTTTGGCTTGACGTCAACTGCTCCCTTGGTAGTCCGCGGATAGCACTTGAGCACCAGGACCTGATGCTTCGGGCGGCATTTCTGCTGGATGGCGTTCATCGCGCCAGCGACTGAGTCGTTGTTTTGTTCTCTTCACTCTGCTCGAGGAGGAGCGAGGCGAGATGAACGGGGGGTCGAAAGAGACCGCGTATGCGAGGTGGATTTTGCTGCTTCCTTTCGAATCGTTGTTGTCGTTTGGAGGGTTCACAAGCAGGTTTGAAGCAGAAAAGCCACGATAGGAGGAAAATGCGTCCCAGGGAGATTGGCCTTGGCCGCCTAGCCGCGCTCCGTCCTCCGAAAGGTACGAGTGTACCGCAACACGGCGCTGGAGGGACGCAGTACAGCTACCTGCAGTCGACGTGCGGTGGAGGTCCCGGTACCCCTAGCGCAAGCTTCTGGTGTACGTCGTGCCCAAGTACCGCAACAGTATGGGGTACGCAAGGCCGAATCCAGCCCCGTCTAGCCCGCTGTACCTGAATTGTTTTGGGGGGTCCCCCCCTCTACCTAGTGGACAAATCTCGTCACAGCACAGCGTCTGGGGTCACTGTTTCCCTGCCCCAAGACCGCTAAAACCAAGCCCATGGCGGCCCATAGCGGCCCATAGCGCCCCACCTGCAGGCGAAAGATGGCCAGACGGGATTTGATTGATCTCTGCAGCATTTCATTCACGAACAATCAACACGTGAAAGCCCAGATCCAGGCACATTACGCGTACATGCACCCGTGAGCCATTGATTGTTGCTGCGATTATATTGCGCATCAGGCCCTGTGCCCAGTGATTCTATCCTCCTGCAGTGCCTGTATAGATAAGGCACATAATATCTGCCCAGTGTCCACAGCTCCCACAATTACAGTCTGTCACGCCGTTTTCGTCATCAGCGCGAGAGTGCCCCCCAATCTGGCACATGTTTGGCTGAGACATTTGAAGCCTGTGGCTGCATGCAGTGGCGCGTTTGCGTGTTAGCATCCATATTGTAGCAGTCATCCTTCAGCGGTCTCTAGTGCTGTGGATGCTTGGGGATATAAGCCTAGCCGTCTCACAACATCAACAAGGAATCCTTCCAGGATCGCTAATCTGCTGACTACAGGCACTACCTAGTACAGCGCTTATAGGCTAATCGCTGGTCGAAGCTGTGCTCATCAATACGAAATCCTACGCTCTCTGATGCGGCGGCACAAGCTGACGAAAAATTAAAATCGAATAAGACGAAATACAATGGAACAAAGATATACCAAAAAATAATGGGACAAAGAGCTAGCGATTGCCGCATCTACCTAGTGCCTTATCACTCCCGTAGCCCATCATGTCAAGTCTCGGGTCATGCGCTTCGCCTCACTTACCCTACATATTCCATGTGATGCATCGCCACCTCTTGTAAACTGTTGCTCAAATCATGGACAAAGAAAAAAGGTTGAGAATGCCGTCAGGTGACGTAATCATGCTTGCTCCGAAACGTCCCAACAAAATGAAGAAAATCTTCTTTGTGTCTCGCGATGCATCACATCTTCGGGGATCAACACACACAGTTGTGGCTCCACAGACTTTCGGTTCCGGGTGCCGCGATGAACAAACTTCCAATGCCAGGATGCGGTAATATTGTACCAATACGTGTACCTAAGCTAAGGAGCTATAGCTGCCACAGCTTACAGTAGTGAGATCCATCATCGTGGCTGTTGCCACCACACCAAGGCTCAAAAGAGACAAAGTGTCCTGAGCATATCGTCATCCATTCAAAGCAGCCGTCGCTTTGTGTGCAAGTACACGTAGCTAATCTGCATCTAGGTAGGCTGGCCAAGCTCCAGAGCCCGGTTAGCCTAATATACGAGTACAAACTCACGTAGCGACTGAGGGGAACGTGGGACGTGGGACATGGGAAAGCACCGAGCCCCCGGCTTTGCGAATGTCTCCAGTAATCATTATAATCACCCAAATCTTCTTTAAATATATATCGATATATCGAAATGTTTTGCTTGCCGTCTGCCACGTGAGAGCGAGAAAAAGAAACGAGAAAAAAAGAATTGACAGAGACGTTTGTCTAACCACCGATACATTATGACCCTCAACGCCTGCTTCCCTCCATTTATGCCACAGATGCAATCACAAGAGCCGCCACGCCCTCCTCCTCGCCTCGGACCGTAATCTTTGTCGTAACACCGGATTTTGACGAGTATGCCATGCGAATGTTGGCCACCACTCTGCCGCCGTTGACCGTCTTGCCCAGCAGCTTGAGAGTGTGTGTGCTCTGGTTGACGGGGACATCTGTTCCTTCGAGGGGTTGCAGGGAGAGAATCTTGGCCAGCTGCCCGGTTGCCTCTGTTGCCTCGTTATTAGTACTGCAGCTTGAAAAAGTAACGAGGATAGGGGGTGCATGGGAATGACATGATAAAAGACAAGGACAATGAGGCTTACCGGCTATGCTCTTCATACTGCTCAGCTGCAGCGTCTCCTCCGCCTCTTCTCCAGCAGCGCCAACCTGCTCCCAGATATGGTTGAAGTTGCCAGCATATGTAGGGATGACATAGTCGCTACCACTGAGGTCGAATTCTGACACCTCGTACTCATCGTCGTAGCCCGTCTCTTCGGGTTCGCCCGTTGAGGGATCAATCTCCTTGCTTGTAAACTTGAGCACGTTGGAGAAGGTGGAAACAGGTAGTGATGCCTGTCCATTGACCTTCTTGAATGCCACGTAAACCTTGCCCGGCTCATTTGTGGCCAGCTTCTCGGCTTGGATGATGAATACTTCCTCCAGTTCCTCCTCGTCTGCAGGGGATGCTACCACCGACACGTTTTCTAGGACTGTGTCGGGGAGAGTGTTCTTCACCTCATATTGCAGCACAATGTGTTCGTTGAAAATGTGCTTGACCACGCTGACGACGTATTCCGTCTCAGCCTCGGTAAGCTCAACAACAGGCGATGACTTGACCACACTGCCAAACTCCTTCATTTCGGGGATCTGCATCAGCTCCTGGGCGTATCGCTGTGCCTGGGCGCTGGCAGTTGCCGCAGCCTCCGCGCCGCTTGCCGGTGTCTTGGTTGGGCCGGCCTTTGGCGCCTTCAATGTGGGAGTTGTAGCAGTAAGCTTCTTAGTCCTGTCTTCGGCATCTGCCTGTTCTCGGGTCACGACGGGGATCTTGGAGATGTCAAACGGCACGTCGAATGCAGACTTGTCATCTGACGTGACGTACAGAACCAGCTGGTGCTCGAAGAAGGGGAGCGAGAACATGTTGTCTGCGTAATTGAATGTGTCAGCAGCTGCAGGCCATTGGTGTTCATGAAGGGCAAAGGAAAAGAAAACTCACCATTCTTGACAAAGTTTCGGGCCATCTCGTCGTCCTCTTCGGCCATCAGCTTCAGGTTCAAGGCCGCTCGATCTCGAACCTCGTCATCGACATCGTCTAGACAGCGCGTAAGCAGAACCTTGACACTGCTCTTGACATCAGGATCCTTCTGGCCAACGCCGAATTTGGCAAGCGCCGTGACGGCAGCGGCACGGACAATGGCATTCTCGAGGACGACGCGGTTGTAAATGTAGCGAATGTACTTGGTGGGCTGGACGGTCTTGGGACCCTCGAGACCGATGAGGTGCAGGATGCGGACAGCCAGCTTGGTGAACTCGCAGTCTTCGATGAACTCGCACAAGTGTGCAAGTGCATCCTCCTTGGAGTCGGGGACGAACTTGATCAGATCGAACATGCTCTCCACAACGGCGCGCTTAAACTCGTAGCCACCCTCGTCGCGCAGGATGCCGCTGAGGAATGTCAGCATGCCAGCCTGCTTGCTGGGGAACTTCAAGCACAAGGTGCGGATGGCCTCGACAATGGTGATCTTGAACTCATCGGTGATCTCGGACATGAAGCCCGAAATCTGCTTCATCAGCCTGTCTACGCTAGCCTCATTGCCAGTCTTGAGCAGGGTGGTGATGGCAAAGGTGGCAATGGACCGGTTGGAGTTTGAGATCAAGAGCTCAATGTCAGTGTTGCAGACGCTGACGGCGGTGGGGTTGAACGAGGCAAAGCTGTGGAGGATTCGCAGGGCGGCAAACTTGGTGACGGCGCGGGGCGAGGTCAGGAACAGCTGCAGGACGTGAACGGCCTGATTGACCTCGGCGTCAGTGACATCGCGCATGTCACAAATGGCCTTGGCAGCCTCAAAGTTGACCATTTCGCTCTTGTGTCGCAGCCAGCCGTCGAGAAGCTGCATCATGGGCCGGCGAAGCGAGGGGTCTTCCTCTGCAAGCTGCGCGGCCAGTCGGACCAGCATCACCGTTGCGGCGGGGCTCTTGACGGCCCCGGCAGCGCCGAACTGCTGGACCATTTTGACCAGGGCCATGCGGTCGTGGGAGCGCATCTGGTACAAGAGGCCAATGGCATGGTACTGAGCCATTGTCGAGCTGTTCATGGGCAGAGAGCCGCTGGACGTAGAGAAGCCCAGGGAAAAGCCACCAGACGACTTGGAGGAGGCGGCTGCCTCCTGAGTCTCGCTCTGCCATCGTCGCACGACGTCTCTAGCAATCGGCAGCAGGTGGTAGGATGAAACAAGCGCTGCAGAAGAGACGGACGGGTTCTTGTCCACAATGGCGGTTTTCATGACACGCTCAATGGCTTGGACCGTGGTAGCCTGTGTTGCCGCCTCACTGTTAGCAACTCGCGGTCAAAAGAGCTTCCAAAGGCGCAGCAAGAAACACGTACGTCGATGATTCGGCACAGAGCACGGATGGCATTGGGCCTGTAGATTGCGTCACTGCTGCCGCCGGTGTCCTTCATGACGGTGCTGGTCACCATGATTATGTCCTCGGCGGAATTGGCCAGCTCCTTGATGATGAGGAGCACCATCTGCCGCAGACTGGCGTCCTTGTTCTGGAAGAGCTTCGAGATGCCGAAGAAGAGGGTGGTGGCTTCATTTTTGGGGAAGGACTCGCCCGTGTAGAGGAGAAGGGCGATCTTGGTCAAGAGAATGCGGCATCGTCGAGGCTGGATCGGAGAGCTGTTGAACAATCGTGCTGTGCGCCCCCGAGTTTAGCTTCGAGCTCGGCCACTTTGCCCAAAGGCAGCAGACGGTGGGGGATGGAGATGGAGGTGGGAGAGAGAAGATGCAGGCGCATTTGCGGCGGAATTGTTACCTTCTTGGAAGACCTGAGTTCGGTCCACCTTGACCAGCCCCAGGTCGGCATCCTCGTCCTTTTTTCCGTAACTCATCTTGGGCGATTTGGTCGGAGAGGATGTTGGTGATTGGAGTCGTGGCGGTTTTGGCCAATGTCCCAGTAGAGCCACGTTAAGGCTCAGGGATGAGAGACGATCGTGCATGGTCACGTGACGGGAAGGCGCCTTGCCGAAGATGGTCCGCGAATACCTCGCAAGAGGTACATTGAACAGCTTGTCGACGTTGCTTGTATTGGGGGTTTGAGGGTGAAATGGATGATTAGGAAGCTTGTTGGTTCTCTCGGATCTATGATTTGGTTGGCCATGAGTTGAAATGCAAATACTTGACCATGGAAAGAACATCCATGGCCTTTGCCCGCATGGACCTTTCTGCGATTCAGTGACAGACAGCTGTCACTTAGTAACAAGGTACAAGACATGTACAAGTCCATCGCTTGTGTAGAGCTTTTTATCTTGAATATTTTTTTTTAAATAAACGTCATTTATTTTGTGTGAATTGATGGTGATACTATTTTATCCATTGAATCGTGTGCTTGTTTTTATTCATATTTTTCCATCTCATATTCTGTCATCTTGGATGGGACGTGATACAGTTTGCTTCATCCGGGGTCCACCGACCCCTCGGTGAGGTGACAAAAGCCCCAGGGGCTCACCGACCGCCATTCCCCAGTTATATCCCCTAAAGGCTGACATCATTCGCTGCTAAAACTCATCCATCAATCCTCTCCAGGTACGGAGTACTTGCGATTTTTCCATCCTCTCTAACAAACAGAAACCCCCCTCTACCTCTACCACTCTCCTCTTTTCCAAATCCCACCCTGCTTCAATCCTTTCTGATCACTCAATCGGCATCCACAGCTATGAAAGTGCCCACGCGAATACCCCTCCAGCTGGCATTGCCTCGCCGGCAGCTCGTCCGGCCCTTTCACCAAAGCATCGCCAGAGCCGCCAATGTCGCCCCGATTGTTGGCACTGGACCTCCTCCGGATCCTCCCACGCCAGCAGCCCGAAATGCTCAGGAGCGTCTGGAGCGGCGAAAGAAGCACGCTGAGCTGCTGAAGTCGGCTAAGGAAGTACGAAGTGCTCAGGACGGCAAATCGGGCGCCGTGGCTAAGAGGTTCTGGAAGGAGGTGACCGTACGAGAGGTTGATGGTTAGTTGATCCACAAATGTCACCCTCATCCGCTCTCAATCTCTCAATGTATATCTAATCTCATTGGTTTACAGGAGCCCTGCAAGTCCATCTGGATGCCCGGCCCTTGCGACACCCCAACACCAAGGCCATCATCCGTCTGCCGCTTTCTAAGCCGAACCTCGCCTCTGCCTTGGCCCTCGAATGGGACATTTTGACGTCTGCCCAGCAGGCCACCAAGCAGCACCTCATCCCCCTCACCAGCCTCATCTGCCGTGCTCTCGACATTCTCGACGATGACGCATCCAACGGGCCCGAAGCCACCAAGATCCGCACAACCATCACGAATACTGTCCTGCGGTATCTGGATACAGATTCGCTGCTGTGCTGGGCACCTCCTGCGGGCCCTCACGATAGAAGAAATGATGCCGGCGAGAGCCTGAGAGATGTGCAGAAGAAGGCTGCGGAGGAGACAGTCAGCTACCTGACGACCAACGTGTGGCCAGGAATCACCATTGAACCCGTTCTAGATGGCCACTCCATCATGCCGAGGGAACAGAGCGAGGGAGTGCGAGAGGTAGTCCAGGGATGGGTCATGGGCCTCGACGCCTGGGAGATTGCCGGGCTGGAAAGAGCCGTACTTGCTGGCAAGAGCTTTGTCGCCGCAGCAAGAATTGTCGCCGAATGGAGCGAGGGCCCCGTAGGCACTGGCCATGCTGTGCCGGTGGGACAATTCAGTGTTGAGCATGCCTCCAAGGCTACGAGCTTGGAGGTGGATTGGCAGGCCGAGCAGTGGGGAGAGGTGGAAGATACACATGACGTGAACCAGGAGGACGTGAGGCGGCAGCTGGGCAGTGTTGTTCTGCTCGTGTCAGGCACCGGCAAGCAGCAGCACTGAGAGAGGAGGAAGAGAAGGGAAGAGAAGAGAAGAGAAGAGAAGAGAAGAGGAAGAAATGCATGGCATGGCATGACGGCATAGCGGATAAATGGTCTTGATGAAGCTTTCAAGACTGCACTACGTGGCAAATGTACAACAAGCAATAGAATATAAATAAATTCCAAACCGAACTATCTAAAACTATCTAGGTACCAGAAGTGCAGTATGCCGACTGCGTATATAGATACATACATTCGTGTTCTCTGTATCTGCCGTCCCTGAGGCCCTCCCTCTCTCTTTTCCCCATTTTCCTTAAACCCTTTCGTTTTCCCTTGTGATTTTTTTTTCTCGTTTATTTCATTTTTCATTTTTTAAAACAGATTTTTTTTTTGAAAAGTTTTCCCCAATTTTGCTTTCTCACAGTATTCAATCTTTGCACCATATTTAGAGAGAGGGTATAGAACAAATTCATCATGTGCGCTCCCTTGAGCACAGCGGGCCATCTCAGCTCTGCCAATTGCCAGTGACAAATGGATCGTCATTAGGGTTGTAATAGATATTTAGCGGTAGGTCTTCAGTAGAAGCTTGAATCAATGCCTGTGGCTCAGTTCCAAGATCACCCATGCCTTCAGTGTTGCCAAAATTAGCAGCGTTGGGATCTGAGGGCAACGGGCCGGGCATCGTGTTAGAAGACGAAGGTGGTGGGTTGAAAGCCGAAACTTCTGACCGGGGGCTTGCATTGGAGTCCAAGGATTCTTCCGTGTAGAGAGTCGCGTTGGGATCGGAAAATACCGTATAGGGACCCGCGTACGGAGCTGGAGAAACCCACGAAGAAGACATGGCTGGAACTGTATTCGGGTTCCAAGGACCAGCATGAGGATCGGCAACAGACTCCGAAGGAGCTGCACAGGGAGCCCCATTCCAGTTTTCATTCCAATTTAACGAGGTAGCAAAAGGTACTATGGTAGAATCTGAAGAAGCCATAAATGGAACCATATTCGGATTTGAAGCAACATTATAGAGAGCAGCGGCATACTCCGAGGCAACATGTGGAGTCATGCTCGGATCCAAAGGTAGCGAAGACGGGACGCTACCCGAGCTGTTAGATGCCGGATGTACTGTAGAAGCCGAAGTGGTAGGAAGAAGAGCTGAATCTGACATTGAAGGAGCTGCAGGTGGAACTGCATCAAAGTTCAACAAAGCTGTAAATGGAGCTGTGTCAAAGTTACACGGGGCTGTAATTGGAGGAGCATCAAAGTTCCACGAGGCTGCAAATGGAGGAACTGTGCCCGACCCTGAAGAAGAACCATATAGATTTGTGTTATAGTTTGAAAAGGTAGTTGTGGCAATTGCACTAGGACCCGAAGGGGCCATTTCGCTCGTGGCCGAGGACATGGGATTGAAATCCATAGAAGACGCCGAAGCGGGGAATGGAGCTGTATTCGAGCTCGAAGCATCATCATTGCGAGACGCACTCGGGCTCATGTTAGGCATCAAAACCTCCATAGGGGCTTTTCTGTCTGAATCGGAGGATGTCGGCTGTGAAATGCTCTTGGAATCGGGGGATGGCGACCAGGGATTCACAGGAATTGTGAAGGGTGTCCTAAGGGGATTTCTTAGAGCAAGAGCCATTTGATATTTCATCTGCGGCATGGCACTGTAGTTGTTTTCAAGCACACGATTCCCGGAAATTTTGCTGTTTGTATTCCACAAAAACATTAGAGCATCCGTATGGAAGTGATTGTTCGCGGCGTTATAGCCGAGAATCTCTTGACAGGCTATCCAGGTACTCTGGATAGTTGGTAGCTGGACATACGACCAAAGTGATGCGGACGTTTGAGCCATGATAAGGATGAGGCCTGCAGTGCTAGTATCTGTTGATCCGGTCAAGTCAGTCGTCCCTCATGCGGGAATCCGAAGAGATGGGAGAGGTAGACTTACGGTATGGACTCCACCACCACTCTTTATTGCCGTTTAGATGGATCCAAAATCGCTTATAGATATAGAATATTAGACAACCAGCAGCGTTAAGACAACCCCTCGCAGACGCAAGAGTCTTATCCATGACGACGGAGTCGGGCTTATGTGAGGTCGAACCGGATTGAAGACTTCCTTCTATGGCTTTCAGCATGAGAATTGGGCGAAAAAGCATGGCTCGTAAGTAAAAGAAGCTTTAACATACATCGTAGTGTTAGTGTTAGTCAAACCATTACGGCCATCATCTTCCCAGCGCTGCAGTCTGCTTACTTTGCATTTGAAGCCGTTATTAGCTTCTCAAATTCGTGCATGTGAATATATTCGTCTGGCAAACCCGAGACACCCCAGGAGATATCCGAAGTCAGTGAATCGACGAATTCGCGAAGTTTTTCGCGCAACTCAGGAACAACAGTGTCGAAACTGTTGTAACCATGGTTTGGCGCTGCTTCCAATATGGGCTCGCGAACTCGGCGCATTTTCTCAAGTAGCTTCTCCAGCTCCTCTATACGATTAACGCAATTGGTAAAGAAGCTAAAGTCAACGCTGCCACTCGCAAGTTGCCCAGGAGTGATGACGGACGGGGCGCTGCTCATGTCATGACTTAGGGGCAACTTGGAAATCCTAGTTTGGGAAAACCTGAAGACGGAGTTGGGTTTTTAGTAGAAGGCCAATTGACGATAAGAAGGGAAAAAAAGAAAGAAGAAGAAGAGCTAGGAGGAAGAAGTAAAGATTCTTACAGATTCATCATGATACACCCATACCAGGTCTGTCTGTTGGTACCTTGAACACCTGCTGCAGCACTTGCAGGCTGATCATCTTCATTATCAATCCCTAAACTTCGTGCAATACGGCAAGCCAAATCGGCAGGGATTTTTCTTCCCTTTACTCCAAATGTGGAGCCGTTGTAGGCCACGGAAATAATAAGTAACGTTTGTACGGCGGCCACGCAGCTTGTCTTGAGAAGTTCCTCCGTCATGAAGAACTTTGCGCATTTCCAGAATACGCCGGAAGCGAATTTCTTGTCCTTCTCCTCCAGATTCGCAAAGAAGACTGCGTGACAGAGAATCGTGAAGAGGGCACACTGAAAAAGACCAGTTGAAGGATTGGACTCATCTGAGCAACCGAGGCCAGCATAAGCTGACGAGAAATCCAACTTGGTGACAAGCATAAAGAACTTGATGCAAGTATGCATAAACTTGTCCATATCGAAGAAGGGGTATATAAAGTGGACTTCGTTGCCGTATAATTTGAGAAGATAGAGGGACAAGCTGCGAGGCGGCAAAAAGAAGGGTTGAGTGGAGGAAACAGGAGGATTTTTAACGTAATTTTGCAAGCTGAGCAGTTCGTTTTTGGTCATTGAATCTAACTTTATAGGATTACTGCCTGCCGCCTGGGAGGTATAGCAGTAATTGGTATGGAGAATGGACGAGTAATTCCCTACGTTTGTAGGTAAGGGTCCATACGGCTCAAGATGAACTCCCATGGGAGGATTTCCTGATTCCAGAGCGACTGAAGGATTCCGGTCCATGGCTACCTGAGGATTCACAGCTTCCGGTGGATTTGTGGTTGCCAGAGGCCTCGCATCATCTGGATGATCTGTGCATGTTGGTCCTACGTCTGCTGTAGAGCTCTCATTCACCCGGGGGTTTCTGTCTCCTGGACCCATGGACACTGGAAGAGTGGGGTTTGGAGTGGCACTCGTGGATGGCTGAGGATCATTGACGGCAGGAGGGTTCGTACAGACTGGATTTTCTGTACCTGCGGGAGGAGCCGTGGACGGCGGTGAGATTATAATCGACGGAGTGCTCATTGATGCTGAGGAGCTCGCAGTAGCAGGAAGATTGTTTGCTACTGGAGAGCTTTCAGATGCCGAAGGAGAAATGTGTACCGTAGGACTTGGAACTGGTGGAAGATTTGGGCGCAGTGGAGGGAGTGTTGCTGTTGAAGGTCTCTTCCTCATCCGCGGAGGATTGGCCCTAGTCCTTGGCCGGGCAATGACTGGTGCCGAATTCCTCATGGTGGCCTTGGGATTGCTTGCTGTCAGGCCCGTGGCTGCTGGGGGGATTATTACACTTGGGCGAGCCACAATTGGTACATGAGGATTGGCTCGCAGATGAGCCATGGCTGTTGAAGGACCATTGAATGTTGTGGGAGCCACAGATCCTTGTGGATTCATGGGTGCTGAAGAATTCATGATTCCCGAAGGAGCCATAATAGCCGCCAGAGGATGAAAAGGTCCTCGGGGCATCATGTGTTCTGGGCCCATGTTGGTTGTTGGAGGTTTCACACTTGCCTGGGGAGCTGTATCTGCCGAGGAGTTCCTGGGTATCTGACCCATTGCTGTCTGAGGAGGCATGGCAGTTGAAGCCGTACCTGTCGGGAAACCCGTGGGTTCAGGGAGGTTTGCGTAATCCGCTGCGATATTCATAGATGCCCTCGCCATATTCATGGCCACTGGGGCACCCATGGCTGCTGAATGATTCATGTTGTTTGCTGCAGCGCCTACATGTGGCTCGTGGTTCTCGGCTGCTCGAGCACCCGGGAATGTTGAAGACTTCGCGGGCGTCCAAGGAGGCAACACGCCGAGGAAGCCTGGTGGCATTGAGTTCAATGATGAGTAGCGCTGATCCGATATTATTTTCTGGGCTGGCACCGATATATCTGTTGCATTCACTAAACTTCCCGCTGTAGCGGCAGCTGTATGCGCACTTGCATCCGAGTGGGGGATTCTGTCGTCGTCGTTGCTGCCACTGACGGATTCAATTTCCATGGGATCATAATCACCGTCTTCCGTGGCCATGGCGTTATCAAAACTACACCAATCTGTCAGCTCGCAGTCCTCACGCTATTCTTGCTTTTCCTCGTTCTCGCAATGGTCCCTCATCCGGAACTTACCGAGCATTGTTAGAACTACCCTTTGCGGCTGATGCAACTTTTGCGACGCAATCAAGGCATAAGTCCTTGAATCCAGAGCTCATTTGTTTGCGGAATCCACAACATTGACAGACAGCGATCCGAGTCCCAGGCTTGGGCCTCTGTCTAAGTTTGCGGGGGGAGTTGGGCTCTTGACCCCCCCCGACCCTGGGTTTCTGAGCATGCGAAACCATGGTCCTTAGACGCAAACGCAGCCTACCGCGTGCGTTTGTGGTCGTGACGCACAGATCCGGGGTAGAATTGTACTTGAATTCGGGAAGCAGTTTGTGAATTTTGACAAAGTAAAAGGGACGAGTTGCAAAGAGCACAGAAGCGGGAACGAGATAGTGTCTGAGGGATGGAGAAGGAGTTGAACACAACCACAGGAGTTTGTCCTATTTATGGTGTAATTGAAAAGAGACGGAGAGATAGAGAGAGACAAAAGAGAGACACAAAGGACAGAAAAGAGCGAGAGAGCGAGGATGGGCTCGAGGCAACTCTGACAAGAGCCTCCTCCCGTTCGCCCACAACTGCATTGCGAACCCTGGATCGAACTCAGCCAAATCTCCCACACGGCCAGTGGGATATGGCCTTTCAGCTTTTAGCGTGCCAGGTCTCAGAAACCTCTGCCGTCCTGGAAGAGTCCCTAACCTGATGAGGTCCAACTGCAGCGCCACGGTTTGCTGCGAATGGTACACAAGCAAGCACAAAGTTCGGTGATAATTGGTCCGCGGCATCGGCCCCGGCCGTCTCGTGCAGGGCTTCATCGTCCGTGGACGCCACGCATGAAAGAAGAGGCTGGGAGCTAAGAGTGTCGGTGACGGGAGCCCATCCTGTGATAGGCGCGTGAGTACATCACGCCGTGGTATTGTAAGCAGGAGCAAATCTGGTACGGAGGCTAGAGCGAACCAAAAGCAAACAATTCCTGTCCAATAGTAATAAGACATGCATGCGTAGTGTAATCAGGCAGCACGGCTAGTAGGGGGGGTGCCAAGTATTTTCTCTGTCTTTGCCTGGTTTCACACGGCATCAGAAAAAGCAAAGATAGAAATGAGCAGCCGCCCCGAGACCGCACGCTTCTCGTGCTTTGTACATGGTCGAGATCCTGCTCCCACGCATAGATCTTGGGCACCGACAAGACCTCGGCCGACATGTTTCCCCTCCCTGTGACCGTGTGATTAATGTCTTACCTTGCCACGCAATGCGCGCTCTGCCTGTGGTATTTTTAGGCGAGGATCGGAGCCAGATTTACAGAGTACATATATACATGTACTGACGTGAACAATCTCTCCGCTACGGCCAAGGTGCCAATAGGAATTCTGGTGATCTATCAGTGCTGTACGGAGTAACTGTACCTAGTGATTGTAGCCAATGTCCCTGGTAGAGATGTGAAAGTTTGTGTACGTGATTGCACAACCAGATAGCCGCCAGCCTTATGCGAAATGAAGCCCTGTAGCACGCACATGGATCATGGGAAATTGTATGGCGACACCTGTGCTCCCTTCCACTGTAACTCGTCGCGTCTACGATGGGAATGCTTGTATTCAATCTAATAATTACGTACAACATGTTTAATCTAACTACGATGAACGGGATATGCCATCTAATTACTGTGTAGTTTTACATATGCCGCGAGGCCATTGCCAAACACACTTGCCTGGTTTTGCAAGAAAGGCACATAGCTTGCCAAATCCCACATGTTCTTTGTGCCAGACACCATCAGGCTCAAGCTGGACAGAGACGCAGCGGCATAGAAGAAATATCGAATCGCTCTCCTCCAAACCTGTTGGTGTGGCGAATTTTTGGCAACCTGTCGTGGCGCGTATTAGTGCCAAATCATCAAGAACAAGTGGCTTGGGGACGGCAAGAAAGAGAGTAGACGGGGGAGAATAGATGTGGCAGAAAAGTTCGACTCACATCGTACTTGAAGTCCTTGTAGGCGGGAAACAGACTCTGGTACCAAAAGTAGGGCTGAGAATAGGGATATGCCATGGCGTTGTGCACAGCCCCATTTCTAGCCCTGGTGTACCAGCTGCTGCATCCAGAATAGAACACTGTGCCCTTAAGATCTGTCTGAATCTGGTCAACATATTCCTTCTCTGCGTCGATCTTGACATCGACAGCCATAGCATTGCCTTGAAGGATGGGTTGGATCAGTCGGAGAGAGTAGTTGACGGCGTTTTCAATGGCCATAAGGGTTGATGTGTGGCCTGTAAGCGTATTCGGACCTGTGGGATCCAACATTAGCCAGGGTGAAATAGCGAAGATGGAACAGTGGTGCCTCACCCAAAATGATAAAGAAGTTCGGGAATCCGGAAAGGCTTGTTGAGTGATACGCTGCCGGTCCACCCAGAGAGTTCCAATGCTCCTCTGCCGTGACGCCTCCCCGTCCAACCATGTCAATATTTGTGCAGAAAGAATTCGAGTCAAAACCAGTGGCCAGGACGATAACATCTGCTTCAGTAAAGCCGTCCTTTGAGCGGATGCCTGTAGGCGTTACCTCTTCGATGGCATCGGTTCGGAGTGTGACACTGTCCGAGTGCAGGCTCGCCAGATAGCCCATGTCGTTAATACGTCTCTTGCAGCCAATCTCGAAGTCGGGAATCAACATGCCGTGGTACTTTTCGGGGGCCGTTTCCTCGATGTATTTCGTAGCTTTGGCTGTCAGAAAACTGCGATGAGCGGCACCAGCCTTGGTCATCAAGAAGCCCGTCATGTTTTTTTCACAGATTAGGAAGACGGCAAAGCGGCAGAAGGCAAGGACACCAGGTACGTTCTTAAACAGCCACTGAAACAGCTTGACGTTGGGCGTTGGCATTGGAGGGGTGATCCAGTGCTTGGAGCGTGCAAACTGCGTGACATGCTTCACTTGATCTTTGATTGCTGGGACAATCTGTGCAGCTGCGCAGCCGTTGCCGATGACGGCGACCTTTTTGTCAGTCAGGTCAACATCGTGGCGCCATTGAGCGGCATGAAGAATAGGGCCGTTGAAGCTCTCGATGTTTGGAAGGTCTGGCTTGCGAGGGTGGACTAGGACGCCCGCTGCGCTGAAGAGGAACTGGCTCTCGTGAACAAAAGTCGTATCGGATGCGTTATCACGAACGGTGATACGCCAACGGCTGGTTTGTTCAATCCATTCGCACTTCTCAACGGTGGAATTGAAGGTCATTTTTTCACGGAGACCATATTGGATAGCTACCTTGTTGAGATATTGCCAGATCTCTTGCTGGGAAGGCAGGGGTGAGGACCACTCAGGATTGGGGGCGAAAGAGAGGCTGTAGAGCAGGCTAGGAATATCACAAGCACACCCTAGAAGGAGTTACTTAGAAAGGAGACAGACAACGAAGGAAAATAGCAAAGTAATGCATATGCCAGAAGATGCAAACAGAGGGATGCATACCTGGATATTGGTTCACCAGCCAAGTGCCTCCCAGATCGCTGTTCTTCTCGAAGAAGCGGATATCCGAAATCCCATACCAGCGCTTGGCAGTGCATCCCAGAGCGATGCCAGAAAATCCAGTGCCGATGCAGGCAAACTGGCTATATGTCGGTTTATCAGACATATTTCGGTGATTTTTGGGCGCCTGGAATTGCTTTTATTTGACGATTCAGGTATTAGAAAGACGAAGCAAATGGTGGAAAGAACTGTAAAATTATACAGTTGTCTATAGGTAGGTAGGTGGGTAGGTATTCTCCTTCTTCAACAGAGACTTGTCCTTGACACTGGTCCTTGACACTGCCCGAAGAACTACGAGAAGCAGACATTTATATATCCAAATCTATCGAACGCCATGCCGAGCATGAAAAATAAGCAAGTTTCCCGGTCTCTCGTTGATACCATGTACCATGGAAAAGAAAAACAATAACGACTCCATCACACGTCTTCCCGTCTCCCCATTCGTCCCTCCCCAGTCCCCCCTCCACGATTCCTCGCTCTGCCTCCTCAGAGTTACCTCGGCAGAGATTACTTCCGCTTATATACGAAATATTCAATCGTATTCAACAAATTCATCAGGCTGGCTCCCCTCTCTCGGCATGGCAAGGACTAGACGCCAATAGGAGGAGATAAGCTGCCTGCCGTATTGGTGGCCTCGGCCTCCAAACTTGTGTGTATGGCCCCGCCCCGAACACAACATATCGCTTCTGCAGTCATCAACTGGAGTCAACTGGGTGCTGCTATTCTATCCCCTGCTGCTGAAAGGCCAAGAGGAAGAGAGAAGAAGAAGAAAAGCAAGAAACGTGTCTGGTCCCTGTCATTTCCTGAGCTGATTTCTCTCGCAGTATCTTACCCTAGGAGCTCCTATGTTACCAAAGTGGGAAGACGCAGCATCGGCGAATTCTAGACCGTCGGCGTCCTGTCGAGATTTACAAGGACTGACGGAATACATCAACCAAGTCCCCCATTACGGCGGGACGGCCCTCGATGCGGAGAAGTTGGAAGCGGAGCCCGATGGCGGGTCGGGTCGATCCAAGCGTGGGAAATCAGTCCAACTAAGATTAACTGCTGACATGCTGTAATGCTGCTACTGTTCCTGTTCCTGCTCTTGTTTCTCACTCCTTGTGACATATAGGTATAGGCACGTATACGAGAACAATACGATACAACTACGGCCGACTCTCAGCGCTCTTGGCCGGGCATGGCAATAAGAGACACGTCTGGGTGATTTCTTTTCGTGGCTGCCGCGTTTACCCGACAAATTAATGCACAACCAAGCAGAGCGGCTGGGGGAACACAGAATTAACTGCTCTCTATTTGTTGAACGAAAGCCACTGCTGCTGCAAACAATTAACCGAGGCGGCCCATCACACCAATATTGGAGGGCCGAAATGAAGTGGCTGCATCTCCACCAAAGATTTAATCAACCTGATTGTTGTGGTTCGCGGCGCAGGGAGACATAGGCTGCCTTGACGGCACATCCATCCCGGTTACGATTCTAGGGCTGGGAACATGCGTCGGGGTGCGGAATTACACGGGCTTGCGTTTCATGCAAAGTACTCCGTAATATTGCTACCTACGAAATATACGCATGCCGGTGTGTGTATGAAGTATCCATTATTGAGAGAAGACTGTGTACTTGAGCTCCGCACGCCTGGGTGTGTACTTGGACAACATGTGCAATCGAGATGAGAATATCCTCCCTTGCAGCACCCAATTGAGGATAGGAGATTGCTACACATCACATTTGCCACTCCCCGTGACCAGGTGAGGAATAATGGCTCTCTTTGTCTTGCTTTTTCTCAGCCCCAGACCGGGTATCTGTTCCCGCCAAGACCAGGCTGTGTCACAGCTGGACCTCTGCCCAAGCTCAACAAGTTGGGCACTGATAAGTTGAGACAACAAGTCTAATATTCTGAGTAGATTGAGGATCGTGATCCATGTCCGTAAGAGCGGTGACTTGAACGGCAGGTAAGCGGTAGACTAGGATCTCGATCATATTACGTGTGATACTGTCTCCCTGTGTTCCCTATTGATCGGCATACGAGAAGGCAGCAGTGTTCATTACGGCAGCATGTATTTTCGAAGATAGTCAACACGGAGTCTCAGCCGCATTACTCGAGCTCGCGGCGTCTATGCCTTGACGCCCTTCTCGGCAACACCTGATGAAGCCACCTCCTCATCCTCCTCCACAGCCAGTTCCTTCTCGTCACTGACACCCATCTCACCGCTCCACCCATGCTCCAGCAAGTAGGCCTTGAACTTTTCGTCTTGAATGGCAAGATCCTCGCCCGTCACGTTGGGCACAAAGAAGTATGTGACCAAGACACCCACAACACCACATATGGCGGCAATGATAAACGTCCAACGCTTACCCAGATTGTTTTGAATTGGAGTAAATGCCTGAGTCCCGACAGCAGCACCGGTTTTTCCTAACGCTGCACTTATGCCATAAAAAGTTCCTCTGACACTCGTGGCATAGCTCTCGGAGGACAAGAGACCAAGCATGTCTCCTGGACCAAAGTTGCCTGAGATATCGTCAATTCAATGCTAGTCAAAAAAAGTTGTCATATATGTTTCTAAAACTCACCACTACTTTGCATTAGTCCGTAAAAAATCACAAAGAGTGGTGTGATCTTCGTGATTTTGTCGTAGGCACAGCCGATGATTAGGCCAAAGACCAGGTAGCCGGAGAAACCAAGCATCATGACATTGCGTCTGCCCAGCCGATCACACAGAAAGGCGCCGAGAAAGACGCCGGGAAGGGCAATGGCCCCTAGCAGTAGCTGCCACTCTGCCGTGCTCCGTAGCGTGTCCTTGGGGTCGACTACACTAGAAAGGATTGTGCCAGAGAAAACTCCGTTGGGAAAGGTGACGAAGTCGTACAGGAACCAGGCACCGCACGTGCCGATCAAGGTCTTCCAGTAGTACCTTATGGCCAGGCCGTAAGGCACATTACGCTGGATGGCACTCTTGCGGTAGAGCTTAGAGTTGAGCATTTTGAGACGGAAGTAGAAGACGGAGAGCGGGAGAAGTATGCCGATACCGAAGCATACTCGCCACACCGTCGACAGATGATTCTCACCAGCGGCAGAGAGCACAATGAGAAATATCGAAACAGCTAAGGGGCCGCCTGCGCTCAATGGCAAATTAGTTACGAGGATAAAAATCGGTCCTCTTTTATCAAGAGTTCGCTCGTTGGCTGCTTCAGAAGATGATGTGCTTGCGGCAGGATACTCGCCACCTTGTGTCGTGTTAGTCGATGTTGATATTGCGGTACAATACGGCTCAAGGAGTTGCCCCCCCAAAGAGGGACCTTACCAACGCCAAATCCAACAATGCCTCGTGCAACCGTCAGCATCCAAAACATGCCATCGATGGTGACTCCATGGGCGGCAGTTGCCAGAATACCACCGATGACGATGAGGAGCGTCGTAATAACGATTGCTGTCTTGCGCCCAAGGTAGTCGCACGTCAAACCAACTGTAACTTGCCCGAGAATTGCGCCCACAAGGAGTGAATTTGATACTCGAGTGCTGACAGTCGAAGTGTATTGCGCAGGGTATTCCTTCTTGAAGAGGACATTGGACATTGTCATGAGGTTGTTCTGGTAGCCATCGGAAATGAGAGCAGCACCGGCTGCGATCTAGGCAACGCACCAGGTTATGTCAACAACTCATTCTCGTTTCGAACCATATAGATACATGGAAACAATAGCTAACAAAGTTATACAGGAAGCAGCTGTTGCCCAATCGCAATAGAGACTCACAATGGTAAAGATGTCAGACAGCGACTGGCGCTTCTTGGCCGCATCACTTGCAACGACGACAACGGCATCATCACCATCTCTACCCTCGACACCGTCTCCTGGTGTTGTCACCGCAGCGGGTGACTTTTCGGTCTGGCTAAGCTCGGCAGACATCGTGCATGCAGCTCTCTAGAGGCTTTTGGTTCGTATATGCCGAGTCTGATAGATGGCTTGAACAGCAGCCGCTTGGCCTTGGCCCTCTAACCTCAATAGGTCGGCTCAGATCAAACCAAAATACACGTATGGATGGCGCCGAGAATATATATGCACGAGCTACACACCTTTGACCGACCGCCGAGGTTCCATTTTCCCTGCCCTTGAGGATAGCAGCGTCGCAACGGATTTTGCTCCCCTTCTCGATTCTCTCTTAGACCCTGATCGGCCATGAACTTTTGTTTCCTTTAACAGCGGGTAAGAACAGGAAAGAGGTTGTCGAGAGCCAATACAAACAAGCTGCTTGCACATGTGATGCTCTGGTGGAGAGAATCCGGCTCATAATTGCCGAACCATCACCAAGGGGTGTGTGAAGAAGTCAAGATGCACTGTACATCTGCGGGGAAACTATTGGTGACAACACAGTATCAATTGAGGGTAAGCACTTATTTAAAGCAGATCGACAAAAGTAGTAGCAGCAGGATCTTTATAAATGGGGTCGGTGGCGCCGCCGACGCCTTCTACATTTGATATCCATGATCCTTGAAGGGTACCCAAGCACGTGCTGAATATTTTCTTTTAAATGCACCTTATTTGCTTTCTTTGTGTGATTGTATCTCCGTCTCGATATTCAAGTCGGAAATGCCCTCTATTTTTCGTTACAGATAGACTGAACGAGAAGGATCCATAATACCTTTGACATTGATTAATTACCTAGTCCTAGAAGAATACGAAGTACTACCGTTCGTTGGGGTTGATAGCGCTACGCTAAGAATTACCGTTTCCCACTCTATGATCTACTTGGCATGAAAAGCAATATGGAGCTGGGCGGCTGTGGGACAAAACACCATCGACTGCTGCTTCTACACGTGGTTCATCCATGCAATCAACCTTACCAGCCTCGTGGTAGATAGCAAGAAACATCTTACTGCCAGTCTCATGACCCAAAAATGCATGTAGATTAACGTCTATATCCATCAATCGACCACACCACCTTGAGTCACCGAGCACACTAACTCCTCATTCTGGGCCAATTTTGGACGAGACAAGGATTCCTCCCAACCACTTGCAGATAATAGCTTCTTCTTGCCAACTCAAAGCATCTCGTTGCTTCCTTGCCACGTGGGAACGGTTTTTTTGGACTTGTCAATCTCGGGATCGAGTTACCGAAGCACATGTTACCCACCTACGCCTTTAGGATTTTGCCCGTCTGCGAGTCGACTTCATGCCGGCCTCGAAAATTGATTCGGAAGTTGGCCGTGGCCTCTCGAAGAATTCGGAAGAACCATTCGGGGCCCCCTCTCTAGAATAGTGGTAAAAAAGGTCAAGTCAGATTTAGGTAACCAACCCTGGTGAAGCTATAATGAACAGAGAAGATCGGACGATGAAGAAAACGACTCACTAGAGTTGATGCTACTCTGTTGAAGCCAGGCAAATAGATGGTCGACCCATAGCCGCTGTACACGGCGCTCACCATCGCCTCGCCCACGGTATCAACGTGCAGCAGCGGCAAAAGGAAATTTGGCACATTCGTATGGCCACTAATGAGGGCTGTGCGGATGAAGGAGAAGATGCCGATTGTAAGTCGTACACGAGGCGCGTTATGGATATTTTTGAGCTCTAGCTGAAGGGCCTAGTACGCAGATTAGCTTAGACATATTCCTCGCATTACATGCAAGTATAGGTATATTGCCATCGCCATCAGGCGCAGGGAAAATATTCTTGTAACATAATACTCACCTTATGCAGTGCTAGCAACCCAGCCTTGGTCGCTGCATAATCCGCGATCAAGGCTGGCGGTGTTACACAACTCAAGCTGCCCGTATGTAGGATATGCCCGTGGTCCCTTTTGACCATCTCTGGCAAAAATTCCTTGGCGAGAAGCATAGGGGCAATGAGATTCGTCCTCACCGTCGCCTCGATATCGCCATACGACCCGTCCATGATGGATACTCCGCGGACCAAGCCTGCATTGTTGAATAACACGGTGGGATGGCCGACCTCACTTCTGATGCGCTCGCATGTGGATCTCAGGGCATTTGAGTCGCTCAGATCGCACTGGTAATATGACAGACGAGTCTCTTCTTGCTTGGGCTGCCATCCTAGCGGAGCGTAGTCGATAACTACAATTCGTGTTCTCGAGTTTCGCGCGAGGAGCTGGTCGCAGATGCTGGCGCCGATGCCAACACTTCCTCCTGTGACAACAACAATCTCCTCGTCCCAGTTCCACGTGTTGTCCGATACCCAGTTGTTGGCAAATTGCTTGTCCAGGTAGTCGTTAAGAGACAGAAGAACACCAGCCAAGACCAATGCGCACACCGGAACAAGGAACTTGATGGAGTCTGTGTTTGGAGTGGCTGTAGCAAAGCCCGATAGAACGAGAGCTGCTGGTACTGTGAGTACGGGGTTGAGAAGCCAGCGTCTCAAAGGAGCAGCTATCGAGTCAAGAGTAACTCCCTCCCTTGACGTAAACATGATTTTGTGTATCAACGTGAACTCAGGTAAATGGGTATGGTGCTTTCGTTCTCCTTCTATCCGGTGTTGAATGCGAAGTGGTGCTGTTGCCTTATGCATGGGATGCAGCTGCATAAGTATGTAGCCTCCCCTCGGCCGTGCATGTGCCTGTAACTGGAAGTACATGTAGCTCACATGATGCTGGATATTCGGGACTATTGACGCCCATTGTGAAACAGCAATGCGTTGGCGGCGGCCGTATGTGCATCTTTCAGCCCTTCACTTGAGTTACGTTGGTGCAACCACCTCCATTTTGGCTGCCTGAAATGGTCGAGTCCGATGCATGCCCCCGCTCGCCACTACCTGAATTTGTTAATGGGATGTCGATAATATTGGACATGGCTGCTGCCCCCATCTCCAGGCTGTGATGCGTGTGGTTGGCATGTGCGCGGTTATTCCGAAGGTGCCAAGTCTGTCTATGCAAGGCAACCTTACACGGTAAAAGCCCTCCGGATGAGATGCAGGATGGTGATACGGAGCAGCGCAATGCAAGTGAACTGAGACAAGCAGGAATGACGAGATGCCACGCTGTAAGACACGGGAAGCATCAATTGAAACAGGGGAAAAAGGACAGACGGGAATATAAGATGAGCTGTCTGGCGGTTCCTCGACCTGCCTGTAGATGTTTTCATCACAGGCATCCTTGTTTCTGCGATTGACTGGCAACCACAATATCCACTTTCGATGGTAGGATAGAATTCCATCTCTCACTTAACATTGCGTAAGCGTCTCGCTGACAGACATTCGATAACAAAACATGTAGGCCGAGAACGTTAAGCCAAGGCTCTCCATTGGCGAGAAACTGAAGCTGGTTGGGGTGTTGCTATTTGTCGGTAAGTCTTTGTCCGTAAAGGGATACATGTGATTGTGACTGACAGAAGATACCTACTACTCAGCTCCATGTAAGCTCGCAATCGTCGTTGCGCATGTGCTTTTGTTCGCCATCCGGAACAACTTGAACATTCGGCTGTATCTGTTGAGTGCTGGGGTCAGAGTCCTCTTGAGTACCTTTACGGCTCGTGAAATCCAAACCTTGCTTCCGTCAACCGAAGAGGTGTACAGAGCGTGGATTCAGCGAAAAGCGAGGTTGACCAAGGACCGCGCCCTGAAAGAGCGACTCCAATGCGACATACAGCCTCTTCCCGAAGCAAACTCAAGCATTCTCTGGGTTGGGAACCGTCACAAAGCCCGTAAAGTGGTACTCTACTTCCATGGCGGAGGATATGTCATGCCGAGCCAGCCAGGGCACTTTGAATGCATGTGGAATACGTTCATCCTCTCTGGGGTAGAATCAGATACCGAGGTGGCTGTGGCTTTTCTACAGTATTCCCTCGCTCCCGCTTCGAAAGCTCCCGTACAGCTCCGTCAGGCTGCATCTGCGCTCTCTGAGATTCTCAAGGCAGGCTTCAGCGCCAAAGATATCGTCATTGGTGGTGACTCTGCTGGTGGCAATCTCGCAATGCAGGTTCTCCATCATCTAATCGAGCCTCATGTTGACGCTTGCCGTATCACATTGGATGAGCCTCTGTCTGCCGCTGTCTTGGTGTCGCCATGGCTCAGTTTGGACTATTCCAGCCCCTCATTCCTGGAATATGACAGCAGCGACATGCTTTCTAGAAGCATCATGCGCTCCCTGGGGCTATGTTCTTGGGATCACGAAGAACAGAATAACTCGGACAATAACAGCAGCTGGGCGGAGCCTCTTGAATGTAGAGGAGCTTGGATAGGTAAACTGAACAACGTAGTCGAGAAGATTCATATAACTGTTGGTGAAAGGGAGATTTTGTTCGACCAGGCAAAGTCAATGCACAAGGCCATCGAAGCCATGAAGACTGGAGTTCAAGTGACGCTGGAGAGCGATCCGAACGCGGCCCATGACTTCATTATAGCTGAGGGAATTCTCGAACAAATCGGCGAGGCGACGATAAGAATGAAGCAGTGGTACAAGGGATTGCTATGAAAAATAGGTATTTAGTATCCTCTCGACAGGAGTGCAAAAAGGGGGTGGCATTCGGACATGGTGATACTTAGTAGTCTCAGTCATTCTATGCGGTACTTCCATTCAAGACCCAAGACATCTAAAGTGATGAAGCATTAGTCAAGCCTGCAATTGAAGCCACGAACTGGGAGGGCTTGCGGTTTGATAAACAAGTAGTTTGGGGTATCACAAAGGAAGAGACGAAGGCAAAGGGGAAACAAACTAGAATACCAATGGTGCTGAACTCGAATGAAGCAAGCAAGCAAGCACGGCGACGGGAAATTGAATTGTGGTGAAGAGGTAGAAGAAGAAAGACTACCTGGGCACCTACATAGTATGTCGCAGTCCCTATGTCGATAGGATAATAGTACCTAGTACCTACCTAGGTAGTAGGTAGTGCTCCTGTAATAACGATCGTGACTACCTCCTCTGTGCTCGTTTAGATAAGATTGCCAATCGATACGCCGCACATTTGTATTTACTGTAAAATATAGAGAGAGATCTTGGTGTACTTAGACATCAAGGCATCATTCGCCTAGCCCCGCATAGCTCACGGTACCGCACGATTAATTATGGCCCCTAAACGAGACGCAACCGAAGCCCCGTCTGCTGCTCTATTGCGCAGGAGTAAAAGACTCAGGACAGATATTGGCGCGGTGAACGAAGCAGAAGAACTTCCCCAGACGGAAGAAGAAAATGACTTGGAAGAAGCAGCTCTGTCAGGAGTCGACGGTATAAAAGAAAGAAATGTCGAGGAGGAAACTCTGGTATCGGAAATCGACAAAGAAGAAACTCAAGAAGATACAAAGACCATACGGAGGGAGCAAATTGAGATAGCACTGAAGGAGATGGGCTTACTGCCTAACATTTTCGGTCAGGATGCGCGAACGAACTGCCTTCATGTGCTGATGCAGATAACCCCAGCTCGAGAGGCTACGAAGGAGGAAATCCGAGATTTCTCAGTGAAGCATGTTTTTCTGCAGAAAACATTATTGATGTATTGATACTGATGTGGGTATATTAGGATCGAGAGACAAGTATTTCCAGACTCAACCGTTGATACAATCGAATGGCGACAAAATAAAGATCGGAAATCTTGGGGAATCGCATTGTCCAAAAATGGATGATATTTGGCAGGACTACCTCGGTAAACTAAAGGATATCCTTGGTGATAACAGCACTTTTGACATTTCGACATTGGCCAAGCCGTCTGGTCCTTTTGGTGCCGCTCTTCACTTCCAATGGCACTATCTGGTAAACACTAAACGTTTGAACGGCCTAAAATACCGGCATGTTCTGGATCCAAGCAATCCAAGCCTCGTACGCCAAATAAAGAAGATTGGGACGCCATCGAATGTGTCGGTGTCGGACACGATACCAATTCGACAGCCCTCAAGAAACCCTAACTAGGAGTTGGCGTTTGGGGCCCGAAAATGGGCTCAAATCAAAGAGTTTTATATCGAGTCGAACTTCTCAATTCTCAAATCTACACCAATTGTAGTTCTCGTCGGCAAGTCGTCTCTACATACGTTTGAGGAAAGACTGCAAGACGACGCTTCTATCAGATTGAAAGAAGTCATGATCTACCTTGTCAATACGAGTGTGTTTACCCAGAATCCATTCTTTTATATTGTTTACCAAGAGAGCATTATTCAACAACTCATTTTCTATTCCGTCCATACGAGCCGATTTTTATATGGTGGCCAAATCAAAGAAGGCATTTATTCGGATTCTATCTGTAATATTGCTGCGAGCCTCGCATGGATGGAGGTGAAAATGCCGCTCTTTGGAAAATACAACATACAGACTGACAGCATCCAAGGAAGGGACCTTCAGATTGTACAGGAAATGGTGGAATACCTAAGCACTGAGGACATAGATGAATTCCGTACTGGGTTGGGAGACCTCGTGCAAGGAGCCGCTTCAACCGGGGTCTTTGCAATACTTTTCTGCCAGAAGCACAGGAATGGTCGCCCCTACCCGCGCAGCGTACGCTCTTTTCCAACACGGCGACTCCATCTAGAAAGAGGCCATCTCGCCTTTTTCAGGAGCTCGAAGCAGAAAGCGAATCAGAGAGAGAAGATGTAGAAAGATTACGAGGACAGGCCCGAGAGCGAGTCGAGCTACCGTACATCTTAGGGGACTGCTGGAATATCGCAGGTGAACAATTACAGGTGTCCGTTCTCTATGCGAACGGACAAGCTCTGTCTCTCTAAAATACGAACGTCGCCAAGTTGCTCAGCAAATTCCACGAGGCAGTGATCAAAGAAGGAAAAACTAACATCACTCTCGCCAAGTCAATGGGTAGATTGGGAATCCCGACAGGCGCAATTCTCCGAATGGATCCCAGCACGCCAGCTCTTTTCCAGCTCAACGCTCCTCTGGGAAAAGCTTACCACTATTAACGGCCAGGCGACCTTCAATGCTCCCGACGAAAACGGAGATATTACAGTTCATTAAATATCAGCACCGGAAACCGAGCAAGAAGATGAGCATAACATCAGCAACGATAATATCACGGCCGCCACCAAGGCCCAGATATTTCCCTAGGTTTTCCTACATGCAGCTAAATGCAAGCAAAAGGAGCAACTAGGAAATCACTGCAGACGGTGCTATTTTCTTTTTGGAAGAGGGATTTGATACACAAGGATTCTAGGTCGGAAATCCAAAGAAAGTTAAGAGGAAAATGGGGAAAAGTCACAGAGATCTCTATACTATGAAATTCCAAGGATTTCCCCAGGATTTCCCCCCACGGCTGCAACGCCCACAAGACCACGAATTGCAGCGCCTGGACTCTTTATTGCAGGAGCGCTATTATCCAATCGATATAGGGAATACGATATATGTAGGTACATACTGAGAAATGTAATTTTGCTGTCTATATCTGCTGACTTCTGCTACTATCGCTACGTTCTGCTACTATCGCTACGTTCTGCTACTATCGCTACATTCTTCTACTATCGCTATTTTCTGCTACTCTCGATATATGAATAGCAAACTTGGGTGCTGAATAGCCACTTCCTTGGTATTACAGCGATTAAAGCCAAGAACCTGAGCCGCCTGATGCTACCTTTCTTCGGAATGGAATGCCTGGGCTGCCAAGCACGGCTTGCGCGTCCTCTCAAATCATTCGCCGCTCAAGCATCACTGAGCGCAGTGCGGCTCAAAACCGTCCAGGAGGCAGCCAAGCCACCGCCACTGTGGTCACAATGCAATGCAATGCAACCTTTTGAAGAAAAAGAAGCCGAGAAGAAGGGGGGAAGAATAAGTGGCATAATTTTTTATCATCCGGCAGCTCATTTTGGCAGCTTTAGAGCGTAAGAATTGTAACTGCACAAATTAGTTAGCAGCGATATAAGCACCGCCAAGTGATGAAGTGAAAACTAGGCGCTCAGCACTTCAGCTGCCAGGATTCAGTAGAGCCTGAAAGTTCTCAGTCTGATCCATAATTGGCATCAGCCTCTGAGACCTGGCGGGTGGAGCGACATCCCTGTTGAACTGTGGGACCAATAATGCGGGCAACCTTGTTGAGCACAAAACTCTCGTGATAATGTTCAATGTCTTGTGTACAAGTGCTGTAGGGTCTACTATTAGCAGATCAGTTGCATCTCTCTGTCTGCCGCCAACGGCTCGCACAGGTTCTCTCTAAGATGAGTAGGATGCACACTCTTATTAGGGGAGCGCTTCTGGAGACGCTGGAGGGGAAATCAATTGTCAAGCTGTGAGGATTCGATGACGATGGAGGCTTCCAAAGAACACCAGAGGCAAAAAGCTGGCCTACGCCTCTTCCCAGGAGATCCGAAGGAACCCCCACAAATTCAAGTCGGGTTGGCTCTGTCTCCATAATATTGGCTCACCACTCAATGCCAGCATAAGCTTTTCCCGTATGTCCTGAACACGAATGAGCTAAACCTTGACTCTATTAACTGCACGAGTACTAAGTATCACTGCTTAGGTACCTATCTGCAGTGAACATCACAAGTATCGGCTCTCCTGAGAGAGAGTGAGCCTGGCCACCGCCGCTTGATCCGCCTCAATAGCGTCATGTAGCTGAGAACGGGCGCCACAAAGCGGAAAGCTGTGCTTGGCGCCTCGAGTCCAAGCGGACCGGAGCAATAACATCCAGCACTAGTGCTTGTCTAAAGATGCGAGGGCATGCCTAGCGCAGTAGCCGCAACGCTGCGCCGCGCCGCTCCAACTTCAGCTTGGCCAACAGCTTGTCCAGGAGAGCTCTCGAGCCTCAGCAAAGGCGTGGTTTCTATGGAGCAACCGGCCCGGAATGGCTAGGAGAAGACAAATCGAAGGCGAGGGCAAACAGTCCATAAAAGGGAAAATGGACGGCCGTTCATCCTCTGCTGTCAATCAACCCATGTCGACGTCCTCCCGCTAGCGAGATCGCGCCGAGATCTGGGTTAATCACTGTTGATTTGGTTGCCTTCAGCTGGGACGCAACTTTCCTCTTTCTCTTTCTCTACTCCCCCCTTGTTGCCTCTATTTTCCCTGTTCCCTCCACCGAAGTCGATATTCTCGCCAACAGAGAGAGAAGGAGAGAAGAGAAGGAGAGCCGGCAGAACCATCGCACATCATGAGGCCGACGACAGCGCTCGGGCTGCTGGCCGCGGCGCAATATGCGGAAGCTGGCGTGGCTCCGATGTTCCCGCGGGCAGAAGCTGGTGATGGATATCTGGCGATCCCCGTGGGAACCATCAAGAGGCCGCACAAGGTTGGCAAGAGAAGCGCCATTGACGCGGTGTTGGAGAATATGGATTTCTTCTATGCCATCCAAGGTGAGACTTCCAATGCTGTTTTCTCCACTCTAGCTGTTATGTCCAATCGTCGCGCCACCCATTGTTTTTCTATACAATGGTGCTTCTCCGCTGGTCCATAGAAGCTAGCAGCATCGTCTACCGTTTCCGTGTCTCAGATACGACCGCCACTACCTAGTATATATAGAGAGCGACAACTATTACTGTTGCTTTCGCCAATCCGATACCAAGCGCATAGTTTATATTTATACTAACTACCTGTCACCGCCAGTTGGCCTAGGAACTCCTCCCCAAAACGTAACCGTCCTCGTCGATACGGGATCCAGCGAGCTATGGGTCAATCCGGACTGCTCTACCGCACCATCACAGCAGCAGGCCCAGCAGTGTCAAGACCTCGGCGAATACAATCCCAATAAATCGAGAACACCGCCGGTTGGTCCCTTTGGGCGCGAGGAAATCAATTATGGCGACCCAACAGACCAGTCCACGCAGACGTCAGTCGACATCACATACTTTGCCGACACGCTGAGCTTTGGCAAAATTCAAGTCAAGAACCAGACGTTTGGTGTTGTTACGGCCAGCGAGGGCCAGGCGCAAGGTATCATGGGTCTGGCGCCAGATGTTCGAGGGGGATTCCCAGGTGATCAGCCGTATAGCTTGCTACTCAACACAATGGCCGACCAAGGCGTCATTGCCAGCCGAGTTTTTGCCCTCGATCTCCGGCATTCGGAATCAGAGACGGGCGCCCTCATCTACGGCGGCCTTGACCGCAGCAAATTCATCGGTTCTCTCGAAGCTCGACCCATCGTGCCCGGCATTCAGGGCGAAACTCGCTTGGCCGTAAACCTGACTACGTTGGGGCTCACTCAGGGCCGGTCACAGAGCTTCAGGCTCGGAAGTGCCGACACCAACGTGATGCTCGACTCTGGCACAACGCTCAGCCGAATGCACTCAGCGGCCGCCTTTCCGATTCTCGAGGCTTTGGGCGCCCAAAGTGATGGCGAGGGCTACTTTTATGTGCCGTGCTCGCTTCGGGATTCCGCCGGCAGTGTCGATTTTGGCTTTGGTAATACGGTTGTCCGTGTTCCTTTCTCCGACTTCATCCTATCAGCAGGCGACAGTTCGGGCTCCGGCGACTTCTGTTACGTTGGCTTGGTCCTAACGACGGATCAGCAGATTTTGGGAGACACGGTGCTGAGGGCTGGATACTTTGTTTTCGATTGGGACAACCAGGAAGTTCACATCGCTCAGGCCGCTGACTGTGGCAGCAGTGACATTGTTGTCGCTGGTAAGGGAGCCAACGCCGTGCCCAACGTACAGGGCAACTGCAACGGCAGTGATGCCTCTTTCACGGGCTCAGGAAGTCCATCGGTATGTTTTGCTAAAGGCCTGGCTTGTCTTGAATCGCAAGAGCCATAACTAATGATATTCACCGCAGGCCACAGGATCGAACCCGAGTCCAACCAACAATATCCCAACTGCTGCCGTTACGACTGTATTTACGGTGACATCCTGTCCAGTCTTCGATATCGGTTGCCGCACCGGTATGATCACGACGCAAACCATTCAACCAGCCGAAGCTACAACCCAACCCAGCGCTACCAGCACTCCTAGTGGTAGCGGCAACGGAAATGGGGGAGACGAAGATGCTGGTGTGCGGCCTGACGCCGTGACTTGGGTGTTTAGTGTATTTGGCGCTTTGGCAATGGTTTTCAACATTATATAATTTTTGGGTGGTCCTATAATGTGTATATACTGACGAGCGAGACGGCTATCAGCCGTCAATGTTGGATACCTTGGTCGAAGATTTACATACGAGTTTTGTATATGACGGAGGGGCGAAGATAATGACATATGGAGGTTTTATCTCACCAACGGATACTTAACATATACATATGACAACGGTTTTTGACTAGCATTTGATGATGATATTTGGCATAGTCTTGCTGTGTGACCTCCCCGTTTGAGGCAATATCACGGTGGTCTTGTCACCAACATCCTCCCATACACCATACAGGGGAGATTTCGAGTTACGAAAGTCTCTCATCATGAGAAGTGGGTCGCCACAGTGATCAACAGGGTCGGAATTTTTCTGACTTGCATTTCGGAGGCCACAACGAGCGTCAATGTCTCGCAAGGACGGCTCGGTCCTACGACCAACGGCAGCATCCAAGCATCAACCAAGACACCAACTCGGTTGAGTTAATTTTTCCATGTCAGCAAGCTTGACATATCCTCGGCGCCATTTCCAGGAATCAACACCAATCCTCTCTTCTATCTTCCGCACCCTCGGACTCTCGGACCTTCGGGGCACCTATTTCACGGCGAGTCAGATTGGGTGGTTGAGCTTGTCTTCGCCCAATAGGCCAATGGGACTGCTGCAGTATGACAGGCCTCGGAGCTTAGCTTACCAGTAATCTACGGAGTAGTCTGGGGTAGGCCGGAATATAGACCACCTACTCCAGCCTGCTGTAAGGATTAGGCTGGGGGAACCATTCAGTAGCTTCATTGTAGACTACGATGTGGAGACTTGGGGAATCGCGTCATTCTGTGGCTCGTTTCGGTTGTTGCTGTCGTGGTATTTGGATTGATCGAGTGATGAGAATATTAAAGAAGGATAAATTGATTATTGGAATCGCCTGCAATACGTTGAAGAATATGCAACTTGAGAGGGGGTCCTAAGCGTTTGCATCTTGACAACACTAGGAAAACCATTTGATGTAGCAGCCATTTTGTCTCGGAGCAGTGCAGTGCTGTAAATATAGCACTAACAACATCCCGTCTTTATTAGCCGATACCGCCTCCCGAGGTTCTGTCACCTCCACTCCGATCTACCTTGGTCCTTTCATCCAGTGCCTAGGTTGTCATGGACAAGGCAATATATCTCTTGCCTTAGCCCGCGCCGTTGCGCTCCCTCCCTCGTTTCTCTCGCCCATTCCTCTCGTTTCTGCTTCCATCCACTGCTCGCCCTTTCGTTTTCCGCATCTCTTCAAAGTCTGGCAAAGTCTCGTGGGCAAATTCGCCATGGTCTTCACACCTCCCTCGTATCTTCCCCAGTTGCCAGGTATGCATGCGCCCTACACAGATGCGCCCTTCTAATTTTCCTGACTGACAGCCAAACTTGCGACACAGATCCTCCGGATTCCATCACGATCGAAGAGTTCATCCGAAATGAGCAGCACGGCCGGTATCCGCTGGCCAAAGCCAGAAACCCGTACACATGCGGTATCACTGGCACGACATATGATGCTGCGCAGGTAGCCGAGCGGACAGACTTCATGGCTCGTGCAATAGGCAAGCGATTGGGGTTCAACCCTCACGAGGAGACAGAGTGGGAAAGGGTTGTCGCATTGTACTCGGTCAACACGGTACGCTATAGTCGAGCAACCTCAGCACTAGACACAACTCCCTCCCCCACCGTCTTGTCCGAAACCACTCCGAATGTTCAATGGCACGTCTAACGAGGTCGTTGCTTCTCTTTGTCGCAGATCGACTATGTCCCATTCACCCATGCCGTCCACCGCCTCTCCGGCATTGTCACGCCAGCAAGCGCCGCATACTCGATACAAGAGCTCGAGCACCAGCTCCGCACGTCAGGAGCCAAGGCCGTCTTTACATGCCCTCCTCTCCTCGACAATGCTCTAAAGGCAGCTACTGCCGTGGGAATTCCCAAGGATCGCATCTACATACTGCGCACTGCAGGATTCGACAATCCCCCTTCGTATGTGACCATTGACGACTTGGTGGCCGAGGGCAAGAGTCTGCCACCACTGAAGCCTTTGAACTGGGTCAAGGGACAGGGAGCCAGGCAGACGGCTTATCTGTGTTACTCTAGCGGTACTTCTGGCCTGCCGGTAAGTGAGAGATGACCAGTGATTAAAGTTTTGATTTCTCTTGGCCCCGTGTTTTGTTCCTGAACCCTTGTGGGCAATGCTGACATGACTTTGACAACCTGAAGAAAGCCGTCATGGTCTCCCACCGCAACGTCATCGCCAACGTCCTCCAGGTCTATGCCATGGACAGCGTCCCCCGCAAAGAGCTCGGCATTGAATCGCAAGTTTTGCTCGGCGTCCTTCCCTTCTCGCACATCTATGCTCTCGTTCTCGTTTCCACTCTCAGCCAGTACCGCGGCGACGAAAACATCGTGCTGCCAAGATACAACTTCCACGAGCTTCTCGATGCTGTCCAGCGCTTCAAGATTGAACAGCTGTTCGTTGTCCCGCCCATGCTCATCCAGATCATCGGCAATCCCGACAAAGCTGCCAAATACAACCTCGACAGCGTACGCTACGTCTACTGCGGCGCAGCTCCGCTAGGCCCAGAAGTCGTCGAGGCGCTGACCAAGATGTTTCCCAAGTGGCGCATCGGGCAAGGCTACGGCATGACGGAATGCTCGCCCACCGTCACTTCAACGAACGAGCTGGACGTACTCTTTGGCTCTTCTGGCTCTCTTTTGCCGGGAAAGAAGGCAAAGATTATCAATCTCGAAGGCAAGGAAGTGACGGAATACGACACTCCGGGCGAGCTGTTGGTTCAATCTCCCGCCGTTGTGCTGGGGTACCTGAACAACGAAAAGGCCAATGCCGAGACATTTGTCCACCACCACGACGGCCGATGGCTACGAACTGGTGACGAAGTTATTGTCCGGAAGTCGGCCCAAGGCCATGAGCACATAATTGTCGTAGACCGCATCAAGGAGCTAATCAAGACCAAGGTAAGCTGACGGTGGCGGAACTAATACAGGCGCTCAGTATTCTCATCTCTTGAATTCGGCTGACAAGAATTTAAACTAGGGCCACCAAGTCGCACCCGCTGAACTCGAAGCCCATCTCCTCAGCCATCCATACGTTTCCGACTGCGCCGTCATCCCCATTCCCGACTCCTACGCTGGCGAGGTGCCTAAAGCCTATGTCACCAAATCCGCCTCCGACTGCGCCGACAAGTCTGACAAGGACATTGAGGCCGCCATCCACAAGCACGTCAAGGACCACAAGGCCAAGCACAAGTGGCTCGCCGGCGGAATCGAGTTCATCGATGCCATTCCCAAGAGCCCGAGCGGTAAGATCCTGAGGCGCTTGCTAAGAGATAAGGAAAAGAAGGCCAGACAGGCCAATGGCGCAAAGCTATAAGACGGGAAACGGCAAGGTACGCAATGTAATGATGAATACTGGTTTCTTTAGATTTTTTTTTTTTTTTTAGAAAAGACGCGTTAAATGTATATGGTTCTTCTTCTTTTAGGCATTAAGCGCGCGTTCTATATATGGAGTCCGATGATAATATCAAGGCCTATTCTTTTTTTACATAGGAGGAATTCCTTTACTACCCCTGTGTTTTCCTCTAAATTACCCAGAGATTCCCGTCTCTGGGAAATCTTTGTGAAATATATGGAAATTCTGTGAAAAAGAGCAAGGATTTCCGACAAGGATTTCCTCCAGGGAAGTCCTTGGGAATTCTTCAGGAGATCTCCTGGAAAGACGTTGGATTTCCAGCGGGTAAAACCTAAGGAAACCACAGAAAATTCCCTGTTTCTTGCTGAGGATGTCCGGCCGGCAAAATCCATTGCATATCAATATCCCCCTTCCAAAAGATATGCGCCGTCGGTGCTGCAGGGCCCGTTTCTCCATGCCCTCCTCTGGTTCTCGGTGGGAGTATGCGCGGGGAAAGCTATCAGGCCAATTATTATCTAGCGTTCGCCGCGTCCGCTGCGTCGTCGTCGTCATCGTCATCGTCTTCCTTAGCGGCGGCTTTCGACTTGCTCTTGCTGGTGAAGCGGTGGCAAGGAACTTCTCCGTCGGTTGGCGCATTGAATGCCGCCTCGCCTTGTTGCGTAAGCTTGCTGGCGATATATCTGCACGGGACGTATGTTGGGAGCCCAGTCTGGTGGAAAAGCAGTGGCATGCAGTGACTGGTTTGCAGATAGCCGTGAGTGTCGTGCAGCTTGGCGGCGGCCCTGACGAGTTTCTTCAGGGCCGAGCGGTTCTGCAACTGGTTGCACTTACCCGTGTTCTCTAGGGATTTTTCCGCGCCTTCACCGGTGAGACACATCACCATTGGCTCCATTCGTAGGACGGTGTTGGTGGGAATGTCCAGTAGAGACATAGATGTAGAAAGCGAGACATTAGTCTTGCTTTCGTGGATCACTGACTCATGGAACTTCCCAAGGAGAGCTGCGACTTCCACGTTGAGCACCGGTATGGCTTGGTTTCCGGCGTAGAGCACAAAGGCGGTCACAGTTTTCCCTCCAATATTCCATTCGTCACTGATTACGTATGGGAGCTCAGCTTGTTCACGGGCCTTGCCTTTTACCCGCCCGGCCTCTTCCTTCTCTGACTCGGACTCTTCCTCAAGTTCTTGAAGAAGTCGTGATTGCTTTCTCTTTGCCGTTGTAGTAGCAACGGGAAAAAGCTTCCGTTGCACTGGTAATGGAGTAGCAGTGGCTTCTTCCTCTTCAGTAATAAACGAGCTCCGGAGGCGGCCTTGTGGCGTAGATTGTTGCGTAAGGGGTGTGAGCTCCTTTAAGAATTTATCCACATTCTCAACACTAATAAAGTCGACGATCTCTTTGACTTTTAGGTTCCTAAATTAAAAGCAGCCTGGGTAGTAATCATAGTAGATATTAAAGTAATATATAGATAGTAGTGATAGTAGCAGAATGTAGCAATAGTAGCAGAATGTAGCGATAGTAGCAGAATGTAGCGATAGTAGCAGAATGTAGCGATAGTAGCAGACAGTAGCAGAATGTAGCGATAGTAGCAGAAACCATTAAGAGAAGCATTTCACGAAAGAGCAGCAAGAGAATTATGGTAATAATGATTCTATTTTTCACTCAAGATGCATGAGCACCATTACTACTACATATGCAAAAAAAGCAGCCATCACGCAAAAATTTTCACTCGCATAAAAAGAAAAACAAATAAAAAAAAAAAAGAGTCAACCTTTTTTTCCAAAACGTCCATAGCCTTGGCAACAGCCAAATGGCAGATGAATCTCATATCGATATTAATATTAAGTTACCACATCAGCCAGTCCAGCGGGCGTATAATGGCTCTCCGTGCATTGCATTGCGTTGCGCGGGAGCCATTTGATCCAAGGATCCTCCTCTCCTCCTTGCCCTTGGTAAAGGACCAGAAAGAGAGGCACCCCCAGCCGTTCTGGCTATGTGCTCGTAAGGATCGTAAGAATGATATTGCCCTACTGTATGAGGGTCATTTTTCCGCTAGTCAGGTCCTGTCCGTGTACACATACATTCCCCCTTCTAACCACTTCAAATAATAAATACTGCGCGCGCCCTCCCAGAGGCACTGAACAAAAAGCAAAAAGATCCCAAAAACGAATCAAATGAAACAGCTGATTACACGCGCGTCTAAACTCCGCTCAAGGGGCTGCTTTACAGAGCAAAGACAGCGGCCATGACGGCGAGACCCAGGCTCATGCCAGCGCCAACACGGCCAGCAGCGCCAACAACGGGGAAGCCGGTGCTGCCGGGGAAGGCTCCAGTGCCAGTGGCGGTGCCGATAGGGGCAGGAGGAGCGGCAACAGGAGGAACAACCTGAGTGGGCTCCGAAGCGGGAGCGGTCTCAACGGGAGCAACGTAGGTGGGCACAGCGGTGACGGGAGCAGCAGTGATGCTGACCTGGGGGACGGTGATGGCGGTCGAGACGTAGACGGTGGTGCTGCTGCCGGGGACGGTGGTGCCCTCGGAGACGCAAGGCTCAGTGACGGTGGTCTCAACAACAACAGTGGTGTACTGAGAAGGAGCAGCATAGGGAGTGCCAGTCACGGTGATGATGGAGGTGATGGGGGCAGCACCAGTGGCAACGGCAGGGTTGGAACCGGCATAGCCAGCGCAGACACCCTGGAAGAAGGTGATGGCGGCCGCGACGTCGTCGTCGTTGTTTCCGTTGGAGTAGATGCACTGGAAGACCTGCTGGACGAGGTCCTTGCTGGGGCAGTAGCAGGCGGCGTCGGTGTTGTCCTTGCAGTTGGGGACCAGAGTCAGCCAGGTGTTGATGCACTTGGGCAGGACATCGGGGCAAGGAAGAGGCTCAGAAGGAGAGGAGCCGGAGCCGGTAGGGGCAGCAGCCTCGGAAGTGGGCAGAGGAACACCGGGGGTGATGGTGGCAGTGACGGGGCAGATGGTGGTGCTGACGGCAACGGTGACGGTGGTGACGACGGGCTTGTCGGTCCTGGCCGGGCAGTTGGTCACCTCAGGAGCACAGCTGGTGATGGTGTGGACAGAGGTGGTGAAGACGGTCGAGGTGGTCTGGTAGACGGTGGTGTAGGGAGCACCAGGGCCGGTGGTGACGGCGTCAGAGCCACCAGTGGTAGCAGGAGCAGTAGTCTCGGCACCAGCGGGAGCAGTGGTGGTCTCACCAGGGACAGGGTAGGTCTGGCCAGCGGGAGCAGTGGTGGTCTCGCCAGCAGGGGCGGTAGTGGTCTCAGCACCAGCGGGAGCAGTGGTGGTCTCGCCAGCAGGAGCAGTGGTGGTCTCGGCGCCAGCAGGGCCAGTGGTAGTCTCACCAGCAGGGGCAGTGGTCTCGCCGCCAGGAGCAGTGATGACAGAGGTGCTCACGACAACATCAGTGGTGGCAGTGTTAGTGGGAACGCCGCCATAGGGAGCAGTGGTAGTCTCGGCACCAGCGGGAGCGGTGGTGGTCTCGCCAGCAGGAGCGGTAGTGGTCTCAGCACCAGCGGGAGCGGTGGTGGTCTCAGCACCGGCAGGGCCAGTAGTCGTCTCACCAGCGGGAGCAGTGTAGGTCTCGCCGGGAGCAGTGGTGGTCTCGGCACCAGCAGGGCCGGTGGTAGTCTCACCAGCAGGAGCAGTGTAGGTCTCGCCAGGGGCGGTGGTAGTCTCAGCACCAGCAGGGCCGGTGGTGGTCTCGCCAGCGGGAGCAGTGTAGGTCTCGCCGGGGGCAGTGGTGGTCACAGCAGGGGCAGTGTAGGTATCGACGGGAGCAGTGGTGGTCTCGCCAGCAGGAGGAGTGTAGCCAGGCTTGGTGTGAGACTTGGTGTGGTGACCGCCGCCAGGAGGAGTGTAGACAGGCTGAGAGTAAGAAGGCTTGGTGTGGTGGCCGCCGCCAGGAGGAGTGTAGACAGGCTGAGTGGGCTTGGATGGGGGAGCGTTGTTGCCACAGTCCCAAGAGATGTGGTGAACCTTGGTACCGCAAGTTGACTTCTTGCCACCGTTACCACCGCCAGGGTAGACGATCCAGACCTTCTTGGCACCACCGCACTGGGTGTTCTTGACGGAGGTTCCTTGGGACGAGCACTGAGCAGAGTGCTTGCAGGTAGAGCCGTCGGGCATCTCGTAGTGGAACTCCATGCGAGTATCAAACTCGACAGAGACGGAGAAGGTATCGACGGAGAAGTGGTCGTTGCCAGCGCTGGCAGAGATGCAAGGGGTGGTGTTCTTGTCGCCCGTGCACTTGCCAGAGATGGAGCGGCCGGTAGCACCAAAAGTACGAGCGCTCAGGAGGCTGTCACGCTTGCTGAAGTCGTTCTCACAAGACCAGCCGCTGAAGTCGAATCCGCCATAGTGTCCAATAACGCCAGTGGGAACGTCGCTGAAGTCCCAGCCGTTGTGCTGCTGGGTGTTGCAGTTGTTATTGGTGTTGCCGGGGCAGCTGTAGGGCTTGGCGTTGGTCCAGGAGCTACCAAGAGAGTACTGGACGAGGAGGTTAGCCATTGAAGCTCATATATATCAAATGATAATGATAGAGATGGAAGAAGGCGTTGAACTCACAGTGGCAGCAACCTGCTCAACGCTGGCGGCAGCCAGGAGAGCAAAGGCGGCAGTCTTCATGATGAAACAAGTTCGAAACGATAGTGAGTGTGAAACGACAGTTGATCGCAATCAAGCGTATGTAAAATATGAATCAAGAATATAGATATCGATATGGACTTGATAGTAGTTGTTTGGGGGATTCAAAGAAAACGAATGACTTTGATCCAGTAATGAGAGACTTGTTGATTAGGAAGAGAGAAAGAAAAAAAGAAAAAGGAAAAAATAACCACACAAGGACTGTTTGAATCTCCAGAATCAAGAGAGAGGAGGAGGAGATGGACGGACTAGAGGCAGATCTATATACCCAAAGGCCGGACGCCTTGGTTGGAGGTGAGCCGCTCACACGTTGTCTTGCCTGGGCGCTTGAGCAGGCGCAAAGCCTCGACCCCTGTTCCCTTCGCAGCATCTCCCCACAGCCTGTGGGAAAGGCCAAATCAAGACAGAGACCCATGATGAGGCGCCGGGAACAAGGTCGAGGCAATCTCGAGTCAGAAGGTACTGGTACCGGGCCGGCGCATTGGGGACAAAGTATCAGCCCATAGCGGCTCGTGGGAGAACGTGGTGGAACATGGAGGGAATGGGGCAACGCATGATAACGCGCGGTACTTGAGATGGGCCACACGGAGAAGCTGGACAAGAGGTAGCAGTACGAGAACCAGTCAGAAACGGCTTCTGGCATGACGATGCTCGAAGCCGCAAAAGCCTTGGAGTTTTGGCACTAGTCCGGCGAATTGTGTGGCGGCTTGGCCATGTGGACTTGGGGCACAGGTAGAGGCCAGGTACTTGGACGCAGGCTAAACACGGCCCAGGTACTTGCTCGATACAGTACGCGCGCGTCTCTGCTCATGCGTGCCAAGAACCCCCAGGGGCGCATGGATGGCTCGCTGCCGAAACGGCTCCATGTCCCAGGGGCCGCGCTACAGCGTTCTTGGCAGGCACACGGCGCTATTTAGTGGTCGCTGAAGCAAGTTCACGGACCCCTAGAGACAGGACGCTTCAGGTACCGCTCCCTACCTCAGCTGCTAAGGTAGCAGACGGCAGTGGAGGTTACAGGTGGGTGGCCAGTGGCTCTACCGCTTTTGCACCCGAGGATTTTTCGCCAGTCAGTCCACCGGTGGGCTCATGAAGACTGCGCGATGTCATGTTGACGATAGGTTAGTGTTGAATACACGGAATCACATCGAGATTCAATGCCTCAACGAAGACAATCAAAAGTACCTACCTATACCCTGCCTCATCTCTGCTCGTACGGGTACTGTACGAGTAGAAGTACTCTAAAGAGACCACGACAACTGCCTAAATGAATGATAGGTACATACCTAGGTAGTTAATACCCAAGTACCTACCTATCCAATGATGCTAATAAAAAGGCCATTCAATGCCATCGCTGCTCCTCGCACAGCCAATCAAACTCTGCAGCCTGTAGCGTGCGGATTTACGGTGCCATATCGCCTCTTCCAATCTCCCTTCAAATGGCCAATATTCATGCGCGCCTCTCAAGCCTCACCTGCAGGCCCGGCCACTTCTGGGGCCACTGCCCACCATTTGCCTCAGCGCCTAAGCTTGCAGAGAAGTTTAACCCGCGAGCCTAATGCCAAACAAGGTTAAAGCTCCTGCAGGAACCCAGGTTGGCTGACCAGCTCGTACCGTTGAAGCACCCCTGATCCTGATGTTTTTTACGTGGAAAAACTGTCAACATTTGATGGAATATTTTATTCTTAAGAAAAAAAGTATATTAACAAAATAATATCAATAAAAATATTAATGATGATGATAATAGAGTACTCAATCAAGTTACTGTCACAAATAAAAGGTACATAGGTACCTACATGGTACTTTGCAAGGCCTTGCGCATTTTTTTTCTGTTTCTTGCCTCAGCCTGTCGAGAGTTCCCATGCCGCCTTCTCCTTCTTTGCTTCAGGTTCGCCGGCGCTTTCCCACACTATCCTCGATCGACATCACGTTACCGCCTGTTCTCCCTGCTTCTGGCCTTGTCCATGTTTCTCCATGAAACTCCCACAGACCTTTTTTTCGTTTTTCGTTTTTTTCTCCTGGTGTGGCCACCGTTTATTGTTATTTTTATCCCGCGCGCCTGATCTTGACACAGACCAATCCAAACCACCGAGATCCGCACAGACACGGCCTCGATCTCTACTCGTGTCATCCATGCCGCTTCCACGGACTTGTGCCTGACTACGACTGCTAGTCGATGCGGTAGCGCAGGTACGGCTTCTGGCTATGGAGTCTCTTCACCACCAGCTGACTGAAGCAAGTGTTAGATTGCCTGTAGTTCACGCATTCCTCGCTCTTCGTAGAACCGCTATACCAAACGCAGACACCGTCAACTCGTCTCGTCTCGCCTCGTCTCCATCTTCACCACGACTTGTCGCCTACTAGGCCATGTCAAGCAATCCATGTCCCGCCACGCCTTGCGGTGCCAGCCGGGCCTGGCAGCTTCTCTTCTTTCCAGCTAGGCTCTGTTCGCTGTTCATGGGGAGTTTTCCCCCATAAACACTGCCTCCGCCTCTAAACCCTGTCGTCGAATCAATCATGCCACAGCAGCAGAGGCGAGTCCCCCCTGTCTGTCGGCGGACGAAAATCTCCAAGCGACGCAGAGCCGACGTCTGGTGGCCCCGTTTCCACACGGCAAGCCTGTCTGCGAACAATTTACAACGCCCAACACGCTGGGACCTGCACGTAACCCATGCCCGGCACGTCGGGTAACAGCGTGGAATTGACAACGCCAGCAACGGCTTGGCACATTATGGCTGGGCTCGCAGCACGGGACATTCTGTGCCGAGCACTTGCAGCTCTTCTCATCGCATTGCTCCGTAAGTGTAACCACTCTATACTTGTTCTGTCATGTCAACTCCCAGAACCACATTTTCTCCTGGCCCTGCATTGTATGTAATGCTTGCTACACTCGTATGTACAATCTCCGAACTCCGTATTAACATTAATGACAGATGATAAGACACCGTCTACGTTTTGATATGTCAAAACCACCCACGTAGCAATCACCTAGCCCTCCAAAAGAGGAAAAGGAGTACCGAGTACTAGGTAGTAGTATCCCGCTCTACTGCCTAAAGTCATTTGGCTGTTATCGCCAGACTAGTGGCATAATTTTCTTCTCTCCCTGCTGCGCGGTGCCGAGTTCCAGCTGATTTGAAGACAGGTTCCCATGACCGCAACACTTCTAGCTTGACTTCTTGGCCATGTTCGGAAATGCTTGAGTCAGGTTCAGGCTTTCAGCTTCCCGTCGATGGATACTCTCAAGCTAGTATCTTGATTAGACAGATTGGAACCTGTCTTTCCAGCCGCTGCCTTTCAGCTGCACTGGTTTGACAAAGACAAGGCAGGTACCAAGTATATTGCTGTTTTGCCATGAGTCCATCTGTCCATCTCCAAACGATTGGTCGACATTTGCAGCATGTACTGTGAATAATTTCGAGCTCCTCAGGGATGCTGGCAATGCCAAGGCCGTGCGTTTCCGTCTACATCTTAAAGCGTACGTGTACTAGGTATGTCTAGGTATGTATTACCCTGCTCATCACCACCGCTAATCCTAAGCAGCATCCTGTCCAACTACTCCTATATTCTTATCCGAGGGATTCCGTGTCAATAACAGTACCTCGTCGTTACGGAATACGGAGAAGGGCAACCCAACACCGCCGAGATAGCTTCCAAACACGCCCACGTCTTTCTCGGAAGAGTCATTGACAAGGTCTCAGGTCCAGTGAGTTCTAGCCTTTTGACATGTGGGTTATTTTCCCGCGGCGAACGTTGCATTGACGCTCTCTCGCTTGTACCAATCAAATTTCCTCTCTTTGGCAGTAATATTCATGTTCCGGATCGACAGTTGCACATTGTCGGTTCTCTCCGAGATCGTCGCTTGTGAATCCACCGTAGAGGCCCGCACCCACGCCAGCGCCGAGATTCTCAATACTCTCTGCAAGAAATTTCCTTACCAGCAACTGCTAGTAGTAAGTTCTCACTCTACGAGTATGGGAGGCTAACCCTAAGCTCCTCTCGCATTCGATTCTGAAAATCAATCGAGGCGGACAAGGCTTGCCCTGAATTTGCTTCGCGTGTCTTCACGCCGCGAGAGAATACTATTCACAGCAATCCGAAAACCATGGGACCCTGGTTACCAGCAGGAACCAGCAGGAACCAGCAGCTCTGTCTTTTCAGGCTACTTTGTAGTTCCTCTTTACTAATCCGTTTGGGTACTGGACAACCAACTATTACCTGGCTATCGATTGACGGCGGGGATAAAATTTTGTATGGATACACTACGAGTACGTAGTATGTGCTACTACAAGTACCACTACCGTCGATTTCCTCCAAGCTTGGACCAGGATGCCGTGCTAATCTGAGACCCCTTCAGCCTTTTTCTCCGTGTCGGCCTTCCCTTCTGCGCACAAGCTGTCCGTCACCTGAGATGGAACCTACTTTTACAGGTCGACGTGTCGTACGAGATACCTAATTTGGAATATTGCTGCTTCGTGCCGTCGCGCTGACCAGCAAGGCTGCGATGAACTTCCGTGATTGGAGCATTCCTTGCCCAACTGGGCCTCATATATTTCTCCCTACCTATAACTGAGGCAAAGTCTATTCCCAGCGCATGCGTGAAGACATTTGCTCCACGAGAATCAAATGGCATTTGGTGAATAACACAGTTTCTTCTTTGCATTGCCAACATGACTTCACCAACAATGCTTACAGTACAAGCTGTGTGCCGTGGGCAAATTGCGTGGTGTGATACCTGATGCATACGAGTACATCGTGCTGTGCTAATTTTGACAACACACGGGCGCTCGGTTTGGTGCGAGTTGCGAATCGCTGGCCAACGAGCAAGCTGATTCGGCAGAAGAAGTGTTGTTTCACCACGAGGATAACCTGAAGCGGCTATCCGATCCAACGGAGGTGGCGAAGCTCGACCCCATCCATGCGCTGCTACATCGGCTCCACAGGGTTCTGTCATACCGTACTGGACTACTCCGTAGCGGTAGTGCATTCTAGTTGTTCGGTGCATGGAGCACGACTTGCATCCTGTTCAGGGTGGCATTCGGATTCCTCAGATCTCCTGAGGGCATTGCTCTTTATGGCATAACCAGGTACGATCCGAACCTGCTAGGGGTTATCATGGTTGAATGCATACTAACGCCAGAGCCCGTTGGAGCCTACTCAGACCCGCTGATATTCTGTTAATTGCCCGCAATGAGTGTACGAGACACTGTTTTGGCCAGCAAGACTCTAAGATCAAATTCCTCTGCATACACATTTCCAGGCTTGAGAGCGCCGTCCTACCTCCATTGAATTATCGCCCTTTGCAACAAGACTTTTCGCCGCCGAAACAGAGAAGTAAAACAGTGAGAAATGAAATGGTGAGAAACAGATAAACCAGGTACGTGGCATCGTAGAGCAAATCACAGCGTTCTGTGCAACATCTTTTGATCAGTCTGCAACCCTACCCTAGAACCCGAGCGAAATTTCTGGTTATCTCGACGCCGCATTCTTCAAACACCATGATGCTCAATCCTTTTGTTCAAACCTCTTTTCACACAGCAGTGGCGTCGTTATTCTACGACAGCCATTCTTCACCTTTCTATCCACGCATGTAGTAGGGATGATATAGAATCATTCCTATCTTGTCGTTTTGGTCAGTCATGCTTCTCACCGTCGTGTATTTCGAGATAACATTCTGGCAAATATCCCACTTCGATATCAACTCCATATCTGGTCATGACACGGGCTTCTGCTAACTATTTTTCGGTCGACTGCCCGTGACTTGAGTTGTCACACGCGCTGGCAGTCATTTGTATAGGTGGATTGCAACGCAAACGCGTTTCCTTGAGCATTATAGCTCCCTCGCTTTAAATTCGACAACTTTACCTCCGTCCTTTAATTACCAGCTGTGTGCAAGAAGAGACAGAAAGGCTCCTTGTTGGATTACCATACCGAGTCAAGCCTGTCGAGATCCTACTCGGATCTTTCCGCAATCTTCAATCGAAACTACTGGCTCTCGTCTATCGACAGCTGTTCGTATCGCTTTACCAAGTTTTCAAGCCGCGCAGAAGTTGGATCTTCAAGCTTGCTTCCCACCGATAGTGGATAATGGGACTGGGCGTATTCTACCAACAGCGGCTCCTCAGGAGCAAGAGGGTCCCAAACCACGTAGTTCTGCAGCATCGCCAGGTCTGGGGGCTCAAGTCGATCCCGCAACAGCCGGTAGATTACTGAGGTGAGATGAATGTGTTGGCCTTGATCATATAGCCCTTTCAAGCTCAAAATGATTGTCGATCTTAGAGATTTGATAGTCTCAACGTCGTGAGCAGGAGTCAATTTGAGGCTGTCCATTGCTCCACCAGCTATGAACGACAGATGAATCGTCAAGAAGGGATCGCAGTGTTCAAAGCTGTGCCGGATATAGTAGAGGCGCCCGACAGTCTCGAGGCGAGCGGCTGCATGGGCAGCAGTCTTTTGAGCAGTTTCTTTCATGAGGGTTGAAGCCCCCGAAAGTCCGGCTTGCTTTGTAGAGAATAGGATGGTGGCCAAGTAAAGCTCCATGCTATTACATCAATACTCTGTCAGCGCTCAACCGCAGCCACAGTTTTAAAATAAGGTGAGAGGGGAGACGGTGCCAAAGAAAAGGGTCGAGGGAAAACGTACTGCACTTTAAGCTGCCATGGGAAGACGATATTGTGAGGTGCGAGAGTAATAGGCAGCTCGGCATACCATTTCTCTAGCCTTGAGAATATGGACCAGATTTGACCGGGAGATGCTGTGGCACCTTCTTTCAGGCCGTAGCTGACTGCAGCCATGTCGTGGATGATGGAACGCAGCCCGGAGATTGCTTTGAAATAATGCCCATATTGTGCCGGAACCAACGTCGAGTTCAGCGGGTACCTCAGCTTGAAATCTCCATACCAAAACGGATGCTCATATGGATTGGGCAGCGGAGTGGCTGGCGGATCAGGAATCAGAGGAGCCCGGTAATAGTAGTACGATTGTATGCTGTCATGAGATGGACCAACATGTTAGCGAGAGGGGACGAGAGCGACGCGGCGAATCGGACAAGCAGCAAGAGGGGAGTTCGTCAAGAAAAAAAACATACCACTGCCAGTTGAAGAGAGCCCAGGCCGTAAAGACACGAGCATGGACCATTCTCTCGTTCTTCTCGTTCGCATGATCTCCGAACAAGTCTAGTTGCTGGGCAACTTTGAGGGCCTGCATCAAGTACGTGTGGCCGATCTTGTCCATGCCGTTGTGGCTATAGATGAGATTCAGAAGCGTCGCGGTTTGCACGGAAACCAAGTCCACCCTGTCGCTTTGCAGCTCCCACAAGCGCTTCGCTTCGGCTAGAAAGCGATATCTGAGACTCTGGGGTACCCAGAACTGGCTCCGATTGGGTATGTCAATCAAGGAGTGCTGGCATCCTGGTAAGCATGTGTTCCCATTTACTTCTTTACCCAAATTCAGACGACTTGGAGTTGGCTGTATACTTACGCATGCTTCCGCCAGCAAGACGTTGACGAGCACTGGCGAGCAAAACCGCGAGTCATGGTCAATCATGGCCTGGAAAAAGATATCCTTGTGGAATATGGGAAAGGTTGGATACTCGTGGAGAATGTAAGCTCGTAAGAGCATCCGCATCAAGTGGTCGTCGGCGGATACCTTGGTCCACTCGGAGGGCTTGACGAGGTCAATCAGGGGATCCAAGAGTTCAGCGGCATGATACGGCTGCAGATATATATCCTGATAGTGGCCGGGGTGTGCATATTTCGATTCTGTGCTCCCTTGGCTGCCCTCTTGTCCTATTTTGAGAAAGGCAGTTTCATACAACACCGACTTGAGATATGGGTTGTCCGGGGTTTGAAGGCGGGCTGGCATGGCGGCAAGATATGGGAACTGGTAGCGTCTCCGAGTCTCCGGGACGACAGAGAGCTGCAGCAGAAGATCGCATTCTCTGATCTGCCTCAAAAGGGTTCCAGGGTCAGCACCTTGGCGTACCAGGCTGAACATGGTCATTGCATCCTTCTCCGAGCAAGTCTGAAAAGCAGTGAACAGCTCCTCAAAAGCAGTTGATTTTTTGTTTTCCTCTCGATACTTGCGCTTCAGCACGGCCGCGTTTGTCTCTTCACGATAGGCCGAGTCGTAACTGCACTCGACATCGCGCATCTCGCAACCTGCGCACTTCGGGCGGTTTCCATTGCACTTTTGGCGGGTTTCGCGTCATGAGCTAAATGTCCGAGCACTTCCCTACGGGCGGGGTTTCAAACAATACCTTTATTTTGCGCTTCCGGCAAGATTCACAGGCAACGTTGACGGCTTTCCTCATCTGCCGCCGGCCCGTTTTGGTGTAGTACACGGGTGTAGACGATGCAGGCGACACATGGGAATATGTAGAGGCGACTGCAGACGTTGGTGCGGATGTAGGCGCGGACGTAGGCGCAGATGCGGTCCTATTCTCGGTCCAAGAGTGAACATCGCCGAATGAATCTGAATCTGCACGCTCTGAGACGACACGACGATATTTGCTCGGTTGCGAGGGGCAATCTTGCATCGTCAAGGGTATAAAAGGGTGAGCGCAGGGATGGTTCTGGAATTCTGGGGCAGAGAGTCCGCTGGACCACCGGACATGGTCGAGTCAAGGAGAATGATAAGGGACGAGGGACGAGGGACGATATATGCTTAAATGTAGGGCTGAAAGAGGGTGTAGAGAAAGGGAGAGAGAGAGAAAGAGATGCTATTCCATCCCAGGGTGCTCTAGAATAGGCAAGCTAGAGAGTTCGGGGTTTCTTCCGTCTACCCTGATCGTAGTAATGACGATCTAAGTGGCTGCTAGGCCGGTTTGACGGAACCAACTCCGCCGGCCCCTCTTAGATAATGTCCTTATTGGCTCCTCTGCAAGGGACCTCTTAAGTGTATAGAACTATCTCAAAGTCGAATGTTGAGATGTGATGGTCATGTGTCAGCCGCAGCAGCATGCAAAAGACTGGTGACGACGCAGCAGAGAAGGCGAGGAGGAGTTTTTGGAGTGCAGCCACGTTTTGATGACACCCAAGGATTTTCATCAGAATTCATATGCATGATTGCATCCGAAGTGGATGGACGCTCAACAGCACGTACAGCAAGCAGGCGACTCTATGGCTAGAGACGGGACGCCTGCCTCTACTTCACCGCACGAGACACTTTATGCCTTAGCCTGGCTGCAGCCTTGGCTTGACCAAGCACACGCCCTTCGCTCCGGTTTGTAGCATCATGAGCTTGCAGGCGACGGCGCTTTCTTTTTTCTTTTTCTTTTTCTTTTTCTTTTTCACACTAGTTGGATGGTCACCGAAGGGGTTTGCCTTCCGTGTTTGGGGGCGAAATTCAATCAATCATCAATCAATAAAGCGGCAGGAAAAATTGATCACGCTGTCGCTTTGAGCGGACTATTTCGTTGTTGCATAAGGTGTGTCTAGTCCGCTTGGTCTAGAACTTGCCCACGTATGCGTTAAAGTTGTAAGTCTGGCACGAGCTGACGGTATCCTTTGCGCTTTGGCCTCCTAGAATCTGCCTGCCACCGCGAGAGACGGAGAACGACTGCTTGCCAATGCCCATGGTGAAGTTGAAAACGTGAACACCGGCATCAGCATTTACGGTGACAGGAGCCACGTTTCCACTTGTGACGGTCAATTGTGCAGGCTGCGTGAGCAATGTGCTGACAAAGACCAGGTCGTCCATCAACTCGGCCCCTCGAGGGATGCCCAACGGATCGTTGCTGCATCGGGCAGCATGTGGAGTCGGGCGATACCAGTAGACAATCTCATCTGTATTCACTGTAGGAGAAGATGCGCCGGCCTTGTAGGCCGCAATGTATGGCCTGTAGATATCACGCCAGCCATCATGGGGAAAGCCATTGGCCCATTGGGATGACCCGTCATCGCTGTGGTTAGGCTCTGAGCCGCTGTATGGAGAGTAATATGGTCAGCAATATTGTTTCATCAGCCGAAAGAAAGGAGTCCAGGTAAGGCAGGGAGACTGGTTCGCTTACGAAATATAGTGGCTTTCACCAAAGTCTATGGGAACGGATGTTGGTTAGTTAGCCAGTCAAGAGAAGCATTCCTCCCTTTTTTGGTGAGTTGAGTACACTAACCATTCCACGTAATAATTTCAACCAGGGCTGGCTTCATGTCAAGAATCTGCTGCCACCGACGGACTGGCTGCTCTTCGCAGATGAAGACCCAGTTCTTAGTATTGAAATGGGTTGAAAACCACGGAGAGACCGCTGCCCACGCAATATTATTAGCCCTACCTTCGTGTTCGGTAAATCATTCTGAATAACTTACGTGCCATGTAGGGCCGACCACCAAGCCCTTGTATATATCTCTGATCCCACACGGTTGTCATAGGCCCTTCGATGACGCTGTTACCGCCGTCTGTAGGCCAAGCATACCATGAAAACGCCCCATCAATGCCAAACTGGGTGCTGACGCTTCCAAGGGAGGCAGGGTCCTGCATATTGGGAATCACTGTCAGTTTCTGGCTGCCCAGAGCGCTCTTCACGGCATTCCAGTTGAAACTATCACCAACAAAGGTGCTGACGAGTGCACCTCCGTTAAATTTTGCCTGGGCCGGGTGAGCAGCGTATTTGCCAACAAAGCTGGTAATGTTGCCCGTGTCGCCATTAGACCAGTACGCAAAGTCAAATGAAATGAACATTTTGAAGTTGAGCTGCTGGGCGGCCGTATATGCATTGTCAAGCTGCTTTGGCGTGTAGCTATCAACCCAGGGAGGAGCGCAGTTTAACGCAAAGCCATCAATGCCGATAGCTTGGGCTTGTTGGATTTCATTTAGCCAATCTTGAACGGTAAATTTCTCGACAATGCCCACCTATATACTCCATTGTCAGCCAATTTTTCTCCATGAAGATAGCATCAGTGATAGGATGAGCCATACCATGAAGTGAGCAAACACCGGCTTGGAACCTTGTGCGGCGACAAAGCCCAGAGTGTTGGACAAGATCACCGAAACGGTGGCCAGCAAGCCAGCCAATCTCATTGTCATTGTTGATTGAGGAACTGTGTTTCGATGAAGGTTTTGACTTGCTAGAACGGCATGTACGTCTTTTCTTCTTCAGGGCAGCTTTTTCGTTCTGGTAGCCGTAAAAGCTGCATCTATATATACATAAGAAGTCAGTCCTCCCTTTCAATCCCATGCGGCATCGCTCATCAACCTCTAGGCAAATTTGGCGACGGATATATATTCAAGTCCGCTGCAAGTCGAAAAATACCACATACCTTTATAGGACAAACTCGTGACGGAAACTTGCTCTAGCTCTGCGGGGTGCATACTAGCATGGCATCTAATTGATCGCATGATGATGCTAGGAATCCGGCCATTTCTCGGACTGAGAAACAGTTGCTGCATCGGCATAGTGTATATGCATAATATTGAGGTTGTATCGGCTCGACATCGTCAAATAAGCTTGGTTGGAAGATGGGAGCTTGCGGCTAACCCGAAGATGTGCTCCTTTCTGTTCAATTGGAGCCCGCATCACGATCATCTCGTGTTCACCAAGATGTATGTGTGAACTCTAGCGAAGTCGACACACCACCATCTGTTGAGGTGATATCGCTCCTTGCCCATCGGCCCGATGCTGTATAAGAGCACCATCAGCTGAACAGCAGATCCAATGCTGAATCAATATCAAGATTCGAGTTGGCTGCAATACGAAGGAAACATCCTAAACTGTATTTCCATCGCAGAATGGAAACAGTGAAATTGGGAGTGAAAGTGCGGTGCAAATGAGGGTCCCTTCACCGAAATGGTGAAATAGGGATTGTTCGAGGAATACCGCCCTCATGAGTGTTTTTGCAGACAAAACAATGGCGGGGTCATAACCAATCAGCAAACATGGACAAGGAAGATGGCTGTTTGCTGTTGCATAATCAGCGATGTGCCGAATTGAAACAGGGACTGAATGGTGGCTAGCTCGGGCCTTCTACGCTTGTAGTCAGAATCGCCGTTTAGGAGGCCAACATTCATCATTCTGGAACCATTAGAATGCGTACCACTTACTAGCTGTTATTATTGATCATTACGAGGAACGGCTTGCTTGGTTCCGTGGGAGAAAGCTGTGCAGAGAAAGATGGGAGAATGGTGTCTAGTATCCGAGGGTCAGCTTCTACGCACAGACAGCGGGGAAGATTGCCTACCGTTTCGAGAACTAAAACTGATGGCCAATCCTGCTTTTCGCCAGCCCCCTATTGGCGAGAAAGCGAGCTCTGGGGTGTGATGTGATTGGTATGGATTGCATAGCCGAGAAAGCAAACAGCCAGCAGAGAGATCTCCGATGATTAGACGCTGCGTTCATGAAGTCGACTCTGGGCGCGAATTTCACTACGTATGTTAGTATGGAGACGTTATCAGAAAGTGATGGGGATTCAATTACCTGGCGTCGGGAAGATCGAGTGGGTAGACGAGGCTTTGACAGACGAGCACACTTCGTTGGTGGTTTTGACAATTTTGTGATACTTGACTTATCACTCCAGTCGCCGCTCTGTAGAGATGAGGTATTGGGAGCATCTGGTTACTGCTATTAGTTCATATATTCATTCGGTCGGTTGGCCATCTATAATACGCACACTCCTCTTTGGTGTTTCGAATCGCCGGCAAACAAGTGCTCTTCCTTGATTGGTTCCATCCAAACGGAGCCAATACTCTCGAACCAAATCCATAAAATACCTGTGTTTAGTATTGTTATCTTGTACACCCGACCGTTCGTTCGTTCGACCGATCGACTCGCAGTTCTCTTTCGTGCTCGTTCAGCAACGGATTTCGACGGCGGATTCGTTTCTTGTCGGATAAAGAACATGGCGGCAATCGTTTGCAGCCCCCCCCCAACTCTCTTCGCGCCAAACCACACACAACCCAGTATATATAGTATTATTATTCTTTTACACTCGGCCGTTTACGATCGTTCGCTCGCTCGCTCGTTCTCTTATTCAACTTGCGCAATGGAGGACGGGGATGTTCTGAAGTGCTTGTCGAAAAAGCATATAGTTCTTTGTATATCGCCTCGCACCATTGCGAACCTCTTGTAGCCCATTATATATGTAATATTATCTTTCTTGTACACTCGGCCGTATGCGATCGGTCTTCAGAACATCCGTCTCGGTCGTTGGCTCGTTGGTTCGTTCTCTTATTCTCTTCTTCGGCTTGCGCATGGAGGACGGGGATGTTCTGAAGCGCTTGTCGAAAAAGCATATTGTTCTCTGTACATCGTCTCGCACCACTGCGAACCTCTTATAACCCATTATATGTATATATTATTTTTCTTGTACACTCGGCCGTATACGATCGGTCTTCAGAACATCCGTCTCGTTCGTTGGTTCGTTCGCTTGTTTGTTCTCTTGTTCGCTCGTTCGTTTGCGTGTTCGTTCATTCAACTTGTGCGTGGAGGACGTGGACGCTCTGAAGTGCTTGTCGGAAAAGCATGCAGTTCTTTGTGAATCGCCTCGCACCACTGCGAGCCATATACCCCATTATATATATGTAATTTTTCTTGTACACTCGGCCGTATGCGATCGATCTTCAGAACGTCCGTCTCGCTCGTGAGGGATGGGATACTGGGTCTTCGACATCTTGGATTGCCTCTCAGATGAGAAGGCGTCTTGTTCGTTTCTTGGTTCGCATCTGGAGCGTCGACTGCTCACTCGTTCTTTCGGTCGATCTTGAATGTCGTGTGAAGCAGCGGGCTTTCGGAATGGGCTTGTTCTTGGACGGTTTTGGTTTGCTCGGGAGGGAAAAGTGTGTGTGTCGGACCCCTTACCAATACCACCAACCCAGACCCAAAGCACCCCATTATGTATTGTATATTTTTCATTGTACACTCGGCCGGCCGGTCGATCGGTTCGGTTCACCACACCTTCCCTACTGTTGGAAACTAGACAAATGGATGAGTGAGCGAGTGGTTGATACGATACGGGACAAGAGAAATAGAAGAAGGATGATGATGACAATGCAGTCAAAACACCAAGGTTGAAGTGCATAAAACAGACGATAGGGAGGGAGGGAAAATCTGCCCCCGAGCCGAAGAACAAGTCGTTCTTTGTCAACAAGGCATTGGCTTTGGGGTTTCGGCTGAGAGGGGGGTTGGCAGCTTGGATAAGGAAAGAGAATGGAAGCAGAGGGGTGGCTTGAGATGAGAGATTATTGAACAAAAACAAGATATGTGAGGAGATGAGCATTGATCAAGGAGCTATTGAAAACTTGCAAAACCGAAGAAGGAAGATAAATGATGATCAGGAATGAAGAGAAAGGGGGTCAGAGTATGGGAGCTAGGAGAAGGGCTAGAAGAGAGGGGAGGCATCGACAAGAAAAAGAAGCAGAATGATAGGAGAGACAGAGGAGGAAAGATACAAATGGATACTGGAAGATAACGGAAAAGGTTGGGGGGGGGATTTCAGGAGAATTCGTGCAAGGGACGCGATGAACAAGTCACCCTCGTCAACACTTGTCGTGAGGAAGCGATCTGAAAAGACCATCAGTCTCAAGTTGAACAGAGGAAGAGTATGGGGATTGACTGAATTTTACGAAGGTAAGAACTTGTGGGAAAAGGTGTTTTGGCGAAATGGAAAGTTGTGGGAGGGGGAAAACCTAGGCGGTGATTGTGGTGCTCCTGCAGCTGCTGCTTCTCAGTGTCAGGCCGTTGCCAGTTGTGACTGCCGCTCGTTTAGCAGCATATATTAAGCGAAGAAGACGTAATATGAACTCATCTTTCTGTCTTTATCGGTGAGAATCTCGTTATCTTGGAGAACGCTTTGCATCCATAGAGAAGTTCCTCCCGATCATTTCCAGTAGCTGACCGCCTGTTTGTAGCTGTTGATTCTGTATACTGCTTTACATCTCCTGCCTATGTACGTGATATGTTCATGCCTAGGCATCTATGCTTCTTGGCTATTGTGGGCCAGTGCAAATGCCAACGGTTGTTGACTTGATGTGCAGAAGTCCAAATTCTCAAATGGTGAGATAATTGGCTTTCTTGAATCAAATATACTTGTTCGCTCATTCATTTCATCGATATTTCGCTGCATTGAGATACGTAGATGGTCTAGAATTTAGATTGTAGTGCCTTCTATTATACCATGTTCACATCTATTCAATGTTCCAATGTTCCATGAGATGTCTTTGCCACTAGTATATGGTTGTCTATTCAACTACTGCCTTGCAGTCTCTTTATCCTCTCTTCCGCTGCTCGCGCCCTTCTTTCTCGTTCCAACCTCATCTTCATTTCAGGTGTCAGCCCCCTAGCCTCCTCCTCCCGGCGTTCCTGTGGCGTTTTTGCAATCATATTCGCCATATTACCGCCCTTTTTCGCTTTCTGATCTGGTACTTTTGGTCCTTCAGCACGGAGTCTTTCCTCTTCTGCCTTTCTCCTGTCTGCCTCCTTCTTGTCTGCCTCCTGCTTTTCTCGCTCGTCGCGGCGATCAGCTTCATTCTTGGTCATGGCTGGAGGAACTTTGCCCGTGTCCCAATTCCATTTGGCTTCACCGAGTTCAGATCGCGCTACTCTGAAGGCGTCGCGCGTAGGACGATCTCCAGCAAGCTCAAAGGCCGTCTTTCCCTCCATATTCTTGAGCAGTGGATTCGCCCCTGCTCGTGTAAGAATTCCCAGCACCAAAGGCGCAGAATTCTGAGCAGCAGCGTAATGCAGGATGCGTGGAGTATGGTAGTTTTGTTCTGGGGGATAAAATTCAAAGTCTGAGCTGAGCTCATTCTTTGTGAGATATGATAGGAGTGCCGGCAGTTTGGAGCGTCGCACAAACGCTTGTAGCTGAGATGTATGAAGAATCGCCGTTTCCTCCTCTTCTGATAGAGTTGGCTTTGCTGGCTTGGAGACTGTTACAGGTTTGCTTTGCGTTGAGCTTGCCTTGTCTGACTCGGCCTTGGAGGGGACGATCTCTCGTACTTTGAGCCGAGTCAGCTCGATAAAGGACCGCATCAGCTCGTTCTGAGTGGCTCTCCTGGTACTAAATGGGAATCCTCGTATACGAGCATCGTTAGCCTGAAGGACCTGTCCTTCATAGGGGCCAAACAAGGTCCTTCTATTTGTCGTTCCTGTTGCCCGAATAAATAGTAGCTCGGAAGTATCCAAAAGTCCTTTCCACTCTTGAAGAAGGGCACGAACGTCCTCTACCAGGGCAGTCTCGTTGTAACGACGCAGAGATGAACCAACGGAGTGGGCTTTGCCCTTGGCATTATCACTGGCTGATTGGGAACCACCCTGTTTCCGGCGTGTTGTATACCTATGAAATGTCTTGTGGGCGAGAACCGTAGCCTCTCGGTTCATGGTGGTGCTGCCTGCCTTTGCTGATCTGGGAGCTAAAGAGACCACCATGGCAGCAAAATGGCCGCCTCCGATCATGCAAAGAAAGAAGTGAGGCCCTTTGTAGGCAATGGGTGGCAGTGTTCCGTCTTTTGCAGGTTTCGGCATTGCTATTGGCTCGAGCTGCTTCGTCCGGATGACATCAACCAAATCAGGCTGGCCTTGCTCTTTCTCCGTGAATATAGCTCGGTAGATGCCGAAATATGTATTCTCGGGAAGCAACGGCGAGCTGAACCATATTAGCGGCGGTTTGCCTTTGCCCGGCCGCCCTCCAATTTCATCGTCGCCGTCTTCGTTATTGTCTTTGGTGCCATTTCGCCTCTCCGTCAGCCTTGCTTGTTTCTTGAGTAGCGCCGTCAACGTAGATTCCTGGCGTCCCTCATCCTCGTCGTCTTCCGAATCGTCCGAGTCGGAGCCAGAGAGCGACTCGTCCAAAGTCTCTATCAGCTTCTCAAACTCGGCTTCTGAAACAAGGTTCTGCCCCCGTAGCTTCTGCTTAAGGTTGTAGTTGTGAAAATCGGATTTAATATGGCTTCGCTGGTCTACTACGGTAGGGAAGGACAGCTTGCAGAGGGAACACGCCTGAGAGCCGACAAAATTATCAGAAGACGCGTCTGAAGTCTGGTTGGGAGGTGTTGCAGTGGTAGTTTCGGCGATGGTGATGGCATCTGCATCCGGTTTAACTGTCAAGCCTATGAGGCTTTCTGGGGGAAGATCGTAAACTAACACAAACTCAAGCTGTCAGCTAGTTCCGAGATGAGGCGGGAGACAAAGACAAGAAGTGCGTCCCATGTCGTCAAGCTCGCATCGCGAGCATGATGGTTTTGGTGGGGTCGCGACTAAAGCAGTGATGCGACTGAATATCTGTGCTTACCATATAACGGCCGTCGCAAGAGCTCGTCTGCCTGGTTTTGAGCCATTGTGCGAATGCCGCTGCGGCAGTGGGTATCTTTGGCTGTATATCAAGAGGTTGTTACTGCAAGCCGAGCAAAGAAGAGGCGCGAAGGAGTGTTTATGCGATTATGTATCGTCAGCAACAAGAGACTGCGGATATGAAAAAGTTGGAGTTGCCCCTCCATGACAAGGTTGGAATCATGCTGGATCTGAGTCAACCGGCGACAAACCCCACTATCAGTCATTGAGGCTTGTACTCCATATTATTAAGTACCTACCTACTCGAGAGTTCGTGGCTCAGACGCCAACTGCTTCTTTGGCTTCTATGTACGACGTCGCCTCTATGATTCAGCAGTCTTCTTTTTGCCACAGCTTTCATAGGTTCCCGGGGTTTCCCGTTGACAAGGTTAATATTTTACAGCAAGGCGAGGCTGTGCAAAATATGAGGCTAAAACATACCTTGCGATAGGTGGAGTTTATCTCGAAAATGCAACGAATACCTCGTACAAAACATGCCAGAGGCCAGTGTGTGTGATTTGGTGTTAATCCGTACTCGTAATGAGGCGGCTCCTAGGCAATAACAGAATTCGAACAACATTTTCCAATCCAGAAGACGTATCCATCCATCTCTACCTGGTCGGTCTCCCTGGCCAAACTTTAACACTTAGCCAAGCGAAACTAGGCGTTACAGCTCGTGAAAGAAAAAAGCGAAACCACGAGTCGCTACAACCTATGAGACGGGGGAAAAGAGACAAGAGAAGGGATCTATGATATTGCTAATAGCATCCATGGTAAGCGCGCACGCCTTCTTGAGCGTGATTTCAGGGTTCACTTTAGGGTAGCAGTTCGGAATGGCTTCTCGCCTGATTCACGAACGCATTCCCTTTGAGGCTTTGGCGGCATGCCAAAGCAATTCGTCAGGCCACAGGAAAGACAATAGTGGCGCGTACCTGGAACCCTGTGATAAAAATAGGAGGAATCGACGCCAGCCAATCCAGTGTCTGCTATTTGTTTACGCTGTTGCGCCTATGAAATGGCTGGAGCTGTAACGCGGCACAAGAAGCCGACAATTTCGGGTACAGGCATGAAGCGGCGGGTTAGCGCTGGTCCTTCGGCTTGTTGTATATACACGTATATCGTTCACGAGAATTGAATCGATCTGTGTAACCGTCTCGGAGAAGTACCGTAGCCAACATTTCATGCGGTCACTAGCATCGAAGCCGTCGGCTTCAGGAGAACGAGACAAACCAACCGGAATGCGTTGCATTTACCCACAGACAGGGCTAACGCTCATGCTCGTGCTAGTATTCTGATACGCACAAGTCTGGAGGCTACCTGAGGCGTGGGCATGAAGCTGCGTCCTTTGCCAGATTGTCACTTCAGACCGATTTAACCACCCAAAAACCTAGTCAGGTTTGGGCTGGCGCACTCGATGATGCAGAGACCGGTGCATCTTGGCTGCCGGTAGTAGAATTTGACAAACATGCTAGTGATTCTAGACTGTCGTCAGTGCAGGGCCTTGATACTTGCTATGCCCAATTGACCAGGGAAAGCTTGAAAGGAACACACGTGTGGGCTTTTAGCCGATTGCTGGATAACGCAAATGCGTGTCTGGGGCTATCCGTATCTTTTGTATACAGATCAGGTAGTTGAGTGTCATGGGTGTTGGGATGATACCGATAATGATCATGCACAGGCATTGCCAGTGGCTGACTGCATGAGAGCTGGTTGGCTGCATCGCATAAAGAAGCCAAAACACCTAAAAAAAGTCGAGGACCGCGGGGGTTCTGGATCGCGCAAACCGGGTCGCTGGACTTGCCTTGAGATGCTACTCCCCGGCTCGGCGGATGGTGAAGCTATCGACGGCACTATCGACGAAGCAGCCCGGCATCAGGTTTCATGCAAGAAGAGGAAGGCCATGGTTGAGCTTCAGGGTAATATTCTCCAGCATCCTGTCAGTCGTCATTGCAAGAACTCGTCCATGCGGTATCAAGAACGTTCAAAGAGCTTATACGCGGCCATGTTAGCTGTACTCGCGCTCGGTGTTCATGGAGTGAGGCCATGTCTGCAGTTGAGCCAAGAGCTCGGCCATTGGAGTGCCGAAGCCCGACCGTTACTTTATCCAATTGCTCCATTGATCCCCCTTGTCCGGCTCTCTCTGTCAGGGCTTCGGAGCTGTTTAGCCAAGACTGGCGCCTTGTTGAGGGATAAGGTTTTCAAGAAGCGTCACATTAACCGCAGCCTGTTGTTTTGGAATGCCATATCGACCCCCCTGACGCCGTTGACACCGTTGGCATTATCTGCTGCTGATATGACAAGCTGTACTAGGGATGCCGGTCAGCAGGGCATTCGGCTCCCCAACCTTGAGCCTGTCCTCTGCTCATCCTAGGCTCCACAACCAGCTGTATCGAAGCAGTTGGCTTTGCCTGGTCGAGCTTAGATCTGGTTTGCGGGGACGAGTTCCCCTGTGCCCTGTACCGTTGCACTGCGGCTGATCAATGCAAGTTTGGCAAAAATAAGGGGCATTTCGAATCTGCATGCCCCCGAAGCCTGTGACGGCCAATGCAACTTGCCATCGAGAGCACCGTCGTATTGCTGGCAAACTCGACACAAATCGGAGTCCAGAAATAGTTCAAATCTTAAGGCTACGCCGTACATAGCAAGTCGATGACCGATAGTAGTAATAGAGGAATGATGCTCCGTCACCGTCTCGAGCTCCACATTCAGCCGCACAATCATGGGGGTTTCGGTCCTTTGAAGGTTTGTTTCTCCGTCTCATCGAGTATGATGAAGACAAAAAAAAAAAAAGGCCCTGGCAATTCTCACCGGAGGAGAATGCAAAATTGCCGGCCTCGTAAAATGCTAGCTCGAGCTTCCTTTTGAATGCCGCCAAGCAAATGACTAGAGGTACTACTAAGTCATTGCCAGTTGCCTTAATGCAAGCCACATTTTTGTGCCCTCAAATGCCTGCCAGCGATGATGCCTGTTTAATTTTGACATTCCAGCGCCGACTTGCGCACGGACTGGACGATCTACAGTGAGTCCCGATCGATGATAGGACGGAATCGTCCCCTGATCGTGCAAGTCCACATAGTAAGTAGTACTGGGAAGAACATTTGAAGTCACCGGCCTCGCTAGTGGGACAATCTCTTTCAGTTAAGCCGAATAGAGGAGGTGATGATGCCAACATACGAAGCACCGTGCCTGGAACGACGAGAAGACCGGAAGGAAGGGTCAGTGGCGATGGGGAGAATCGGCACTGTGATTCTTCTAATTTCTCCCCCATGATGATGTAGTCCTTTGGCTCTCCCAATTAAGCGCCACCGGGGGTCAAAGCAAACGTCACTGCTGCTTGGATTTTGGGGAATCCTTCTGCAGTAAGCTGCGAGATGGCGAAAAGTATTTCGAGAGAGCTGAATCGTCATCCATCTTCAAGGTTCTCTTTCCCCTGTATGGACATGAACGTGTTCTTTTAGTGACGAAGTGATCACTGGCTTTGTCAGTACCTTGCCGTCCAGGCATCCATAACACAGCCCTCAATATTGCCCCGTGCCCAGGGCAGCCAATTTATCCCCCTTCTCACTGAATCCCGCTTCTCCTACATCACCATTGTACAAGTAGACGCAAGACGCAGCCAACTCGCGATTATGGCGCAGGCCGAGCGCACGGTTGCTTACCCGGGCACCCCTGGCTCTTTGTTGTTCCTCATGCCGTGTGCTGTGCGGATTCTTCGGAAAGGCGTTAGGCTTTCTGCTCCGCGCCAACACCCTCCAACTTGTGCTGCTGAGCAAACATTTGTTTGCTCTCGGGCACGGCTGCAACAGCCACTCGTGCCATGTGCGTCCGTGTTGGCGGATCCTGAGACGTCGGATAAACGCCTGTTTTGCCTGAATGGCTGAGCTGCTAAGGGTTCTAGCACCAATACTCGTCGTATACAAGTACGAGTACAGTAGAGCACAAAATGAAGAGGGGCTAGAGTCCATGCTTGATCGCCGGCTTGTTACATTCGAAATAGCGGGTGCTGGCATTAGAAGCGGTGCGGCCGAGCTTCGATTCAGCGGAGAAGGAGAACAGCCAAGCAACGTCGAATCCAGCTGCATGGTCCTGCCAACAGCATGACAATACGAGCAGCAGCTGAGTGAGTCAAAAGCCTGGAGCCGTTTGTAATCACGGAGCAGCCGTGGTGAACATGGTCAAGAAATCTGCAATCTAAATCCTCTGTGGCCTGGCCCCCCGGGCGATAGCCGCTCTCCAACTGCCACGTGAGAATGCTGCAGAATTCTTTTCTTTTTATTGCCTACCCGGTCAAGCAAGCCGAGAGGCTCAGAATCAAGTCTCATGCATAACCGTTCAGCCATCCTTGCTCGCAGAGGCCAATCATGGCCCCTGGTGCCGTGCCAAGCCGAGTCTCTTCGCTGTTTTGGGCCTGCAGCGTCTTCCGGAATGGGTTTGGCGAGGATCAAACATTGGACTAGGTCTGAAGTGTCGACGAGTCTCGTTACTGATGCGTCTGCCTCGTGTAAAACGCACCCGTTAGCGGACTCGCCTAGCAAATTGAGCACACTTTAAAACATCACCATATTTGACAGTGCCAGTAGCAAGAGGCAAAAGATGGTGCCAAGGGGCGGTTCAACAACGCCACCAAAGAACTATGAGGAAGTGGCGGGAAGCCGGTTGCTTGCCAATCTACAACACATCTTGCCTTACCATGACCTGGGAAGCCTCAAGCCTCCCAACGAGACCCTTGGCCTAGCTCAATAATATACAGGCTTGGCAATGACTCCGTAGAATGGCGACGAGGCAGTGGAGCAGTTGATCCATGCGCCGCTCCGTTGCTTGATCCCTCCGCTCGAAGGATGCAGAATGGAGAGAGCAAGCACCGGCTTGTACTGTTTGGGCTGCTGTCAGACGGTAATATGTACCAGGTCGGCCGAGTTTTGCTGCCGACTCGACACCCATTTCTCTGCAGCTAGTAATAGATGAGTGCCCTTTATGTCCACCTCTAGGATGGGTTGCCGACAAGGATGCACGGCAAACGGCTCCCAAGCACCCCTGGATACGTGCTGTTTCAAGCCGAAGGCGCCAGATTAGCTTTTGCAGGCAACATGATTCAAGGCTTTGCTCACCACCAAGCTTCACAAGGCTTAGCCCGGGGACATGCTACACGCTTCCTCGCCGACATTGGACGCTGGCTGGGAATAACATGGAGACTGGGCATTGAATGGAAGCCATCAACGGATACGCATTTGTCCGTACAGTACAGTACAGTAGAGAAGAAATGGATTGTCCTCGCACTTGTAGCACCACCTCCGGCATCCAGCAGGTTTACACTACCTAAGGTACTGGGTATTTTTTTCTCCGAGAACCCACGCACGCTATTTAGGGTTTCCAGTGTGCTCCATATTGCCTTCCTATCTACTACTAACTGGTACCCGTCTGCTCCATCCGTCCTCGTACTTGTACGGTACGGAGTAGTACTTTCAACTTATTAAACCCCAGCACCCGCTTACTTCCTTCCTTTAACCTATTCTCCAGTCTCCTCGTCACCGGCTGAGGGACACGGCTCTTGGTCTTCTTCGTGAAGACTCGAGACTGCTTGTTTTCTTGTTTCTCTTGTGTTGTTCCTCCTTTCTTTCTTTCAACGCTGATGCTGGCAGGCTTGCTTTTCTTCTGAGCCTTCCTCTCCCTCTTCCCGACTCTGGTTCCCACTTATCCTGGACTTCGGAAGCCGGCTGCCTTTCGATTGATCCATAATCTGGGAGTCCTTCCTTTTCTCGTGATCGATATGCGACGACGACTCAAGCAACTGGAACAGAAGCACATTCTCCGTTGATCTTTTCTAGAAATCATATTCAAGGCATAGCCTCTTCTCCTTCAGCCATGCCGTCAGGGGAACTGCCGGTTGATGGGCAGTCCCTCGGCCCGTTAACGCCATCTCTTCGCAGCGGTCTTCTAGCCATCACAGTGCTGGCGTGCATTTCCTTCTTCTCCGCAGCTACTCTCTTCATTTACTTGACATACAAGATTGTCGCCTGGCAGCTCTTTGTCCGACGGGAAAACGAAAAGCGTTTCCGGGAAACTCATAACAATGAGGATGAACATGTTATACCACTACCACGCCAGCCAAATTTGCATCGAGGAGCCCATCATGAAGCATCTTCTTCCCAGCATGCTGTTGATTTCACGCTGGGCATCGACGGTGTCTTTGCCTCCCGCCCGAGCGAGTCCAAGGATGCTTCCGTCAAGGGCGAAGGAAATTTTCCACAGCAAGACCCGAGCCCGCCTATCCGACCGATGAAGGGCTCACCCAACCAGTTTCTTATTCTCATCTACAATCTTCTCGTTGCCGATTTGCATCAATCGATTGCCTTTGCCCTCAACTCGACATGGATTAACCGAAATGCCATCCTGGTGGATACGAGAACGTGCTGGGCACAGGGCTTCTTTGTCTCAACAGGAGATTTGTCCTCGAGCATGTTTATCACGCTCATTGCGGTGCATACTTTCCTTTCCGTGGTCAAGGGCTATAGGCCGTCGCAGAGGACGTTGTACACGTCTATTGGCCTTGTATGGCTATTTGTGTATTTCATCTCGACGTTGCCAATTGCCATTACGAACAACGGCCGCGAGCATGGCGGCTTCTTTGTTCGAGCTGGTGCCTGGGTACGTTTAAAACAAACAAGCCTCTTTAACCCACTGTCTAATCTCTGTAATTGCTAACATGAACATATTCCTCAGTGCTGGATGAACCGCGAGTATGAGAATCTCCGTCTCTTTACCCACTATCTTTGGATCTTTCTGGCCCTCGGTATCACCTCTGGCCTCTACGTTGCAATCTACTACTCTCTTCGCCAGCAATCCCTTCGTCGCCGAGCTGCCAATCCAGATGGCAGTTCAGATCTTGGCTGGTCCGGTGAACACAACCCAGCATTCCTCATCTATCCAATCATCTATGTCTCTTGTACGCTGCCGCTGGCTACGGAGCGTGTGGCATCCATGTCTGGCGCTAATATTCCACTGGGGCTCTTCTGCTTTGCGGGAGCGCTCATCTCTCTCAACGGCTTCTTCGACTGCATCTTGTTTGGCACAACTCGACACTCCATCATCTTTGCCTCTAAATACGACTTGGATGCGGTAGATACGGGTGTGAAAACAATTGCCTTCCTACAAACACCAAAGACTCGGCGTTACGGCAACATGGTGTGGATTCAGGGTGGTGAGGGTTCGAGACGAAGCATGGAACCCAAGACTACTGGAGGTTGGTGGTCATGGCAGCGCCTGGCCGGACACTCCAGCAGCATGAGACAGGAGAAGCGGAGACGACCGCGAGGATCCAGCCAGGAGTCATTGCGTGGCCCTGGCATCCAGATGGATCTGGTTACGACTGTTGTGGTGGAGGTGGAAGATGACAAGGAGCGAGATATTCGATTCCCTGACCCGACCGCGAGCGCTAGTCCCTCGGTCAACAGCACAGAAAGGGACGCAATCAGCGCAAGAGCCATCTGAAGAATAGAAGAAGACTACGAATGATTTTTATCCACTGTTACAAGATACCTATTTATGTACAACGCATCTTTGGTGGCTCGAATATGGTATGAGCTTACGGGAGCCATGCCTTCTGGCGGCCTTAATGAGAAATGTAATATAGCACGCAGAGAGTTTTTTTTGGACTTTGCGGTTTACGTACTACTACAAGAAAATACACCCATTACAAGTACCTTGGCTATACGCCCTGAAAATGCCTCGAGAGGACAAGTGTTTTTGCTGTATGATGGCGCTCTCCATATTTCACGCAGACTATCTGACCACCCGTAGTTTCGGAGTCGGACCGTTCGTGGGGAACTGCTGCTGCGGTCAGGTTTTCAGCTCAGCAGAGCCTCAAAGGCGAAGGAATACAAGGTGTTGGCTCTAGTATGTTACCTACTGTTGCTAGCTTTTTACGTACCTGCATGCATGAGCCGCTTCTTCTGAAGCTTCCAGTGGATTCAAACGTGGGAAAAAAAAAGGTCCATTATAGAGACGGCCCGCTTGCGTCCCCATTCCGTTCAAACCCACTGCTAGCATAATGTTTCTTTGTTCTCCGCCGTTCTATACTGAAGAAAACGAGGGGGAAAAGGGTTAGCCGACGGTGACGCGATTCATGTGAGCCGCTGAGATGTGGAGAGAGAGGGAGAAGCGGTAGTTGACCCCGGTTAACGGATAGTACTGCGTCTGCTTTACGAAAGAACAGTCGAATATTGAGATGTGGATTAATCGGCGACCTCGTGCGGGAGAGGCTTTTGGCGCTTTCAAAGATTGGGATTGGCATTAGCTGACTAGTTGGCTTTTTCGCCTTGACCGAGAAACGAACTTACCGTGGAGCGTGAGGGAGCGAGACGCTACAGTACGGAGAACTAGCAGCGACCCTTAGGATATCAATCTCAAAGGAGCGTAGTATCGCAATCATCAATGGTCTGAAACATTGTTAATAGCGGATCTTGGCCAGTAAAAGTCCATTTGACCGCCCTCCGTATTCTGGAAAGAAAGGGACCGGGATCCATCATGAGGCTAGCTGCGTTGAGCCAAGCCAGCTTCTCCGTTTTGGGGCTGTCAGCCCGGCTCGGACTGAGGCCGGCCCAGACTGCTGTGGGGAGCAAGCCGCGATGGTCTGGCCGTCTTATTCATACCATCTCGTTGCTAGAGAGCAGTGGCAAGAGACTAGCAGCAGTAGTAGGTCTTGGATCGTGTGGTTTTCAGCTGCTTTGCCTCGGGACCACTTTGACAGCGAAAACGTGGTCTTCCCGAGGCTTCGAATAGCGCAAAACTTTACTTGGACAATCAAGGGTCCCGCCGATAGATATGGAGAGATGGATAAGGAAAACGTGAGATATGGATTCGTCGAGACCTGAGCGGAGAGGTGGGGAGCAATACGCAGTTGTGAAGCCGAAATGATCGTCTGACAGGCGGCCCAGATGGTAAGGGCAGGGGGGCTGATTGACAAGGTCGACTGCTAATAAGCTATTGATGATCTAGAATACGACTCTACGATTAGCCAAGTATGGATAATGCAAAGTACTTTGTAAGGTTGCCCCTCTTTGTGTAATTCATTTGTCTGCTGCCAAGGCGAACCCTTGAGGCCGTCGTTTGAATTGAGATGAATGCCGTGGCAATAGTTGCTGTGCACTCTTGGTAGTAGGACTATTACGTTTTGCCAAGTTGAACATTGTGGAGGCCGTAAAAGAGAGGAGAATCGGAATAGAGGAAAAAAAAAAAAAAGTTAAGAAGAGAGGGAGGCATACCGCAAAGCCAGGATAAGCTCCGGTAATACCAAAGCTGAGGTGACGGCATCCTGATCTTGGAGAGCGAATCGCCATCACACACATGGCGCCAAGCACTCGGGTATTTCTTTCGCTCGAAATCTTGTACAGGCTCTGCCAATGATAGTCATTGATCTCTTTTTATGCAGAGATCTAGACTTGGGCGAACTTGAAATCTGTAAAGTATGGACGGGGTTGGGATTCTAGGCGGTGGCAACTGATCAGCAAATTCGTATGTATGACGTCTGTGACGTGTGCTCTGTTCTTTCCGGTTGCACAGAACTTGTCTTTGATGTTTAAAGCTTGATTTCACCTTGATTTTCCAAACTTTGCGTCTTCATATAATATTTTCCGTGACAATTGCCCGGTATACGATTTCCAGTGCGAAAAGGATTGCTTCTTAACAGCCTCGTATTTTTCTGTGCTGAACCCCGCAACAGCTTTGCTGCTCGCTACGCCACTCAACCTCACGACCTTCAAAAGACACCATGGACTTTATTAACAAATTCACCGGCTCTGCAAACGATGGAGAGAATAACGCACAAGGCGGCCGCCCGGAGGATCGGAATAGCAGCGGCGCCAACGAAGAACGAAGCAGCGGCGGCTTCATGGACAAGATGAACAGCATGGCTGGCGGAGGAGCCCAAGGCGAGAAGAATGAAGATATGCTCGACAAGGGTAAGCTGCGTCGATCAATTGATTTGTCTGTTTTCTTTTTTTCTCCATCTGCTAATCATGATCGCTTTAGCTGTCGATTTTGTGCAAGAAAAGTTTATGGGACAGGGCGATCAGAGCAATGAGTCGGCTGCAGAACAGGCCAAGGATGAAGCCATCTCCGATTTTATACGCGACAAGTACAAGGACACCACGGGAAGTGACTTTCCCATCAAGGACAAGGATAGGCAGTATGGTCTCTAATGGAGTATGGTGGCACTGAGAGGATCAATTTGGAGTCATTTTTGTAGCAAAGATATCGGAAGCAAAGATTGTAAGTTAAGGAAAAAGAAGAAAAAGTCCATTGAAAGATTGCGCTTGATAACTGTGTCGCTTCGGTTGAGACGGCGAAAGAACAGTAGTCCCGACTCATACATATCCAAGAAAAAGGAGACAGGTTAAGAAGAGAAGAAGAAAAAACCTCCCAGCTCGACAATGCCTTATTGGCAGCTTTGGAAACACGATCAGACAAGTAGCAAATTTGTTGGCATCCGTCCATATCACTATGACCAAAGGTGTACTCAAGTTGTTTAGTTCCTAATGGGTTGAGGACTCCACTGATGGTAGAGCTCCTCGTCCACTTCCTCTTCCTCTTCCTCGCCATCAACGTGCTTGCCGAGCCACTTCCATACCACTTTATACCACGTCATGATGTTTTCTGGTTTGGTAACAACATGGCCCTCGTCTGGGAAGGTCAAAAGCCGGCTAGGAACTCCCTGAGCCTGCAGAGAGTTGAACGCAGACAATGCGTCTGTAATTGAGCATTGCTTATCCATCTCTCCGTGGATAATGAGCGTTGGTGGTGCATTTTTCCAGCCGTGGAAAAAGGTTGACCGAGCCATATCATTCTCATATATCATCTCTGGGTCCGTGTGCGAGTATGATGGGTCGAGTTTGTCGAAATTGTCAAAGATGTGCTCTTTATGCGGCGAGGGCGTCGGAGGATCGATTGCACCGTTTTGGTATACTGCGCAGCAGAACTGGATCAATAAGGTCAGTTGAGATGGCCAACTCGGGTGTTTGTTGGGACGATTCTGCATTTCCAACCTTTTTGGCAACATCATGTCCCAAAAGTTTATTCACAAGGTATGCAGAGCTGCTGTTTCCCACCACGGTAGCCCTCTCTTTGTCGAGATAAGGCACATCTTCAAGGTCGGCGATGAGGCTGAGAAGGTCTTGGAACGGCTTATCTCCCCTCTGGTCCCGGATTCCTATTTCAATTTGGCATGTTAGATGGATTCGAAGCAGCAAAGTCAGACCCTTTTTTTCATTGTAGTTGGATCAATGATCAACGTACGTCTTGTGAATTCCAGTCCGTATCCGCTAGATCCAGTAAAATTAGGGAGTATTACGACGTACCCCTTCGTCGCCCAAGCAGCAGGGTTGGTCTAATGAACAACAGTTAGCATAAATCTTAGCAGTGTTCTGGCGATTCGGTCACACATGCCGTCGTCGACCATTCGTTATTCCAAGCCATGTCCGGGCTACCATGAGGCATCAGTACCCAAGGATACTCTTCGGTCTCGACAAAACCCTGCGGCAGGATCATCCAGCAATGAATAAAGTACCCATTTGCGCCCTCGTACCAAAACTCGGACACCATCTTTTTGGAGAGGCCAAATTTGCAACCGCCCTTGGTCGCAGAAGATATGGTCTCCAAGACCTTGGCTTTCGAAACCTGCACAACCTGCCACAGGCAGCTGTCAATGAAGCTGGACGACGTTGTTAGAATGTATTCCCAGTTGTCCTGCACGATCGGATGAAAGGCACTACAGCTGTTGCCGGTGAAGAAAACCGTCGGCTTGGCCCCGTCCTCTAGCTTGAGGTGAGAAAGAGTTTCGTAGCCAAGCAGATGGCTCTGTAGAATCACAGACTCCGCACCGGCAAACTCAAAGGCCCTTGGTGGGTGTAGATCCTCGTCATCAGTGCAAGTCACAAGGCTGAAGACGTCAAACGCGTCGAAGGAGGAAAGAGAGGCTAAAAACAGCCGAGTGTTGTAGGGATCTTCGATGGCTGTGTAGAGGAAGCCGATACTCGACCTGTCGGGAGTGAATCGGACGTTTGTTATCGAAGCAGGTTCAAAGCTACTGGGTATAAGTATCTGTCTGGGAAGTCCGTTTCGCTGCGCACAAAATAAACTTATTTGCGCAAAGTAGACGGCTGCCGGAGGGCGTCCATCTGGCCCTCGCTCTCTCAGATCTCTCGCGGAAAATGCAATCCCGTCACGGCAAATGTCAAAGTCGTTGCAGGGCTTATCGCTATTCAGGCGAGATGGAACCTCCAAATCCATACCAGGAAGCAGGTTAAAGAGCTTTCCATCAAGCTCCCAGTAGCGGCCGCGGAGGACGAGCTGGTTGTACCAGAGACTGCGTCTATGGGGTCTACGTGAGGCATTCCACTACATAATGCTAGTTAGTATAATCGAGCAAGGGAACAAACAGCGTCATCGGGATGTTAGTGTTGACCTACAACAGGGATTTCAGCGTCGTAAACCTTTGCAGTTGATGACACTTGGAGAGCCTCTTGGTTATACAAACCAGAGTCGCCAACGAGCCCCGTGACTACAAAGGCGACGTTTTGCCAATCCAGCTTCTTGAGCTTCAGGTTCGACACGGGGGCATCGATTTCTCCCGCATTATAGTGGCGTTCGAATGGATCCCGAGCATCTGCCACCATGATCTGGGTTCGGCCCATTTCTGCCGACCGCAGGTAGAGGATGTTGAATTCCGAGCCGGGAATCCACACGACATCGTGGACTCGAGGATCATTAGACAGCCGGGTGGAGTTTCCCGTCTTGAGCTCGAGAATCCGGAACTCATGGGTGGTTCCGTCGCCGAGCTCATGTGTTGACACTGTGTAGATTGCATGAGTTCCGCCTATGTTTGCTACTGCCGGGCCACGCCTCGGCTCGGTCAGTAGAACTTCAGGCGTCAGTTCCTGAACCTGAACCATGGCGAACTCGACTCTGGGATTTGGTGATGGCTCCTGGTTGACCTCGAGTCTCTACAGGGTTGGAAGAAGGTTTGACTTTGGTTAGCCAGGGAGCGCCCGCTTCTCGAGATGACATGACGGCAGAAAGGCTTCTGGTGGAGTTGCCATTTAAGAAACGACGAAACAAGGCGCAGGCCAGGCAGCCTTTGCTTACTTGCCTCCAATTCGCCGCTCGGGATAGGATTGCAGCAAATGGGCTCGAGATGGCTTGCCCCCGCTCTTTGACGCGTTGGCACATGCGTGGCACGACAAAAGAGACTCGCCTTGTAAGGCACTCATGCATTTCGTAGGAGAAGAATGTCTATCTCGCTTGGATCCCTGTCGTCTTTGCCGTCGTTTTGGCGTGATTGTCTTGTGACTTTTGTGTCAGTTGGAGTAGAGATGCATCCAGTAGAAGCTGTATCATAACTCACAACTGCCGCTTGAAGGCTGCCACACCAGACAGAGCTGGACGGTGTGGGTGGTTGAGGATGGCAAGCGATTATCAGGGGAAGCTAGAGGGAAAGCAGTCGTTAATTTGAGAGCTCGATAGGGCGAAGAATAATCAAAGCTGCCAATTGAGCGAGTCATGTTTGGATGTGTTGAATGGATTTGATTTTTTTTTTTTTTTTTTGCTCTGTTAGATTTGTTTGGACGCGCAGAACACATGGTGATAGGGAAAGAAGGCAGGAGCTGAACGCTACATTGGTACATGAACAGGAGCCCTTCAATTGTGCATAGAATATGCCACTTTTGAATAACCTGAAGGAGAGTAGAGCAAAAAAAAAAATTCACATGAATCGAAAATAAAGACGTCTAATATAGATTTCGAAAGGAAAGAAAAAGAAAAAGAAATGGGTGATTCAAATCTATGTCGATGCTTGATTTAGCGCGCGACACCCATTGATTACAGTGGGCTAATATAGTGGGCTCAGCTCGGTGCCGCTTGGTGATGTCCACCCAATGCCTAGGTACCTATGAAATTGGCATCATTTGCTGAATATTGATGCAAAATCATTAGGATACTCACCAAGATATCTATTAAGAGATGCACTAAAATTCTTTCAAGCTCTGATTTTTCTTGTTTGATATCGTCTAGTTTTGTAGAACCATCTCAACGGATTGCGCTGGAAAAATTGCATCATTGCAACGGATGCAGAGTGTAGGCCTGTCGGCATTGTGCCAGAAGGTGCCGGATAGCCTATAGGCCACTATAAGCTGGGACTGTCCAGCACCGCAACTTTGCTACAAACTTTGTATGGGGGGGATTTCTGTTGACTTCTACTCTGCTGCAGCTCCAGAAATATTACGATAAAATGACATAAACTCTCTTAAAGGCCAAAGAGACTATTACTCTAATCAATTAGAAAGCATGAATTTCTAATTATTCATGTGGATTTATTTACGAATTTTTGAAGTGCATGAGTTTTGGTGGAGCGAGTAGGAGTGGTCGTAGACTTTTGGCCATCTACAGTACCTACCTAAGGTAGGTAGGTTAGTAGGTACCTCAACAGACGCCCAACACGCGGGAGGATACTTACCATCCGTAGTGTATATTTGCTCAGTTTCCGGCTAAAAAGCCCCTTAAAACTGAGAATTTCACTCCCTTTGTTACAAATAAACATGACAGGATATATATACTTCTTTTTTTGCAAACTGATATTTGAAAAACAATTGAAATTTGATGAGTTTTAGTTTACTGGAGGAAGTATTGCTCAGTGAGGAGCGATGGAATTGCTGAGTCAGTAATTGTAGAGGTACTTGATTTTTTAGTGTGCGCATCATACTAATGACAAGTACCTTGGGGTGCTGCGCAGAAAAGACCTCTATCATTAGCACCTGTATTATATTGACGATGATGGCTTCATCTCCCCCGGTGCCTCCAGTGATTGCTACTCCGTCGGCTCCTGCTGCCACACCATCATCCCTTGCCGCCTCGTCCTCGGTTAGCCTTCTTTCGACTAATGCTGTCCAAAATTTGACGTCTTCGCGGTTGTCGGCCGTGTCCTCCCAGCCGCCCTCGCCGTCCATTTACCTAGCTGCGAACGCTGCTCTACGTCGTCAAAACATCAATGGAGAGTGTGGAAACCCGACTCAACGCCAAACGGACCGAGGTCACGAAGAAAGCCGATGAGCTGCAATTCCAGTGTGAACACAGTACTCGAGTTACCAACGAACGTCTCACCCTCGCCCTGGAGGCTATTGAGGAACTACGTAGACTGCAAGATGAGTTTCTCGATGCATTTGATGTTCAGATATCGCCCTCGATCGACACGGCCATCAATCGAGTAACCACGCTCCTTGACAAAATTGGTTGACTGCCTCGAGTTAGAGAACAGACATGAGCAGTACCTTGGTAGTATTGCGTTCCATTGACTCCGGCAAGCTATCTTCGTATTACTTCCTAGGTACATGTACTGCAGCAACGATTTGGTCTTGTCAACAAGTGTCTGCTATTGGATATCCATAGCAAACAGTGGATGGAATCTTCTCTTTACATGTAGGTATTCAATAACACACCTCGGCGTAATAAAAAGGAAATGGGCCAACATCATTATCAATCGCCGAACCACCGAGGCCACACTCGGAATTAAAGGTGCACCCACACACATGCTCCGCCACCAGCTCAAAAGGTCCTCTCAGCCTTGCTGGACGATGGTCGTCGCCAACGCTGGAGGACTCCATAATTGAGAGGCCATGGCCATTCCTATTCTGTACTTTAACTGCAACTGTGAACATGGTCGCGAGTGCTACAAACAACATTTGAACATTGAACAAAACCTGATTATTCACGTCTTTGTAGTTCAAGTGCTCAACATCACAGAAGACAGCAGCAAATAAAAGCAATGGTAATGATAATAACAACCGAGCTAGGCGAGGCTTCATGTACTGACGACTAAGGTCCCTACTACTAAAGTACTATTCTACCAGCCAGGGTAAAAGAGCCTCCGGGGCACCCATCCAATCTATAAATCAGTCAAGCAAAGTTAAAGTACATGACAACCCTCCGCCTTTTTGCTAAAACCCTTGAGAAAATGACCGTCCATATTTCCATCCCGCGACTGATAAACTGTACCCGTCATCACTGCTCCAAATTGAGATTTCCCACGAGTGCTGAGATCGCCGTTGTTAGAATTCCCATTTAACATCCCGCGAGCGCAGCGTCTGGGAGAGGACCTTCACCACATCGACTGCGTGGTTCAGCTCTCGCTTCGACGCAGCCTCAAACTCCTTGCGCAGATTCTCGCATCTGTTGACTCGTCTGAGACCACCGCCGTGGCCGTGGCCGGGGATGTGCTCGTGGATGTGGTTTTGGCCATCGCCGCTCATGTTGTTACCACTGCCGCTACCGGCAAGGTCGTCTTCGTCCTCGACCTCCTCGATGGTGGCTGGGTACTTGCCCTTGGTGATATCACGGTACTCAAACTCTGCGACATGGCATTCGTAGATAGACGCGCGCTCAAAGTCCACGAGCATGATTCTATCAAGCTGAGGGTTGTAGAGCATGTTGCGCGGCTCTGCATCGTTATGAAGCAGGCCTGCACTGTGCAGTTCCATGTAAGCCCTGCGCGTAGAGTTGGCAAACCCATAGGATTCCGACGACCGGTTCCATGTTTCCAGGGATCGGCCAGCCCAGCTGAGAAGCATGAAGTGGCTGAGAGCGGAATTCTTGTGTTCAAACGTCTCCTCGAGCTGGATAATGCCGAGATAGACGGGGACGCAACCTCCTTGGAGGTCCTTGAGGCGGGTGTAGGTGTCGGCTTCACGCAACAGGCGGGGTAGATTCTTTTCCGGGACACCCTTGGCAACGAATGTGTAACCGTGAGAAGGAATCATGACTTTGAACATGGTTCCCAGAGAGCCTTTCAGGCCAAGCGAGATGCAGCAGCCAGAGACTTGGCGAGTGCCGGAGAGCAGATCCTGAACTATGCTCAGAAATTCCATATTGTCGATATGCGCACTCCCATGCTTGTCGACGTTGGGGCAATCGGGGTCCAACGGCTCAGCGTTGGTCAAACCAAGGAGGCACTCTTGGGTACAGTATCGACGCTGTCGAATGTCACTAACAATGACGCCGTCGCTCTGCATCCAAAAGGCGTGCTCGCCGTCATCGATGAAGCCTTCTTCTCCTAGCTGGCGTGCGTACTGCTGGTCTTCCTCTTGCTCGGGCACACAAGTTCCATCCTCGCAGAACTTCAACTCGATATTAAAAGCCAGGGACATGTTCTCGGCAATGTTCAGGTAGGGGTCGTTTGCGTCTTTCTTGTCGACAAATACATACTGGCTCTCGAGCCACTGATGGTCGTGCCCATGATTGCCGTGCCCCTGATTGTCGTTGTCCGGGTTGTAGCCTTGGGCGTCCTCAGCAACGTCTTCGTACTCAGCATCGACATCATCCATGGCCTCATCGCCACAGCTAGTAGCACGTGAGGAGCCTGGAATGTCGAGCAGCGCCTCGCTGTAGCTGCTCCTCCAAACGTCAAGGCTGGCGGCCCTGTCGTGCCACTCGGCCGAACGAGGTCCCGCTTGCATGGCTCTGATGATGAAGGCAAAGATTTGGCCGACGGCGGAGTAATGCAGGGTTGACTCGTCTTCATTGGAGACGTCGTTGCCGGGGATGCTGACATGGTAGGTTACGATGGATGGGTCGTCTTGAATCTCGAGGAAGATGATGGCTTCACCCGTGTAGACGTAGCCATACGACACACCTGATTTAACCATGCAGTCAAAGAGCCGCGTGATGGTAGCGGTAACCATTTGCTTGGAGCCAGAGACCAATGTAACAGTGTCACCTTCCCTCTCAATGACATCGCGTTCCGGGAAGATGCTCTCGGCCAGCGCTGCGGTAATCTCTTCCACCTTGGGCAGGTCAGACGGCCTGTACTCGATTCCGACAATGGGGAATGACCGCCCACCCTCGGTGTTGGAGTAGACACAGAAGCTACGGTGGGCCTCAAATCCAGGTGGTGCATTGTCTTCAAAGCTTGAGTCATCAGGTGTTTCAAGAGGGCCGTATGTAATGTTTCCACTGAGGCCAACTGCTTTGCTGAGGGCCTCGTCGTCCAGCACGCCATGTAGCAGATTCATGACGGCCTTGGATACGCCGAGTCGCTCAAAGATGCAGAGTGTCAACTCGCCGTTGATGGGCTCCATGGAGAAGTATTCATCGTGGACTTTTTCCATTGAGGGAAACAGCATTTGCAAGAGGGCTGAGTTGTCGTCTGCAAGCACCAGGTTCCAGACCTCGAGTTGCTTGTCCATGAAGTCAGGGGATGGAGCGATTTGCTCAGGATACAGTTTGCCGTCGGGCTCAAGGGCGGTGGCTTGGGAACAGACCGCAACAGCAGTGAGGCTCTGGGCGGCTTGATTCATGTGGTGGCATGAGGAAAGATATTGGCGTAAGTTTTGCAGCTCACCTTCCTCATCTTGTTGGTGGAGAGGGCGAGGCTCCTGGTTACCATCATTTGAGTCGTCATCAGGGAGAGCCCACATGGCTCGTTGCTGTGCGTCTTCTTCAACGTTGGTAGTACCACTGATGATGGACGAGGCCAAGTCGGTTGGTATGTTATCAGACATGTTTAGGGGGGTTGACAATGAGCATGCTCTAAGAGCGAGTGTCAAAGAGGAAGAGGAAGATGCAGAGATGAATGTCAAATGGGGTTGGTTTATTTTGGCGAGGGATAGGTGACGAGTTTGATTTTTGATGGGATCGTTATGCGTCAACTCTGCTCTTTTGATGGTGAGGGATGGAAAAGAGAATGATGGAGAGGAAGAAGGGGAGGAAGAAGGGGAAGAGGCAAAAGAAATGGAAACCTAGAGGAGAGAGTCAGGACCAGGTGGCCTGGGGAGAGGTGCCAGGTGTAAAGCTCCCTATGCCACAGCACTTGACTGCCCGAGCCTGCACTGCTCTGGCTCTGGCTACAGTAGCGAGATGGCCTGAGAAGCCACTCCGGCCCCCTACAGCTCACATGTCTTGGGAGGATTCAAGCTACGGGTAGTATACATGAGTCTAGCGACTTGCAAAAAAAGAAAGCACGCGAATGAGATGTCGCAAACTACGATGCCGACAGCCCAGTTTGCTCTCCCTTGCATCGAGCCCGGAGAGGAGGGGGGGGCTGTTCCGTAGCCGTACAGGGACAGACGGAACGGCCGCAATGGCAGGAAAACACAGGAGAGCAGGTTGAGGCATCAGGAGTTGTTGTGATGCTATTGGCGAAAGGTCTCCCGTATTTTGCCACACCGAGTGCGCACCAGCAAACTCACAAGCAAGGCATTTGCATTTGTACGACCAGGAATGGATGTAAGGCGTCTAGATGGCGGCGGTAGGGCCATGTCCGTGTGTGATTGCTGCTCTGCCGCAGCGTCGTATTGAGGTGCATCGGCCTTACAGGGGGCTTTGGAGGAAACAAAGACTGATGCTTCTGACGGGAGCAAGGGGGAGTGTTTTCGACTTTTGGCCGCACGCCCACGATTCTATTGGTGCGTTCTGCTTCTGGAGGACACATGTATCGCGGTTTCGCATGCAAGAAAAAAGAAAGGCATGGAAGCTATTTGTTCAGCCGCTGGAAGCTGATGCGGTCCATCTTGTAGTTTGGCGCTGGTGCTCTCCACTTGGCGCGTCGCGAATGCTAGTGCCATCGGGAGCGAGATTTGCGGATCAGGCGAGCACCTTTTAGCACCTCTCAGCACCTACAGGTACTCTAACCACTGCTACAAGTACTAGCACTGCTACTAGCACTGCTGCATCAGTAGGTATGGACAGTAATGGGATGGAAATCGATCCCGTCTGCTTTCAACTGAACCATTAGCTATAATCGTTGGAAAATACTCTGAGATAGTTGACAAATGCCATAACCCCTTCTGTAGCAGCAAGCTATTTGCCCTGAAGCATCCATTTTAGAAAATGAAATCGTTTCCATGAGATATTGAAATCATTTGAAAATTAAAGTGAGCTGATCAATCAGAATGTACAGGTACCTATGTAGCATTTTCCTGATAGGAGCTTTCAGCGGGCACAGTGCTACAGCTCGCAGCATCACTCTTGCGATTGATAAGGTGAAAAAGCAAGAGCAACAGCACTTGCTGCAATAGATAGATGCATGTAGTCTAGCGGTCTAGATCAATAAAAGAGCATTTGACTGATCCTGATTTAATTCCCCCTTCCAGCGCGCTTTTCCTATGATACATATTTTAATAAATTCTATCAATCAACAATCGATCGCGCAAGCAATCATCAAGCAATACACAGAGCATTCCATCCACTAAATCCCCTATAAGCTACAGCGCCTGGAATCGAGCTTTTTGATTGGCTTGCCTCTGCTGATCCTTACCCAAAAACGGTTTAGTCTGAGCCGAGTCTCAGTTGCTATCAAATGATTCCAGCACATCAAACCACTAAAAGAGCCCACTAAGTCCCCGTGCTGTACTCCGTACGTACAGTATATTAGATCAAATTTCTTTTGCATCACATTGAAAGGCGATGCGGACGGGATGCAAGAATTAATTTGGCTTCAATGAAATGATTTTATCCACATGCGCTGTTTTATTTCGTTCATCCACAAGGCCTCGGTGGGAAAATGACCTCTCTATGGTACCTTCCATATTCCTGCACATTGACCTTTGTGTCACGAGATTTAGGTACGTACCGCCTGCACTCTCTGGCTCAATCTCAGTTCTGGCGTCAACACTGATGATGACATCAATGAGTGTCGACGTCCTTTTCTTAACCTTGCACCATACAAATTTGTTCTCAACGTCGTTCATCGTCTCACTACCAACCACATCCATGTCTGTTGACCTACCCGTTCCATCCTCGTTCGATATTGCCTAATGATGGCCCTCGAATGGGTGATTGTCAGTCCCTCGGAAACCGGCAAGGCTGTATGGAGCAATGGGGTCTCGGATTATGCCATTATCACCGAGGTACTTCCACCTGCACTGCAATTAGGTGAAGACGCAAGTTCACCTGTTCAGTGGTGGGGGGGCGAAACCGAATTTTGCTGGGCTGTCATGGTCTTATCAATCTCACTAATACTACTGTATAAAAGAATCGGCGTTGCCCCGGAACAGAGAAAGAAAGAGAAGGAGAAAAAAAGTGAAAAAATGAAGCGGTAAAATCAAACAAAAGACGAAAGAAAAGACAGAAAAGACAGGACAAGAAAAAACAATGGAGGAATCATCATCTCTCCTTGTCCGAGTTCTCTCCGAACTGGGCCTCGTCTCCCTCTATCACAGCAAGCCCGACGTCAAGCTCCTCTGCCTTCAGCGATTCGTCCGCCTCTTCGCCTATGGCGCCTCCACGCTCGTCCTCGTGCTGTACCTCCAGTCTCTGGGCATCTCCAAGACCCGGACCGGCCTGTTCATGACGCTGACGCTGGTCGGCGATGTCTGCATCAGCTTCTGCCTCACGCTGGTGGCCGACGGGCTGGGGAGGAAGGCGATTCTGGCCCTGGGCGCCCTCATGATGGTGGGCAGCGGCATCACCTTTGCCGTGAGCGACAACTACTGGGTCTTGCTGGCGGCCGCCATCTTTGGCGTCATTAGTCCGAGGTATGTGAAATGAAATAAATGCATCCTGTGCTGTTTGTACTTGTGCATTCGCTGCCCCCCCCCCTCCCATGCAACGCTATCGGCTGCCAATGCATGCAGCTTCATGTACATGTACAGCAGCCTAATCAGTGTTTTTTCCTTTCTTTTTTCTTTTTTTGTGGAGGGGGAGTATCGGCGTTAACCAGGCCGCATCTGATTTCTAGTGGTAACGAGATTGGTCCGTTCCGAGCCATCGAGGAGAGCGTTGTTGCCCACCTCACGGAGCCGGCCTCGAGAAGCGACATCTATGCATGGTACAGCCTGCTTGGCACGGCTGGGACAGCCTTTGGTCTCATGATTGGCGGATGGGTGGTGCAGTATGTTTCCACCATTCTTCACTGGGAGCTGGTTGAAGCCTATCGCTTCATTTTCTATGGGTATGCTGCTGCCGGCTTGGTCAAGCTGTCGCTAGCTCTCCTCTTGAGCAGCGCGGTCGAGGCCGATGAGAAGCCTTCTCCCGCCAAGGGTGCAACCAAATCCGATGGAGCGAGCAGCAGCAGTAGCGAGACATCGCCTCTCTTGGGCGGTGGGAACGAGAGCTCGCAAGCAGAGGAAGAGGAGCAAAAGACCCGCAGCCGATTTGGGGCTCTTCTTCCTGATATCAGCAAGGAAGGCTACGCTATCATGACGAGCCTGTGCATCTTCTTCGCCCTGGACGCGTTCGCCTCTGGGCTGGCTTCCATGTAAGCTTTTCTCCCCCTCCCTCCGTCCCTCTACACAGACACCTACATACAACCCCGGTTCACAGAAACTAATCAGAGGCGAATACATGTAGGTCCTGGGTGACGTATTTCTTCCGCTGGCGCTATGGCATTGCAGAGGGCAAGCTCGGCTCCATCTTCTTTGTGACAAGTATCACTTCGGCGCTCTCGATGCTTGTAGCCTCCTCCCTGGCCAAGCGATTTGGCAACATCAAGGTACGTACATTTCATTTCCTTTCTAAAGCTACTCCCACCGCATTTTCAGCTAACTAACTTACTCGCGCCAATTAGACCATGGTCTTTACGCATCTGCCGTCCTCCATCTTCCTCTCCCTCATTCCCGTCTTCCCCGACGTGCGTCTCTCCCTGCTTTTCCTGTGGCTGCGCGCCTCCAGCCAGAGCATGGATGTCGCACCCCGCGCCGCCTTCCTAGCCGCCGTCATCAAGCCAAGCGAGCGCACCGCCATCATGGGCGTTATCAATGTGGTCAAGACAACCGGCGCCAGCTTGGGCCCTTTCTTGACTGGTACGTTGGCTGACCACGGCCTGTTTTGGGTCGCCTTTGTCACAGCAGGGTGTCTCAAGGCGAGTTACGATCTGGGCATGCTTGCAGTCTTTCAGAATCACGAGAGGCATGCGGCTGAACGAGAGAGGCGGAGCGTGGAGGCGAGTGCCGCTTCTGCGTAAGGGGGAGAGGGGGGGTGTGATTACGCAATTTTCTTTTTCTTTTTCTCTACGCAACATCACATGTTTGACTGAGACAAGCGGGTTGGAAGCACACATTATACTGACCACCTGAATTACACTTCGCTGCTGCCTCCCAAGATATCACTACCGACCTGGTATTCCAATCTCCAGCCAAAGACAGTTGCATACCGCCATTTAACGACCTTTCGCATAAACTAAACACTACATCACGAGCAAGCAAAAACAGAAAAGAGAAGACAAAATAGAAACAATTGAAACAACAGTAGCATCTTAGGCCGAATAGAGAGAGAGAGAGAGAGAGAGAGAGAGAGAGAGAGAGGAGAAGAGGTGATTGTACTATAGACTAGATAGGTACTCTGTAGCGAGTGTCTGTAATGATTCATGTCTAATAATACTTTGTGCAAACCTTTGCAAACCGAGACCGACCGAAAGAAATACTCAAAGAAACCATATCCTGCCCACTTTGCAAACAATCTGTGTAAGCCCAGCTAACTAGAAAACACCATCGTGAGCCTCCCCAGTCACTTCAATACTTCCATCTTGAGCCTCCCCAGTCACTTCATCGTTTCCATCCTGAGCCTCGCCAGTCACTTCTTCATCGTCTTCCTCCTGAACCTTTTCAGTTTCCTCAACAATTGCATCCTCAACCAACACAGCTACTTCACCTTTTTCATCTTGAGCCTCCAGAGTCGTATTCCTCTCTTCGCCCTTGCCACCCTTCTTGCCACGCCTACCACGCCTGCCGCGTCTGCCGCGTCTGTTCCGTTTGCCTTGTCTGCCCTGAGCAGACTCGGCGTCCTGAGTCGCAACATTAGTAGCTCCCGCCTCCTCAGATTGACCAGCTTGATTAGAAGAACCGTAGTCATCAGAAGTCTGAGCCGTACCTCGACGACGACGAGTTCTGCGAAGAAGCTGAGGAGGGTCAGGAGGAAAAGCAGGATTAGGAGGAGTTGGGGGTAAACTGTCCAGAAAACGAAGTATCATGCCATGCCGGAGCACTTCTTCAGGCTCGGGAGGGCCAATGTACCAAGCATTGACGGTCGGGTCCGAGGTGCGCCACTGATAATAATCTTGCAGCACTTGAATGTATGCTGATGCGTCCATCAGCTGAAAGGCGCCCGGGGGGGTAAAGGTGGCTGGTCCAAAGAGGGGTTGAACGGGAGGACCAGGTGGTACATTGTAGGGGGTTTGAGAACCGTAACGAGAAGATATGTCCGCTTCGCCGGCTAGAGAGGACGGCTCTGGAATTCTAGGGGCTTGAGGATGGTTAAACACCTGCGGAGTCTGGGGAGGAGTAAATGGGGTATATTGCATTGCTCGAGGAGCTCTGGGGGCCATTTGAGGGACCTGAGCTGGCCAAGAATCTGCACGGTACGCTCGAGGAGCGGTAGGAGCATTGATAGGAGCTTGATAGGGTTGGTACCTGTAGTCTGCATTGGGGGGTCCTCTGGGAGAGTTCTGAGGAGTCTGGTATGGGTGGTATTCCGCCCGGGGCGCCCTTTGGGCATTTTGAGGAGGAGCTCGAGCCGGCTCAAATCCAAGATGAGGAGTTTGAGGAGCTTGAGGAGCTTGAGGAACTTGAGGAGCTCGAGATGGTTGAATAGTTGCGATGGGGGCGGGTAAAGGAGCCTGAGACCGGTGAACACAAGCGCGAGGGACGATGGGGGCATTGGGGGGTGCTTGAGATGGCCGAACCTGTGCACGAGGGGCTCTGGGAGCGTCTCGAGGGGCCTGGGGAGACTGGAAATCCGCTCGTGAGGCGTCTGGGGCGTTTCCAGGTGCCTGAGAAGAAGAAGGCGGAGAATCTGCACGAGGGGCACGAGGGGCGTTTGGAGGCGCCTGATGATGAGCACAAGATGTCCCAGAATCGGCGCGAGGCGCTCGAGGAGCACTTGGAGGTGCCTGACTGGCGTCGCGCAACTCTTGAGCAGCGTAAAGACGAGCAGGCTCAGCAAGGCTTTGGGTCCTTCGAGGAGTTTGAAGGACTGGAGTCACCTGAAGAATTGTAGGGGCTTCGGTAGAAACACTTGTTGTCCTCGGGGCGGGGGCTGCATTATGAGCAGGATGACGAACGACGCTACCGTTTATCTGCATGCCCTGTATCTGCATGCCCTGTTGAAGAGGCGTCTGTCCTCGTGATTGATTCATTCTGTTTTCCTCTAGAAGAACCGTCAAGTTGAACACGTAGCGATAAAACCAAGTAAGTGTATATTGAATGGCTCCGAGAGTTCGGACAATTTGTGGATACGGTGCAAGATAATATTGTGGGTTAGGTCCTTCGGTGCCTGGGACAGTAAACCAAAAGTACGATGGGGGAGGAGGTGGAAGCCCCGGAGGCGTTGGCGGATAAAGCTGTGGATTCTGTGTCGGATCAACGACCGGCTGGGCCTGGATCTGTGGCGGAACAAAGTCTGGCTGGGCCTGGATCTGTGCCGAAACAAAGACCGACTGGGCCTGAATCTGTACCGGAACAAAGACCGGCTGGACCTGGAGAAGCCTGGGATATGGTCCTCGAATCACGACCCCTTGAGGCTCAAGAACAAAGATGCTAGGGTGCAGCGTCTCAGTCTTCAGCTGGCTTGAAGGACCAAGATTGAGAGTATCAGACGATACCGGGTTGGTGACCATGACATGCCCTGGCAGGCCGAACCGCAGCAACAGCTCCGAAGAGGTAGTGCCTACTTGGAAAAGGTTCGATAGCCTGGTGAGGCGCCGCAACTCTGGCATCCACTTTCGGACGAAGGAACCATTGGGGTCAAGTTCGAAGGCTTCATGGACAGGAGAGACGACCGCCTCGCGGCCGCTGAGGTCAGGACCAATCCCGGCATAGTGTTGCCACGTATACCATTGGAGGGAAGTGTCGTGATCATAGGACAGGGAAGCCACCCACTCCGCACCCATTTGCCAGTCGATGCCTGCAAACTTGGCGAGGAAGTTGACAATGAGCTTGTGCGAGCGAGTGCCCACATGCCCAGTGAAGATGAGTTGCCTCATGATTGCGTCAACGAGGCCATAGCCCGTGGCTCCTACTTGGAACTGCACCATGACCCCGTCGATGTAGAGAGTGGAAGGCTGTTGGTCAGGCCTGGCTTTCGCGGGGTTGGGCGACTTCCACACGATGTTGGTGTTTCGCCCTGGCCCAGAGCCATTGATGTCATACAGGTCGGGGCCATGCTTTTTGGAGCTCACCAGGAGAAAGTCCCTGCGAAGTAGCTCAGCTCGGAGTGCCTTTGTTCCGGGAGTCACGCCCTCATTGTAGCCGTCAGTCTCTTCGTAATCGGGCTCGGTACCATTCTCCAGCTTCAAAAGCTCTTCGTGGATCTGCCGAGCTGTAATGCATCCAAAGGACAGGTAGCCCGCAAGCCTGAGGCATTCTTGACTGTCCTCCAGGTCGTTCGATTCATGGAACCGCGTTGCAATGCCCTGCTTGATTACGTAGCGCAGCTGCGCAACAGCACGTGTTTCTCCGCCCACACAGCGGGTCAGGGGCATCGCACCATTCAAGTCGAGCCCATTGAAGAAGGAAAAGTCGAGTCGCACAGGGTCGACCAACTTTTGGATGAGTCCCACCAGTGTATTGGGAATCTCGAATGGGCCTGACTGGGGGGGAATGGGCACATGGTTCGGGAAAGGGGGCAACCAGGTAGGTTCCTGAAGAGAAGCGCCACCGCCATCAATCAAAGGGTCAACTTGGCTCTCAAAGGCGGAGAACTCATCAGGCACATTGTCCATGAGGCTCATAGGGGTATCCTTTCTATTTTCACGATTCAATGGTTAGCAAGCTGACAGCACACACAGGGCAATTCTCGCATTGGATCAACTTACAGGTTGACGAGCGGCTTGCGATCATCGAATGAGACATAGCGGATCCCGAGGTAAGTGCAAGTGGCAAACACCTCTCGCTCCTCTCTAAGCTCATCCACAGAATATCCCTTGGCAATATACACCTCGGAAACCTGAGGGCCGTATTTCAGTCTGGAATAATGAGAGTTAATGCTCTCCAAGACTTCGGGGAAACTTCCGACTCGGATAATCAGCCCCATCCCAAACTCTTCGAGACTCTCTTTCATATCCCACACCGACTCTGCGAGGAATCTGACACGGTGGAGACCAGTTCTCCAGGCGTGAGAATTCTCCGAAAGTGCTGGAGGGTACGGAGATGCCTCTCCAGCCTTGAGGAGGCCAGAGGTTTCAACCTGGTCGGGAGGCAGGACATATACTACCAAAAGGTGGGTAGGGGTGTATTTGATGACTCCGGGGATGTCAACGGACAGGTGGTGAAGAATGGGATTGTTGGCAAGTCTAAGATCTCGCCTCACAAAGAGAACGCCGATACTTTCCTCAGACGCCGTTTCCTCGGACGCCGTTTCATCAGACATCGTTTCATCAGACGTCATCTCATCAGACGTCATTTCGTCAGACGTCATTTCATCAGACATCCGTTCATCGGACATCACTTCATCGGACATCACTCCATCGGACATCACTTCATCAGACATTCTTTCATCAGACATCCTTGCAAAGAGATACAAGAGCTGACAAGGTGTGACAAGGTGTGCCAAGTGTGCGGAGGGTGTACAAGATCGGAAGCTTGTTTAACGGACGGTCTCTGCGATCAGCTGGGAGTCAGCATCTGCCATAAGGCTAGTCGAAGATGGGGAGATGCAATGATTGGAGTCTACTCAAGCCAGGGCCAGCAGATGCTCCTTTACCTGATTGAAGGCGGGCCACAGTACGCAAAATACACCTTGCGGGGACGCAGACAGCGGCGAGCACGGCAGCTAAGAAGGATGGCTAACGAGATAGCGAGCGATTAGCAACTAACCAGATGGGGAATTTGGACAGAAGAGAATAAGAAGGACGAAATACTTGGTGTTTAGCAGGTTGAATACGAACAAAAAAAAAAATTCAGTGACAACGCCAAAGCAGTATGGTCTAGCGTGATGAGAAAAGGAACAGAATTCACGAAAAGCAGCTGCGTCTCATTTATATCCTCCCAGAAAGCCACCAGAGCCTCAACATCTCAGTTCAATCAACATGTTTGCTCTCACGTCAAGCGAGAGGTGATGATCGTCCTGTTTAGCTACTAGCAGGGTATACGCTGCTGTGTACCGAGAGATGTGTCCGAGCGCCAGATGTACATACAGCATTACATGGAGCATGATGCGCGAACCAGTGCCAGCCGGCCACTACAGGAGGAGACTCTTTGGCTCCCCCCCTCCCTTTCTCTGCCTTTTTGTTTTCCCCTGTGGACTAGTGGAAGCTAAGCTGCTCCGGGGGACTCGCGCTCTGCTGCCGGACACATGTCCAAGCGAATCTAGTACGCCCTTGACAGCATGGTAAATGAACAGCGCAGGGGGCACAGCCAACTAGAGCACCGGAAAACGCGATAGCGCGTGTCTGTCAGCCGTGATGCGGCTGAAATGGCTGCCTTGGCTGCGTACCTGTATGGCCACGATCACGCCAACTTGGACGCTACAAGAACTGCGGGCAAGACAGCATGAGATTGGGCCAGGTGGGGGGAAGGGCTTGGCATCTTTTCGCCTCTGTCTAGCGCCTCACTACATCCACCCCTGGGAAGGAGAAAACTACGAACAAAGGTACAAGTGTGAGTGCCTTGACCACTTGGATGCCGGCCCAGAGCTCGGCTGCAGATGGAGGAGTGGAGGAGGTTTGTGATGAGTTGGGGAGGAGGTGCAGCCATTGAGACTCTAGACCTTTTACTCCTCACTCCTCACATGCAAATGGCCGTCACACCTCCTTTTTCCCCTCTCACCAAACAGTTTGCTGCAGCTGAGCAAAACACTGGGCATGACGGCGATTCCGGGCTTAGGCAGTTTCATACTTTTGTCACATGGCAAGGTTTGCTGATATGAGGCGGGATTGAGAGAAAAATGAGAGCGAGGTACAAGCAGGTACGTACCTTGTACGATCTCCAGAACCCCATGAGGGAAATCTAGATCGAGAGGCGCCAATTGGTGGTGAGGCCCGGGAAATGGGAAGAGTGGGTCGAGATGTCTTAGGATCCAGACATTGAGGCTTGCGTTAGCCTGGAGGGGCTTTTTTAGTACTATATGTAGTTTGAGCACATGTTTATGCTGGGTGTGTGTGTGTGTGTGTGTGTGTGTGTGTGTGTGTGTGTGTGTGTGTGTGTGTGTGTGTGTGTGTGTGTGTGTGTGTGTTGGGTATAAAAAATAATGCATTGTGGAATATATCAGGTGCAGATGCGTCTATTTGTGTGCTTGATATATTCGTTTTTTTTTTAGGGCGTTAATACTCGCTTAATCGTTTACAACGCCCATAAGTTATAGATGGCTCAAAAATTCATTATAAGGCATAACTATAAACTATACTCCGTAATTCCCACTACTACTAACTTATTAGTAGGCGTACTGGGCTCTATCTCTCGGGAGGACGGGCCGTCAGCCCACTTCGTGGATCTGCTCTATACTAGTACCAGGTACGCGTTAGCCGCCCACTTACTTCTAGCGCCATTGCCTTAAAGTTGTGTTTCTAGGGCGTCAAGGCGTCTATCGGATGATCAGACTCGTCGCATTCGGGCTGCGTAGCTTCGTTGTAAGTGGCACGGAATTCTTACAAGCATGAATTAGTAGTAACACCGTAGTGATAATAAGCTACAGGTACTTGGTGCATTTACTAAATTTATCCCCCCGTTGTGCGGCCCAGAGATTGGTGGGCAAGGCAATGGGCAGTCGGCCTCTCCGGTTACATCGATAGAGCGTCTGCTGCAAAATTCACAAAGTACGGAGTACATGTACATGTATCTTCCAGGTCTCTTACCCACCACAGGTCGGGCTCAGGTCCATGCCATCTCTGCAAATATTGTATGGCACAGCTTCTCCCTCTTGCTGACCGCCCAGCGAGCTGGTACCTGCCAGACACCCGCTGCTCCCATGCCTGGCCTGTGCCAGTACGAGTACGGCCACCCGCTGTAAGCCACCTGCTAGTAGGTACCTACTAGACCTATAGGCATCAATAGCTCCAGCGCAATCACGCCTGAAGCAAACTCACTACCTGCGCCTCGCCGTCATCGTGGAGGCAGCTGAAACCTCCCTTGCCGCTGTGTCTCGCCGACTGGGTACATGTACTGGGCTCGTATGCACGTACCAGCACTGGTGCCCGACAATAGAAGCGAGGGGGGTCTCTAACTGGTTCTGTGCTTCTAACGCACACGCCCTGCTGCGAGAGAACTGCTGCTGCGGAGGGCGAGAACAACTTTCATGCAACCTGGCACATGTACTTGGTGCATGTACTCGTACAGTAGCTGTAGCCTAAGGCACTGAACCTCTCTGCAGGGAACAGCTCACATCGCGCCTTTCTTCCTCGCGGTGAGACAAAAATGCCACTCCCCCACCTTTCCGTTCCACCACATCGCCCAGACTGCGGCCTCAGTCAGTCACCACACCAGAACCTCCTAATGAATGATTCACAACTTTTTTTCTTTCTTTTTTCCTTTTTTTGAACAAAAAAAGGCTCAATGTTTTGATTTTGTTCTATTATTGGAGAGGAGGTGTGGCAAAGCCTTAGAGACGGGAGCTGCAAACAAAGAGGGGAAACGCGGCTGGCCGGCCATACCAGTGCGGGTAAGCATTGCGGCCTTCCCTCCATCAACTTCAGCCCCGGCTTCACATACCTACTAACCTATGCACATATACCTGTCCTTACTGCAGCTAGTAAGTCTACTAATGCCCAGGCCTGTATGCCCGGTCTCGTTCTTATCTACCGTTAGAGTAAAGCTTTGTTTTCTCGCTCGATTCTCATGGAGCAATATCCGAGGATCAGATAATCGACTTCCGGCCCTCGACCAGGCTCTGCCACCCCCTTGTTCCTCGACGCAATGACACGCCAGAGCCTGACGCACCAAGCTGCCCGGCAGGGGATAGAGAGCCGTGCCAGCAGATACGAAAGGCCGGCTCTCTTCCTGTGCAGCAGCATGGCTGATGTCGCCCAATAACCACTTCAGAGAGCCGTGGTTTGCTTCTCCACCCGTGTTTCAAGCCATGATCCTCCTCCTCACCGAGTCTCGGCTTGCATCTCCATGACCAGAGAGAGGCCTGGTCTGTGTGGGCCGGCACGGAAAGATACAGGTAATTGGTCTCCTAAATCAGCCTCACTTTGCTCAATAGGATGGCTCCAGGATTGAACAGCTTTGGGTCGGTCTCGGCCGATGCTGCCGGCATTACCATCTAGGCGTACTAGGGAGGAGAGCGACAAGTCGGCTTCTTCTAGTGCCCTATTTTTGCAAGCATCCGGAGACAAGTCTCCATATTGGGGCTAGAGTACGAAGTGCCCAATTATGAGACTGGTTTAACGCCCCGTGGTTCTCCTACGCCTGTAGTCGAGAATCATACGATTGAGAAAGACGTACTCCCAGACATGACCCCCCCATGTCTCCCAGGCTGTGTGGCACGGCCATGAAAGGACCCTTTGCAGCTTTACCCCGTGCGGTTGGTGCTACCTGAGGACAAGATCTTCGTGTATTCTTGCTTGATTCATCGCCAGCCACAACTGCAAACTCCTCGTGACTGAGCGCCAGGGATCGAGGTTCCGCTTTGCATTACGCCATAGGCCGTCTCATGGGATTGCTTTACGGATAGACTCGGTTGTCTATTCTGCTGGAGCTGTCTATGAGCCACGGTGTTGTTGTCTGCCCACTGAGTGGTTGCAGGCTCTGTAAAGGTGTAAAGGTAGGTACTACGCCTTGGTCATGACAAAGATGATTGGCAGACTCTTGGTTCTGTCCTTTCAAGAAAGTCTACATGCCTCATACTTGTTACTTCCAGTTTGTTCATTATACAGAGATGGAAGATACAGCACGAGTAAGTCTCGTCCCAAACAAACAGAATGGCTATTCACGGCTACTAGACAGCTGCTCATACCCAGCTGTTTCTCGCATCAGCCAACTTGGAGACTAACCACGCATGTCTACACTAGTTTCATCAGAGCAAACTGGAAAGCTGCATATGCGATAATGGACCAATCTCTCCCTACCTAACAGCTAATGACAACGCATAATGCAACCGAGAGTGGCCAATCTTGCCTCGCCAGGTACTCGGCCGCCTTGAAATCGGGGGCTGCTGCCGTCCGCACTGGCCACCTTTTTGCCGTCACGCGCCTCCATGTTTGACTCTTGGGCCAAATCAAGTGAGACTTGCTTTATCTCTCCTACTCTTTTGTCAAGTTTAGCATGGTTGCCTTACCAAAGAGCGCAGAGTACCCCGTACTGCCTACTGGTATACAAAACGAAGAGCTTACAAAAATGACCTATCCAGTGTTCTAGCGATCCACACATCCAACTCGGATGCTTCCGCGACCTTATCAGACAGACGTCTAGCTAGCCAGCCGCCCGAACCTGGTCCTTGAAACCAGTCAACCCTTTTGCAGCAGTGTCTACCAGCTAACATTGGCGCCACAGACTATTTCACTTTGAGCAGCGGGTCGGAGACTTCTTCCAATGTGACTGGGTACCCACGCGTGCATTGCCGCTCGTACGCGGGCATGTCCATATCATTCAGAGACAACAAGAGACTCAGGTCCATGGGTTATTGAGTCATGATCAGGCCAGGTCGGCGATCACCCACGCAGACGCCCCATCTATGGCACTTACTGACAGGCACTTGGTAGATTTGCGTTTTGTTGGGCTAGCCATTATCGATGTGCCTGCTCTCCGGTTTCTCTACCACCCCCAGCTCATGGTAGTTTGGTCGGAGGTCAGTCCGATGTACACCCCGGCGATTTCTGTCCACAAGCGGACACTGAGCTTGAGCCATGAGAAGGGGGCTGGGGCTGGCCACGACAGAGGCATTTGGTTTGGCATCTCGATTCAAACAATCGATGAACAGGCAGCAGTATTGGCTGTCGTCATCTCACATCCCTCCCTTTCAAGCATACTAGGATGTAAATAATCAAAGGGAGGCGAGTGACGGCGCTATCATGAGCCACGATCAAGCACCAACAGGGTGTATCGTTTTTCTGGCATGACGCTTTTAACGTAAATTTCCAGGAGACAATGGCTGATTGCTAGTTAGAATCGGAAAAAGAAAAACACCCATCACTGGGAAGCTGGACGGACACGGGAAAGCATTGCCGGGAGTAGGGGGTTAGATTTGGCTCCTGTCACAAAGTTTTGACAGACCGGGGGTCCTGCTCTTGGGGTGGTGAGGGCTGAAATTGATGTCTTTTGCCCAGGGACCTCGCATTCTGCCTGAGGAGCATGTCTTGACGCTATGTTTGTCAACTAGCGGCTATGCGTTCCATCCTTGTCCATCTTTAATAGAAGTCAGCCCAAGGTCACCGACTCTGCTGGTTCCCAACTGTTTTTCACTTCTCACCATACTTGATTTCACATCCAACTTGGAACTTCCTTTCCACCATCACAACCATCATCACAACCATCATCATGTGCTACTATACTGTCGCGGCGGTTGTTTATGATAACTGCCTACCTGTTCCGCCTCATCTGATCAAGTGCGTAGTGTTTCAGAGATGTATAAGCGAGCATAAGCCCGATCCCGTCTGCCAGAATCCAAAGATGTATCTTTCGCCGCAAATCATGCCGAAGAAACGAAAAGAGGGCCAATGCACCATCTGCCCGATGCACATGCTTTCTATTCAAACGCCCATCCTGCCGGGGCCGCCTATGTGAAGCGAGGATACCGTACAGAATGAGAAATACGGAGCATGTTGTAAGTCATCTTGTCTGCGCCTAGGTGTCGTACCAAAATGGCTAACCGGTCGCACGAACAGAATACATGTACCGACCTATACAATACTGTCCGTCCACCATGGGAGATGGGGTGAGCCATCTGGTGGAGGAAGTTGAAACAATGGATAAATGTAGTATGGGTTTTGCTTGCTCGGCGCTTTGGAATACTGCCTGCGGAGATGATCACGAAGATTGATGGGATTACTATGGACGGTTTGATGCAAGGGCACTCTGCTGTTACTGGTTTATTGTAGTGCTTGCTATGAGAAATTGATCATCTGCCATTTCAACTGTTTTTTGCAACTCTATATCTCTTTTTGCTCTATTCAGCATCTCTTCAATTACATGTAGTCTTGACTCGAGTAAACGAGAATGAATCGTGTTGAGCAGAGCGTTTAGAGGATCTACAGGGCTCTAGGGTAGGACCTTGCTTGAAAAATGGACGAAGAGAATCATGCCGAGGCAGAGTTGGCGACAACGAGTACCTATTGTTAATTGGGGTGATAAAGAAATCAACAGTTGAACCGGATCGATATACGGAAGTAGTCAACCCCAAATAGTTGTATTACAGCTGGTGGGACAAGAATGTCGTGATCTTGTAGGGACACAACACCGGTTGCGGGAGGCGACAGCACATGCCAGAAACCACTCAAATACTCGAAGCTGCATACTTCGTATGTTCGTATTCGGCCACCGGCTCCATTTGCAGCGTCTCCGAAGCCCGGTACGACGTGATAGTAGCCGAGCTTCACCTGCTCCGTCGCCCGGAGCGTCGCTCGCCATGACCGAGGTGAAAGAGGCCGGCGACGCTCCGGCTCCGGGGCTCCCACAAGCGTGAGAGAGGGGCCCCAAGATTTCAAGATGCCACTAAACCACCATCACCAGCTGCTAGATCGGCTTGGTTTAGCCGAGGATGGTGCGGACGGCATTTGACGGCTGAGTGAGAGGCCAGCAGTTAAAATTGGCGGAGTCCGCCAGGGGTGCAAGCTCGGCTCATGGAGAGTTGGAACGCCTTCACAAAGCGGCTGGAAGCTTTTTTTCTCTCTCCCCTTCCTCCTTCTCTTTCTCCCATCATTCTTTCTGGGTCTTGTTGAACGGGATAAAGTAGCCAATCCGTCGGCACCAGACACAAGCTCTGTCCTCCTCTGGCCTCAACATGTCCGCCATCTCCCGCAGCCTCAGATCAGCATCCAAGCTGCGAGTCCAGTCGCGAGCCGCAAGTGGTCTCTGCTCGGCCTCCATCGGCGCCAGTCGCTTTGCTTCCTCCGGCTTTGCTGTGACTTCGGCCCCCGCCTCGCGCAGCAACTTCTCGACTTCAATCCCCAAGCTTTCTGGAGCGCCCATCATGACTTCCTCTCGCGAGTACGATCCTGAGATCAAGGACATTGCCGACTATGTCGCCAACAAGACAATTGACTCTGAGCTAGCTGTAAGTTTGTTGCCCCTCCTGCGAGCTTTGCCGGGCCTGTCGGGGTGCCCCTCATTTTCAAACACGAAAAAAACAATGGCCGTTTTTGTCTCAAGCCCCGCCATCATCATCAATTGGGTTCTCCCAAGGTGGCTACAGGAGAATCAAAAGCTGGCGAGAGCGAGAGGAGAAGAGAGGGAGAAAATACAGACCTTGTTTCAGCTTCTAACCGCCATTTCCATAGTTTGACACCGCTCGATGGATTCTCCTCGACACCCTCGGCTGCGGTCTTGAGGGCCTCCGCTTCAAGGAGTGCGCCAAGCTGCTGGGCCCGATTGTCCCTGGCACCGTCGTGCCCAATGGCACAAAGGTTCCTGGCACGCCCTTTGTGCTGGATCCCGTCAACGGAGCCTTCAACATTGGCGCCATGATCCGATGGCTCGACTTCAACGACTGCTGGCTGGCTGCTGAATGGGGTCACCCCTCTGACAACCTGGGCGCCATCCTGGCCGTTGCTGACTGGATCAACCGTACCAACAAGGCCGGCGGCAACCTGGCTGGCGGCAAGATCTTCACCATCCGAGACGTGCTCGAGGGCATGATCAAGGCCCACGAGATTCAGGGCTGCCTGGCCCTGCTCAACTCGTACAACAAGGTCGGTCTCGACCACGTTGTCCTGGTCAAGGTCGCCTCCACCGCTGTTGTCTCCAAGATGCTGGGCCTCAGCGAGAAGCAGATTGCCGATGCCGTCACCCAGGCCTGGGTTGACGGCCAGAGCCTGCGAACCTACCGCCACAGCCCCAACACCATGTCCCGCAAGTCTTGGGCTGCTGGTGATGCCTGCCAGCGCGCCGTCAACCTGGCTCTCAAGGTCATGAAGGGCGAGTCTGGTATCCCCACCGTTCTGTCTGCTCCCACCTGGGGCTTCTACGATGTCCTGTTCAAGGGCAAGAAGTTCGAGTTCCAGCGCCCCTACGGCAGCTACGTCATGGAGAACGTCCTCTTCAAGGTCTCCTACCCTGGTGAGTTGCGATGACGCTCCATTGCAGAAGCGTTTTTCAAAAGACTAACAAGTTCAAAACTAGCCGAATTCCACTCCCAGACTGCCGTCGAGGCCTCTGAGAAGATCCACCACCAGCTCAAGGCCATGGGCAAGTCCGCCGCCGACATCAAGGCCGTCACCTGCCGAACCCACGAGGCCTGCATCCGCATCATCGACAAGCAGTTCAAGCCCATGGACAACTTTGCCGACCGTGACCACTGCATTCAGTACATGGCCTCTGTCATGCTCGTCTTCGGCCGTCTCGAGGCTACTGACTACGTTGACGGCTCTGAGGCTGCTACTTCCGAGCTGGTTGAGTCTCTGCGCAAGAAGATTAAGTGTGTTGAGGACCCCCAGTACACCCAGGACTACCATGACCCTGCCCTGCGCACCATCTCCAACGCCCTGACCGTTGAGCTCAACGACGGCACCATCCTTGACGAGGTCGCTGTTGAGGCTCCTCTGGGCCACCGTCTCCGTCGCGAGGAGGCCAAGCCCGTCATCCTGGCCAAGTACAAGCGCCACCTGACTCCTCACTTCTCCGAGGCTACCGTCAAGGAGCTTGTTGAGCTCAGCCAGGACAGCAAGAAGCTTGAGGCCATGACCGTGGATGAGTACGTCGACAAGTACGCTGTCAAGGAGAGCAAGTTTGTTGTTTAAATTGGGGATGCGCAAAAGTAGAAGAAAACTCTGATGTACCTAAACTTATGATGAAGGTCAGATAGACCAAACAAAAGTACCAAAATAATAATGAAGAAAAAAAATGAGTATAAACAAACTTGAATAATCAATATTCTCGCGTGACTCTGTGGCCTGTGCCTTCAATCCAGATGATTCCATAATGCTGTTTAACATGTACTGACTGGTACTGATACTGGAGGTGAGAATCCTGGTGGCGCTGGGTTGCCTCCAGACAGTGGCGAATTCAGGGCCAACCACACCACCTCGCCTATAAATCTCCCCAAATGCAGCGATCTACTGAGCCACGCAAGCGGTAACACGGGCCGATTTACTGGGGCTCCAGTACTGTACCTTTTCGGTACGAGTTGAGCATCTCTGGCTCGATGTTGAACAAGTACATGTAATTGAAATAATGGCTACCTGCGGCTGGGGATTCTGATAGTTTTTCTTCTTTGGCTCTGTTTATCATCTATTCATTTGGACATTTATTCGTTCATTTGATTTTTTTTTCATTCCATGTAATGCCAATATTTACGTCCCCCTTTCTGTCGTCATTCCAGCTACTGTGGCTTCGTTCTTTCGGCCAGTCTCCAGACCCCGAAATGCCAATCCGGCAACCCCTCGAATCCGCTCCGCGTAATTCGCAGCAGCACAGCCACTACCAGCACTCCATTCTGCTGCCATGACAGCCATTGTTCCCACCTATTCTTTAGCACTCATAGGATCGTTCCACCCCCTGCAGTTCTTACATCCTGCATCTACCGCAGTCCTTCCTGGAGTACCGGCGCTCGAAGCAACATTTTCCTTCTTTCGAGCGCTTAGTCCTTTGTTTTTAATTGAGGACTCAGATTCAAAGAGCTCCAGGCTGTTACTTAATCAAAAACAAGCACGCCAGAGCGACTTTGATCTTCAAGCCTTATTCCGCGCATTCCTCCGCCACCAATATCATGGACCGCCAGACCATCATGGAGACCAACCGGTCTCTTCGAACTATTAAGAACGTGAGCACTACCTCTATGATGGGAAACATTCCCCCCTTCTCACTTACTTGAGCTGAATAACACGACTGACGTTGAACAGGAGCTCGAGAGCCTCCTCGAAAAAGGCGTCATCGACGAAGCCGCTTTCGACACCATCCACTCCGCTCTGCCAGCCGAAACTCCTCTTCGCGGAGCTGCTCCCGGAGCCGCTCGTTCTGCGAACCAAACTCCTGCTCAGCCGGCAGCAGCTGTGACGCCTCCTGTTCAGGCTCCTGTTCAGGCCTTTCAGAATCTCCACGTCAACGGAACCTCCCCCGCGCCGCCCTCATATGACGATACTCCCGCTCCCAACGTCCCCACGCGCTCTCCAGCTGGGAAGCCCGTCTTGGCGCATGCAAGAGCCCTATACCGCTATGATGCCAGTGATGCTCGTGACCTGAGCCTGGAAAAGGACGATAAGATCGAGGTATACGAGTACATGAACCAGGACTGGTGGATGGGCCGCAACCACCGCACTGGCATGGAGGGCATCTTCCCCCAGAACTATGTCTTTGTCGAGCAGGAGCAGAAGGCTCCTATGCCCGCTCCCGTGGCCTACCCTCCGCAACCGCAATACGGATACCCGGTCCAGCAGGGACCTCCGGCGCAGCAAAACCCTTACAATGCCAGTGTCCCGCCCATGGCGATAGCTGAGGGCGGCCAGCCGTCGCAGCAGCAAAACGGAGAAGGCAGCAAGGTTGGCGAGTACGGAAAGAAGTTTGGCAAGAAGCTTGGTAACGCGGCCATCTTCGGTGCTGGTGCGTCGATTGGTAGCAACATCGTCAACAGCATCTTCTAAGAGCACTTGCGCGGTCTTCTTCTGCCTGCATTTCTCTGGCTCTGTTTTATTTTTTTGAACTTTCAAGTATGGCGTTTTGGCATGGATTTGAGGCACTACGTGTCGCTTTCGAAATGAGTGGAATTATTCATCTTTAACTACAAGGAGAGAATGTCAACGAGCTGATCCTTTGATCTTCGAAGATATTAATTGACATTGATAAACATGAAAATATGAATTTGAGACCAATGATTTCGCATGAATGATTTTGTGAACGGATTCACTTGCCCATGTAGCAGAATGCATGTAAGATGTAATCGCTCAGGGCCCTTTTGAGACTCGTATGATAATGTTTTAAATCCATCTCGTGTGACGGATTGCAGCGATTGTCGACACTCTCGGTGAGATACAGTGTCGCACTGTATTCAATCAAGGGCCCCGCTAACAAACTTGCCATCGACTGAGAATTTGACACACTGTGCGGTGCGTCCGGCAAAATTCTCACCTTGGTCAAGTTCCACTATCGTCTCAAAAAAAATTGCTGCTCTCAATCACATCAATCTCAATCACAACCAGACAAAATGTCAAATTCAAAGAAACGAGCCGCGGAAGAGGCGGCTCCGGCCAAAAAGGCCAAAAAGAGAAAGTCCAAACACGCCGTCGACGATGAGAGCCTCAACACTGAGCTTGGCCTCAACACGCTCTTCTCCAAGATGGATGGCCAGCTTCTGGCCGACTATCTTGCACAGAAGCTAGCGAGATTCGGGGCTGATCTGAGTCCCGTGGAGCTTTCGGATCTGGCCATATCAGGTATTCCAACATGTCTTGGCTGGTTCATCTTCCATCAATGCTAACATGAGATTGTTGAAGCACCTTCAATCACAGACACCACTTCATGGGAGGAAACCAGGTCGCTGGAAAAGCTACCAGAGTTTCTCGAGAAATTCTCAGAGCATCCAGAGAGCTTGGCGAGGGCGCAAAAGAAGAATGGCATGCCCCATACTATTATTGTTGCTGGTGCAGGTTTGAGAGCTGCAGATCTTACCAGGTACATAACCTCCGGCACCCATCTCTCACTGAATGAATGGACCGCTTACTGACATGTACAATGTAGAGCTGTACGAAAATTCTCAGGCAAGGATAATCTGGTCGCGAAGCTGGTGAGTTGCAGCCATTTGATCATTCTCTACATACTTTTCGTGCTCACATGGTTGTCACAGTTTGCAAAACACATGAAGGTCGAGGAGCAAGTCGCCCTACTGCAGAACAAGAAGATTGGCATTGGTGTCGGCACGCCAGCACGTTTGATGGAGCTCATCGACAATGGTAAGTACCTAGCTGCCTGCCATTTTGATTTCCACAGCAACCACAGTAGAAAGAAACACAATTGGGCATGTTCAAGGCTGACCAGTGGCAGGTTCATTGTCGTTGGACAAGCTGCAGCGCCTGGTCGTTGATGCCTCGCACATTGACCAGAAGAAGAGGGGCGTCATGGACATGAAAGACACCATGATGCCGCTTGCGCGATTCCTTGCGCGGAAGGAGTTCAAGGATCGATATGGCGACGAGAAGAAGCCATTGGCATTGCTGTTCTATTAATGAGGCTGTCGAGCATTGGAACTGGACGACTTTGCTGGTCTCGGCTCCACGCAGCTCACATCTACTTTGCATCACGGACAGCGACGACGACGACGGGTCTTTTCTTCCCCGCTGCTCCCCTTTTTTATTCACAGTTGTAATGGAGTTTTACTTTGGTAGATCTAGACGAATGGACATGCGCGCGTTATTGATGGTACCACTGACGATGTATTCCATGTTGTTTTATTTGTGTGAACCTTGAGGGAGTGTCTGTTCCTTCCTTTCTCTTCTGTATGCCTTCCTCCAAATTCTTCCCAGTTGCGTCATCCAAATACGTCAAGCGAGGCTCTTTCCCTGCAATTCCTCCTCCGGCAGGCGACTGTCCATCGTCTCTCTTTTATTCTCCTCCCCTCTTTTCTCTTCCTTTGTTTTTCCTCCTCTTCACCATCTTCCATTCATTCAACACCAGAGCATCACCAACGCACTCTTTTTTTGGAACGCATCTTCACGCCCTTTTTTGGAACTCTTTTGGTGACTATCGTTAATCGCGACAATCCATTCTTCACACGCACAAACACACTTTCGCTTTGATTCACTCGCTGCCAATATGCGTGCTGATTCCGCCGCGGCTGTCTTGGCTGCTTGCCTCTCTGTTGGCCTCTGCGACGTCAACAACGCGGCACCACGTGAGTGACACCGCAACCTGTGCTTCCTCCTTTTGATCCTGGGATTTTACTGACCAGCTCCTCCAGGATGTGCTGTCAACTGTGCCTCGAACATCAGAAACGACAAGGGAGCACTTGGCCTCGAGGTCATTTGTGGAAACAAGCTCATGACAAACGTCAGTCACCCTCGATCTGGTCGCCTGCACTTGGTCTTCGGTGGTACTAACAACTTGATTATCACAGTCTCTCTTCCAATGTCTCATCGGCTCGTGTCCGCAGGATGAATATGGCCCGGCAGTGGCGCACGTTGTCCTCGCATGCTCCAGGCTGGGCATGAACATTGGACCACTGCATCCCATTGAGGTCCAGCACGCCAATTTGGAGAAGCCTCAATATCTCCCCACCCCATCGATTCCCCCTGCGTATGGCACGCCTGGTGGTGCATCTCAACCTGATTCTGACCATCTGACTTTGTCCTTTGACATCTCCATTGACTTGAAGTGCAATTCCGGATCTGATGGTCTTGTCACTGTCTCTCTCCCTCACCCTTCTCCTTCTACGCCCGTCACTTCTCCTGCACCACAGTCTTCAGTTCCCACTCCCGACGCTGGTGAGGATGAGGGTGAAGGTGAGAGTGAGAACGGCACTGGTGAGAACGACACTGGTGAGAATGGCACTGGTGAGAACGGCACTGGTGAGAACGGCAGCGGTGAGAGCGGCAATGCCACTCCATCTTCCTCGGCCAAACAAACCCAGACAACTGCTCATCATACTGCTACATCTTCATGCCCTCCAGACTCTGCATCCTCAAACGTTCATGGTCCTGATGATGGACAAGCTCCTTCACAGTCAACTGGCCCCGGTGAGCACGGTGGCCCTGCGGCAACATCTACGCCCTCAGCATCTCCAGGTGGAGGCACTCCTTCATCCCCAGCCTCTACGTCTCCATGCTCTACTGTTTCTCAAGACACTGGCGGTCTAGATCCCCATGACCCCAACCAGTCTGGCGATTCAAGCAGCTCCGCTGGTAAACCTTCTCATCAAACCGGTGGTGGTGACGAACCTCAGGCTTCAGCAGCCTCCAGTGCTGTCTTGCCCGCACCTGTTTCCCCAACCTCAACTTCCGTATCAAGGACTTGTTCGGCATCAGATGATACTGAGATGTCAGCCGAACCAACCCCAGGTTCTCAAGTGTCCAAAACCGCGGAACCCGCAACTGCGGCTCAACCATCTTCTCTGCCTTCTCCCTCTGCCCCTCCTGCTGCTACCAGCTTGACAAAATCGGTACCCGCATCTACCATCCATCCTGTGCCACCATCTCCGCCTTCATCAGCCGGACCAGCAGAGCCATCCGGCGCCAATCCCCCAGAATACTCACATGCAGGAGCTAGTGAGTCATCTTCGGGTAAAGGTCCTTCTGGAGAACATTCTTCCACCAAAAGCCCTTCTGGAGAGCAATCTTCTACCAAACGCCCTTCTGGAGAGCAGTCTTCTACCAATGGCCCTTCTAGTGAACCGTCTTCTACCAATGGCCCTTCTGGTGAACAATCTTCTACCAAAGTCTCTGCCCATGAGACGAGCCCACCTGAATCGAGCGCAGAGCCGGTTCCGCAGGAAGGTCACAGCTCTGGAGTGCAGGCTCCAGAATACGGGCCAGGCAGCTTAACATCGCCAGCACACACTAGCCAAACAGATGCTCTGGCTGTAGAAACAGCAGAAGGCAAACCCACTGGCAAGACAGCTGAGCCTTCAGAAACCACTCTTTGGCCAACTGCCAAAAGCAATCGGACCACAAGCACAACACGTCCAGCAGGACATGGTGGACCATCAACCACCACATGCGAATCTGGTGACAAGGAAACAGTCACTCCAGATGCTCAGCAGGATGAATCCATGGGTTCAGTCATGGTCAAAATCATTCGCCCTGGTGAGTTCAGTGCTGAGACAATGCTCATGACTGTCTGGCAACCGGCCGCATCAGCTGCAGCGACGTCTACAGACTCAATCAGCAACGCCCAATTGACCATGGGTGGCAACGAGGTGGCGGAATCAATGGTTGACTCCGGCCACGATGTTGAAACAAGCAACTTTCAGACACAAAGCATATTTGTCTTGCCGAGGCCCTCCGGAGCAAGTTTTTCTGTACCATCCAACGACGCGGCAGCCGAAACATCACTTCCTCACGTCGCACTAGTCAACAGTGTTTCGAAGCCAACACCTCACCTTTGCATCATTGCTCTGCTCATTATCCTTGTCGGCGGGATATTGATGGGCTGATATCATCACGCTGAAGAGGAGTTCGTGGAGAGTGGATAATTACTTGTAGGAGCCACCATCTTATTTTTGTTGTTTATTGCAGGTGTATTGAAACAATGTGGCCATTATCATGTCTGTTAGTTCTTCATTTAGAGTCCCATGCACGGCAGATACGCCGAATTAGTCGTGGCAGAAATACAATGTCGTTTTATTACCCGTCTATCTCCCAATTGCAACACAAGGAAGGACAGCGACTTGTGGCTAAATCTCAAAACATGTAACGGAACGTGATGGCCCTATCTCCCAAAGCTGACAACTCCTCTGGCGTAAAGTTCGCTGCCTCTCCATCAGCCAGCTTTTGGGCACGCTTCTTGTTGATGGTGTTGTAGGTGAAGATCAAGACACAGCTGGCGATGATTCCCAGGCAGATAAAGCCCAGTTCCAAGCCATGTCCCAGGATAAATCGAGGGCTATCAGCCTGACGGTAAAAGTTGGATGCCATAGCCTAGAAAGGTGGTGTGTCAGCAACGAGGACACTGTCCAGGAATGGGACGTAAAGATTGGTGTCAACTTACGCCTCCAAGATTTCCAACTCCAATTTGAATGGCCATTCCAGCGCTGCGCTTGTAACTCCCAGACAAGTTATTACACAACCATGTGATGACACCAGGGAACGCAGGATAAATGGCACACGCTGCAATGAATATGCCGCCATAAACCGCGTGCGGGTTAGTTGAAGCGATACAACTGGACCAAATCATTAGCTTGTTGTGCTGTTCCAAGAGTTGAGGGAGGTCATGTGTCTGTAACATACATGGAGAAGCCCACTATCATCATCAACAAGAAGCCAATGATAAAGGGACTGCGCCTCCCAACTCTGTCAGAGAAATAGGCGCTAACGACAGCTAGGACGGCAGCGGTAACGTAGATGGGCACTGTCATTAATTGCGCGGTACTCGATGTGTACTTGAGAGACTTGATGATGGTGGGAAGAAAGAGGGAGATGCCGTATAGGGGACAAACAATCTAAGTTTCCCAGTGGAAATATCAGCATCACTGGCAACAAGATGGAAGATGGTGACCTTGTAATTGGAGAGCATGGGGGAAGACTTACACTCCAGTAGACGAGAATGTTGACCCAGACTTGCCAGTCGGTAAACGCCTCGCGAACATACTTCCATTCGAATTCCTCAGCTTGTGCCACTTCAGCTTGTTCAACTTGGCCTTGGTATTTCAGACGATGGACAACAAATGCGCGCTCTTCCTCTGTAAGGAACTTGGCAGTTTCCGGGAAGTCGTGAAGGAAAAAGAAGGCCAGGACTGCGACAAGCACAGTTGCGATTCCTTCGAGGATGAAGATCCAGCGCCATCCCGCAAGACCACCAACGCCGTCCATTTTGCCAATGCCAAAGGCCAAGATGCCACTAAATGCTCCGGCGACGGAGGCGGCGGAGAAAAAGAGTGCTTGGCGAAGCTGGATTTCCTCACGACAGTACCACATTGTCAGATAGTACTATTCGTGTTAGTCAAAATACGTCGTTAGAGTTTTACGCGAGGTAAAACTTACCGCTACACCAGGAAATAGGCCAGCTTCTGTCACTCCTAGGAACAAACGAGCCACAAGTAGACCGCGGAAGCTCTGGACAATACCCATGAGTGTCATCACAACACCCCAGCAGACCATGATCAATGGCAACCAGCGGCTAGGACGCAGCTTTTTCAACAGTAGGTTGCTAGGAACCTCGAATGCTGCATAAGTAAAGAAGAAGACGGTGAGACACCAGTTGTATTGGCCCGGCGACATGTTGAGGTCTTCCTGAAGACCCTCGATTTTGGCATTGCCAATATTCCCGCCTTGTCGCAGTCAGCTGGGCGATCTTGTCTATGTGTCTTGCAATGATTGATCAAGTTTATGGGCGATCAACTTACGGTCGAGAAACGAAAGGAGATATAGGGCCGAAAGCATTGGGAGTAGTCGGATATCCATCTATACCAGTATTAGTATTAGGAGGGTCGAGGCAACTGGCGATTCCTGGTTCAATAATAGGAAGTAACGTACCTTGCGCAGAATCTTCTTTTCATCAAGATCGACAAAGGATCCGATCGCAGCATCAGAGCCCGTGCCGAGGTTGCCTGCTGCTACATCTTGAATCTTCTCAACCTCTGCCTTCTCAGAGGTAGCGTTTCCGACCTCCATTGCGCGTCGTACTTCAACGTGTAACACTGAGGGCAACGAATGCTACAGGATCTTGGCAGGAACGTGGTGAACAGATCAGAGGGTTGGAGAAGAGAGAAAGAAAAATGGAAAAGAAGGGTGGTCAATGGCAGGGTTACATCCGAGGGAAGAGGCGTCTTGTCTCAGATGAGGGGGACGACAGATGATAAATGGACAGTGTACTACCTACATGTACTTGAAGAACCCGCCGTCCAAGGGCCCATGCTTTGGGAGTTGACTTGTTCCCTGTTGCTGCCGCCGTTGTTCTCTGCCAAGTCTGCCAGTAATACTATACTCACAAAACTAAGAGCGGCTGGGGAGCCTGTGATTCTGGGGCGACCCACGAGGGTGCATTCGCTCATCATTCTGCTCCACCAGATGGGTTAGCAACAGACTGGGCACGCGGACAAACCCTGGCAGTTGGCCTCGGGATTTACATGGACTCACAGCATCCGAAGATCACTGGCGTCAAGCTTGTTGTCTCTTCGGTGGAGCGGCACTCTTCTATGGCGCCATGTGAAGCGGGAAACTGATCAATCGGGAATGGTAAGGCCAGTAGACGCTGTCGATCAAGTCCCGAAGTCTGGGGCTGAAGCTACTGGAGAGTGTCTGACTGCACAAGTCCTGCCCTTGAATCAGTACTCCACAGACAAGACAAAAAAGGATGGTTGCTGACTGACTCGCATATACGGCACCCAATGGAGGGATATCGAATTGATGCGTAAAAACCCGACGGGATCACAAAAGGCCTATGACAAGATTACATGTATGCAGATTGGGTTGGGGATTGAAGCAACCTTGCGATCATCTCCACACGAAAGATTCGGAACCAGGGCTTCTACAGGGCACTCAGAGGTTCTAGGCTGCCCTAAACACCGCCTAATTCGCTAACTCAGGGCCGTCGATTGGCTTTCGCCACCCCTGTAACTTGCGGGGTAGCGGCCTAAGAAAAATCCGTGGGGTAAGAACGCCCCGTCATGCCTCGCTAGATTGCTGCTGACCATGGCAAGTCGACTCCGACTCCTGCCCCCAAGGAAAGGAGACCGCCGTTTCCCCGCACGGGCGAGTGGCAGGAACAAGAGGAAAAATTGCTGATTTTGGTGGCATGACGCTGAAAGCTCGGCGTTCGGCCAATGAGTGGCGGCGGCTTATCTCTGACGGAGGCGCGGATTCTCTCCGAGACGCTCTTGCCCAGACATGAATTGAGCACATGGAAGCAAGTGCGAGAACTATGAGGTAATACCAAATGCAAAGCAAATAGTACCTATTACTTGGCAGTACGGAGTAGTTGAGACACCCTTTGTACAGCAGAATGAGACGCCAATGGAGTCGAAATGGACTATCAAGAGTCTTTGGAGGAAATATGACTTGGACGAGCCTTTGCGGTGGCATCCAAGCAATTTGCAGGCATGCCGTAGACTGGTAGATGTTGACATAACGAAATAAATCCGGTGCAGGTGAATCGTTGTCGTCTTTCTGAGATGGAAATACCTCGGTATCAAGGTCAACACTGAATACCTGGTACCTCAACATTCAACATTGTTCTGTTCTTGCCTCTGGAAAAAATAAGGAAGCGGGTGGCGTTGACGCGGTGTCACAAGAAGCGAGCTAGCGACCAATGAATACGTAGCGCATTCATTTTCCACAGCAGGGGCCGAGGAGCGTCCGCCTTTTTACTGTAAAGCTTCTTTCCACACACTAATCTTGGTTGTGGGACTGTGGCTACTATACTCGTACTAGGCATGTACCTATCTTGCAGTGTGTGCTTCCTACGGGTCATCATCAGCAGTATGTCCCGTTTCGGAGCATGCCGGAGAGTTTCGCTCATTTTGGATGAAAATGAAGCTTCATGTATGAATTTTTGGTTGATGGCATGCTGCGGTTTTCATCCAATGCCTTTATATCATCGACGTCTCGTCGAGGTTTGCTGTGTGAAAGGGTGAAAGTGTTTCCGTCACAGACCGTTCCAGGAGAATGAAAGACGCATTCAGCAGCCATGATTTCAGCCATTATCCTCACACCATGAACCCCATAGTACGGCCTATCATATAACCGGCCAAACAATCCCTCAAGTTGTACTCCGTAGATAACCATAGTATTAATAGCCTGTGAGGCAGAAGTTAAAGCTCCAGCGATTCATGGTTTGAACAGGCCCCGCTAGAAGCTCCGAACGATGTCCACGGCCAAAGGGGCCGTATCATGTCCATCTTTCCCCAAACCTTCTGTGAGAGAGTATTAATTGCTAACTTAAACTACTTACGCACAGTGCACTCAAATAATTGGCTTGTATTTATCCGACAAATGCTACTCACATTGACGGGCGATCACAGAACTCGCGCTTCCTGAGATGCTAGAAGCCTGCAAGAAACTCAAGGAGGTACGATGTAGGAGAGCATGCTTCTCACACCTGTCACCTGTCATCTTGTATTCTGACCAAGAGTAACAGATTCCTTCTATCCACACCAGCTTTCTCTTGGATTCGGACCATTGGTGTCGACAACGCAGAGACGATGGTCGCACCGCCGTGCCTGTCGATGACAGGACACTCCACATACATGACGGATTGAACAATTTCCGGCGGGAACTCGGGCGCTGATGGAGAAATGAAGAGCGAGACGGCAGACTGGGCATTCAAAATTTTACTGTATGGAGCTGACAGCCAGCGGCAGCCCTTGCCGGTCAGTGAGTATAACAGCATCTTGTGAGAATATGACGCGACCGTCCAATGCTAACATTTCAACAGACAAGGTTTTTTTCGAGCATATTGTGCAGACTGCTTGAGAAAGTATGCAGAGCTTGAGGCTTTCGGTATACCGATGTCTTGTCGAGAGCGCTCACGCCCGCTTCTCAGTGCTTCACGCGTCTAGCATATGGTGGCTGACGTTAGCTCGGTGTCAAAACACTTCAGCTGAAGCACCTAAACTGATACCATGTGATTTCGTGAAATATGTCCATCTTCAAAGGGGTACGCCACAGAGATTACTTTATTTGATTAAGGTTAGTAGGGCGGCTGACTGCTTTTGAAACTCAAAGCGCGCGGCATCCCGCCTTCTCCTCGTCCTCGCCTTCTCTCATTTGACTAGCTCGAGGTGTCCCTCAGCTGAAGAGATCACATTCCTCAGCTGGATGAACCTTACACCAGCTGAATGAAACTTGCGCTATCATATTATAAGATATGCTTTACATGTGATTAACCACTAATCTACCGCAATAGCATGTCAGATTTATATCACAGGATTGCCACCAACCTGTCACTGCATGCTTGATACAGCCGCTTCCATCATAAAGAGGTTGTTCTTAAACCAGCCTCAAGAGTTTCCTCCAGCCTACTTTCTTGGCCGTCATTACTCTTGGTAATCTATTTGGCACATCTTCCTCATGGCCCCAAGGCTGGATGACCCGGACGGGCTTGTCAATCTGCACAACCTCGCTCAAGAGGTAAAGAAGATTGCAACCGGTGACAAGTCGGTTCCGATTGTCTTTGGTATGTTTCACAAGTATTCTCCAACGCAAATAGTAACGCAGCGAAGTGCCTGGCTTTACAGGCTGGGGCGCCCCGTTGTTCGGTGCCATTAACTACTTTGGCGGCGAGATCGACATCGCGACCCTTTTGGCCAATGAAGGATACACAGTCATTGTTGCTTCGATTGCTCCAATTTCCAGCAACTATGAACGTGCTTGTGAGCTGTACAGGCAGCTTACTTTTGGGCAGTACGTTTCTCACTACACAGGTGTTTCAGCATTTTTGGCTCATTATGTTCAGATTCAGCACCATCGACTTGACGACGAATTCCCTTGATGAGCAATACGACGTAGATGTTGATTACGGTAATTATTTTGCTCCGAATAGCGGCCCGGAGCAAACCCACACCACCGGCAGAAGACGGGCAATCCTGTATTCAAACTCGCCGGGCTATAGCAATTGGAAATGGGACAGGAACAATAAAGTTCACTTTGTCTGCCATTCTCAGGGGGGAAACACTGTGCGCTGTCTCATTTCCATGATGGCTAATGGCGACGGGACTTTGAATCCCACATACTTTAACGAGGCTGGGAGAGATGACTGGGCCATCTCAGTCACGACACTCGGGACCCCTCACAGAGGAACGACCATCATAGACGTTATTGAGAGTTTTATTAACGTATGTACTCAAATGGATAAGAAGGCGTCAAGACTAATGAATGCAGCGCCAAATGGGAGATGCAGTCGGACTGGTCGCAAGGCTTTTCGCTACAGCCTCCTTCTATCCTCCAGATAAGAGATCCTTTGATCTTCAGCTTGATCACTGGGGCATCTGCAGAAATACGGGAGAAACGTTCCAGAAAATGCTCGAACGTCTGGAGTCACCCAACGGCCCCGTGTGGAGATGGCTCAATTCCAAGAAGAATGGCTTTTACGACAACAGTATCGAGGGCGTTCATACTCTCTCCCAAAGTACAATCAAAACTTCAACAAAGGTCTTCTATTTCAGCCTATCGTTTCATGCAACAGAGCCTTTCCCCACGAGTTGGCCAGCGTGGGGCAAGGACGCATTTAGAAGCTTCCCCTTTAGTTTGAAGCTCTTCGTGCAGAGTGTGGTGGGAGGCATCCCAATCCTCGGGCAGCTAACGGACCATATAATCAACGCATTCTCAAACGTTGGATGGCCAATTCTCACAACTCTAGCTAAATTTTCCGATCTCGTCAAATGGGTCACTCAGGCATTAATCACTCGGATTCTCCAAGAATCTGGATACAACCTAGTGCTTCCCAGCCCCGGACAGTACATCCCGCGAAAGGACGTCATACCAATCATGATGTCGACGGTCTACGCAATGGGTGGCCAGCAGCTTACAGACGCGCAAAAGGTTATCTTGGGACCCGACCTGGAAGATTGGTTCCAGAATGATGGGGTCGTCAACACTCCATCCATGCCCGGTCCACGCGGCTGCGTCCAAAGCGTCGGCTCCCTCACGGATTTCGACTTTAGTGTCCCTGGAAGGCGGGGGATCTACTGGCATTTGGGTGTCAACGATAGAATGGATCACGCCGATGAGATTGGAGTTTTTATTGAGCGAGATACGGTGAGGCTCCGGATGGATCTCCTGCTACTAATGATCTTGACTGAATGTACGATAGGCGGATCTCATGCAAGGCATGTACCTTGATATTGCGGATTTGATCTCACGGCTGCCCAAACACGTGGACGCGCAAAGGTAGGGATAAACCTTGCTAACCCATGTATCTGAGTATTAATGTTCTTACTAGAGCGTTGCTATAACATCATTTGGTGGACCGAAATTGATTCTGTGGCAGAATGAATGTCCAGGCATGGCCAAGCAGAACAGATTGAATGACGGTTCTGATCAACTTTTTGCAGCAAAAAGTATGGGGAATCCGGTTACTCACAAGGTTTATGGAGGATTAATGCGTTGGATACGCTCTTTAAGCTATTCTAGGATTGTTTCATGGGATGATGCTGCGTGTATTTCCCAAATTGTAGTTACCTTTATTCGTGATGTCTCTCTGGTGCACGACTGAGATGCATCACCCACCTACTGTCGAAACAGAACATGATGTGCTTCCATCTTGCCAATTTGACGTCATTTGGTGCCATGCTAGGTAGGATAACTGTATTGGCTCTCTTAAACAGCCGTACATATTCTATACCGTCATCACCACAGTAAATATGGCCTTTCTTAGAATCCCATGAGCCTCTAATTATATGTGTTGAAGCCCATGGCTTTAGTTCTTGCGGCACACGGCACGCCACAGCGGAAGCGACATGGTTGAGACCGCTCCAGGCTACCTTTAGCGGCCCGCCTCTGCTATTTCCCAGGTACTGTGCCCGCCATAATCACTTGCCCCACCTAAAAAATGCGACCAAAAAAAAAAGAAAGGCTATCTCGCCGCGATAAGAGCGATTGGAGTTTTTTTCCTCTCTTATCGTCGCAAGCTTTCAACAGTCGCGCCGGCTCTTTTCTACATCCACCGCGACTCTATACGTCAATTCTTTCTTCTTTGATTTTCCTAGGCATCCTCTACTCAAGAATCATCCACCATGAAGTCCAAGCGCGCCGCTGCCGCCTCGGAGGACGTCAAGCCCGTCGACGTGCCTCAAGACTCGCCCGCAAAGAAGCGCAAGCGCGGCGAAGACGATGCCGAACCAGACAATGAAGTGAGAAAGTCCAAGAAGGACAAGAAGGACAAGGAAGACAAGAAGGATAAGAAGAAGGAAAAGAAAGACAAGAAGGAAAAGGGAGACAAGAAGGACAAGAAGGACAAGTCCAAATACAGCAGCAAGACCCGGAAAGAGAAGAAAGAAGAGCGCAAGGACATCCAGGACCTTCCCGAAGGCATGGATATCGACGATGACGAGGGAAAGCCCGTGACCAAGACTGAGTCCAAGGCCGAGTCCAAGACGAACGGAAAGGCAGAGGCCAAGAAGGAGGAGACAAAGGACAAGAAGGAAAAGAAGGAAAAGAAAGACAAGAAAGAAAAGTCCAGCAAGAAGGAGTCCAAGAAGGAAAAGTCCTCGTCCAAGGACATGCCCCAGGGCGAGGATGCCATCGACCTCGACTCGTCCTCAGCGCAAAAGCCGGGCCGCAACATTGTCTTTGTCGGCAACCTGCCCTACTCCGCCACAGCAGCGTCCATCACGGCGCATTTCGCCACCCTGAAGCCCATTGCCGTGCGATGCCTGACGAAGAAAGAGGACCCCAAGGCCTGCAGGGGCATTGCGTTTGTCGAGTTCGCAACGTCGACGCACCAGAGGACGTGTCTGGACAAGTTCCACCACTCCATGTTTGAGGACGGCATCTCCCCTGCGAGGAAAATCAACGTCGAACTCACGTGAGTCTAACATGCTGCAAAAATCACATCACAGGTTCGAAGAGATTCAATGCTAACAATGCTTCCTTTGTAGTGCTGGAGGAGGCGGAAAGAGCCAGGGCCGCCAGGACAAGATCATGGAGAAGAACAAGAAACTCGACGAGAACCGAGCCAAGCGCATCGAAAAGGAGAAGACGGCCAAGGAGGAGAACCAAACCAATGGCAAGTCCAACGCCTCGTCCAAGATGGATATCCACCCAAGCCGTCTTGCCCGCCTCCCTGGTCTTGGACACCTGTTTAAGTAATCTGCCATGTTGATGATGTCGCTTGGATTCTTCACATATGCTTTCTCCTGCGCTTGTTAACCGCCTTTGGTCTGGCCCGGCCTTGTTCGTTTGTTTATTTTTCTTTGATTATTTCAATTTAATCCCCCGGCTGCCGCCTTGTCTTTGTTACCTCACGGAAAAGTGACGATAATGTATCAAGCATCAAAAACGAAACGGCGGCGCAGTCCGCCTCATTAGTATAGCATGGTTATATGAGGCAAGGAGAAAAGGAGCAAAAATAGCTGGAAGAGAGATACCCCCAATAGAATTGGACGGAACTTGGTCTTTCATATGCATTCTGCCAGCTGCTGAGCCAACACATCAATGACTGCCCTCTAAATGCCGGTACAATGCATACCAAGCACCATCTTCAATGCATCTGCCATCTATAGATACCAAAGCAACCCAAAAATACCATTGAAAATCAGTCAAGGAATGAAAAAGAAAAGGGACCAAAAAAAAAAATTTGTTTCAAAAAATGTTCTTTCAAGCAATGTAGAAAACGACGGGCGCAATGCAAAACAAAAATCGTTAATTTGCCAGACGCCATGGAGCGGTAATATTTTCATCATCTTCCACCTTCTAGGACCATCGAGATGGCGTCAGAATCTTGCCGTCCTGTCAACAAATGTCATTTTCTGGCTTGCTGCAACCCTATCAACAGTACCAGGAAAATGGGGGGAATCTCAAGACACAGGACAGCCATATTCATTAAAAAAGAAATCTCCTTTTCAGAGCCCCGACCCTCTTTCAGCTTCATCTTGTCCTCCGCTCTCCATTAATAGCTAAGTCGGTCTAGTTCATCGAAATACGTCCCGGTGAGGAGCTTCTGTAATGTACACCGTTCTAAGGTGACCCAAAAAAAAAAATAATCGTGCGGCGGCGGCGGTGGCGGCGGCGGCGGCTCGAGATTGTAAAATCGTTCGTAAAAGAAATTCTAGCAGAGGCCTTCGCTGCCCAAGATGCTACAGATGGGAAAACGAAATTGGCATCGCTGAAAATCTTTACAGGATGGAACACTTGGATTTCTTGGTCTTGGACGCTTGCGGGGTGGGATTCAGAACCGCACTGGATAGGGAAGAAATGTTAGCAGTGGGTAAGGACATGGGCATGGAAGAGCAGCGCTTAGAGGCATATCCTGGGCCATCAATGTTTACATACCGGATAGCCTCGTCAAAGACGCTCTTGAGGTTTCGCTGCGTAAGGGCAGAACACTCAATGTACTTGTAAATGATCTTGTTCGTCTTGTTGACCTCCTTGACGTAGTTGAGCACGTTCTCGTACTTGACAGGCTCCATGTGTTGCTTGGTCAGAGTAGCCCTGGTAGCAGGGTCATCTCGAAGATCGATCTTGGTGCCGACCAGGATGATGGGGGTTCCAGAGGAGTGGTGGGTGATTTCAGGGAGCCACTGGTCATTGTCAGATATTTGGTTCTTCTCGTCGGACAGAAATAGGAGATGGAGTCTATCGTACCTTGGCAGCAACGTTGTCGTATGAAGGCGGGCTCACAACGGAGAAACAGATGAGAAATACATCAGTCTGAGGATAGGACAAGGGCCGGAGTCTATCATAATCTTCCTGGCCTGCAGTGTCCCAAAGACCCAGACTGATTGGCTTGCCATCAACAATGACGCTAGCAGAGTAGTTGTCAAACCTGCCATGAGAATTTCAAAGTCAGCCAACATGTCGCAAGCCCAAATTTCTTGACATATCGAAAGGCGGCACTAACACGGTCGGGATGTACTCTCCGGGGAACGCATTGGTCGTGTACGAGATGAGCAGACACGTCTATAAATCGTAGGTCAGTTGATGGAAACCAGCTTGGAGGACAGGACATGGAAACCAAGATGTGACATACCTTGCCGACGGCACCGTCACCGGTCACGACACACTAAAGGAGACAGGAGGCGTCAGTAAAAAAAAAATCAAAGCCGGAGAGGAGTAGATGGATGCGATTACCTTCAACGATTGAACTCCAGCTTGCGCCATTTCGTCCCAAGATACGGCTGTGGCTTAACGGTGGTTCTATTTTTCTGATTGTTCAGTTCACGGCGGTATGATATGATGTTGATGCGTTGGAGGGGTTGGTAAGAATCGAAATAACGAGTCGGTGGAGGCTGGATTGGGCGAGGGGCTGGGCTTTGCGCGGTGTATTGGATAGGATGGGTTAGGGATGGAACTGGCGAGAGGGGACGGGAGGACAAAGAATTAGATGATGAGAAGAAGGTGGAGGATTGGCTGGCTAGAGATGGGATGCGGGAATCGGAGATGGGATGATGGCGGCGTCTCGGTCTGGAGAGGGTTTCAAGGCTGCATCAACGTCAGAAGCAGGTTGACACAGTGGAACGGGGTTCAGCCGCAGGAGGTGAAGCTGCAAGAGACCGGGCAAGTCGAGGGCGATATCAGCAGCTTAGCAGCAACAGGAGCAGTAGCAGAATCAAAAAGTACCCACTGCTAACTTGATTCCGGCCTAGTTCGGCTTGAGAGCTGCTAGGAGATGGTGCTAGGAGAATGGGAAAAAAGCACCTGCGACTGGTGCTACACGCACTCGCACCCTGTTGATTCTTGTATCTGCTAGCGCCACTGGAGCTGGTGGAGACAGAATCGAGGGGGAGGCACCGAGCGATAGGCTCCGGACCTACGAACGCGTTTCGTCGTCTGCAAGGGAATTCGAGGGGGGGAGGACAAATCAGATGTCCGCACCAACAAGAACTGCAAGGGAGCTCGCGAGGCGCTGTGAAACTTGAGGAGAGGCGGATGGCGGGACAGGGCAGGACGAATCAGGAAAAAGGAACAAGAGAAGTAGAAGAGAAACAACGCCTCCTTTTGCGTGAGCGGGTGTGTGGCGTGTCTCTGTTGCGCGTGTGTGTGATGGGGTTGTGAAAGGAGAAGTAGGGAGCACGGCACTTTGATTTGTTACAGACGAGATGGCTTACCGTCTAGTGCAGGAGGTGTGAATCTGGATGATTTTAATTGACTGGACAAGAGCAAACTCGAGGCTGAAAGACTCAGATGCCTATCAGATGGAATGTCTGCTTACCTTGGTCCAAGTTGGCGACAAAAGATCAAGATTGATTGCGTGTGGCTGTTGGTTGGTGGGGGGAGAGAGGCGAGGAAGAGGAGAGAAACAGCCCGCCGCCCAAAAGGCCCCCCCGGCACGGTACGTACCCTGTCGAGTCAAGGTCAAGGTCAAGCAAGTCGCCTGACCCGAGATGCATTTGCAAGGCAAGGGCCCGCAAGTCGAGATTGCCAAGGCGGCCGGCTATGATATGACGGGAATCCAGCTCTATTTGTGCATGTCATTGCAGCGGAAAAGCTCTAGAAGGAGTGCAGTGCATGCAGCATACCGACTATGGGTTTAATTGATACTACTGAAGGCTGTGGATGGAGTGATTCCCGTTCGTGGGCTGGGAACAGAGGCCGTCTTGAACTAGGCGCAGTGGACTAGCCAGACTCATCCAAGCTCTGGATTAGTAGCTTGTAGGCTCTTGGTCTCGCATAAAATCCAATGGACAATACGAAGTGCGTGCGTGCTGCAGCTGCTGACGCGTGGGCGATGCTGAGTAGCGGGCACAAAGCCATGGGACGGAGAACTCCGTTGCGTCTCCTGTGCTCGATATCGACGGCAGCCCTGCCCCTATCACCAAGCGACGCACTGGAAATGAGCTTACGGTGGTGAAGAGAATCGCCAACAAATTACATAGAAGAGGCACTCTATGGAGTCGGAGATGAACGACGGCTGGGATGTTGTAGGTGGTTTTGTTTTGCAGGTAAATATCTACATGTACTTGGTGAGCTGCGGACAAAGACAAGCACCAAAATACATTGCATTCCTCTGCGCTTATTCGCCACATTAACCAACAGATAGGAGGCCAACGATGGCACAGAATCAATCAAGACGGGTGTTGCAGTCGAAAACTCTTTGATTCTCACGCGGCGTTCGGTGCTCTGGCTAGGTGACTTCTGTAACAACTCTGTTCCAGGTTGCTATTTTGAAACACACGCCGCATCCAACCCAGATCTGACGTAGCCTTGTCACGCCAAGAAGGGGTGTTGGTTTTAGCTGCCACAAGTCTTTGTGCTTCCATTACTCGTATCACATGTTTTTCTCTCCACGAGGTGTAACAGGTGAAGCTATATCGTGCGATTGATTAAAGTCGACAAGGGGATTGCGGTTTGGAGGGGCAATGCATTGACGATGCTCTGAAGCTTCCGTGCTGCAATTCAATGCACAAGACACTTGCACTGGATCTATCCACATCTCCTGGCCCGGCTTCCCCAGATCTTCCTTGCCTAATCCGTGTCTAAGGAATCTCCCCTCCATCGCCATGGTCCAGGTTAGATCCGATGGTGGCTTATTCTTCAGACCAAAACGAACGGAGTTGCGTTGCTAAGCACCGGATAGCGCAGCCACGTCGAGGAGCTAGCACACGTTGCAGGGCTTGTCATGCGGCTCTAGAATATCTGCATTTCTAGGTTGGATTCTCCTGTAACTAAAGGGGATCTTGGAGGCTGCGAAGGGGCGGTCCAGGGCTCAGTTTCGTGATCTCTGCGGCTGGTCCTTGAAGTCTCGGAGGATGCAAAGGCAGCTCTTCCCCCGAACTTTATGTTGCCAAAAGGAAACGACAGAACAATAGATGCGATACCACATGGCTATATGAAGTCTGAAACACATTAACTATTAGCTTGAACGATGTGGCGCCAGACTGCTTGTCGTATCAAAGCGATCTCAGTTGCAACTCTACCTCTTTTTTAATAGCTGCCCCGAATCAATGCCGACATCAATGGTATTGTCCTATTCAACAAGATGATTGTAGTAGGGACAATCTATGGAAGAAGGCTGAGGATGTGACGGATATGGAGAAGATGAAGACGAAGGTACCTGCAGGACTGACGATGGCAAGGCTGAAGAATGTTAGGCAAGGCTGTATTGCCAACTGAAATACTGGGAAGGCGTTGCTTAGGCACATGTACATTCAACAAATGCTTCAGTAGCTGAAAATCCATGTACATGTACCTGTTGCTGGATCTTCACCGCCAACGGCAAAAAAAACGAAAACTCTACCTGGGAGAACATCGACACAGATTTAGTCAAACGATTCACGCACAAGAACAAGAACAAGAATAGGCTGATGGCTGACCATTCATCATTCTACCTCAATTTCTCCTTTTGAACGCAATCAAACTGAGGCATGCCGGGACTATCGACCTTTCTTCTGCGAGCCGATGCAGCTGCTGTTCGGCCTCCGATGGCGATTCCATCAGCCAAGCATCTTCCTATCAACAGTCTGTATGTATTCCGCATAGTCCAATCCATGCATCCGTCGGGGTATGGCGAGTGTCCGACTCGTCTCTGCGATTTCCATTGCAATAGATTCCTAATCCATATCACGCGACGAGTGTCGAGCATGTCCTCTCCATCATGGGGAACAACCTCGGCCAAAAGATCCGTGTCAATCGAGAGAAAACGAAGATAGCCGTACTCAATTCTTCATTGAGAAAGCCCATTCTTGCACAACGTCGTCCTGTTCAATCATGGGAATAGCGTTCGAATAAGCCTTTGCTCAGCTGTCCAAGAGCGTGTGCTATCTTGGGCAGCGTTTCTTCGATGGATTCGAACTCGATGAAGGAAGTTGCGAAACATATTTCTGGTGCTGCGTTGCACAAGTATTCCAAAATTCGAAAGTTGGTTGCGTTACTCCCGGGTTTTACCAGCCAAAGAGTACGTACGGCGCCAGCATTCAAGTGACAAGGGCTTTCAGCTTCAGGAATTCAAAAGCAATGATTACGCCAACGTTATCCAACGTACTTGATATCGTTTGAGAGTCGGTGCATCTAATGGGGCAATTTATTGTCTCTTCTAAGCTTGAGACTCGTATCCAAGACCGAGATTGACATTGCAATTTGATGCAAATTCCATCACATCTTGCAACGAAATCTGGGTTTCTCTTTCGGCTTTGAAAGAAGCTTTTCCGCCAAAGGCCGCCAATCATTCAATTACAGCACGAAGATTATCAGATTACTGGTACTCTCCAATTTCTATTCGTCAATCATCTCAAAGTATGGACTTTATCGAGAAGTTTGGCTTTTCCATGCTACCTCATAATCAGCAATAATATCCCATGGAAACCTGACATTCTATTTCACTCAACATTGACCTTTCAAGCCAAGATTCTACCAACTGAGTCCAATTTCTCTACACGAGGAATAGCCACATTCCGCGGCATGGCCCAGTTGCCGGCCTGATGCCAACAACGTTCTTCTGGCGTCCCAGCAGCATGATGGCACTGGTCACGTCTGTGTTGAGAGGTGCTTAAATTAGACTCGCCGATGCTGCTACGCTATTGTCAGAGGAAGAAGAACCTTTCGGATTCCGGCTGAGGAAAGGATCCGATGACTTGCCTCAATGAGCAGGCACTTGACATGATGAAAGCGCAGATTGCTTCTCGACTCAATATGCTTTGTTGGCTAGCCTTCTATGCCCCTGTTGACTTCTGACAGACATTTCAGCTATACGTATCATCAAGGTTACGGAGTCAACCCGAATTCAATTATCACTCAGGGGAGCCGGGACCATAGCGAATCAATTACGCCAACGGATACGAACTGGGAATAAGGCCTTATGGCAAGCAACAAGTCTTTCATGCGGTGGAACACTTCAGATACAACTACAGTATAGGGTCAATTCATGCTACCGCAAATGGTGACACATGGGCAAGCGCCACGGGAATCGATGAATGCTGTCATTCCATCCAAAGTTCACGAGAGGACATTCAGGATCGGGCATGTCAAACCCCTTGTTGTACGTTCTATCAACAAAGGTATTTACGAATCTCCAGCATCGTTCCAGCTTTATCGCTTTGGTAATACTGGCCTAGCAATCAACTGTAGCAGACTCTTACATGCATTGACTGACTCTCGGGCTACTATTATCAACACCAGCAGGACATCCGTTTCGCTTTTCTTCGCAATAGCTGCAAATTGTCTTCTACCCTATACTCCTCGGATTGGGCAATATCCTCATGGGGGCAACGTCAGCGCCCTAGCAGGACTGCCGTTTGGGGCAGCCTCCCAAAGAAAGCGTTAGCCGCTATGAACTATCCCAACGCATCTGAATATGCCCCCGGGATAGAACAGTCCTGGGTCGCTGTTACAGCCGCCTCAGCCGCGAAGGGGGAGGATTGGAGGGGCAGGACACCCTTTCCAAAGCCTCCGCTGGATCCAAACACAGATTAGGTCTCGGCATATCTAGACGATCTCGGGAGACGATACCCCGATCTGAGGTAACCAGCTAGACACGATCACTCAAAAAGTGAAATTTATCAGCTGAGACATACATTCGTATACCACGTCAGTTGCAGAGTCACAGGACGTACAAGGATCCAAGCATGCCAAGAACCAAGAGTCAATCTGAGCGCTGTCATAACAGAAGAATAACGGAAGGGCACTCGAGTTACCCTCTGAGCATACATCATGATGACGTTGATGATGTCTTATGTGTCTGGATTCGAGATTCTCGAGGAGGGGTAAAGCTTTCTCAGAGCTCGTGAACGACTAGGCATCATGGAGTGTAACTCGGAAAAAAGTAACAAGTCACTGCAGCAACGGCTCCAGTCACCGTATCTCCGCAACAGGAGCTATAGCACCTTGTCTTGGGCCAAATACTCGCGAGATGTATCAATCGAGAAAAAGGCCCGCCAAGGCGCTTGCCTCCTCACTTTTCTGCCGCTTCCAGCTGCCAAATGACTACGTGTCGGTGTGACTGGAGACTCTGGAGAGACAAGGGGTGCCCGATATCTTTCGGACGTTGCATTGCCCTTCGAATTTGCTCTGATTACGACTTCAATTTCTGCCTTGAGCGGCTGGGCTTCTCAATGAGACATGTACAGTGAAAAAAAAATGGCTAGGTGACGCTTCATTTGGCTGCCTAGGGGAGTGTCGCACAAGTTGGCCATATGCTGATGGGGCATCACGATGAGATACGGCTCTGGATCTTTCAGATCTACCGGATAACAGAGATGCCGGTCTGGGCTAATCTTGTCTGAGCTGATAGCATGTGTTCTGACAATGCTCTAGCTACGGGCCGATTGAATGTAGGCTTAAGTTTGCGGATTCAGATTGCGCATCCAAGACAAGGAGGTCACAAGATACCCTCGGGCCAGATACACGACGCCCGAAAATTTTCGGATTCCTAAAAAAGCAACATCGAATACACGAGTTGATGTCTCTGACATCTCGACTGTATGGGGAGGGAGGGATACATTGGCAGTTGACAAGTCAAAATACGGTCTTGATGTCTCGATGTGTTGGACACACGCCGCCCGAAAACTTTCGGACACCTCAAAAAGCAATTCAGGAGCCGGGATGTCTGGGCTTGGTCGTGATGTCTTGGTCGATTAGATACACGCCGCCCGAAAATTTTCGGGCATCTTACAATAAAGAAATTGGTACAGGAGGGGATGCTTGGCAGATGACATGTCAAAAACGAGTTTTGACATCTTGATGGGCTGGATACACGCCGCCCGAAGAATTTCGGACATCTCAGAAGAAGCAACTCAGACGCTGATGCCTCTAGCTGCAGGGATGCCTAGACTCAGTCATGATATCTTGGTGTTTTACATATACATCGTCCGAAAATTTTCGGACATCTCAGAAATAGCAGGCTCGGGCTGATCATGCGATTACTCTCGACCGAGACATGCGCCTGAAATTTTTCAGATGTCTAAGAAAAGCAAATCTGGTTGATAAGGTCCAAAACATGCACCCGAAAATCTTCGGACATTTCAGAAAAAGGTGGTTGATGATGTGATTCTCAACTCATGCGCTTCATCGGCCGACAGTCTGATTCAACACTGAGGCATTTTTGGAACAGGCGAGACATGCCCAAGATCCATGGAGTCTATCATTTTGATAAGATCACTTGATCAGAAATCTTTGACGAGTTAACTGAGACCCGCGTCAAGGAAATCAGGCTCACCTGAGAAAAAGCATTTCCGTGGACTTGAAGAGAGAGCTAACCAATGTGACAGCTTCAGCTATGCCCAAACGAATGAGACATGCAGCCCCCGAAATATTTCGGCCCCCCCAAAAGGAACAATCACAGTCATCGAGGGAGAGCTTCGCCTCCGGGCTTACATGTTACCTTGGCCGGTCTCGAGCTGCATCTCAGTCTCAGCCGCAGACACTAAGATCGCGGGGCCTTTGATACCCGAGATGGTTGCATCCTGCGCTCCGAGAACCAGGTTCTCACCCATCGCCATCGTCAGACGTGGTGTGGTGTGTCTGCCTGCCAGCCAGCCTCGTATTTTGAGCCTTAGATGGGCTAACAACGCCATGTTTCACCCACCCTGGCCTTGAGCGAGCAGTGGCGGCCGTGCTCTAGATGTGGACGAGTGTTTTCTCGTAGAGCGGACACGCCCTCAGGCCATTATGGGGCTCCAAGAGTGGTTGACCGGCATGAAGCCCGATGGGAGAAGACTGTCATGGATTTCACGATCGGAGTGGTATTATTCGCCCAAGTCCGTGCGATAATACAGAAGGCCCAGGCCCAACAAGAAGAGTCTCTGTACTCGTAGTTGGTGGAGATATGGAGGGTGAAACTGCCTAGACTAATCCTGCGGAAGATGATTCGTAGATTGCAGTCCCTTGAAGTGATGCTGCTGTGCTACCCTCCTGGTGAGTTGGTAGGTCGGTCCATGTCATACGGTACATAACCTGTATTTGATTGCCCTGTCTAGGTACCTAGATCCTGCCTTCCAAAGAACAGAGAGCGTAGAATCATCATACATCACTTCAACCTCACTTTGTACTAGTTCACTACAAGATGGTCAAGCAAAGTTGAATTTGAGTTGCCGTCAACTTGCTCTAATTCACAATAGCGGATAGACTAGAAATCGGCCATTGAAAATAGTGAAGATAGAATGAAAACTAAGGCCCTTGTTCCCGCCCCCCTTTCCGCAGCCGCTGCTTATCTAATTCATGTGCTCTAGACCCCCTGCAGCCTAGCGTCCTGTTGTGTTCAGGGGAGAGCGGCCTATGGCTCTTTTCCTTGCCATTAAACTCCCCGCCATAATCACGAGCTCACACTGTTTACTCCAACGCCTGCTGTGCTACCACAATGTCCAACCTCTTCTCTGGAATGTAAGCTGTGCTTTTTTTTTTTTTGCCCTTTTCCCCCGGCTCCCTTTCCCGTTTAGTCCCTTGTGCTTCCATTTTGGGGGTTTGATATTACGTGTCGTGCTCCTTCAGCCGCAAGTTTGCTAACTCAATGTCTCGTCTCCGGCACCAGAAAAGCCCAGATTCGGGGAACGTCTGCCAAGGCAGGGACTCCTGTCAAGAGTCCAACCACACCGACCGCGTCTGAAGCTGGAGCTCCGGCTGCAGCGTCCCTCCACAAGGTCGCGGCCGCGGACCACCATCCGTCGAGCAGCTCAGCGTCGAATTCAGTGCCCAAAGTGTCTCTGCCCGAGTCCCTGTCGATCGCCAAGTCAATAGATGTTGTGGTTCCCACGCCCCTCGACATCCCCCAGCCCTTGCCGCTATGGCTGAATACGGCCTGTGCCAAACACATTGTGAAGGGAAACTTTATGACGTTGAGTGCTCGGCCAAAGACGGTTGACCACGGCGAGTGGGTGGCACACCAGGGTAAGTCATGGCCCGTGGAGAAGAAGACCTTGAGAGAGAGAGGGTGGGAGAGAGACGGAGACAGAAGGAGAACGAGAGAGAGAGAGACTGAGAGGCTGGGAAAGCGAGAGAGAATGTGCTTGTTCTGACAGTCAGCCATGCAGTGGTCGAGCACTACCGTAATCTCTGGAACTTTGTCCGAGTCCTCCACGAGAAGGAGGAGGATGGCACAAGCATCTGCAACCCGACAACATGTCCCAAGATGTCTGCCGGCAAGTAAGTGGCCGCCCTTCTGCCTCGGTGAGTTTTGGAGGGCGTCTAGGCTAATGCATGCGCGCGCGTGCTGTGTGACAGGAACCACTCCTATACTTGGCTCAACAGGAATCACGAGCCGGTGGAGCTGCCAGCGTATGAATACATGACGCTGATGCAGCGGTGGATGTCTGGCAAGATTGATGATCCAGCCCTGTTCCCTACAGATCCCGACACCGTGTCGTTTGCCATTCACCCCGAGTACACGAGCAATGTCGTTCAGCAAGGTGGCGACGAGTGGCTTGGGGCCAGAAGCGGGTTTCCCAAGCAGCTCGGCAGCACGTGTCAACTGATATTCCGCCAGATCTTCCGCGTCTACGCCCATCTGTACTGGGATCACTTCGTGGAGCCCTTCTACCACCTTAGCCTGGAGAAGCAGCTCAACAGCTGCTTCAGCCACTTTATCCTGACGGCCACGACGCTCGAGATGCTGCAGCCCAGCGAGCTGGAGCCCATGCAGTACCTCATTGACCTGTGGGCGGCTGACGGCACGTTCCCACCCGAATCTAGGCCCTATTCGTACGCCAATGTCGAGCGCGGCCGATATATCCAGAGCCTGGGCACGGCAGCTTGAGAGGACAAAATCCACTTTTTACTTTTGCTCTGAACAGTGGAAACTACGAGGTTCGATTCGATTGGGCCTTGAGACTTTTTGGCCGATCCGAGTGGTCGCGTGAAAGAGATGTGGAGAAGGAAGACAAGGAAAGGAAGAAGAGAACCAAGAGTCAGTCACTTTTCGAGACATCACTAGGATGATCTGATACCAAGTGCTGGGGTTTCCTCCTGTGATGACGATGAGCATCATGTTCGACCTTGTCGATTTTTGAGGAGCGTCTGGAGAAGACTTATTTTCTCCTACTGGACCGCTCTACGAGATTGCTAGATTATTCTAAATACCAACGAGTATTGACTGCTTCGATGTGTCAACGTCAAGGTGACCTTTGCCGTGATTTTGTGTTTGTGTGTATCTACCCGTGTATTGTGGGCTACCGTCTATTATTACCTACTCCGAAATACTTGCCTGAATCCGTCGACGTGCCGGAGGATTTCGTATCACTGGACTGGTCTTTGCTGTTGCCACTAGCCATGGTTTGCAGTACTCGTAGTATCATACGGGTTGCAAGCCGGGGATAGTTGCATCATGCCACAGCGGTAATAACATGAACGGGGCATCTGGCCATGCCGGCAACCCCTTTGCTTCTGACATCTTCTCTCCGCTGCATTCAGTGGCATCCGCTCTGTACCAATCAGCCATGCAGCAGCTTCGCATAGCTACAGGAACGGCACAGACGTGTGAGACCGATAAGGCATGGAGCCGGCAATCAAGAGCTCCTGAACCGGCTCTATGCGGCGGCTTCCCTTGACGGACGCTTGCTGGCCCTTCGCTCGACTCGACCCTCTTTGACGGCCCTCGTTGGATAGTACATTGTATGCAGGCAGGCCTTTGACCGGTGTGGATTTCCGGTGGGTTCATTTTCATTTGCTCGCGGACAAGTTTTTCTGTTTTCCCATGCAGCCGGCCATGCAACCCATTTGCCTCTCGTGCGGGCCGAGCCAAGCAGAATGGACACGAGAAGCGTCACGGAGGCGAAAAGGAATGCGAAGGAGAGGGGGAAAGGGAGGGGCTCATGGCATTGCATTGGACACGCGTGGGAGCCATGCTTTGCCATGCTCTCGTCTCCTCCTCCAGGCCTCTCTTCTGCGAGACTAGGCGACGCGAGCACCCCACGCTGGGAAAAGTGCGATGCGATTGGTATTTTGGTATTGCTGGCTCGTTCGTCTGGAGCCAGTCAGGACGTGAGAACATGAAAGTGATACAGCATCGCCGACTTATCACGCAAAGCACTGCATGTAAACGCGACCACCGGCTCAGCGCGAGTGTGTGTCAATTCGCCTTGTAACTGATACTCGTACTGGGCGACACCAACGACCGGGTTTTGCGCGCAAAGACTGACAAGGCTCTGCGCCATCGGTTGCCGCCTGCATATGTACGTTTCTCACCGGTCCAATCCTCCGCCTAACCCGCTCTGTTGCTTGTGGAGGGTGTACAGCAGCTGCAATGTGTAGGGGGGAAGGTCTGTGAGGGGGGGAGGATTATTGCCGTAGTTGACTGGAGTGAGGGATGCTGGAAATAGTAGCAAGAGGGAGAGATTTTGTAACGTGAGGAGGAAACAAAGCGAAGCGGCAGCAGCAGCAGCGGCGGCGCATCCTGCAGGCGGACAGATTCGATTCGATGCATTTTTCTTTCCCCTCTCTCTCTGTTTCTCATGGCATGGCATGTCATGGCATGTCGGGAGGAATGGCTACAGTAGCGTATAGTTACCTAGTCGTACTAGAAGTGCCTATGCAACATTTCGGCTTCTCCAAAGCGTTTTGGTGGTGCTTCTTTATCTAAAACAAGGGGCCTGTTCTGGTGGCGTCTTGGTCGCGGTAACACTGCCGTCGCGGTAAAAATACCAGCCTATCGCCGTACCCGGTACCGCGCGGTCTGTCGCACTGCCTGATGCAGCTTCTGATGAAAAGAGCGGTAGCAGTAGCAGTGCGTAAGACGAGTTCCCTGTTGCGGCGGGTGTCTTGAGTCTTGAGTCTGAAGTCTGAGTCTGAGTCTGAGGGAGGGACTCTTTCCAGGCTGCAAACCGCTTTTCTGGCGACTCTGTTTTGGCGCAGCTTGTCGTGCTTCGTGCTTCGTCTGTGTACCAGGTACAAGGTACAAGGAGATAAGTGGCTGGCACACCCATTTTGCTGTCAGCGGTGGGGACGACCGGAACTCCCCCGCGCTGCGTGATTGGCCGAAGCTGCGAAAGCTTAAACCACTAAAGAAAAGTGATGTATCCATTCCGTTTCTTCTTCACACCAGCAGCTTTTTAGCGAGCGAGAGACCAGCGTTTTAGCGAGCAGAACTGCTGCGACCAACAAAATATAATCACAATTGCAATTAATATAAACTACAATCCAACAGTAGTGGTGATTGCGATATACAAAATCAATCAGACTAGACACAGTAATCAATACCAAAAAAAAGAATCACCCAGCCCCTCTCTACAGTCCAGTACAGCACATGTGATAAGGGAAGCCACACCCACCCTCTTCTGCCCTTAGTCAGCGCATGCTGCAACCCTCTAAACCCACCATGTATCCTGTACTTTGCCGCGTCCATCTTCTTGCTTTGCTCCTCTTGTATCCAGTCCTCAGACCCATGACGCGCCCCGGTCCAGTTACACTGCCTGAGGCCTTGCGAAAACGTGCAAATCACATCGCCCAGATGAGGCCAAAACCACTGTGAGCGGCCCTTTCTCCGCACGGCAGCCTGTACTGGGACAAGTACAAGTACAAGTACGAGTACATGCGGCAAAATCCCTGGCGGCGGCATCTGGCGTTGAACAACAGCTGGAATCTAATCTATCCAAATCCTCCTCACCCACGCTCTCACTCGCTCTCCAGCCCATCGCCGCATACTAAGCTTCGTTGCCTCGCCCAGCGTCCCTGTCCAGAGTCCCTGTCTGCATTTGCATTTGCATTGCATTGTGTGCCCTGACCCCTAAGCAAAGTTAATTAAACCAACTCGCCTTCCAACTCGTCGCTTCAAAATCAACAAAAGGATTCGTCTATAAAACGGGCCAATCCCGCAATCCCGTCGCATTCACATCGCCAAATCAACCTCCAGCCGCGCATCCGCGATTCGGTCTGTCTCTTGTCTCTATTATAGCAGCAACTCAAGAGTTGTTGTTGTTGTTGTTGTTGTTGTTGCAGAGGCAGGATTCCTTCATTCTTACTCTTTGGCACCTGTTTGCAAATCTCGTCTTCAACCGCTACATGTCGCTGAATCTAGACTTTGAACCTGAAAGTTACTTCTTTGACTTTCATCCAGAAGGCCCTCCTTTCAACTACTGGCGTCGACAGTTTATCGAGTACCAAGAGAGATTCAGACCCCCAAACGAAACTGAACGCGAACCCTCGCCTGAAGACTCAGAGCCCTCGCCCTATCCTCCCCCTTCCACTTCCCCCTCTCCTCCCTCGAGTGTTGCAACCATGGATCTCGAGATGTTGGACATGGGCAGGTACAACGACGACGTGCCCGTTCACACGCCTCGTCGCCGTACCAGGAGCGTTGAGCCCACGTCCACTCGCCTGTCCATTCATACGCCCTCGGAGCGTTACTTTCAGAATCCTCACTATCCTCACTCAACCATTAACACGCCGGCTGCCCCAACCCCCCATGCCGTGGCTGCTCGCAGAGCACTTGACCAGCGTCGCAATGCCATGTTCACCCCAGGCCGCTCCCGTCGCCAGAGCTTCAGAGAGCAGCGGGAGACGCCCATGTCGATCCTGCGCCATCTTGGCCGCGCCCTGGCTCCAACCAGCCATGTGATTGCCTCGTCTTCTTCCCCGGACAAACCCTCACCTAATGGCGCCGGCAACGGAGAGTCCAGCGGCAGTGGCTGGCGCGATGATGACGAGCTGCCAATTGATAGGCCTCGTCTGTCTCTGCCCATTGATGAGGGCTCCTCGGACGACTTGCAACCCCCCCAATCGTCGATCCTCGATGACGGAAACCTGACTGTTCAGTCTGTTGAGCTGCCTCGTCGGGCTACCAGCGAGGGTCCTCCAAGGCGCAGCTTTAGCTATTTCTCGGGCCCCGTGGACGACATCATGTGGGATGCCATTTACGGAGACTACACCGGGTCGGATGGCTTTGGCAGAACGATTGAGATTGCCCCCCCTGCTCCTCTGGATCCCGAGATTGCGGATACACGGTATGTGCTTGCCTTTCCCCTCCCAACCCAATGGCTTGTCTGATGGAGCGAAAATACTAACGCAACTTGTAAGTCAACCTCCTGGTTTTCGCGAAAGCGACTTCAGCCTTGACATGCCGTTTGGCCTGAGTGACAATGACCAAACCACCTTCTACATGAGGTCTCCCGTCGTTGATGACATTCACAGTGTCCTCAATGCTCCCAATCCCGTTGAGGATGACATTGAGATCATGAACGAAAAGAGGCAGGCAGAAATTGCAGAAACCACAGAAGCCGCAGAAGCCTCAGAAGTCGCAGAAGTTACAGAAAAAACCGCAGAAGAAGCCGCAGAAACCCACAAGACGAAGGCGCAGCCAACAGATTACGAGTTTCCCGACATTGGCGACTTTGGGTCCGTTGACGGTCTGGGAGACGCCGAAATGGAGGCCATCACCAAGATTGACTATGAGACGCTTGGGCTCGAGCCGGAGAAGCCCAACGACGACATCATTGGATACCCTCATGGCCGGCCTAGGAAGAAGAAGAGGGCCAAGACCTCCAAGACCAGGGTCTCCAAGCACAACATTGAGTATCCGCAGCTGCCGCCCGCCTTCATCAGGCAGGTTACTAATTCCGCGATGCAATCGGCCGGATTGACCAACCAAAGAGTCGCCGCCGACACCATGGGCGCCTTGACGCAGGCTTCGGATTGGTTCTTTCAGCAACTTGGCGATGATCTGGGTGCCTACGCCAACCACGCTGGTCGAAGGACCGTTGAAGAGCGCGATGTCATTGCCTTGATGAATAGGTGAGTTTTTTTTGTCTCTTTCCGCTCTTTCCGCTCTATTCCTCCTTTTCATTCCCCTTATTCTTACATCTACGTTAAACCCCCCTTTTCTACCCATGCTTACGATATATTGTACACAATAGACAACGCCTTCTCACCCCAAGTATCTCTCTCTTCAACCTGGCGAATCACAATCTTCCGCGCGAGCTCCTGCAGTCGCTGAGAAGTGCTACTCCCGTAGCTCGTCCTGGCATGTATGCCGCCCATGCTACGCAAAACCCTCCTGCTATGTACGCGATCCATGACGATGGCGGCATGAAGCGAAAGAGAGGAGAAGAAGAAGAAGAAGAAGAGGATGAAGAGAATGAAGACGATGAAGAAGAAGAGTTGGTCTATCCAGAGGACGAGGATGAAGAGGAAGAAGAAGAAGAAGAGGATGAGTAATAGTGTTTTCTCCCCCTCAAACCTGTATAGCCATTTGTACCCAATCATCTTTGGCCATGGGCTTCTTCCTTTTTTCCGTTTTTCACTGCTCTCCTCTTGCTCTTGTTTTTCTTTCTCCACCACACTCTCTCTTGTTTTTCATTATATGCTTATTTTGATTGGTTTTCCCCCCTTTACATGTGCCCGCTGGCCCGAACCCGGCGGGCAACGTTGGACGGCGGCTTTTTGAGCACCATGTAAAGCATGATTGACGTGGCAATGCTTAGCCCGTACCTGCAGAGACGATGCGTTAGGGGACTTGGAGACTGATTTGATTGCAAGCCAAGACTGGCGTTGTTTTTGATTCTTGTGTTGTGTGCAGATAGACAGGTGGAGGAATATTGATGCTTTTACTTACCATGTAAAGATGTACTGGGCGTGGTTGTTCCTCAGGTTGACCTCTGCGGGTCGTCCAAAGGGGACTCCGCGGGCCTCATAGTCCATCATGCGCATAAACTCGGGTTCTGCAAGCATTAATTTTTGTCTCGTTTTAGCGATGGACTGTTCAAGGGATACGGATACGGATATTGATATGGACATGGATCTTACGGAGGAAAGGGTGAATTTGGGATGCTTGGGAAAGCTTGGGATAGCCTGGGATAGTTTGTTTTTGGAGCGCTTGGAGCGCTTGGAGGGATATCTTTTGGAATTTGCTTTTGGAGATGCTTGGAATTGGGATCATTTTGATCATTTTGGCAGCATCACGTAGGTAGAGCACAATCTGGTAGGCAAGACAAAGAGACAAGTCACTTACCCATGGTAGCCTCTATCCACACCGGTTGGCTGCCCGTCAAAGCAGCCATCTGGTGGACGTCGGGAAAGTAGAATTCGCCCTTGTCTGGTCTGTTCTCTGGTGTGAACATGTTCTTCTTCCAGGGCTCGCGCAGCAGCCCCTCGACCGTGACGGTGCCCTGCACCAAGCTGTCGGGCCTCGTCTTCTGGCTGCGGTGCTTCTTGCTGATCCAGCCGCGGTTGACGAGGATCGTCGAGCCGTCCTTGCGCTCCAGCGGCGTGATGACCATGAAGCCGTCCTGGCCGTCGCGCATCCGCGGGCCGACGAGCATCTCCTGGTCGTGGCGGAAGCGGCCCGTGGCGAGGACGCGGCGGTAGTCGAACTCGTTGACGACGGAGGGGTCGATGTGAGGCGGCAGGGGGAGGGGGTCGCGGATGAGACGGTCTTCGAATTTCGCGATGAGCCTCGTTTTCCAGTCGAGGCGCTGGACTTGCCATGTGCCCAGGACGAAGGCGGTTATTGGGATGAGGGCTGTTGCAATTGAAAAAAAGATGTCAACGGAAGCTGCCATATTATAGGTATAGATTTACAAGAATGCACTTATACACAAGGTATTGATATACATATATATATATATCGTGCATATACTTGAAGTAGATTATACGAACCGAGGAGGATGATGCCCGCGCCATGCCGCTTGCCCGCGCGAACCGTCTGCGGCTGCAGATCGACAATAGATACGAAATTCGGGTCCTCAGCAGCCGGCTGCTTGTTGGATCGGAAGACGGTCGACGATATGCGTCTGCTGTGGACGGCCCGGGGCGGGAGGATGCGAGCTGCTGCTGCTGTCCGGGCGCATTGGGGAGCGGATTTGGATGCGATGCTGCTGCGGGTCGCCCGTAGGCTGCGCAGCAGATGCTGTGAGCAGTTCATCACTACGGATGGGATTATGAGCTTGACGAGGTGCGAAGGTCAAGATACTGGCGTTTTGTCTTTGGTGGTTTGGTTTGGAGATTTGGTAGTCTACCTAGTACCTTATGATGGCATTGATGGGTGGTCGAGAGTTGACCGCCTGCCTAGAAGGGGCATATAGTGGGGGAAAGGCGCTGTAAGTTGTACTGTAAGGCTGTAAGGGCCAGTGTATTTAACATCTCCGAGCTCTCTGCATATACATTCACATGGCCATTGCCCTTGCTTGGAACTATCCGGTATTGCTGCTCTATGATTGATTTGAATTGGACAATGTGCCAAGTAAATGGTGATTCTAACTCATCGTATGCCATTGATTTGCTCGGCCAATCCAACGGTGGGAAATTTTTTGGGCTCGAGGCGCAACTTCTTGTACGTACTATAATTGGGTTTAATGCACTTGTAGATTATTACAGATGGCCTGTATAGGTACCTACTAGTAGACAGATATACTCTTTACATGGACGACGGGGATATGAAATTCAATATCCATCATTCATGGAATCCATCATTAATGGGACCTTGATGCTTATAAAAAGCCAATCCTCCTAGTCCCGACAATAGGCGTAGAATGTTCTCGCCATAATTCCTGGCTGGCCCGGCATCCGTCTAACGAGGCACTAAGGCTAGTCGTTTTCCAGCTGCACGAGCACAAACTCGGCCCCTCCCATTGGCCGCGAATAAATCCTTCAACCTGCGCTCGGCCACCATCACCAACTCCGACTTGCTCATCGTCAACCTCACATCCTTTACCGATTCTTTTTTCCCCCTTCACCACAAAACAAAACCAAACCAAAAATCACCGCCAGAATGCCTCGCCAACGCTCCGTCGGCCGCGCTCCCTCGCGCCCAACTGCCTCTGCTCCTGCGCCCCAGCAGCACCGCCCTGCCACCACCATGGCCGCTCCTCCTCCTCAGCAGCACGCTCCCCAGGCCATGATGCCTCCCCAGCAGGTGTCGCAGGGCCCTGGATTGTTTGGCCAGATGGCCAGCACTGCTGCGTACGTTTGCCATTTTCCCTAAATGAAGCCCTTTTGCTCGATTCCCAACTCTTGCGCATTGCAAAATGCACCCGGCGCTTTGTCCCGGAGTTTGCGCACTTCCCATCTCCGGGACCTCCAATTGCCTCGGCTACTTGCAAAACCACATCTCCAAACCACTCTTCAAACCAGCACGCAAGCTAACCCTCATAACAGCGGTGTCGCCATCGGTTCCTCCGTCGGCCACGCTATCGGTGGTCTCTTCAGCGGTGGCTCCTCCGAACCCGCGGCTCCCGTCCAGGCCCAGGCCGCGCCCCAGCAGAACCAGCAGTACAACAACTGCGCCGGTGCCGCCCAGAACTTCACAAAGTGCCTCGACGAGAACGGCGGCAACATGCAGATCTGCAACTGGTACCTTGAGCAGCTCAAGGCTTGCCAGGCTGCCGCCAGCCAGTACTAAGCAGGAGGAGGGGTACGACGGGATGCGAGATGATTACGATGCATACGGCATGGGGGTGTGCAGTTAAGAGGATGTCGGATCAAGGCCATGTAAATCTACATGTCTTTTGAGACGAGCACGCATGTATATACAAATCCAGAGGAAATACTTCAAAGGTACGCATACATGGGACGGTATACGTACGCACAGACACACAGGACACTCTCCATAATGGGCGCAGAGTTTGGGCAACGCGTGAGATGCCAATAGCTTGGGCAGAGGAACATTGTGTTGCAAATGCGAAAACAGAGGCGCATAAAGAGGACTCGCTGGGTTTATTAAAGGAAAATCCCTATAGATGGGTGCACTCTGCTCTTAAATCCTGTACTTGTACAAATAACCAACTGAAAGAAATAAAGAAGAAAAAGAAAAAATCAAAGGAAACCCCCCAAAGTAAAAGAGAAAAAAAAAGTAGAAAGTAAGAAAGAAGACGCTGTGAGGCGGAGAAAAACCCAATGCTGTGGAATTATTATAATACACTGCCTCTGCCTTCATGTTTCATCGTCGTCAGGCCGGGGCTCAAAATTCAGCTGCATAATGTGTGTGGTTAGTCTTTGTAGTAGTAGTATAAGAGGAGTCGATTAAGCCACATACCGAGTTGCCATTGTAAAGCTGGTGATCGCGCTGCAAGTTCTGCAGCCCTCTGACACGGCGATTTCTCTCCTCAGAAGCTGTCCTCGCCGTCGCATCCGACGTACCCTCTCTCTCTTGCCCCCTGTCTCCCGCGGCGGCTTCCCTCTGTCCACCGCCGCCTAGGCCAACCAAGCTCAGAAGCCATGTGAAGAAGCCCAGGATCATGGCGAGAAACTTGGAGAAGAAAGATTTTGGCTGTTGCTCCGCCGCGCTGTAAGCCGAGGAGTACTTTTGGACGGGAATAAGCACCAGTGTTGACGACGGAACCAAGCCCAGCTCGCCGAGGGTCTTGCCTTCTTCCGTCGCGTCAATGTTCTTGTTGGGCAGCGGTGTCAAGACCTGCTTGAATGTGTAGGGAGCGTTGCCCTCGCCTCTGTTCTCGTCGACCCAGCGCCTGACCTCCTTTAGAGAAGACGCCGTCTTGAATCGTGAGCGTATGGTTGAGCCGTCAAAGAGCCGGACTTGTATCGAAGCCATTTCGGATACCCTGGTGGTCGAGGGCAGCTTGCTCAGCTTCGCATTGGCCGAGGCAGCAGCGTCGTCTGCCTTTTGGCTCTCAATCTTCTGCTGCTCCTTTGCCGACGCCCGCATCCGCCTCTCCTCTTTATCATCCTCTATCCGTTTCAGGATCCTCCGACGCTCCTCTTGTTCCGCCATTCGCTTCTTCTTGAGCTCCTCTGCCTGCTGGTGTACTTTGGCGCCATCTGTATTCGCCCCTGCTTGTGCCTCGGCTTTGGCCTTTTCCTGCGCCTTGGCCCGCTCCTCTTTAGCTCTTCGCTCGGCTTCTTCCTTTTGCGCCTTGAGCTTGGCTGCTCTCTCGGCGAGGATCCGATTGACTATCTCGGACTGTGCGGCGGCTTGTACGCTCGCGGGCGGTGCTTGTATCTGTGGTTGTGCCTGTGTCTGTGTCTGGGCTTGGGCCGGCGGTGGTGGAGATGTTGAGGGTGCGGGAGAGAGAACGGAAGCAGACGCGGCAGGCGGGACAGGGGCAGCCGGCCTTGTCGGTGAAGTTGCCGGTGACGAGACTGGCGACGGCAGCGACGACGACGACGCGGCTGCGGCTGAAACTGCGGGCGGAGCGGCATTGAAGGCGACGAGGATGCGGCGGAGGAAATCGTCCTTGCTGGTGCCCGCGGAAATGTACTCCTTCAGCTCGCCGTGCTTCATGATGACGACAGTCGGCGTCTTAGGCAGCGGGAAGATTTGCGACAGGTAGCCGGCCTCTTCCGAGTCTGCGATGAGCCGCAGTGCGACCGCTTGCGTCTCGATCAGCTTCGACAACTGCGTTCAAGGTGTTAGTATGCATCTTATATATCGTGTATCGTGCATCGTATACCGCATGTCGGCGAGAGTGCGGGCGGTCTTACAGAGCTGTCTTGAAGGTATTCATGCTCCCATGTTTGGCTCTCCTCGTTTTCATCTAATTCGGCGTCAGATACTATGCAAAGGTGTTCAAACAGCAGGACTCAATCACGCACTCGTCACGAAGCAAAGCACCAGCTTCTGCTGGCCCACCGCTGTGGAAATGCCCTCTTGCAGGCTCCCCTGGTAAAACATGGCGCTCCTCTTTTTGATTTTCTTCGCCTCGTATAATCGTATATATCTCGTATATCGACAGTATTAAGCTGAAGACTCGGGTAATTATCTTTCGCAGGAGGTGGAACGGTGGTTCGGCGTTGGAGGTTGATGATCAACTCAACGAGTTGCCGGGATGGAGGAGGGGAATCGCAGTCCGGGTTGCCGAGAATCGATAGTAATACAATGACAGGGATTCACATTTACTTTTGTCACACGCGTCTCTTCCGTCCGCAGCAAAAATCGCAATGAGGAACACAACAGCAGCCAAAGAAGAAGGAGGAAATCCCGGAGCACAGAACGAATCGGTTTCTTGATTTTGTTGGGGTCTCTGCCTCTCTCTGGACAGCTTTCACATTTGGGGGAGACGAACTGCGCGGAAACCGATGACGAAAGGCCAGCAGCGATGGGCGTCAACTAATACGGAGTAAGACCAGCAAAGATCCACAAATGGCCGCCTGGCGAGGACTTGTAAAGGTTCCGCCGAGGCCATCCGCTTTGGGACGCCTTGTGGAGGCACTGCTGTTTGTGGCAGGCGGTGACTCTTTCTGTAGACAAAAGAGTTTCAACCTTTTTCGACTCTCATCGGGGATGCAAAAGTGAAGAGAAGCTTCATCGCGCCTTGCTTCGCCTCAATCTCTGTATTTTGTTTTCTTACAGGCCCCTCATTCGCTTTTCTTTTCTTTTCATTTACAGCCATGGCGGATATTCCAACAATTATGCCCGATGTAGAGAAGCTGGGCTCTCAGCTGGATAAACTGGAGGATGCGCTTGAGCCTTTGCTGGGGAATCTCAGCGAGATGGCCTCACAGCTGCCATTGCTGGATCGGGCCAAGCTGTTTTCTCTGACGGCTTATGCCATCGAATCATTGCTTTTCTGTAAGATCAGACTGGTACTCCATAACTTGACGGTTCACATGGGCTAACTGGCATCGCAGCATCCATCAAGATCCAGGGGGGAGACGCGCAGAATCACGCCGTCTACGCCGAGCTCAAGCGGATTCAGCAGTACTTTGCAAAGATCAAGGCCGCAGAGGAGCCGGAGACCAAGAGGACACTCACTGTCAACCAGGAGGCAGCCGCGCGCATTCTGAAGGCCGATCTGGTAAGTTGCGCCCCGCGCATCTCTTGATGGGGTTTATCGCTTCATCTTCACATTCTTTCTTCTTTATTGAGATGCTCATGATTATACTATAGAGCGACAACAAGACGCTGAGCGCGAAGCTGGCCGAAAAGATTGCCGAGGAACGCGCCAAGGCACTGCTCAAAGCCGCAGAGAGCAAGAAGCGCAGCGCTGAAGAGGCTGCTCAGCCCGCCAGCTCAGAACCCAGCGAGTCATCAGGCCAGAACAAGAAGCCAAAGACAAAGGGCAAGAGCAAGGGCAAGAGCCGAAAATGAGAGGACTGAACTGGGGGGGGGGGGGGGGGGAGTTTTTTTTTTTGCGGCAACGACTTTTATTGAAGAGTTTTAGCGTGCTTTTGATGGCTCGTGGCGAACAAATTGGGCATATGGGAGTTTTTATGGCAATGGCCTTTTCCTCTGGGTTCTATTGTTTTTCTTTTTTTCCTTTTTTTTAAAAGGGCATCAATGGTCAAAATGGTCAAGGATTGGAATAAAGAGTTTGGGATTGGGTTCAATGCAGTTGGAAATTATTACAGATGGTCTGTATAATAGTAGACAGATATACTCTTTGCATGGACAATTGGGATATGAAATTGAACATGCTTGCACGGAATCAATCATTAATGGCACCGTCATGTTTATAAAAAGCCAATCCTCCTACGTATTGCAATACACGCGGCCAGAAGACCAGAGACGGCAAATTGAATTTGTCCATCCGCTGGGGCAATGAATACGCGCAACATGACACACCACTTTGTCATCAACCAAAGCTGCGAAGCCAACCTTGCGAAGGCGATGACATGAGAGAAGTGTAGCTTCCAGATTTGCTTCTTTGATGGAAAAAAAAGCCGCTACAATCACTAAGGCAATCAGTTAGATTTGCTGTTTTGCGCTAGTTTTGACCGCCCGCGATACATCGTAAACCTTGGTTTTTGGTGTTGTTATGCATTGTTGATAAGTATTATGATACTCTAGTGGTTTTGGAGGGGTAGCTCAGCCACACGTAATCGCTTTACGGCAAGAGCCAGCATGTCATAGTCTATGTAATACCTATCTTGGTAGCTACAGTACAAGCTGGGAAGGTGGGAATAGCTGCAGGGAACATTGCGATGTCACTCATACATGGAATAACACCCAATGTGTCGTAGCGATTTTGGCCACAGGTAGGTAGCATCCAGCCGTAGCATCGATTGCTACATGGGTACTATACTTGAATGAGCACCATCCGAAAAGCTGGCATCGGGCCGTGTCCTCGGCCACTGAATGGGCTGAACATACCTACGCGATGCTTCATCTTGACTAATACGGAACTTCAAAAATGATACTGAAAAAATGTTAGAGGCTAAACGAAAAGAAAAGAAAAGAAAAGAAAAGAAAAGAAAAAAATCCCAAAATTAAATCCATACCCAGTTGGTATCCATGCCATGCTATGCTATACCATCCCAACGCTAATCCAGTTCAATGATCCTCCAAATCCCAATCCCAATCCCAATCCCAATCAATACCTAAAGCCCATAACATGAAAGCAAAGTCATCAACTCTCTTGAATCCAAAAGACACTCCATCCCATCATCCCTCCATCCCCAGATGCTTAGACGGCGTCAACGGGCTGAATCTTAAAGCTCCTCGTATTCATCTCCACGAGCCTTCCGCGAATCTCTCTCGCCATCTTCTCCATTCTCCTATAGAGCGATTCATTGCCCAAACCCGCACCGCCCTTCCACTCGAAGCAGCGATTCTCGGGGTCCCATACCAGCGTCTTTTCTTGGATATCCTCGGTCTTCCACTGATGCTGCTGTATAAGAGCACTTGCCTTCTTCCGGTCTCCCTTGAGCAGCAGCCTCTCAATCCTAGGATCCACCCGAAGGTCCAAGACGATGAAGATCGCCTCCAGGTGAGGGAACCAGTGAAACACTTCGATCAACGAAGAGCAATCAGTGTCATACGGTGTATCAGGGATGGCAATGCGTGTAAGACCTGTATCGCTGCTGACCGTGTGGCTGGAGAAATCTGGTTCCGCCAGCTGGTCAAAGGGCTCGAGACAAAAGTCTTCCCACTGGCTGATGCCGATGTAGAGAGCATCACGCCTCGGGTCAAACCGCTGCTCAAAGACGTGGCATTTCCTGTCCTCGTCGAAGCGCATCTCAACGCCTCGTTGCTGAATCCAAGCCAAGGCGACGCTGCGAGCTTCGCGATTGACAAATGCCAGAGGGAGATTGACGTGTGTAGCGGCCAACATCTCGTGACGGAAATCAAAGTCGACGGCATTCTCAGTATTGCCCGGCATCTGATCAAGCAACTGATGATCGACCTCTGATTTTCGCAGGTCCCGAGGACCCCAGCATTCTCTCCTGTAGTTGTACAATGTGATGCTGTCCAGGTCCGGCAAGCTCTGCCGCCAAATCTCCAAGCGCAGCTCTGGAGGAAGTCTGGAGAAGCAACGGAAAGTGGGAAGTGGTTTCAAAGAGGCCATGATGGTGGCTGATTCTTGTGGGTTTAAATTTTGTGACCAGTAGGTGATGCACACCCGCATGTCCATCAGAACTATAAATCAGCCGTGTAAGTGTGTAAGTGAGCTCAGCTTACATGTACTGAATAGGCGGGGGATAGCTTCACAAAAAAGAGACCAACCTGTGGGAAAGTAAAGAGGGAGAAAAAAAAAGGGGACGAAGACTAATAATTTGAAAAAGTCCGCGAAAAAAAAAAGGAGCTCGAGGGATAAAACGATGGGTAAATTAAGACATGGGACGGTGTTGAGCGCCACGGCCAGGCCAACCTATGATATCGTAGCTCCCATGGAGGTTGTTCGCGACCCCGCCCGATCCATCCTCGCGATGGTTGGATCCCCCGGTCTCAGCTGGGCATCGTGACGTATCGAGCTAGATTGTGCGAGCCGCATATTGCTTTTTTTTCGTATTGGGTATTGCGTGCGGAGGGGGAGCAAATTTCAGACGCTGTACGACTCGATAAGGTAGCATTGCAGCCCTACTAACCTTTGTCGTGCAACCCTTTGAGATGCATAAAAATAATTCGGCACGGCAGGCCGAGAAACTATTGGGCAGCCTGGCCTCGTCGCGGAAAACTGCATGCCAAAGTACAGGGACTTGGAGAGCGCGCCACGAAACGGGCGCGTCGAGGCAAGGGGGAGATTTGGAATCGGGTGTGGGATTCACCACGTTTCTCTCATCGATTCGCTGGAACCGTATGCTTCGTGCTTCGTGCTTCGTTTTAGATTGCCCAAGATGCATGTACAAGGTAAGATGTCTGTATTTTTCATTCCCAGTATATCAAGCCGTACCCTACCAGTACGAGTATCTGACAGTATAGGAAGCCTATCTGTTCCACCCCACGCCATTGCTAATGCAGTCCGATTTCCAAAAAAAAGACGTAGAAAAAAAAGCAAATACTGTACAAAAAGTGGATTCCCCCATGTTCTATCCAGGTCAGTGATATAATTTACACAAGCTTGCTGCGGCTGGAAGCTGGCAAGGTCCGGTATCGAAACGCCAGGTGGCTGGGCACCGAAGTCTCCTCGATGGGCACGTAGGAATTCAGCCTCTCAATGGCCAGCGAGTGCTTTGCCTTGACCATGTCTCTCAACATGATGTTGGTGGGCACTTGGACGCCCAGTTCGTGGCCGCACCGTATGAAGAAGCCGTTGAGGTAGTCGACGTCTGTGGGCAGGCCGTTTTGAATCTGCCGCGCCAGGTCGCTTGATGAAGCGCCGCGTCTTGCCATGATGCGGCTGTAGATGTGCTGCTTGATCCGGTTGCCGCGGATGAAGTCGCGAATTGCCGCAGAACCTTCCAGTTCGGGCATGTTATCCACCACGGAGACAATCTCGGCCAGTAGCCGGTCCATCATCCGCTGGGCAGCAGGATTTCGCAAGAGTCCGGCATACGGAATCTCTAACAGGACGCACACGGGCTCCACAACGGAATCTAGTATGACTGACGGGAGCTTGAAATGGAGCCACTTGTCAAACGCTGTTAGGGACGAATTGAGGTCCTTGACGCCCTGCAGGGCCTGGACAAAGTTCATTCTCGTCTCCGTCCTTTCCGCGTCACGGCCAAGATCACCAAAAGTCAGCTTCATCTTCCCATACCGCAGCTCCTTGACCGAATCCTGGCTCCGGTTATAGGCCAGGCGGTGGCTCATATGACCAAGGAGGAAGCTGGGGCTAGACTCGGTCCCATGGAAGACCCGATTCCTCACTTCTTCCAAGACACCCAGTCCATCCGTCATCAGGCACACGGCCGTGTCTTTGTCGATGCGGTGCTTGACGGACTGCAATGCCTCGACTGCCTCGTGTCCAGGGCCGGCTACCAGCAACTGGTCGATGTGTGAATTGCCGTCCCCGATGATGGCCTTGGGAGTTACAGACACGTGCTCAAACTTCATCTTGCGCTGGTCGCCGTTGCGGGACTTGTAAATGTTGCGGTACTTTGACGAGAAGGAAGGCAATGCTGACGGCGACGATGAACTGTTCTTCCACCCCAGCATTTCAACAGAGTCGTAGACACCGGACAGGGCATGGGCGATGAATCTCGACCTCTCGTCGTCTCCCAGAATGTGTATCTTATGTACTGAAGGCGACTTGGCGGCCTCGGGAGGGAGCAAGACCGAGGGCACGTAGAATTTCGGCGTAGGTGATGAGGAAGGTTTGGCGGTGGCAGCCTCAGACCTGAGGGCTTTGGCCCATGGCCTGGGGACGGGATATTGTGAGTTCGCTTCGGTAGACGAAGGGCGGCGTGATGATTTGGAAGGGCTGCTGCCGCCGCCAGAGGTCGATGCCACCGTTCCATAGCGCCGGCCTCGGCAGATGCTATCGCCAGTCCATGCTGAAGGCCTCTGACATATCCGTGCGGATAGCCGCGGTCGAACTGAGCTCGCCACCGTGACGGCTGCCGAGAAAGGTCGGCGAGCTACAGCTGTAACTGAGGGTCGAAAATCTGTTGGAGAGATTGGAGAGATTGGAAGCGGGCGTCTCGGTCTGCCCCGTTCGCTGAGTGGACTATTTCGCTCGTGCTTTGGTTTCGGGTTTCGAGAAAGTGGTGTTGCTGAGGAGGAGAGTCAAGTAAGGGTCAGTGATTTGGCGATTCGCAGTAGATTTCGCAGTGCGGAGTAGTCAACGAATGCGGCTGTTGAGTGAACAATTGGAATATCTGGGCGGATCAGAGGTCAAAGAGTTGCAAGAGCGTCAATCAACAGCTTTGGCGGGTGTCGATTACAATTGTCCGTATGTTGTATCGTCTTTTTTTCTCGCTGGGGTCCACTGCGGGATCGTGCCCCGATAGGCGGCGAATGCCCCGATAACCCACTATTGGTCCGATAACGTAAGAATTGATTACCGGGGCCGGAGTACAATAGCTGGCGATTTGTTTGGGGGGACCTGCACTAGTTTGCGATGCTAATTTGGTGCCGGAAGGGGATGTTGATGGGCTCTGTGATGCTTGTGAAGACGGAGGATATGAGGGAGCAAAATTGATTTTTGGTGGTTGGTCGATGTAGCATATCATTGCAGCGTCTAAGTCGGATTCCCGCAGCGAATAATGGAAAATCATTAAATACAAACAGATTTGCCTCTCCATTGACCGTGCAGCATCGCTGTCTAGGTACTATATAAGGCACTCCGTAGACCTGGAGTGCTTGGCTTTGAAGTTTTGAACTGACAAAAGAACAGTTGAAGCTGGTGTCGGGTACCGGTGCAGCTATTCCCACCTTCCAATACTGTAATACCTAGCTATGGCTCTTGCCCAGTAAAGTGATCACGTGCGGCAGAGCTACCCCTCCAAAACCACTGACCGAATTACCAAAGCTTTGCCTGGCAGAAAAGGCCCCGCAGCACGATGACGACTGTGTAAACTTTTGATTCCAAACCCATATTATACAGAACAAAGGGCAGCTTTTCGATATGGACGAATCAGAGCTGGAACAGGTCAGTTGGTTTGCGATTCCTCCATTTTCCCGCCCTTTACATTGTGTGTTCAAGTTTCAAGCTCTCATACAACAGCGTGCAGATCCGGAAAGCTCGTCTTGAGCAGCTCAAGGCTCAGGGAGGCGGTGGTGGAGGCTCTCGCAATGGAGGTGCTTCTGGCCAGGACGGAGAGAGACAGCGACAGTGAGTGCTTTTGGCTTTTTGATTATGACAATACGTCCATCTACATCTGCACCGTTGGAATGAACCAAAACAACTAAACGGAACAACCCAGACAAGCAGACGAAGCCCGACAGCAGATGCTCAACCAGATCCTCCACCCCGAGGCCGCTGACCGTCTCGGCCGCATCCGACTCGTCAAGGAGCAGCGCGCAATCGACATCGAGAACCGGCTCCTCACGCTGGCGCAGACGGGCCAGCTGCGGCAGAAGGTGACGGAGGCGCAGCTCAAGGACCTGCTGACGGCCGTGGCGGACAACCAGGAGCAGGAGAAGATTGTCGTGAGCAGGCGCAAGGGCTGGGACGACGACGATGACGACTTGTTGGATTTTTGAGCGGGCATTTGAAAGGGCTTTTTTATTTTCCTTTTGTCTTATCTCATGGTATTGACTACGCGTACCTATCAATCTCCTAGTTTTTGGTTCCTTACATCTTACAAAAAGGTACAAAGTCGTTCAAAGTGCATGGAATTGGGTGAGACAAGGAGAAAGAAGAAGAGAGAAAGAGAGAACAAAAAAGGCAAGAGGAAAAAAAAATCATAATAATACACAGCTCTTGAGGGCTACATGACGAGATGACATCGATAGTCATCAAGTGCAGGAAAAAGAAAGAAAGAAAGAAAGAAACAAGCCTCATATGAGACGATACCACCGTGGAGCATCAGGCATCATATTCATCAAAACCCCTGGGCCCGCATCTCCTTGAGTCGCTTCTTCTCCTCCTTTTCCCGCTTGCGAATCTCTCGCAGATCTGGCGGCTGCTCGATGCCCAGCTCCCGCCTCAGATCCTCTACGTCTCTCTCCAGCTCCTCCTCCCAGAAGACGTTGATAATCTCCTTGCTGCGCACGCCGTTCTTGACCGCCCACGGCATGTACACGCTGAAAAACCGGCGCCTCTCGGCCGGCTTGAGCGTGGCCACGGCCAGCATGCTCAGTCCCGTCATGGGGATCAGCGTGTTGGCAAACTCAAAGGCCTTGAGCGCAACCTCGCCCTCGCGCACGGTGGGCAGCCCCGTCAGCGCATGGTAGAAGTCGTGGCACTCGCGGTACCGCTGCATCACGTACGCGCACTCCTCGTCGTCAATGTACCGCACCGGCGACCGAGTGTCTGGGGACACGCCCTCCCGGTCCAGCCAGGAGACGTAGGCGCGGCCGACGGAGTTTTCCGGCAGGGCGCGGAGGGCCGGGATGCTGAGCGTCTTGGAGCTGATTCGCGGACGCAGGCGAAGGATGCGACGGCCTGTAGGATGGGCCAGCATGGCGTCGCGGAGGCGGTAGATGAAGTAGGGGGTTGCCGTGGCCTCGCCTAGGGTGGCAATGAGATCTGCGATATTGTCAGAATCTTGTCATTTGTGTGTGTGTGTGTGTATGTGTGTGTCATATTGTCTGTCATGTGTCATGTATGCTCTCTCATGTTCTGTGTCTCGCATCCTCTCTCTATCTTGCCCATCTGACTATCTCGCTCTCTTTCTCTTCTCCAGAAAGAAAGGGCAAAAGGGGTGTTGTCTCAGCCGTCATACGAATCCTGCAAAAGCGGATCCAGTATTGTTTGCTTCTTCTTCTAACCCCCAAGACTAAGCAGGATAGCTGAGGAGTAAGAGCAGACAGACAGACATGGGGAAACTAGGACTAGGAAAACAGGAGGGCAAAAGCAAGGGGAACGGCGTAACGAAGCATAGTATCGGCTTAGCGTAGCACCTGCAAGGGAGGGTGAGGGGCAAGAAGAAGCAAAGAGAAGCATATCGTATCAAAACTCATGGCGTACCAGCACGGTAGGGATTCAGCAGCGACATGATGCCAGATCCGAGCGCCATGCCAGCCTGCTCGATCCTAGTCAAAGGCACATGGCCGGGATACTTGGGCGGAGGCCGGTTGAGTGCAGAGAAGCTGCGAGCCATGGCATTTGCAGGCGGTCTCGTGGCTGTCGAGGAGCGGCAGATTGCATGTCGTGAGGGTGATGATGGTGTTGTTAGTGACGATGCTGCTGCTGCTACTGCTACCAGGGCGGGAGCTGTCGAGGTCACTGCTCGGAGCCCAGACCGGACTCTAACCAGCGGCGCTTCCATTTCCGTCTTTCGCCGCAGAGCTAATGCAGCAGGATGCGGTGCGTTGCGAGCGGCTGAAAGTCGAACGAGTACTACTCGTACAGTCCTCGTACCGGTACTCTCGAGAAAGAAGGGGGAGGAAACAAGGCAAACAAACGATCACGGAATTCGCCCGCCCTTGGTGCTCCGACACTCCCCTGTCGCGGCGTCTCTGGTCTCGCACACCACCCGGTTTCCCCTCCAGCCTCACTCTTGCGGCGTGCAATTTCAAACGAGGAGCACGAGGTGCTTGACAATGTCTCCCATTGGACAGCCCGCGCGGAAACTCGAGGCCGGCGAAAAGAGCTCAGGAACACACGAAAAACAAAGATACAGACGAGGTTGGATTGAGGATCAAGATTTTGGGCCGATCGGATGACTGCCGGCGACCTAGAACTAATTATTTGTGGGGTGGTTTCCTTCCAGACTAGACTCGACTTTGATTATCAGTTCATCCAGCCACCAAGAGGAAGGTAAGGAACAAGGCAAGATGGAGGGTGTTCTCTGGTTCTGGTCTCTGGTCCTGGTCCTGGGCTTGGTCCCTTCCCCCTCCGCATGATCAGGACAAGAGGCTTGCCTCTGTGTTCCCACATGTGATTATCGCCAGAGCCGCAGCGGCAATGGCACCAGAAACCGGGTTGTAGTGAGCACATGTAAACCTCTGGCCCGCAAATCGGGCTTCTCATTCAATCAGTCTAAGACACGGCGGCGTTTTGCTCTTGACAGGCACAATCCGCTGATAATCTCCGCGCGGCTTCAAATGCACACGCAAAGTAGGCAGTACATCTCGGCTCAAAACATGGCTGCGCTCTGACAAGAGCTGAGCTGACTTGTGCCTCTGGCCTCTGCTGGCTCCCGTGCAAGCGCCCACGAAAAAAGCCACTCGGAACGACAACTGCAAGGTTCATGTCTCTCTCATTTCCACAGCATCAGCACAGACGTTTCTGCCCCCCTCCGCGAGAGAGTTGATTTGCCGGCAAAAGTCCTCATACCCGGCAGACGACAGACGACTGGACGGAGATACATGGAGGAGAGCACCCAGGACCCCACAATGTGCGGGAGCACAAATCTAAGCCTGCCACACATGAGCAGTCCTTGGTTTCTGGGCGCATAATCTGTGTAACACAACCACCTGTCTGGATGACTCGTACTTTTTGTTGCCTGGTTCATTTGGGAGGGAGGAGGGGGGGACACAAAGAGAGGAGAGGAGAAAGACGAGCAGCTTGGGCTGGCTTCGTTAGGCACCTTTGCTTGGGATGTTGAGATCTCTCTTGGGTCTCTATCTACATTGGCGATGGACGATTTGACGTTCCAGAATGCTCAACCATAATATTAAATCATAGAATGAGGAATTAGATATGAATAGCAACACATGCCGTTTTTTTTTTTTATTCGCTTTAGAAGACACGATAACATACTACAGCCCAGCCTCTTAGCTACCTGTACACAGCAGTGGATGTGGCAGCAATCTGCCGGTGGCTTGCAAAAATCCAGGCACGCGTCTGGGCCGGTGTGTCGTCACAGCATTTGGATACGTGCACCTGCGAATCGCGGAGGTAGATTTACATCTCCATCCTCTTGCTACGGGGTTTCGGCAGGTAAACCCGTATGGTTCGGTTCATCTCGTGCATTATTTTCTGCTCCAGTCCGTTTGTTGAGTGGCTGCGTTTTATTGCTTCTCCTCCTCCGTCATCTTGGAAGTCAAACCATCCCCGCAGCAGGCCTCATAAGACAACGATCTGTTTGCTTTCAGCAACCTCGCTACTCTCTACCATATTACCAACCTTTTCTCTTCTTGTTTCTGGCTGCATTGTCGCGGGAACTTGCACCTGAAATTACGTTCTGCCTTTCCCCTCCCTCTCCTCTCATGTCCCTCCCATCTCCACTCGCTCTCCCAGTCAACCGCATTTCCTGTGTAACTTGCTCCCAAGTACAACAGGACATTCTTGTGTTCAGGTGTGCTGTTGTTCGAAGCCCCTGCTGGGAGAAATTACACCATCAGTGAGGCCTTCTCGAGAACAGCTTGGATACATAAAGGAGCCCACGACTCCTGTCCTTGCTGTTGTCCTAAGCAGAGCGAGATATAAGGCAGCTATCAGCGATAACAGCTCGACTACCACGCATTAGGTACCCAAGCAGTTACAAACGCGAATACGAAACAGCTGCAAACGCAGCAACAAACTGAGGCAGCAAAAACAGCAGCTGCAACTCCCACAGCTTTTCCTTTCCTCCCCCTTACCCAATTCTTCATCCTCTTCCTTCCTCTCCTCTCCTTTCCCCCTTGACACCTTTGCAAATCTTTCACCTCCCTGGATGATTTGCAGCATCTGTGCAGGTCTTGACCATGCCTATGATATTCTCAGAACACATGGAGCAGTACGATCTCGAGGTCGTGTTTCCTCGAAATGTGAACTTTGTGGTACCGTATCAACGGACCGAGGTTGAGTATGTGCATGCTTCCATCTCGTTTCTTTTCATTCCAATGCTTTCCCCGCTGTTACTGACTCTATCCTACTTCTTTGCCCATCTCTAGTATCGTCGTCATCCATGGTCTCAATATTGAGGCCAATTACTACGTGCACAGAGACACTTGGTCCTACTGTGGCAAGATGTGGCCTAGGGATATCCTTCCTAGCTGCTTTGGAAAGCGTTGCCGCGTCATGCTCTTCTCCTACAATGACGGCCTTTCTGTGAATGACGAAGACACCCGATTCATCAAGCATTGCGATCGTCTCCTTCGACTTCTCATGGAGAATCGCCTTGACGACCCTACCCGACCACTCGTCTTCATCTGCCACGACGTTGGCGGACTCATCGTCAAGGAGGTTAGTTCCAAGCGCCTTGTTTCGTATAGTAACTCGGGAAACTTGACGGCTAACGTTGCATCTTGTGATGCTACCGATGTAGGCATTGGCCAAGGCCCATCTGGACAAGACTGGCACCATTCACATCATTGATCAATGCACTCGCATGCTGGTGTTTTTCAACACTCCTCACCACAACGTGGCCAAGTCTGTGCGAAACATTGCCAGCGCTGCCGTCCGCCCTACTCCTCCTGAAGTCCTTGACATGCTGGACAAGGCGTGCAACGAGCACGTTGAACGCATTGCACCTCTGGAGCAGAGAGGACGCCTCTACCGCCGACGCTTGGTCATCAACTTCCATGGCACCAATTGCTATCGCGGCAAGCAGCTCGTACGTTGTCCCTCCCAACATCCCTCCTTTCCCAAGAACTGCGCTGACCGATCAACTTCTTGCTCAAGCTTGTTGAAAAGGAAGACACCATGATGAACGCCAGGCCCGAATACTGGGAGAAGCACTTTCCCATCTACGGTGACCACACTTCCATGTGTAGGTATCCGTCGAGCGAAGACATCACCTGCGAGACTGTGCTCAAGACCATTGGCCTCAACACATATCTTGCCATGCGTATGTTCCCTACTTCCGAAATTCTCAACAGAGCGAAGTTTCGCTTTTGAAGGATACACTGTCCCAGCCACCAAAAGAACACCCACACTAAGTTGCCCAGAAACGGATTGCTAGATGCGAAACATTTGCGAGGAACGAGTTCTCGTACGGCCCTTTAATCGTCGCCCCGTCGCTTGTCTCGGCCCGCTATTTAAGATTGACCCAACGTAGGCAGACAAGTAGTTTACTAGATTGATTTGATGTGCTTGTTGATGGAGGATTTGGTAGTTACTGGCGTTTGGGAGGTAGGTAGTGCTTTTGGTAGTGTTTTAATATTATTTGAAATTGAACACTTCTCAGTGCCATCATGATTGTAATCATATCAATTGAACCTTCCAATATGGTTGTATGGTTCTCTCCTTTTTTCAGTCTTTAATCTTATTCTTGTACCACAAGTGACGCGTTCTTGGCTTCTTGGCCACTCGTTCCTGCTCCATGAGGCACTGCAGTGTAACCACATACCAAAGCACAAGCATTGCGAAATCCCACCCTCCAGCTTCCATCTTCCAGCTTCCACATTCCACATCCCAAAACAATCCAGCTGAACAGCACCAGACGCTGCAATCTGTCCAATTCACGTTTTCATCCAGCTACAACACAATCCAACTGCTCTGTCGAGAGCAATCGTTTGCTTTCCGTGGCAATCAAAATGCAGCGACAGACGCTGAATACGGCTGCAGTAAGGCCACCTCTGGCAGATGCTTCTCGTTGAACGACACTGATGTTTTACCATTTATTTGACAGACCATTTGACACAGAAAATCACAGTGAATTGGAATTCCATTAACCCTTTGTTTTATTCCATTATCAAAATTGAACACAAAGCTATCGACATCTCGATGCACCTTTTCACATTGTAAATACCAGCTAACAGTCATGTCCTCAGGAGCCCAAAAACACCCGCATTATTCCACAGACACGCTTTTTACACAGCAGACAAGCTGTTTCCAAGGACGTTTGCTCTTGACGTCTAATTCACTCTTCAAGGTCAAGCGTCGGGAGGCCTTTTCCGCCGATGAACAAGAGCGAGTACAAGGCCAACAAACAGCCAAGCGAACTGTTCCAGCGTCAGCATCAAGGATCAACGAGGGAGAGGATGATGGAACCATACATTACCAGGGCAAGTGCCTTTCTTCCTCTGAACTTGGCAACAAGAGGCCTCACTTGCATTGAAGCTAACACGGCACCCACGTGAAGGGACGCCGACGGCACAAGCGAAGAATTGTCCCGGAGGAAGCCATAGCTGTCGCCTGGTTGGAAGAAATATCGAACAGGCTGCTGGAACATGAGCAGCTTGTTGAGGCGTGCCATGTTCAGCTCACCATACGTGAATCGCTCGTCAGCTTGCCCATAGATCCTGCCGCTACTGAGCATCCGGTCGACAAACCCCTTCCAGTCGTCAAACTCCAGCTCTTCCGGGAGCAGCTTGCATGATTTTGCAATGCGAAAATCGCTCTCATGCGCGATGAGAGCAAAGTACGAATACACGAAGCCCATTGCGCACTTCCAGAGCTTGCTGTGTTCGCAGGGTTTGACCTCTGACAATTGCAGGCGGCGTCGTACGAGCCCTGATGATCGAATGATGTGAAAGTCAGAAGCGTAGGGGCAGGCTTCGGGGCAGGCGATGAACTGCCGCCAGAACTCGGGCTCCATGAGATACCTTGGGAACGGCTTGATGAAGATCTTTCCTTTGGTCCAGAGCAGGTGAGTGTCCATTTTCTCCGTGACGACGATTTCGAGGCCAAGAGCCTGATGATGGTGGATAGGACGCGGAGGCGTGACCTTGCCAAGGATGGAGAAGTAGGATGAAACTTCAGTCAGCTTCTCTATATTGAGATCGTCTTGCAAGAAATAGTGAACTCGTTTGTGCGGCGAACCTAACCAAGCTGTTCCATTGCGGAAAAGGGCAGGTAAGATGCGTCGAAGTTCGCTTTCCGTGAGAGGAGACTCTCCTGGTTTGATGACGGGCAGAGAAAAGGACACCTTCTAAACATTCGTATCAGCGAAGAGGGAGGGAATAGAAAGTATGGGATTATCGGTGAGAAAGTTACCTTGTCTTCGGTGGGAGTTGAGGAGTCCATTGTGTCTGAACAGCAACTGATTACAATTGTCAACAGATCAACAGACGGCGAAAGTAATCAAAGTAAGAGGCAACGAGAAGCTACTCCAGAAACAGATTTATACCAGCGCACTAGCATTGACCTAGTAAAGGGGAGACAGACAGAAAGAAAGATGGCTTGGACGGTTGACAGGGCATAAATACGACAAATGAGAGAGAGCCAGCATTTGAGACCAGCAGTCAGCATCTCGAGCCGCGCCTCGAGTTCTATTGGAGCTTCACACGGCTGCTATTGACACCATCAGGTGGCTTGTTTTGGGAGATGCAAACATGATGCATCACTGTCTCTGAACAATTCCACACGTGCTACACCCAGGAGCGGCACAGACGACGATCAGCACCGAGAACCCGGTATCCAGAGCTGTGCTCACACTCATTAAATTGGATAGCGAGCTAATGGTGAAGCTTCAGCCCCTAGCGGCAGCATCTTCATCAGCTACTCTCGCTACCTCTGACTAAATGGTCTAGGCTTACTGCATCAGTCTCGAAGCGATTCCTCTCTATTGGCATTTGCCAGCCGTGTGGCGGATTCGTTTAGCTGAGTTCTAGGTGCTTATCCTTGCCGCCTGACTGTACTAACCAAACAACCAAAGCAAACTGAAACTCGCAAACAAGTTGCTTGAAGCCCGACGGCAGTGGTGAAGCCCGACAGCCCTGTCTCATCAATTCCGCGCCCCGGATACCTTCTTTTCCCCTGTCCAGCAGGGATAGCAAGCCACTCTACAAGTACCGGTACGAAGTACATAGGATCAGGCAATTGGCTGCCAAGACATTTGCGTTCACACCCTCCCCCCCTCAGCCTCCGGAACAGAAGACGCAACCCGCGTAAAACACAACCCACAGTCCATCACAGACACGCAGCTTGCATACGCCTGGCCACCCTCCTAATTTTCTCGAAATTACCACCTTTTGGCGGTGTGACGGAGGTGTCTGCTCTCTGTCCTACGCGACCCCTCATGTGCTGCGTACGCCGCACCGCAAAAAAAGAAAGTCACAGGGGAAAAAAGGTTGGGGGCTGCATCTCACGGGAAGTGGGCGTGTATGTAAAGAGAGGGCTAGATTCATCCGAGAGATCGGATGTGAGCGAGTCCCGCCGATGAGTGCAAAAATTCCCGATCATCATGAGTGTCGGCCGCAGCCGCTGCGAGACAACAAGAACAGGCCATGGTAGAGCGGCTGGCGCGAGGCCTTGATGATCGTACAGTAAGTGTGTTCATGTCTCATTATCATTATCTCTATGTCATTATCATTTCGTTCGCTTTGAGCGAGCTGTTCGTCCAAGTGTCCTGTCGTCGGGCCCCGACGCATCTTTGTCCCTGTCTGCTTTGCCTATGCAGTTCTGCTTTGTCCCCCGGTGCTCATTCATCGTTGCGTGTTGTCATTTTGCCGTCGCCCCCTCCGAATTCATAGTTTCATTTCACTTGGCCAATTTTGACAGATGACAGAGTCAAATCACTCAGTCTCGACCTCTTCAACTTCCCCAACTTCCTCAATCTCCTCAATCTCCTCAATCTCATCCACTTCGACCACTTCGACCACTTCAGCAGACTTGGGTACCTCAATCACCTTGGGTGCCTCAAGTTTCTCAACCCTCTTGACCCGCACTTCATTGGCCTTTTCGATGGCTGCCTGAGCTCCGGCCCACGGCTTTCTCCCTCTGCCCATGTCAAAAAGCCTATACACTGCCGAGACGTTTGGTCCGTCCATGATAAACTTGTACAGTGTCCGGTTCTTCCACCAAAACTTCCATGCTTCCCAGCCCCATCCCTCGAGTCGTTCCATAATACCGGTTCCAGCCGCAGCATTGAGCCAGGTATAAGTGCCTCGAAAGTCTATACGGAGACCAAGGTATGCCATCGGGCCACGTTCGAGCGCTCGCACCACGAAATTATAATGAGAATCAATCTCCCTCTTCATTGCCCGTGGCGTAGGGAGTGGGTAGCTCCCAGACCACATACTGGCAAGTGCCATAGTGGCGAGGTCGTAGAGCACAAACGTAGGCCGCAAAGTCGTCAGGTTACCCAGCACTGCCAGTGACTCGGGATATCGTTCTGACAGGATGCCGTGGTAGAGTCTTTGATATTCGCTCTCCTTGTTGTGGTGCTTCGCACCTTTAAGACCCTCAAAAGAGTCCATCGAGAACTCAACATCGGCAGGATGGCCCTCGCCTTTGATGAGGGACAAATCGTGATAGTAGCCGCAGCAAAAGATGATGGCGTCAACGTCTGTGATCTCGCTGCCGTCCTTGAACACAACGGTCCGGGGACCAGCAACACCCATGATGCCGGGATAAATCTTGACATCGCCACTGTCTAATAAACCAGGCAGTTCATCGCACACAAATGGACTGCGATACAGCGGGCCGCTGACAGAACCGCTGAAGCAGGGATGTGACCTCAAGGTTGGAAAGGTGTAGCTTTGTGCGAGGCCGATGGCTTTGCCCGCAAAGTAATTCGTAGCATGGGGAGACAGTCGCATGCAGAACCGTATCATTGAGTCGGTGCGACGGGTCATGTAATGGTCCCACGGCTTTCCTCCGATTGTTCTGGGGATCTACACGGTACCTTGTTAGCGGCGTCTTTTCGACCAAGATTCTGGAGGCCATCTTTGAGCATTTACCAGAGAACATCGGCTCCTGCTGCTGAGATACAGCTTGTTTGCACCGGCCTGTTTCAAGAAGCTCAGCGTGTCGGCTCCAGTAGAGCCCAGGCCGACAACCAAGACGTTCTTCCCGGTGTATCTTGTCGGGTCTTTGAAGTCGCGAGAGTGGATGGCGTCCCCGGCGAACTTCTCGATGCCTTTGATCTCGGGCATGTTCATGACGCTCAAGCCGCCTGTCGCCAGGACGACTCTGTCATACTCTCGCTCCTCTTCCTCGCCGGTTCTTGTGTGCCTGGTGGATACGATCCAGACGCCGTCTTCTTCGTCTCGTCGGATGCTCGTCACGGCTGTCGAAAGCTCGATGTGCTTGATCAGCTCGAACTTGTCCGCATATGCCTCGAGGTAGTCGCCGATCTGCTGCGCGGAAGGGAATGACGGATAATCTGTTGCATAAGCTGGTCAGTAACAATCTTCCGGGTGTTTCGTCGTGCTCGTATCTTACCATCGGGCATCGGGAAATCTGTAAAAGAATTCTGCAGGACAACATCTTTGCATGAGCCTCACGTGCCATGAATCAAACCTGGTTTTCGGAGTTCACGGCCACTCACCGTCTCTTTCGACATGTTTACCCTCGTCTCTGGCAGTGCTGAAACTTGCTGCGCATCCACCGAATGGTGCCAATTGCCTCCGAGATATTCATTCTGCTCCAGGGCTCTCACGTTCAGGCCCTGCTCGACGAGATTTTTCACCGCCAGCAGGCCCGTTACGCCCGTGCCCACGACGCACACATTGTTTCCCACGCCGCCTTTGCCTGTGCCGTAGGTGTCCATTCTGGCGCAGTCTTGGTGAGAGTTTTTCCCCCTCTATGCTGTTGAGGCTCCGTTATGAGAAGGCTGAAGAGGGAAAGGGATAAAAGCTCGAGGTTGGTGGGTGCGCAAAATGGAGCTCATGGCCGTTGGGCATCTAGCTCAGGGGTCCCCGTCCCGTCAGCTAGTGCCATCGAAGAAGACAAAATCGCTTCCAATGGCATAGCTACCGATAGTCATTAATGGTTGGAGGTGTGGATCCGCCTGGGCGCCGTTGAAGATGCTCCCGGACGCTAGAGCAATAAGAGTAGGTTGGAGGACAATGCTTACTTTGAAGTTATGTGTATGGGCTGATGCTTTCACAGGTCGATGATTCGGAACAAAGAGTTTTGTCATATTATATCCGATTGAATTTTCTTTGTGACCTCTTCTTAGACTGGACCTAGTATGTCCGTGGTTTAGAAGACATCAACAGGACAGGTCGATGAGAAGATCAGCTTACAAACATTAGCTATGGTTGGGGTCCGATTACAACCATCGCCCACTCCAATACAGCTCATGACGGCATAATGTTTCCTTTGCATTTATTCAACGCAAGTATCCTGTTTTGATGCGAATTTTGTGTTTCTAGCGGCAGATCAAGATCACTATGGCATTCGCAAATTAGGACACAGCCCTGAGAGGATAGAAGATTCCCTGCTTACGATTTTCTCTTAGGTCCACCGTATTGCCCTGGGACCAGCCGTGACATACCATTGGGTCGACGTTGAGTACCTGTTTACTATCGTTCCCTCTGCCAGGTGAGAAGATGTCTTTTTTCTTCAACCATGTCAAGACCTTTTATACGCACCTACTCTCTACGATAAAGTATAGCACACGATCATTAACCACTGACAATAGCCCTCAAAGCCATGTAATGACACGACAAGGGTCATTATTAGTATGGATCGAGAAAGAATCTTTGCGTCAGTATTCAGTTGGCTAGACTGTCGGATCACAGGAAAAGTTACACCGAAGCCAGTATTATGGATCCCGAAGGCATGCCTTTTGCATACTTGCATCACGATATGGACAACTCTGAGAAGCGTTTGTCAAACCACCGCCTGTTACAGATCCGCCTGGAGAGTGCGTTTCAATCTGGCGCCTCCTCAACGTCAATGCCATACGCCATCTGTCTCGAAAGCGGCATCTTCTAGACATTACCGTCTTCTTGTGCCGCTCTGTCTTACTACTCAGAGTTGGATGGAAAGACTCGTTAAGAGAAAGCTTGAGTCATTACCGTCTAATACTTCAACGAGTCGAGACGAGTCGAAGCGATATTCCAGTCTTCTAGAAGGTCTCTGCCAAAACCCCGTTTCTTCTTGCCCAACTACAAGCAACAAGTGGGAATTAGGCACCTATTCCTTTCTTCATGTGCTAACATGAGCTTCAGCCCAACCCTCATCACTCCAGCGTCTTGGGGAAAGCGACCGCGTTCAAGATTTGAGGAGTCAAAGAACGTAGTCCCTCTACTGATTAGTTGAACGAAGTGAAGAATCACTTAGAGTCGGGCCACATGTAAGCTATACATCGCACTCTCTGTATGTCTGTACTACTGACTTTGCTCTAATAACCCGCGATTATGCTTCTTTCTAACGTTAACGTAAGATTCCGATATATATATGTATTACATCGACTTGCCCTCTTTGGTTCGTTGTGTGGAATCGAGAGCAGCCTCATTGTGCACATTGATCAAAAGAGTGCCGTAAATATTAGTCGGCGCCTTCAACCTTGTCCATCATCATGGCATTAGCCACAACGATATCGCACTACCAATCCAGCACCCCGAGGCAGTTTAATCAATTTTCAGAATTGGTTTCAACAAGCTACTTATCATGGTGAGCTTATTCCAAGTTGGAAGAAAGCAAGGCTGAGCACATACGCGAGACGACTAATGGCTGGCAGTTGGCATGCGGCCTCATTGGAACTCACTCTTGACTATTGGCTTGCTCGCATTGCTATGAGGAAGAGAATGCCGAATAAATGGCCCGAAATGCAGACACGAAACCGCCCCATTGCAGTCCGTTGGTGCGTGTGTTTTCTCGGTTGGGTAGAGGTATGCCCTTTGATTCGTTGGTCCTATATTTTGGCAACTTCACACAAGCCCCAGAGCGAGACAAAGGGATGGTTGAAGGGCCATGGAGAAAGTATTGGAAGAGCACCTCATGCACTTCGTTCGTGTTGAATTTACTCCTCACAAACCCGACACGCCGACGGTGGCCTGAACGATCGCACCAGGATTGATATCACCAAGCCAGGCACCTGCAGATCATTGTGCAAGCAGGGATGATTTCACGATGCCGCCACATCAATCCCTTGAGTACCAATATCTTAGCAACGGTGAAATCATGAGCATGATCCCACCAACTCGGATGACTTCGCGGGATGCTCGAGCAGAAGATTCTACCTGAGCAGGGAATTTCACCTCTAGGAGATTCAAGAAGCATATTTGAGGCTTTCATCAAGTCAGGCAGAGTGACAGAAGCCTATCGCCCACCAAATCAACCAGACGGGGCGATAGCCGAAATGGATCACAAACTCCAAAGTCTTCACCTTCTGTCGAATGGTTTCCATGTTCCACAGATCTTCCAGGCCGGATTGGGGGTATGAGCTATTGTATCTGATTAATGATACTACAGCTTGTTCAGCCGCATATACAAACTTAATGGTAAGAGGGTCTACAATTGAGCGTCAAGCCGACTAGGGCTTGCCTCTTAGGTGGCCTGCGTTAATCTTTTCGACATGTAGAGCTTTTTCTGTGAAAATCAACATAATCAGTACCTCAAGAGCATCGCTGACAATGCAATAGCAGATTGGTGGGAGAGATAAAGCAACAGGCTAACTACATGCTTTAGATACAAGCAAATCTCTTCGACGATGAGAGACTTTCTTGAAATAAACAGTCATGGCTCAAAGACCCTATAATCTTGTTCCTGGGGTGAGAGCACCCTAACTCTCTTGGCCCCATCCGATTGCATCTTGGCCTTGCGCTTCTGCTTTTTCTTGTCCTCGTCCTTTTGCTTCTCTGTCCAGACAAGCTGCCAGGCGTCGCTTGCAAGAGCTTCGGTCACGGTTGGTCGGTCTTGTGGGTCCCAAGCCAGCATTTTGCGCAAAAGAGCGGTAAAAGGTGCTAGATGATGGTATACTTCAGAGATTTTACCCAGATGGCCCTGAAGCCGCCGGTGGGTATCGCTTGTTACTATGTTGCCATGTTTTGGTGTTGCAAATGCATAGAGCCACGAGGAAGCTAATGCCCAGATGTCGAGTTTTGTTCTGTCCAGTTCTGCTGTGGCCCCCCCGTTTTGCCATACTTCGGGTGCCACACAAATGCTTGTCCTGTGAAACATCTTCTTATCTATCTGGCTCATGGAGAGGGACAAGACAACTTTTTGTGTTGCAAGCGTCTTGGTGTTCAGGCGTAATTTGCGCGTGGTGTCACCCAATATAAGCAGTGACCCGGGCCGGATATTCCCATGAACAAGACCTTGCCCATGCAATTCGGCAAGGCCTAACAGCGTCTGGTGGAGATATAGAAGTCGCATGTCAGCTGCCAACTTGGACCAAGGAAGATTTAAGAAATTGTACGAGGCCAGCGGCATCGAATAATAGATACAGCGACACTCGGTGAGCGGATGGTTACCCGGCGCATCGAATAGGCATGGAGGAGAGGTCTGGTGATCGCACCAGACGTCGATAATGCCAAGGATGCCACTGTCTTGCTTGTTTTGGTTATGGAGGGCCATCTGAAGTAGGTTCACAATACGCTGGCGTGCATGGATCAAATCTCTATTGCGCAGCATTTTGATAGCGACCGGTTGTCCAGTGTAAATGTTGACGCCGGTTGTAACATCGGTTGTTGGGATTTGCTGATGGAGCCACACATTCCATCTGGTCTTATTGTATGGAGATGCCATTGGAATAAAGTTGAACAGACTTGACGGGACCAGACCATGATATGCACTCTTTACACAATCGTTGATATGCGCAGTGAAGCTGTGGTAGGTCTTTCGACTTTGTGTCGCATATTTCAAAAGGAAGCGGTATGGGCCGATATTAATGTAATTCTTTTCTCTCCGCAAGACGCATGATATGCCGTCGCCCCATTTACCCAAACCAAGCTCCAGGTCATTATCGTGCATATCGCCTTGCTCGTAGATCATTGGCCGGTCACAGATTGCTTTGAGCATGAGTACACCTGACTTCGCATGCACGTAAATGCTGGCGTGGAAGTCTTTGATGTATTTTCGAACGGCTTGGGAAGCTGGTGATGTGCCTGGTGGGCAAAGAACAATTTGTGGGTTGTTCTGAACCAACCCTTTGTCCACCATAGCCGGCGATGCACCTGCGCCAATCTTCCACTCTAACCGATCCGATCCCAAGCCAGTGTCGGAGCTGGTTTCAGAACCGGTGTCAGAACCGCTAGAATCATGATGATCAGATGTCACGGGCAGCGATAATTCAAAGCCAATGGAATTTCCATCGCTGACGAGATTCGGCGGTGACGCCTTTGCCTGGATGAGCTCAAAGAGGAGAATGGCGGCATCGTTGGCAGCGGAGAAAGTAGCAAAGAGGATATCATTTGGTAAAATATTGGCATTGGCCTCCATTGTGCAATTCTTATATAATATTAATAATCATGAGACAAGCGAAGAGCTAATACTTGAAGTAGCGACGGAGCAATACTTTGGGAGTACCAGCTAGGAAACCAGCTTAGTATAACCAGGTAGGTATACCGAGGTACCAACCTATCTTCTTCGCATCTTGGTGGTGACGCGCCCAAAAATACGTGGCGGTTGTTCGGACGCGTCAGCCTAAGTCGCGATATCACGTGAGATACGTCTCCTCACAAGGCATCCTATATGTCACCGTATTCTAATTAAGACAACAGACTAACAACAAGAATACAAGCTTTGATTTACTCGTTTTACTGGTTGTTTCTTTGAAAATAAAAATAAAAATGGTCAAGAGAAAATCTGATGCAAGCTCAACTTCGCCGCGCAAGAAAGCTAAGCTGGACGAGCCGACCGAAACTCTAGCCAATGCTGCACTATCCTCATCTCCTTCGCCCACATCATCATTATCTTCAACATGGCAACGACGCGAGAAGCGCAAGAGATCAGATAGCACCCTAGTTGACGATCCAGATGAATCAGATACAAGTACCAACACCAAACGAGCCAAGACACAGAGCCCGACCAGCTCGAGACGTCCGTCGCCCAGTCCCAATCCCAACGGTGCCCGGCCGGTGCCCGGCAACGACCAAGATGATTGGGAGTGGGAGTGGCACGACGATCATCCTGAGAAATTCGAGCATATATACTGGGAGCCAACGGACTTGCCCGAGAAGGCAAAGCGGTGGCGGAGAAGGGTCGACCTTTTGGCGAAGGGCTACGTAGGCTGTGTATGTGGAAAGATGCATTATGCAATTGGCCGGAAATCGTGGCACTACCCGGGTCAAGAACCAGAACTGGAGGATCCAGAGGAACAATTACCAGAACCAGACGAACCACACGTACGATCAGGGTCTGTCTCGGCGTACCAAAGTCGAGGCCAAGAGCGCCTACTCAGCCCAGAGCTCTCCGATGATGAGGAAGCTGTTGGCAACGCTCAACCCAATTCCGCGCCCAGTGATGTCTCTAGTGTGCGGGAGCCATCGGTTGCGCCAGAGTTGCCAGTCTCCGTTATTGCGGAAGCATCAGCTGTTTCGCCCACCAATTCGCCCACCAATTCGCCCATCGTTACACCTACGGCGAACAATAGTCGCCTTCCGTGCGGACGCAACAATGCGCAGCGGAATATTTCAAAGCCAACTACGCCGCGCCGAACAAACAGGAAGAACAAGAATAAGAACAAGAAAGACCAGGAGAGCAAAGACAAGACAGTTAAGCGACAGCCTCGAAACCGGAAACCAAAGACTACGCTCATGGTTGAGGAGCCTGTTGTCTCCAGACGATCATCTAGGAGAAATGCGGGATCTCAGCTGTATTTCCTAGATGACAGTGGCAAGGCTTGCTTAGTGGCAGCATCGTCAAGATGAACATTTATTGGGAGAGACTCCAAGGCTTGAGTACCAGTTGGATTAGGGGAGGGCATACCCGTTAACCTGGCAGGGCTGGGGGCAGCGGGCAGCTTTCATTTCCCTAGTATGAACTGACTACCTCTTTAATCCTTTGTTTGATGCCACTTACACGTCACCTATCTGGGCATGGTCGTTAATCCGACAGGGTCGGAGGCAGCGGCGCAGTCTGAACTGGCGGCGGATGTTGGCATGACAAGGTAAAAGAGGGTTTAAAGGCATGGTCGTTAATCCGGCAGGGCTGGAGGCAGCGGCAAGTCTTTAAAGGACTCAGGCATGGGGCCTCTCTCGATGGATGTGACTTTTGCATTTTCACTTTTCCCTTTGCTCCCCCTATTTTCTTATACCCTTTTGATATCCATACCTGGGCAGAGCGTTGGAGTTGTTGGACAATTATAACACGTAGGATAGAATTGATGTCTTTATTCCCTATATTTCTGGGAAGAGCGCCGAAATGATAGATACATGCGCTCTGATATTGCTATTGACACGCAATGTCCACAAGGTTCATCATCCCCGTGCACCACCTCTTGCATCTGCTATCATATCAATCCTACTCTAGGAATGTGTCGATTGCATAGACAACGTATGACGGAGCGTGTGCCCCAACATGAGGGGCGAGAACGACAACGCCGACATAGCCAGTAGTCAAGGCCGCTACTTCCAAGGAGCGAGGTATCTTGATTCTCGAGTACCTAGTAAAATATGCACATATCTTGAGAATGGAGTCCTGTTAAGAATACCTAGGTATTCCACGATAAGTACGTGCTCGTAGAGACGCATCTTTGAAAGTACTGCCCCCTCCATTGTACTAAGGTAGACTGGTAGTACTGAGGTACCTGTCGCGCTTCGTTGAATGGGAAGGAGCTCCCATGACACCGCCTCTTCCTCTTCCTCTTCTTTCAACCATGACTTTTCCATCCGCCAAACAAATCTTTTTTCCCCATCGCATCCATCTCTGCAACGTCGTATATGCTTTGGCAACTAGTTATCACCTCCCAGCTTCGTCCGAATCGTGGGCCTTGATGCATCGTGAGGCAAGTCTTCCCCCCCAATGATCCGATTCGCTCCAAGGGCTAATCATTTATTCAAAAGCTCAATCTTCTCTCGGCAGCTCTCCCGTCGCTTTGTTCTGCCAAGATTCGCGAGGACCTTGCCTTACGCTGTCTGGACTGTCAACGTGGGCCACTCATCGTATAGTCCAATCGGTTGCTCTTGGAATTCAGCAGCGGCTGTTATCCAAGTATATCAGTGCAATGGTAAGAATGATTCCCACCGTGGCTTTTCAGATGTCAGCGATGGCGATCTGAGGGTCTCGATGACGAGCTTTCCCTTCGTGCAATCAGGTGAGTCTGCAGCCAGTTGTTACTCAGGCCAAGAAGATGCTGCGATTCTCTTGAATCAGACTTGCGCCTATTCACCGAATCCTGCTGATTAAACTTTCCCAAAATTTCGACCAGTGAGCAGTGACAAGCTTTCTGAGAACATGCGAACAACTTCCCAGCCTCAAGAAAGGAGTAATCGCCGTCGCGAATCTTGAATGGCTCGTGGTAAACCAAGGCTCGCCGAAGAAACCGATTGACGCATCATCCACTACAATTAGAGCAAGACATTATGGCCAAACATGGATTTTATTTTGATCTAATGTCAAAGGTATGTCACCACGCCGAGTTCGAGTTGCCCTTCTGTCGGAAGCTTGCTGATATTTCAGTCCAGTATGCCGTCGCCCACAGATGCAATTGTTGTAGCAAACACAAAGTAGCCCAATCTTTTTTTCTTGTCTCTTGATCGAACTACTGGCACAAAATGCTCGCAACTCTCCCCTCTGGCTCATGCACCATTTGCGAGGAGGTATACGAGAGGAGAGTATTCCCTCCCCCCTCCCCAACCCCGTTATTCAAGGCAATCGATGCGTATCCCTTGGATGGAAGATGATCTGGTCATAATAGAATCAGGCTAATACAACAAACTAGGTGATGATCAAAGACGGGCACTCCAGCACGAGGAAATATTCCGATCGATGTCAAGTTCTCCGCCTCTCTCTCTCTCGCTCCTCTCCCCTCCCTCTCTTTTTCCTCCCTCGGTGACTTCAGAGATGGCATATTCATGTCATTTCTAGAAGTAGGCTGGAAGGTTTCTAACAGAGCAACTTTATGGTGGCCGTAGCACCTTTCCTAACATCTCGCTACCGACCAGAATCTAGCTGGCCAGACTGCATCAGGCTAGGTACAGGACTTCCTACGTGGAATTGGTGTTGATCCAATACAGGAAACATCAACGCAGAGCGATAGCCGCCTTGCATAGCCCTTCGACAACACGTTATGTTACAAATGGAGAGCGCGTCGAAATACTGGTGAGTACTCAACGGGACAAGAACTGACATTACTTCATTCGACATAGATCATAACAGAGGTCAGAGAGAGTAACACTGCGTGTGCCAACAATTTATCCTGATCCGTGTATGCGCCTCCCGCCATGTTGCGAAGAAGAATATTCCCCTCTCAGCTGCCACATCGGATTTGAAGAATTCGATTTTTACAGTATCCATCCCCTCGTCCAAATTCACGTCAATCAAACAAAAGAGATTTGATCACAATCTACAGCGCACGACCGAAAAAAAGCAAAGAGCAAAGGTTGGCGCACAGATGCCCTTCTACAACCCGGAGGAACGCCACACTATGTGAGTGACTACCGACAGAAAAAAAAATTCAATTTTCTAATACTTCGCCTAACAGTCAAAGAATCCCAGCCAAACTCAAATCGAAAATTCGCTGCCAAACTTTTTGATAAGCCATTCGACATTTGGGTGCATTCTGAGACTGTAGGCGTAGCGCTACCAGATGACTCACTATAATATCGCAATCGCTCCATAGTATCGCCAAATCGCATAATTTCACAGCAGCTTCTTCTGCACTTGCTCACCTCATTTCAACACCAGCCGCAGCAATGGATGAGGCTATCGAGCAGCTCCTAGAATGGTCTACTTCGATAGGAGTCGAGCTGAATGGCATTCACCCAAAAGCCCTCCACGGACGAGGTATTGGTATTGTTGCTACCCGGCACCTAGAGGTAACTTTGATTTTGCTCTTCCCGCTATCCCCACTAGCAGAATTTGATTGAATCTCTTCGACTCGCTTATGTCGCTGCACTCGATCCTGCTCATTCAACTACCAGTACTAACTTGGATATTTAGGCTGATGAAGTTATCCTTAAAGTACCTATACCTGCTTTGCGCACTCTCAGCAACACTCCAAAAGACATCATCAAGAAACTGAGCGGTGCATCTGGTCACAGCATCCTTGCGGTTTCTCTCTGTCTAGATGATGGCACTGCCACCAACAAATGGACTCCCGTTTTCCCTTCTCGGCAAGACATTGCCTCGAGTCTGCCTATCTGCTGGCCGGCTAAGCTGCGCTCTCTGTTGCCCACAGGAGCCAAGACTTTACTCTCAGCTCAACAGGAAAAATTCAACAAGGACTGGGCCATCGTGACGGCAGCGTATCCAGAACTTCACAAAGATGACTATCTGTACAGCTGGCTCCTTATAAACACCCGAACTTTCTACTACACAGATCGTGGTACAGACAAGCTGCCCAGAGAAGACCGCATGGCCCTCCAGCCCGTGGCGGACCTTTTCAATCACACGCCCGAGGGCTATTGCGTCGCCAATTTTGACGACAAGTTCTTCACTTTTACCACCACGCGCACACACCAGCCTGGCGAAGAAGTATTCATCCGCTACGGGCCTCATGCTAACGACAAGCTGCTTGTGGAGTATGGCTTCACGCTGCCGTCGTCCGTGAACCCTTGGGATGAAACATGCCTCGATTCATACATCTGCCCTTCCATGACCGTTGACCAGAGAGACCGCCTGGAGGCTGTCGGTTTCTGGGGGAAGTACATGCTCGACTCCCAAACGGCATGCTACCGCACATATGTTGCGTTGCGGATGCTCTACCTTCCACTTAACAAGTGGCAAGACATCCTAGACGGGACTAGGGATGAAGACGAGGACAGCCATATCATAGACGGGGCAATGCTAAAAATACTAACCAAGTACGACAGCGACATCACCAGCGCTCTGGAGCAGCTGGGGCAGCTCGAGGGCAGCTCCGTTGGCGACGAGGAAATGAGAGGAATTCTCACAGACCGATGGCTCCAGATTAAGCATCTGGTGGCACAAGGCAAATTGCGGTTGCAAAGCTAGCACCGACAGAGTCGTCCCCTACCTCACCATCCCTTTCCTCCGTCGCTGATTGAATCAGCACCCTATCAATCACCTGTACACACGCGCGCACAAAGCCATCATGATGCCCTTTGTTGGTTTTTCCTTTTGCTTGATCATCAAATTGTTTTGCTCTTTTGAACCATACCATGTTCCATCCTGTTTTTGTTCCCTTCCCTCCCTTTCCTGGCATGCAATAAACAAAGGAGAGAATAGAAAGCAAAGAGCCTAAAGACAAGAGAAAGAAAAGAAAAAATTACAAAATTTCCACAAAATGCTCTCTGACTCCTGACGTCTTAACAACCCAGCGTTTGTTCTATTATACACTGTCGAAAAAAAAAACAATTCCCTTCCTGATGCAAACTAACAAGATATTTTCCCAACGTCCGTCAAAAGCAATGGGGCAAGTGTTCCCTTCCTGTTCCCCTAATACAATCAAATCAAATCCATGTTATGCTCTCGCGAAGCATGTCGAAGCATGGTCCAGGTCTTGATCCTATGATGGCAGAATCGGTCTTGCTAAATCTCGTTACTCGGGACGAGGTCGCTTCGCACCGTGAGGGTTGCCCCAGTTGCCATCGTTGCCGCCGCCTCCGCCTCCTCCACCTCCACCTCCGCCGCCGCCGCCGCCTTGTTGTCCAAAGCCGAATCCGCCTGGAAAGTTGGGAGGCATGCCCTGGAAGCCTATTTGCACAAGTTAGCGGCGTACCATAGAGGTTGTGAAGAGATGTGTCTGAAGACGGACTGGGACGGTGAAGTGGCATTGGAAAGATGGGAAATGGCGGTGGTGGGACGCGGCCATAGTAGCGATAGCCGTTGACAAAGAAGAGGTAGTGACGCCAGTATTCTATGTCGCAGACCATGCAGCGCAGCCCCGGGGTGCCATGAATAACGCAACCCCAGATGGAACGAGCCTGTTGGCCTCTGGCTATAGCGGCAGCTGCAGCGGCTTGGTAATATTGCTCATACTGCTGTTGAATCTGGGCCGCCGAGTGCGAAAACGCGGGTGCACTGGCATCTGCCGCTTGACCTGAGCTTTCTTCCTTGACTTGTGGGTTCTGCTCTTGCGGCACTTGCGGCACTTGCTGCTCTCGAGGCACTTGCTGAGGTTGTTCATCTATCATCTGCGTGTCCTCTTCAACTTCTGCGTCTTCATCATCATCGCTCTCCTCGAGAATGCTGCTTCCTTCAGCGTCGACATCTTCTTCTTGGGGAGCGTCTTCTTGGAGCTTCAGAAGACACTGGGCTGTTTCTTGAACCTCCTGAAGTTGTTGCTCCTGAAGCTCTTGCTCTTGCTGCTGCCGCTGCTCTTCAGTTTGAAGCTGCTGCTCCTGGACTGGCTGCTCTTCTGGCTCTTGATCGGCCATGTCCACATCTGGGAGAGCTGATGATGGTGTAGGGGATAATGACGTCGACGAATCTTCCTAGGCCATCGCCGATACAGTTTGAAGGGGAGGGGTCTGTGGGTTAGGGGTAGGTGAAGTGTCTGCTTCTTGCGTACCTGGCATTCCGTTACCCATCATTCCCATGCCCATATTGCCAGGCATGCCCATGCCCATGCCTCCCATATTCATGCCCATCATACCGCCGCCTCCGCCGCCTCTGCCCCGGATCATGTTCTGGCCGCCTCTCATAGTGCCGCCGGGGCTGCTTCGGTTGCCGAAAACGTAATGACTGCCACCACCTCCACTGGCGCCGCCGCCCATCGGGCCGTTGAAGCCGCCGCCGCCGCTTCCCATGTTATTATTATTGTTATAGCCCATGTTTCCGCTGTAGTTGCGATTGAAGTTGGGGTTCATGCCGCCGCGGTTTCCACCCATGCCTCCTCGGCCGCGGAAGCCTCCATAGCTGCCTCGCTCGCTGTAGGATCCAGAGGGAGCGGCTCGCGGCTGCTCCTTAACGCGGGCCGGTGCGTCCTTGGGCAGGGTTCTGAAGGGGTTGACGCCCGGATTCCAGTAAGAGATGGTCATCTTTTTCTGGCCAGGCTGCACACTGTCCATCGCAACAGTATCGATCTGACGCTTGGCAGCGGTGGAAGCTTGGCGAGTGTGGAATTCGACATAGGCTTGGCTGCAGGGGAAGCAAGATGGATTAATTAGTACGAGCAGCGAATAAAGAAAACAAATGAATTGAAAGGCGGATGTGCATATTTGCAACTCACCCTTTGCTCTTTCCATTGACTTTGTGCTCGCTGAAAGTGAGCTCCTTGATTTCTTTCTCGCAGCCGGCCTTTCGAAGCCAGCCTCTGATATCATCGTCTGTCGTCCACCAGCTGAGCTCTGAAATCATAATGGCTGCTGTAGCGCCGCTATCGATAGGCCGGTCGTTGGGGTCCTGCTCCTCCGACTTTCTCTTGACCCCATGGTGATGTGAATGCTCTTCGATGTCGTCACTACGGCCGCTGTCATAGCGGCGGTCGTCTTCATGATCATCGTCTCTTCTGTGGTCTCGACTGTGATAGTCGTAGTCATCTCGCGAATGACCGCCGCTATGGCGGCGCTCTTCCTGACGAGGCTGGTCGTTGGCGTCGCCATCGGCATCGCCGTAGAAATCAATGTCAAAGTCGGGGTCACCCATCTCGTCGGATTCGTATGTTGGTGGGAGTTCGCCGGCACGGACGGTTACATGAAAGTTCTCGTTGTGTTCGGATTCTGAAGACACTAATGAAACGACGACTTGTTATTAGGATATTCAAGCGAGATACAGGCGATGCCTTTTGGCATGTAGAGTGAAAGAAGAAGGCCATTATTCAACAATGAACGATTGCAATGCTCCTCTTGGCACCTTGGAAACGTCGAGCGTACTTGCGATGCTTCCCCCTTCTCTTTTTGCCTCTTGTTTGCCCACAAATAGGAATAGGAGAGTTATGAACAAGATCAAGGTGATGACAACAGCAATAAGGATGTAGGTAGATGAGGTTGTACAAAGGAGAGACACAAGGTTTGACAAGGAAAAGTTCACAAGGGCTAGGCTTGTTGGTACGTACAGTCCCCGAGAAAAAGGTAGCCGGAAAGCTAGCTCGATTTCTCTCCAAGTCCGATGATCTTTGTCTCGCTTCCTTAAGATCGTGCCGCAGGATAAGGTTCTCTAGCCGGACGCTCCCTTGATGGCACCCTATGTCTCGGCCGATGTGGGTGGTGGCGGCCCAACACCAATTGCGGCTCGCAGAAATGGGATCAACGTACAAAAGGTGCAAGAGGTTGGTTGATTGGGATATTGGCCAACGTTGCTGACGGCCAAAGAAAGACGGGAGTGACAAAGAAGTGAGAAAAGGGAGAAAGAGGGGCCAAGCTATCTCCCAAGGCTAGCTTGGCTGGCACGAGTCTAGGCGGATGTTTGCGGTTCGAAGCTCAAGCAGCAGCAGGAAGTTCGCTTCCTCCTCGCCGTCAGCAAGAGATGATCGGGCAATTGTTTCGCGTTCCTTTGGGTGGGACCGAATCGAGGCCTGAAGGCGCTGCGGCCAGTCGGCAGCTTGCGAGTGGCTGCAAGGCAGCTTTTGTCCGAGGTCGGGAAGAGAGGGAGCGAACAGGGGGGGCTCAACAAGCAGGCGGCAGGGGGGAAATGAAAGGAAGAAAAAGAAAAAGAAAAGAAAAGAAAAGAAGCTATAAATGACACAGCTGAAGCGGGCCAGCTGGAGAAAAAAAGGGGGATAGAGGATGGATTAGGGGAGAGAAGCAGGAGAATGGAAAAAGCAAAAAAAGAAAAAGAAGAATTACCGGAATGGCGCGAAGAGTAGCGGCGCGTCGCTGCGCTGAATCTGGATTGCCAGCAGCAGTCAATTGGGAACCTCGCTCGGATACAAGGCTGCAAGTGGAACCGAGCCGGCGAATGCCTGCTTGTTGGCCGTGGGGAGGATTTTAGTATGAGAAGAGAGGATGTGAGGAAAAAAAAGATGGAGACTGTGAGATAATATGCGCCGGTTAGTGAAGCTTTGAGCCAGCGAATTCCGCCTGGGGGCAAGAAAAAGGCAAGGTGGGCGAGGCTGAGGCGTGGATGCACGAGCCATGCGCCACAGCTGGCCAGATTCCAGAAGGCCATCGGCGCTGGAAGAGCGATTTTCCGGGTGGCTGGCCTATCACGGATCGCCAATTGCAGAATCACGGGATGGGGCAGGGATGCAGCTCCCCATATTAACTCTGAGTGTCGATCAATCTGACACTTATCCGTCCCTCTGCTAACGGGATTTAGCACGATAGACGCAGCTACAGTGTCTATTGATACTACTTGTACTTTGTAGGTGCTTCTGATTGAACACTCGTCTATGTAGCAGGATAGTCAGTGGCCAGTGGGTTGGCTAGCATGGGGGAAAAAAAAGTCCATGCACTAGGTACATGTACACAAAGAGCTTGTGACGGGAAATGATCAAGGCTTCGTGCTGAAATCGACTGCAGGTACCTGGTTTTGCCAGAAGAATGTGCCATGGTCTGTGTAACTGGCGTTCGCGGCAGGAGAATCTGCAACAAATCCGATTAGGCTGTCGACAGCTGCAGCATCGCAGCCACAAAGCAGCTGCTGCAGCGGGTAAATGCGGGCGAAACAAAGCGCAAGCAAAGAAAATACAGAACTCATGGGAGAAGGGGGCGAAGAACAGACGACACAACACCAAAACCAAACGAATGCTTCTCTTTGGAGTGTTTGCATGCAGGCCACAACATGATAAAGTACTTTGTAAAGTCCGCTGTAACAACATAAAGAACCCAAGACCTCTTATATATTCATTTTGCCCCTGTCCTCGCATCCATATAGCCATTCTTCACCAGACCGTTAAAAAAACCTTGAGTGGTAAAACGTCTCTGGGTCTGACCTCAACGACTCATTAACGCTGGCCCCAAGCTTGGGCTCTCCTTCATCTTCAGATGCCCCATTGAACGCATGGACTGTGCAGGTGCCTCGTGCCATGCTGTATCCATTCCATGCAGACGCTACGGGAATATTAGCATGGGCCAAGATGGAGTGAAGGGGTGCCAGAGAGAGTACTCACCAACAATGATGGGCGCGCTGGGATGCCAGCTAGCATCGCGGACGCATGTGCCCCAGCCTCCGGGCTCGTCGAAATAGACCCGCGTGCGGCGGTCGAGTCTCCTCGTCTGATCAGTTGCACCCTGTACATCGATTACGCCCGCCTTGGTCGCGTCCATGTTCCAGATGTGCACTTTGCCGTCTGCACTGCCAGAATAGACGTAGCGTGAGTTGGTCGACGACGGCGGCGAGAAGTGGCATCGGATAAGCGTGCGGAGGACCTTGTGGCCACGGAAGGTGACGAGAGAGTTGTCGTGGGGGTGCACGTCCCAGTCGTCTTCGTCGTATTCGTCTTGCCTATAATCGAACCTATCAAGCCGTGTGTCGTTATCCTTTGTGACTTGACGGAACCGATCCGTTGACATGGCCATGCGCAGATCCCACAGCTTCATGCTCTGCTCCTTGCCGTTACTGAGGATGTATCGCCCATCGCCCTTGCTGTCAATGTACGTCAGGCCCTCGGTGTGTCCCACAAAGGCGCCAGCCTCCCGATTGTCTCCCATGCTTCGCCGATCCCACACTTTAATGGTTGTGTCGTCTGAGCCGGAGTAGATGATGTGAGGGGATGCCTTGTCCGCAAAGCACACGGCATTGACATCATCCTGGTGACCGGTGATGTGATGGAGGACTCTCCTGGATTCAATATCATAGACGACTAGTGAGTGAGCACTGGTGCCAGCAACAAGCTCTCGTCCATCTCCCGAAAATCTGACGGACCAGATTCCAAAGGACCCGCGGTTACGCCAAAATGAGAGTCTCGTATGACCTTCTCCGTCATCAAGCTCGAGAGAGTACGGCTCACCCTTGTCTTTGGGATCGGTGGGAGCTATCGAGACGATGCTTTGGATAGAGGTATACGCCAGCCAGCGGTTGTCCGGACTCAGAGAGGCGTCTGTAAGTGTCCACTGGCCAAAGGGGTAGCTCACCGTTTTGTACAGCTTCCAGTTGTAGGGGTTGGACGTGTCGTACATGCGTACTTTGAAATCTTGACAGCATGAGAAGAAGAAGTTGCCGTCGTCGGAGAACTGGCCGGAGTAGATGGGGTGATCGTAGTGGATGATTTTCTCCGCTCTGCTACCGGGGATGAAGCTCTGTGATGTTGGGTTATTGTTAGCATCAACCAGACAAGCATGAGCATCATAAACAATCCAATCCAGCCGTCACTATTAACGTCACTAAACAGAGGTACGCGCCATAATGAAAAGGAGGAGGGAGAAATGTACGAACCTGAGCTAGAGCACCATTATTTCGCTTTCTCCAGATTCGGTCTCCTACACCGACCTCTCGCTCAAGCAAACGTCTTGCAATAAGTTTTTTAGGTCGCAGGTCAACATCGCTCATACCAAAGGCTCCAGACTCCATGAGCTTTCTGCCCTCCTCACTAGGGACTTTGGGAAACCGGTTGGGGTCTTTTGGTATGACAGGTACCCCGCGGCCGAGACCAGTGCCGCGGAAGAGCGTCATGAGCTGCTGTCTTGTCAAGAGCCCCGACCTTTGGCCAGCTTGAAGCCATGACAGTCCATGTTAGTAGAGGTTGGTAAATAGAATCTAGGATAGAAGCAAAGGACAAAAATAACAATAGTTGCAGAGTGAAAGAGGGGCCTTACCTCTTAACAATGAAATCAACCTCAAAGCGGCCTCGTCTCGCCCAGCCTCTTCGTCGTCAATGACAATCTGGAATCGGAAATCGCCAAAGGCGTATTGCATGCGGTCGTCGAGTGCTGGAGCTACATAAGAAAGGGTTATCCCAACGCGCCCTCATGACTCTTGTCGTTGATTCTTACCTTCTCGTTCTTCTTCTTCCTCATCATGATCTAAAGAAAGCAACTGAGTTCAGTCATATAGCCCTTGAAGAACAATGGGATACAGGGGTGAATTATTACCCTCAAGGTCCTCGTCGTCCTCATCTGGCTCATCACGATAGTCGGGATCATCCTCGTCGTCATCGTCTTCGTCCTCATCCTCAACCGCACCCCTCTCGTTTGCATCCTCATACACCTCACCATGGTCATCATCATCATCATCATCATCATCATCATCATCATGGCCCTCGTCGGCAGTGTGCCAGCTCCCATATCCCGTTTGCTCGGCATCTCTGGGGTCCCACTCAAAGGGTCCTTCCCCATCACTGTCGTGATCACCAGGAGTCCATTCCATGGCTGGGGTAGCCAACCGTCTAGATTTATGGCTACAGTCGTTGGTCCCAGCGGATGTACAGGCAAGCCGGGAGTCGCGGAATTGTGTGGTTCAGGATGCGGCGCAATCGAAGCCGTCTGCAAGCAATAGCAAACGCCGGAGCTGTTCAAGATGGGCGATGTCTACGGAGAGAAAATGTCACGGATCAGAGGATATTTGTCAGGCAAAAGAGGATCAATGCACTCGGAGTTTAGGTAGCACGTTGATTACGGCAGCAGCAGTTGTATGGGCGATTAATGGCGACCCGCCGTGAACTGACGGTACAGTAATATTCAACAAACGCCGTGACGCCATCTATCTGGTGCAGCGGGGAAGATAGTGGCGAGCGGAGGGGATTAGATAAGATGCGGGTGAGCAAGCGCCTGTAGGTGCGCTATCAGAGCGTCGTTATAGTGGACGGGCGCCTAATATTTGGGGGGCAAGCTCATAGTGCCCAGCGCCCTCGATCTTGGGCATCGACGCCGATGCCGTTCATCTCAACTCCGGACGGCAAATTGAAATGCGCCGCTTGCTATGCCGCATCCGAGGTATGTATTAGATAGTAGTAGTATCAGGATGTGTGAATGACTGATGCAGCTCTCGTCGTGATTTTGGCAAGGGTTTCTGGGAAATGGATACATTACATGCAGTACATGTAGTACATGCACTCATCCCATAGTCGCAGCATCGCAGTATACTCGTCCTGCACAGCAATACACAACGTACCTCTCTAATGCTTCAGGTTCCTTTTTCATGTCCACCAGCCGGGAATACGAAATAGCACAGCATTAGCACCAGCAGAGCTGCTCGTATTTAGCGCGCCAACAAAAGACACCGCCTACTGTACTCGCACATGTAGGGGTGAGGCAGAAATGCAGTATTACTACGGAGTACAGACTACGGAGTGCAGTAGAGATCCATCTAGAGTCCAAATCACTCGCCGCTTTCGAATCCACTGCAAACTCCACACTGTACTTTAGTTCCAGCAAAGCAATGCCACCCATCTGTAAGGAGTCAGGAGAGAGGAGAGGCAAAAGAACGCGCAGCCCTTTTTGGCCCCGATTGGCGAGCGCCCTGCCCTGCCTTGGGCTTGATCCGGCCCGGAGTTTTGTTTCAGACACAGGCACTGTACTATGTATTCGTACAGTAAAAGCCCAGGGCAACATTGAAGGCTAGAGCCTGCTGGCAAATTCGCTTTCAGGGGGAAGAAACAAAGTTTCCCACCTGGGCAGTAGCGCTTCCATCCAATTGCCCCCCGTAGTCCGCAGCGGGCTTAATGCCACTAACTGCAAGCATGCAGAGGTACTTGCGCCGTCTATGTGGGCAATGTCCAAACCCCAAACGACCACCTGTACCTTTTTGCCCTGCCTGGTAGCATCCATATCCCAAACCAAAACCCCGGCTTCACGAGTACGCAACATCTTCTACTGCAATTGGAGGGGAAGGGAAAAAAAAAGTGAAGACGACCTAGCTCTCTTGTCTGTCTTCCATTTACGGACGCCTCAGTCTCCTTTTCCCCAATTCACCACCTCAACGCTTTCGACTTTTTGTCCCTCTCCCTCATTTTTCTTTTTCCTTTTTCCTATTCCAACTCTCCTTCTTCGCAATCGCCCATTTGGCCATTCCTTTGATCTTGGATCGACGAGAAGCATTCCGTCAAAGTTAATCCTCTCCGAGCCCTGTGCATCCACCAAGGACACACGAGCCTGCATCCTCAATCAATCATTCCACCCCCCCTTTCCGCTTCTCATCTCGCCTCCATTGAGGCCGTGTTTTAGTACTGGTTCCATCGGATTGCCCTGTTCCACGCCTTGCATTCGGCAAGGCTCGTGTCGTGTCCACGGACCTGCCAACATCCTGATGCGCTGAGGACAGCATTCGCTCATTAACTAGTAGCTCCCGAGATCTACCGCCACCATGCAATTCTCCGCGAAGCATTCTCCTATCCTCCTCCTCCTCCTCCCCTCCATCGCCAGCGCCCTTGCGGCAAACCCCGCTGCCGGTGCCGTCGCCGGCAATGACAAAGACTCGGGCCCTGCCGCCGATGTAGCGGATGTCGCGATGCTCAAAGGCCGCCTCGGCGTGCCCACCAAGGACGCGCCCGTCGACGGAAAGGATGGCAAGCCTCATCTCGGCCCCTTTGTCGAGACCGACGGCACTGCGTCGACCGAAACCAAAGGCGAAAAGGACCTGCCCGCCCTCAAGGGGCGTCCCAAGGATGTCACAGTCGTCGATGGCAAGAAGATTCCCGAGTCCAACGACGGTGTCATGTTCGACAAGAACCGCGCGAAGCCCCAGGATGGCACCACGGGCACTGAGGGAGGTGTTTCCGAAAAGGACAAGGCCCGCAAGGCCCACGAAGGCAAGACTGGCGAGAAGCTCGTCAATCAGCCTGAAGCTCCCAAGGAGCACCCCCCGATTCCTCACAGCGAAGAGAAGAAGATTGAAAAGGGCAAGGACAAGACCAAGGGAGGAGACGCCGACAAGGAAAAGGCAAAGTCAAAGTCGACATCTGACAAAGATGGTGAAGACACGGGTTACACCGGGCTCGAGGTATGACTGCAATCCCGCCTGCTTTTCCCCTTAGAGTGTTGAGAGGTTGAATCAAAATCACATCAATGTATCAATACACTAACGCAATGATGGATAGAAACCTGGTGATCTTCCCGATATGGATCGCCAGCAAGTGTCGCCGCCCGTCCCCGACTCCGCAAAGAAGGATCACCTCGACATTTCCAAGCCCCAGACTGGAAGTTCCTCATCAAGCCCAAAGGCCGCCGAACAGGAGGAGGGCATTATCCAGCCTTTCCACTCCTTTATCCTTTCCTTCACCATGATCTTGGTCTCTGAAGTTGGAGACAAGACGTTCTTGGTTGCGGCTCTCATGGCCATGAAGCACGACCGCATGGTCGTCTTTTCTGCCGCCTTTGGTGCCCTTTTCGTCATGACCGTTCTATCTGCGGTCCTGGGCCATGCCGTTCCGGCTCTGATCCCCAAGCGCCTCACTGGTCTTCTTGCTGCGGGTCTGTTCTTTGTCTTTGGAGCCAGACTTTTGCGAGAGGGAATGCAGATGGACCCCAACGAAGGCGTCACTGCCGAGATGCACGAAGTGGAACAGGAGCTTGCCGAGAAGGAAAAGGAACTTGAGCGTAGAGGCGGCTCCATCTCGGGCGATGCCTTGGAGATGGGTCTCGGTGGCAGGACTTCGCGCAAGAACAGGTTCCCCTCCCCCAGGTCGCCTTCAGAGTCACCCTCCCGGATTCCCTCCCGCAAAGGCAATGGCAGCGGCTTCGTCAGCGGCATCAGCAATCTTTGCTCCCTCATTCTCAGCCCCGCATGGGTTCAGACCTTTGTCATGACCTTTTTGGGCGAGTGGGGAGACCGAAGCCAGATTGCCACCATTGCAATGGCTGCTGGACAGGACTATTGGTGGGTTACTCTCGGTGCTCTGGCTGGACACTGCATCTGCACGGGTGTTGCCGTCATTGGCGGCCGAGCCATTGCTGGACGCGTCAGTCTCAAAGTTGGTAAGTAGCATGTCCAGGCCTCTTCCCTGTGGCCTTGTTTTATTAGATGAGCATGAGTTCTGACCAAACATGTGTAGTGACCGTCGGTGGCGCCGTTGCCTTTTTGCTTTTCGGCCTCATTTACCTCATCGAGGCTCTCTACGCATAAAACGCCCTGGTCTCAATTCATTGATATAATATTAGCTTGATTCTAATTCACCATCACTCTGCTTCATCCGGATGACCCCGAAAAAGACCTCTCTCTCGCTCCCCCCTTTTCCTTCTTCTCTTACTTCTCTTCTTCTCAACAGGATATCAGCAAGCGCGAAATCTGTTTAGAACTGTATGATGAATACCTTGTCAGTTATTATAATTTTTTCTTCTCCTCTGTTGTTTAATTACTGCGGGTATGCTGGCGCGTTTTCCGCTTGAGCTGGGAAGAGGAAGGGAGGAGAACAAAAACATTTGGTACGGCACGGAGGATGGAATACAGGCCCCAATGGTAATAGATGGATGGATGTTTGGGGTTCAGAAACGGACGACGACTATCTGTATTGATTGGATGTTCTGGTGGAGTTTGTCATGGCGCTGCATTTTGGGCTTGAGTCGGGTGGCTTCTACTAGTAAAGACGAAAAGACGAACATGTTGGCTGGGCGAAATATGAGTCAGTTTCCGTGATTTTCACATGCTCATTTTGATAATGGTGGCATACAAGGCAGCTGGTTACCCAAGGATTTGATGTGAGCCAACTTTGCGTTTGCTTGTTTGTTTGTTTCTTTCGTTCTAGATCTTTCGTTCTAGGGCCCGAGTTGGCTGCGGGATAGGCAAGAGTGGCCTGATTCTTTTCAAGTAGCCGCATGCCGTGATGATCCTCGACGAACTTGATTTGTCTAGTGCAGTTTCATGTCACGGCGCTTCTGCGGACAGGAATATGGTTCCGAGAAAGGTGCCGGTAGATCGATTTTAGCATCTGGGGTCCTCGGTACATGTATGCCCGACCAAGGACTGGCTCTTGACATCTTCTCTTGACAGTCTAGGATCTTGTGTGTGTGGATCATTGACGCCGGGATGAACCTTGAATCACGGTTGTTGTTGCTGTTGGTCAGCCCTGTGAGCGAGGCTTGGTGTTACACGAGGACGGAATATTTGCGCACCTGCAGCTTCTTCTTTTTTCCTCTTCTTTGGTTACCATCGCATCGTGTTGTAGGAGGGTAGAAGGGAGCTACTGGGGGCTGTGATGTTGAGATGGTGTTGTCCTTGAGCCCCTGACTTTTTTCTTCTTTTTTTTTTCTGCTTTCTTTCCTTCTTACTATATTTATTTTTACCTCTACTATTTTGGTTTAAAACGTTTATTTTATCATTTCTTAGGATGTATGGAATTATTGGCTATTGTATTACCAAATAGTATTGCCCTGCTCTTTCCTCGACTATCTATCTGGCTTCCTGAGGCATCCAATGCCATGGTGTTTTAGGCAAGTATTCACAAGACACCACAAAACCACCTCAGCAAGAAATCACCAGAAAGGATGCCAGCCTAATGCTACCCTACCTTTCTGTCTTTACACCCCCTCCCCCTCCTTTTCCTCCAGTGATGACGACGTCCTTGATCGAGCCTCGCCTATGAAGCACGTTGACTGGCCGAAGCGCCATGTTAGACTGTGTGGTTGCTGCCAGGAGAAACGAGCAGACCACGCACAAAGATTCCCACTCTTCTTCAAACATTTCTGATGCCCTGCAGAATCACCAAAAACAGTCCTTGGGATTGGAGAGCAATCACTGAACCCATGTGAAATGAACCAAGATACGGCAAATCACACAAATGACACCGAAACTGATTGTGACAGCTGACAGATGCTTAGCCGCGATACGATGGTGGCCTGCGATGAGGCAGTGCCGGTTTGAATCGATCATCCGCGTCCTTACAATCGAGATTCCCTCAAAGGGGCCGTTGAATCGGCTGTCGCTACGAGCCAAGCAGTCTGTCGCTTATAACATGCTCAACGGGCAAGGTTAGCCGTGCGAAAGAACGCCACAACATCTTGGGGGCCCTCTCGGTTAGTTCCCGAGGCCATCAACTCGAATTTTCTTCCTTTGTCGATCTAAAGAGGATGTGGCGTTTTCGCGTCCATCGCGCCGTACCTTGCAGCCTGGACCCCCCTTTTTATCTGTGACATCGTCGCCAACAGAGTTTAGCATGCTGGTCATCACGAGGCTCGAGAGCGTATGGTGGAGGGCTCATGGAGGTGTTGGCTCGCAAGACTGGTTGAAAGAGAACTAGCAGTCCGCCACTCTGTTGACACATGCTGGGGGATGAAGGACTTGGCACAGGTCCTGTCTTTCATTTCATTTTCTTTTCTTCCTTTTTTTGGTTACCCCTATGCGACGTTCCATGTCTTACTGATCCTAGGCTTGTGACATTCCGAGACCTCGAGGTGGTAAGAGAGAGGGCGCTCGGTACAATGTGAAGCGAAACATGGACGTGCAATGCGTATAAAGTAGGCAGAAGCGAATGCCTGGATGCTATGGTCATCCAAGTGACCAAATGTGCGAGCTTGAGCTTCACGTTGGCCATTTCTTTGCTGCTTGACTGTTTGCACATTCCTCTACTCCTTCTTCTTTTGCTTTTTGGCTACACAGCGGCTCTGAACTATACAGTCTGATCAGACTTTCAGGTCCTCATCAAGGGCTCTATCATGTGTGAACTTGTCCATTGTCCTGGTTGCGGAGAACTCATCTCCGAGTCTCTTCCCATCTCAGAATGCTTTACCTGTTTGTCGTGAGTAGTTGCACATTTGTTGTGTTGCCGCCCTTTGTTCGTATGGGAGTTGACGGGGTTTCTACAGGGATAATGCACCTCACCCTTTGCACGAGAGCTCGAACTCGGCTCCTCCCTCTGGCACGAGAGCGGAATTCACCCTGTTTGTATTCATCATCTGTAATGAGGAGCTCGTGAGCGTTTCGGACCACCGTGTCGACAGTTCCGAGCGACGGAGGAACAGCAGCAGGACTACGTGAAGCATGCATCAGGTCCTAGTGTTGAAATACGCCAAGGGCAAAGGGGCAGCCCAGTTTTCTGCTGGCTGGACGATTCCACCATGTTTATGGACCAGACGCAGGTGGATTCTACTTCTAAATTGATGGGTTGCCATGGTTAAATTTATGCTTAAACGATGAAATGGTGCTTTGTAATTTCAATCATTCAAATGCCTAGAGGGCAATCTTATTTATTAATCAACATCAAATAATATTTTTGGGTAAATGCTTCAGCATCTCTTGCACCATTTTGCATCAACTGGTGCGGATGTACCTCTTCCATTGTTCTATGTTTAAGACTGAGGGAGGACGATGCACATTGACGTTGGCTGAAAATACGCCAGAAGGCGACAATTCAAATTATAATATATATCCAAATGGATTTGCAGAACAAATTCCTTGCAGTATCAAGCATCCATCGATCAATCTGGTATGGTTGTCCCGAATAAACAACAAAAAAGAGGAAAGGAAAGGAAAAGGAAAAGGGATAGAAATCTCTCTCGCTTGCGCGCCTGCTTGCCTACCAACCGCATCACGTTCCCGCTAGTGATACATGATAGAGTTCATGAAGGACATGCCAATATACTCCCTCTGGAACTGGGGCGGGAAAATAACCTCGAGGTAATCTGGCCAGTCCAACATAGGCTGCAGGTGGTGAAACGCCTTGGTGTATTCCCAATACTCCGGGTACCACCCGCTCTCCTCCCAGTCCAAAATGGCCGTGACCTTGAACTTTTCTTCGTCAATGAGGATGTTGCGAGGAGTCAAGTCGCCATGGGTGAAGACAATCTTGTGACCGTGAAACAGGGCGTGCCTTGCATACTTTTGAATCATTTCAGGCGTCGTAGAGGCAATATCCTCGAGAATGAACCTGTTAAACTCGCGCTCAGTCTCAAAGGGGCCGCATTCGAGCGGCTTCTTGTTTCCGATCAAGGCCTTTCCCCGGTCGAGGGCCCCAATGTAGGTGCCTTTGAGGTCGCGCAGTTGAGCCATGTACCCCTTGAGCTCTTGGGCAATGGCCATCTTTTGCTCTTTGCTCAAAGTGTCCCAGATTTTATCGAGCCTCTTACCTGGAATGTACTCCATGATGATGGCCGTCAAATGGCCGTCTTGCCAGTCGGTGTCGTACACCTTGGGGACGGGAATTTTCGTGTGCTCGGCAATGAACTTCATGGTTTCTGGCTCGTATGCACGGAGGCTTGGTCCGCGTTTTCTGACCTTGTCTTCTCCGTATCGGCTTACCTTGCGGTTGAACACGGAGTGAAAAACTTCGCCCTCTAGTATGTCCATTCTCTGCCACGATAAACGACATTAGCGCCGTTCCTCTCTCCACAAGGCAAGCTTGGGCATCACCACACTTCTATACCTTTTATTGTTCCCAAAGCTGGCCACTAAGCAGGCAGACCAGTGTAGTTTGCAGCCAAGACCTCGCAGTCAGAGCGCAGAGGAATGGCTAGAGAAGGTGTTCTGTCCCAAGCAATCAGCTTCCTTGAGCGCGGATGCAGACTAGACTTTTGGTATTCACTGACCTTGTTCTCCCTCCTTCTCTTGGATTTGGTAGCAGATGAGGTATATCACCTTTGATGCAGAGTAGCGGTGTTGAGTGTGTTTGTGAGGAGTAGCGCTGCAAAACCTCCGGGGGGGGGCTGAAGGATGAAATCGAGCAAGAAGAGGGGTTGGGAAAAGATATTTTCCGCGTCTACAAATCAGAGAAAGCACGTACTTGGGCGAATCTAAACGTGCCTTCAGCTTCTAATCTGCATGATACATGATACATGATATCAGGTACTCCGGGATAGGTACTTTATGCAAGCGAATGCTTTGGGCCACGATGCAGAGACGCAGAGCAAGAAGCCCAACAGCCTCGGATCCTTGGCAGCACATGTGATATTTTGGCAGCATCCATTGCAGAACGATGCAGCATTGCTGCCAATCGAACTGCTGTAAATCATACGTGCGTGGAACCTTTGTTGTACTTGAATGCATTCAAATGTTGCCAGCCCGCTCTTGGGCAGAGAGCAAGTACCTCATATCGCTAGGATTGATTAGTGTAGGATCACAGGGTGGTATCGATGGAGCGGAGGTAGCCTCTACGTAGGTACAAGGCAATGGCTTCCAGTTATTACCGGGCATGGGTTCCCAGGGCTTGCATTTTCAAAGTACGATACACCAAAGTACCTTAGTGATGACGCGGGGTTGTGGGATTCTTCGGGAAAGCAGAATCGGCATGGGTAAAGACACACGCCATCGTATGTATATTTGATACTATCATGTACTCCGTACCTACCTATGGTATCTGTAAAGAAAGAATCAATCAAGCTGCATGTATACATCTCCGCTGGTAAGTGCCCAAGCTATAGGCAGTAGTACCCTGGCACTACTACTAGGTGGGTAGGTAGCTTCGGAAAGCGGGAGACAAGGTTGATGCCATCGATCGCTTCTATTCAACACGACGTGTGGCTGATACGAGCAACAACCGCTGCTCTTCCACCAGATGGAAACAATAAGCGGGCTGGAACTGGCTTCCGTGCTTCCATGCTTCTTTCTATACCCACCAGCTGGTAGCGCAGCGGTTTCCACTTTACCGAGTCTTTGTTCTCGCCAATCCGACCATCTTTGCGATCGCTTCATTTTCCCGCGATGGAAAGGATTTAGCGCCGAGCTTCCCCACGGGGGCGAATTGCGGGAGCCGCTGCACTTGTGCTCGACAAGATATTCTTCAGTTGGAGAGAGTGAAAATCACTAGGCTCAAGCGAGCAGTTTCTATTTGCTAACATCTTCCGCTACCTAGAAATCACATCCATCCGATGCGCTTCCACAAGAAAGATGTGCCCCCAACCACGGCCGTGGCTCCAGTAAAAGCAATCAGCGGGCCATAACCACTTCCATAGCCGCCCGCAGCCTGTCCCTGCCACGACATGCCCTTGACCAAGGCTTCGCTCAGAGGTCCAGATACGACATTGCCAATGCCTCGGCCAGCCGCGAGATACCCAAAGATCATGACTGGATCGAACGCAGATCCTCCGTTCAAACTCGGCTTGGACGTGACCTGCTTGATGACGCCGGTCCAAGTCGACGTGTAGGATCCGGCGAAGAAGCCGTAGATGACGCAAAAGATGTACAACACGGCCATGTTGGTCGCAAATCCCCACAGCAAGAATGTTCCGATGACTGTGCCCACCGTTGAGATCATGATGCACGTAGTGGGGTGGAATCGATCAACAAAGACTCCCATGGCGATGCATCCAAACACGGAGGCAACGTTGACGGCCAGAATGGTCAGCGCAGCGGGGAACGGCTCAGAGCCGAGGATGGAGCTGGCGTAGGACGGCAGGTAAAGGCCAGGCATGAAGAATCCCAGGGCCTCGACAATGTTGGCCACTTCGTACATCAGGAACGAGCGGTCAAACAAAAAGCCCAGCTTGTATGGCTTATAGTGTGCCGTGGCAGACACCGGGAGTCGTGGCTTCACAAAGTACACCACGGGAATGGTCAACACGAACAGGGCAACGGCCCAGATGCGAAGCGTCGTCCGCAGTCCGTATCGCCCCAGCAAGAACTCGAGCAGCAATGGGATCGCGAATCCGCCCAACCCGGTGCCGGACCACATAACCCCGAAGGCCAGGCCCTTTCGCTTGACGAACCACTCGTCCATGTAGATGATGCAGGGGCCGTAGCAGATGGAACCGCCAATGGCGAAGAGAACGCCTTGGGTCAGGATCAGATGCCAGACAGCCTGTGAGAAGGAGCTCAGTGCAAGAGCTGTGCACATGATGAGGAGGCCTGCGGTAGGACCATATCGGTTTTGCTTGGGATAGAGTCTCATGAGAGGGAAGACAAAGGGGGCGGACAGGTACATGGTTCCCTGCGATGGAGATCAGTTATGTGTTGGTGGCGGCGACTGATGGAAACAAACAAAGAGGAGGAATCTCACCATTGCAGTTGTACCGATTGCGGCAATGCTAGAAGAGCCCTTGAACGGCTCATGGGTGCTGTAATAGTTTTGGAAAATACCAAAGGCAAAGGGGAAGCCTAGTCCAGCGAAAGATGATGCCATTGTTAGACATGCAGCACATGACAATACGCAAAACAACCGACGAGGTCAGACACTGCACTCACCCCAAACAAGACACTCGATGATGAAGCAAGCCGTCAAGAAGAGCATTGCGTCTTTGCCCGTATCGACGGGAGGAAGCGAGACAGATTCATGCTCATGCTCTGAGGCGATGTCCGGGGAGAGAGACGAATCCCCCGGAGTGGTCGTATCGAGCTGGATCGACTCTACTTGAGGTTGGTCCTCGAGAGAAGCCCGCCCCATGGTGATGAATTGTACTGGAACCTGCCGGCTTGGAAGTGATGAATCAACCCGTCGAGTCGGATAGAAACGAGACGATGGGCAGCACCCAATTGGGGGAAGGCTGAATATATACGAGTATGCCAAAGCAATCAGCAACTCCCGTGTCTCCAACAATTTCCAATGCCGGTACTTCGTCTACTTTGTACGCGGATACGAGACATGTGCTGCTCCACAAATTGCTCTCTGGCGCGCCCTTGTTTTGAGGCGATGCAGATAACAAGATTAATAATCGCTCACGTTCGTATTAGCGGTAACCTTTGGAGCAGCGACGTCATTGAATTCTCCATACTTTGGGTTCCGTAAAGGGGATCATCTTGGTCAGCTGTGGATATTACCCGTATTCATTCTCACCGCAATGGATCGTCTGTCGTGTCAGCTCCATGGATGGCGCCTGTACGGGAAATCCCGGGGGATGCGCAGATGGATCTATGAATGTGTGGAAAGCCCTGCTTTTCAACGCTCGTTTCCCCACTGGTGATGAACGGTGGAAATATTGGGGTAATTGTATACAAAGTACGGAGTACATCGAAAGCGACACCAGCATCGCATTGGAACCTGCATCGAATTCAATTGAGCGCAACACAAAGAAAGAGTCCATCATTTGACGGGTCCATGCTCAAAGCCACTTGGGACATCTTTCACGTTGCCAACAGGACTGATTTCATGCCTCCGGATTTGGGTTCAAAGAATCGGCAAACCAATGGACCGTTTGCGCCACCAAACAGCCCTTCCATTCCATTATGGAAATCTCCATTCGTGAATCACTGACCATGGCGTTCCCTCCAGAGTCTGTTGGGTGAATCAAAGAAATCAAAAGTCTATATAATATATATATCCAGGCTTTTGTATGTCGTCCTTTCCTCTCAGAAATATTTCTAATGGCAAGCTTCTTCGATTCAGACCATCATCTTCACATTGCAAATCAGAGCACAACGGGAGCATGGAGCAGAGCTCTTCAGACGCCACCGAGTCGAATCAGGTCTCTCTCGGCTATGACATCATTTACTACCTTTTAGCAGAGTGCGTGAACGAGCCTGGAACCATTCTCAACTTTTGCCGTGCGAGTAAAAGATGCTACGAGCTCTATATTCGCATTTTATATCGGCACAACGTCCTCTACGGAGGGTGCTCGGCCCTACCATGGGCTGCGAAGAAAGGAAATTTGGGTCTGGTCCGGAAGATTCTGGAGATTCCATATATGGAAGAGTTTGCATCCACGGCCATATGGAACCAAGCGCTCAAAATCGCCCAAATCAAGGACAACGTGGGTTTGGCCGAGATGCTGTTCGGCGTCAAGGCCGTACAGACTTTGATCCAAAATGCGGCAGCAGTCTTGGCTGGAAGAAGAGTGTATCTCCCATATGAGTTTCCTCCACTAGATGACGACAACCACTTGTTGTTGAAACCAATGTTTGAAGCTGCATGGAAGGGCCAACAGAATTTCATAAAGCTCTATCTTCCCTACGTCAGCGTAGATTTACATGACAGTCAGAGCTGGACTTTATTGCACTACGCTGTTGCTTCTGGACACAACTCCCTTATCAAGCTTCTCAAGGAGGAGCATAACGCCAACCCAGATCTCCACCACCATGCTTATTATAGGCCAATTGATCTAGCGGCCCAACATGATCACTCGAGGACTGTGGAGCTGTTACTTTCGTATGGAGTTGACCCTTGTTACAAAGGCACTTCGATTAGCATCGCTTTCCTGCTCGCAGTCTCAGAGGGCCGGGAGAATGTGGTAAAGCTCTTCCTGAAGGATGATCGCATTGACCCCAATGCGCGAAACGACGAAATCAGGATCGGCGGATTAATTGGAACGCCCCTGGAACTGGCTATATCAAAGGGCAGAGTTGGGGTTGTACGCCTTCTTCTTGATGACGCCCGACTCAACCCAAATGGCCGCGACAATCGTGGCAGGCCTCCACTGGTGCTTGCTGCCACCAACTGTTTATGCAAGTCACGAGGTGAAGCCATTCTTGACATGCTGCTGAAAGACAAAAGGGTCGATTTCACTGCCAGAGATCTTGATGGTAACAACGCTTGCTTGGCAGCCGTCAAAAAAGCGTACTATGATAGAACTCGAATGATACTCGAGGCTGGCAAAATTGATCCTAATGAAGGCGACAAATTTGGAGAAACACCCGCCATGTACGCTGCGCAGCACAATAATCGAATACTCAAGCTGCTCATAGAAGACAAGAGGGTGGATCTGAACAAGAAATCCAACAGCGGCGATACGGCGCTGCTCAGGGCCACAAGAATGAACATGACGGAACACGTTGCGCTATTGCTGAAATCGCGCCGCGTCAACGTGGATCAGCCAGACAACGGAGGGAATACGCCAATGATATGGGCCTGTCGCAATTGGGATTCCGTGACGGCGGCGCTATTACTCAAAACGGGCAGCGTGAATCTAGAGAAGAAGAGCAATATAGGCTGCACTCCACTGATGATTGCTGTAGGATACGCTGCCCCCTCTGAGCCGTATGCGGAACGCATCGCGGAGATGATTCTGGATACGGGGCACGACCTGCTTGACGTTCGATACGACAATGGATTCACGCTTCTCGAGTGTGCGGTTGCACAATGCTCGGAGAAGATTGTAGTGAAGTTGCTAAAGACTGGCAAGGTGATTGTGACGCCAGAGGCGATGGAGCTTTGCCGAATTGACGCCTTCAAATGTTTGCTGTGGGAGTATCAAAAGAGATATTGGAGAACAAGACGCTATATATGTTTGTAGAATAGAGTATAGGGATGAAGAGACGTTGCGCTCACTGGAGATGTAGGAACAATTCCATTTAACGATGCTCAAGACAGCCATCTCTAACCCAATCATCCATCATCCTTGGGCATTCACATTCATCTCAGGCATCCTATTACATCGTCATCAACATCCTATTATGAGGAATAACAAAGATAAAAAAAGATGAATCACAAACATCCCCAGCCTAGTTCTGTATGTACACAGGCAGCCCATGGCTATATCCATAAAGCTATCGGAAGACAAGCATTGCATACCGCTCAACCTAGATGAGAGAAGAGAGGGTCAATACCCCCTCTCGGTATCATCGTACATGTTAGTCGTATACGTGTCCGTTGCAGCCTTCTTCTGTTTGTCTGCAGCCGACTCGTTATATTTGTTCGAGAATTGATTGATGCTCGTGAATTATAGGCATATTCACATAAGGTAAGGTTAGATTGTAAGTTTGAAGCAGTTGCTTCGAAAGGATACCATCGCTCTGACTGGTGCAGGGATGAGAGCAACTACGCGAGTTTTAATGATGTCTGCCTGGGACAATGACTGAGTGTAGCCTGACCATCCCGGGCATACTTTACTGCATCAGCAGCTGGTATAGATGATGACTTTAGGTTTCCATTACAAGAGCATGGTGCTATCCGTAGCCAAGAGATATGAATGGGCATATCGAGACCCTCAGATGACGGAGTTGCTGCATGTCTCTCCGAAAACATGCTGCCATCCTTGTCATCCTTGATCTCCGTTGGCGGTGCGGTTGACGGTCAAGACCATATCAGTATAATCATCCAGGTAAAGGACATTCCGGAGCCTCATATCTTCATCTGCGTCGTAAATCTCTATTCCATTTCGTCGTTACTGACTCGTCACAGCCGCAGGGCATCAAATTAGCAGCGTGGAGAGGGTCGGTGGTGATGACGATCAATATCCCAAGACTTCCACAGGCCCATGCAGTCTCGAGAAATTGACGGTACAAACTGGCGGTACAAACTGGCGGTACAACTGGCGGTACATGGACTGTGGACCCACCCATCCACACCAAACTGAGCACCGAGAGCACCGACATGTCAGTAGGTAATAGTTCTAAAGATTGAAGATTGAAGATTGAAGATTGAAGATTGAAGATTGACGATTGAATCAAACATGACCATTAACAGTTCTTCTACACAGGTGCCATGACGGGATCCATTAGCCAAGTTCTTGCACCCAATGGGTAGCACAAAGACAGTGCATTCTATGCATTCTGTACAAATACAAATACTCAAGGCTACTGTCCGGCTCAATTTTTATCTGGCACTCGTACCTTCTACAATCGTTCAACCAACTGATGCCCCGCTCTGCGCTTGCCTGACATACAGCAAAATATACTCATCGCTTTCTATCGAGCAAAAGTCCATCCAACTCTGTTTCTACATTCACGGTGGATACGAGTATGTGCTTACTTCGTCTACACAGATGAAAGCCTCCAAAGAAAAGCCTCCGATAGGCCAAAGCTACGAAGAGCATCAACGACAAAATCCCGTCTTTCCAACCCGCCGATGCTCCGAAGTGCCAAAAACAGCAGGCGAGGGGCAAAGCAACGAATAAGCAAAACACACACACCCCCGAGAGCCGCTGCGGCAAGCAAGGGTCTACTGCCAGCACCCAAACATCATTGGAGAATCAATGGCCCAACAGCTCGTTTCCCTCTTCTCTCATCCGGGGCCAAAATGGCGAAATCGACGCGCCAGGTGGTGAGATTGAGAGAAATCCCACATACCCTCAACGTTGCACAGCGATGGCCCGAAAGACGTGGGGCCCCATGATGGATGATGGAGACACTAGGGATTTAGGCCGTCCCTTAGTCGAGGCGTATCTTTTTTTTCATCTTGTGTCGTTTGTCATCCATGGAGCTGGTAAGCTGGGCATCTCATGTTCACCCTGACGATCGTTGGCTCTACCAATCTCCAGCTTATACGGAGCACCAATGATGATCAGCAATGATTCTACGTGTACAGAGGAAATGGGAAGATGGTCGTCATCTCCTTTGATTTTCTTCTTCTCATTTGCTGAAACGCCAACAAGGTAAAGTAAGACAAGAAGAAGAAAACCCCATTCTCCACGCAAAAGCAGCGACTTCCACCAACCCCGATGGCCCGAGATTTCGCAATTGCGGCTAACCCACCAAGGGACAGTGGCTCCAGGCACACCCTGGAGAGGCTGCGAGAGAAAAAAAAATTACCACTTCGTCTTCCGCCGTGCCCTCGCAGCTAATCTGGCCTTTGCGGGCATTTGCGCGTTGTTGATTGGCCTTGTGCCTCAAGCCATGCGGGACCCGGAGCATCGCGCCTCGAGCACGTCATCGCCAACATCTCGAGCCAAATGCCGCCATTCCATGAATTTTGGTGGAGCTTCCTCAGTCTTTCTGGCCCTTGTGGAGCTGCTCTTTACTGTTCCGTCACCAAGATGCGCCTAGATGTGAGCATTCTATCAGTCCATCTGGTGGGGGGTCAAGAAAGAAGCGGCTCTTGTCCATCCACCGAGGGCCAAAGGCTGCTTACGGGATCATCATTTGGTCCATCATTCGTCACGAGTGTTTTACAAATGGCAAGCCGTGTCTTGTAAAGTGTGTCTTGGGTGGATTGTTCCGTTCTAGCATCTCCGGTGTGACCCCAGGAAAGCTTGCAGTATTTATAGTCTGGTATTGGGACGCCCACCCCCCATCCAGACTCTTCTTCCCTCTCTCCCTCTCCGTGATTTTTTCTCCTCATTCTGTCGTCTTTATCCTCTCGTCTTCCCGTCTGTTATTGCTTGAATATCTCTTCTTGCCTGCCCGCTTGTGTGCCTCTTTGTCGGAGCTTGTTGCGTGACTTGCCGTGTCGTTGACACCATTTCGAGCAAAAGCACTTAGACCGTTTCTACTACCCCACCATAGCCATGGCCAACACTCCTCACGGCGGCGTCCTCAAGGACCTCTTTGCTCGCGACCTGCCTCGTCAGGCCGAGCTTCTGGAGGAGTCTGAGACTCTCCCTGCCCTCATGCTGTCTGAGCGTCACCTCTGCGACTTGGAGCTGATTCTCAATGGCGGCTTTTCGCCTCTGGAAGGTATGTGCAATGTCGCAACGTTTATTAATCCCCTGCCTTGGAGCGCAAAGACGATTCGAGTGCCCCGCGCTTGTAAGCGCAAGAAAAGCACATCGAGAGAGGAGGGGAGAGGCTGTTATATGGTGTGTGTCGCAATCGCAAGTAAACTAACGCTGTCTTGCGCGTAGGCTTCATGACTGAAAATGATTACAACCGGTATGTCTCTCGGCGCCCTCGCAGGAGGGAGGATGATGTCGATTTCAAATGAGGGAGCTAGTTTCAACTAACACGCCGCTGCCAGAGTGGTCAAGGAGAACCGCCTCGAAAGCGGCCTGCTCTTCAGCATGCCCATCACCCTCGACGTGAGCCAGGCGCAGATCGACGAGCTCTCCATTAAGCCAGGCGCCAAGATTACGCTGCGCGACTTTCGAGACGACCGGAATCTAGCCATCCTGACCGTTGAGGACGTGTACAAGCCAGACAAGTAAGCTCTTTGATTGCAAATAATCTCAGCGCAGTCTGTCCGATCAAAGAGATCTTTGCTAACGATTTGCGCGCGCGCAACTCCAGGGTCCAAGAGGCCAAGCTTGTCTTTGGCAGCGATGATGACACACACCCCGGCGTCAAGCACCTCTTCAGTGTCGCAAAGGACTTTTACGTCGGCGGAAAGCTTGAGGCCATCAGCCGCCTTGAGCACTACGATTTCCTCGACCTGCGCTGTAAGTTGAAGCTGCTGTTATATGTTATATGCCTGCCCGGCAGCAGATCCGGAGACAAGACTCTAACAAGAATGATTCAACAGTCACCCCCGCAGAGCTGCGATCGCACTTCAACAAGCTCGGCTGGCAAAAGGTCGTCGCTTTCCAGACGCGAAACCCGATGCACCGCGCTCACCGTGAGCTGACGGTCCGAGCCGCTCGCTCCCAGCAGGCAAACGTGCTCATCCACCCGGTCGTTGGCCTGACAAAGCCCGGTGATATCGACCACTTCACTCGCGTCCGCGTCTACCGTGCTCTGCTGCCGAGATACCCCAACGGCATGGCCGCTCTCGCCCTGCTGCCCCTGGCCATGCGCATGGGAGGTCCTCGAGAGGCCCTGTGGCACGCCGTGATCCGCAAGAACCACGGCGCCACGCACTTCATCGTCGGCCGTGATCACGCCGGTCCCGGCAAGAACAAGAATGGCAAGGACCACTACGGCCCGTATGATGCGCAGATCCTTGTGCAGCAGCACCAGGAGGAGCTGGGCATCAAGATGGTCGAGTTCCAGGAGATGATTTACATCCCTGACCGCGACGAGTACCTGCCCGCCAACGAGATTTCCGAGGGCACACGCACCATGAACATTTCTGGCACGGAGCTGCGCAACCGCCTGCGAACCGGAAAGGAGATTCCCGAGTGGTTCTCATATCCCGAGGTCGTCAAGGTGCTGCGCGAGCAGAACCCGCTGCCGCGTGAAAAGGGCTTCACCGTCTTCCTGACGGGCTACCAGAACAGCGGCAAGGACCAGATTGCGCGAGCTCTGCAGGCCACTCTCAACCAGGGTGGCGGCCGGTCCGTGTCGATGCTTCTGGGCGAGACTGTCCGAGCCGAGTTGTCGTCGGAGCTGGGTTTCAGCCGCCAGGACCGAAGCCTCAACATTGGCCGCATCGCCTTTGTTGCCTCGGAGCTGACCAAGGCCGGTGCCGCCGTCATTGCCGCCCCGATTGCCCCCTACGAGGATGCCCGTCAGCACGCCCGCGAGTTGGTTGAAAAGTCCGGGCCCTTCTTCCTCGTCCACGTTGCCACGCCGCTCGAGTACTGCGAGAAGACGGACCGCAGGGGCATCTACGAAAGGGCACGTGCCGGAGAGATCAAGGGCTTCACCGGCGTCGACGACCCTTATGAGGCGCCCAAGAAGGCCGACCTGACTGTCGATCTGACCCAGCACAACGTCCGCTCGATTGTGCACCAGATTATTCTGCTTCTTGAGAGCAACGGTCTCCTGGACCGACTGTAAGCGAGCGACTGTTTTTCTTCTTCTTCTTCTTCTTCAGTTTTATTTTGGCTTTGTTCTCTTTTTCCCAATTAAAGTATACATGTATATACTCTGCGTGGGTTGGAAGGGATAAAGAGAGTTGGCGTTTGGATATTGAACAGATGATTGATTTTGTTGGGAAAGAAATCCCAAAAAGCACTTGGTCAAATGGCTTTTAGTATAGAAGGGTTGGATACGATACGATAGATTAACATGTCCTTGGGCTAGTACAGAGCAGGGGTTACGCTCTAAGATATCAATTACTTATAAGCAATGAGCCTGCCTACCTTTTTTTTTCATTACTGCTACGGCACGTGTCCAATGGGAAGGCTTCATTGCCAAGTGTCTACATGCAAACTCTATCCATCTTGGAAGGCTACGAGGTATTAAAGGGGAAGTAAATCACTGGAAGGGATTGCAAGTGTCCAGTATAACCAATGTCACATTTGTACATTCCAACTGTCCATCTATAATCCACACCTTGCACTTGTTCTCATTCCAACTATAACCAAGACTCGAGATCCAACAAGCGGTTCCCACATAGGCCAATCCCCGATAGCAAAGAACTCCTGTTAATCTGACCAACTTCAGAGTCCGCACATTATCCCAAGACAGCAAGCCTCGCCAAGCTTTCACAGTTCTGTGGCCTCGTCAAACTGAGCGGATTCTGGAGTTGATCAGGTTAACAATGGCTTCTTCGAGATCGGGAGGCTATGCTAGGGTTGGTTTCTGACTTTCGAAAGCAACTATGGCCGTTTTGTTAGCTTTTGGGGAATTTTAACGGAGGATGTGGGAGAGTTGCTTACTTGGGATACCACAGTTTCAGCCGCAGGTGATCCCTTAAGACGCCAACGCCGACTCTGCGCGGATTAATCCACAACATAAACATTCCGGTGTATTTGCCGGGCTCTACTGTGGTGTTTGTCAACAGCATGGCATGATGTTGGTAAAGCACAGGAAAGCCCAACAAACACATCGGAATATTATGTTGTGGATTAATCCTCAAGGAGGCGGCGCTGACGTCTTTTAGGAATCATATGAGAAAGAAGAAGAAGAGGGCAAAGAAAAGACTGACTGGTTTAAAGAGAATGAAGAAGAAAGAAGATGGAGAGAGGCAGAAGAAGATGAACGGGCTTTTATATCCAAAGAGAGACAAAGTCGAAAGAGGGGAAACGAAGCCGCTCTTACATCATGATTGCAATGTCCTCATGCATTGGTGGTGCTGTGATAATGCAATTGACTTGCAGCAGAGCATCTTTGATTCGACGACGGGATTTTGAGAGGGTGCGGCTCTTTGTTGTTATTGGACGAGATGTGATCCTGCCAGCCTCGTTTACGCGGTTGGGGGGGTATAAGAGGTGGTATTTTGTGCTGGAATGGGACAATGTTGCCATATTTCCCCGCTGTTTGCTGGGAATCGCATTTTCATTGGATTGATACCACTGACCAGCGGGACAGAGTCGTTGCATTCATTTGCTGCATTTTCAGAAGAGGGTGAGTTGTCATATCAGTTGTATCTTGTATTGTTGCATCTTTGGTGTAGGAGAATGGAATGCACAGTACGGATATGTGCCGAGGTCGGAGTTTGCATACTGTATGCATCTGAAAGTGAAAGTGCAGGTGGAGACGGAACAAGAGTTTGTCCAATGCTCCGACTTGCAATGGGTTCTGGATGGATGCTTCCAAAATTAGAAGTCGACGAACTTGCGCAATCAATCACCACATGGGCAACTACTAACATGAAGCTAGAGCTAAACGCACCTCGTTAGAACTCAACTGGCGCACCACAAGACTAATGTAGCTACGACTACAGTACGAACACAGCAGAGACAAGACCAGCCAGCGATGAGGCGCCCCGATGCGATGCCACGTCAGGGGAGGGGGCGCAATGGCAGCGACAGAACAGCGTTAACCTTGAAAAGAGAAGCACCAAGGCAGTGCCAGTGCAACCAATCGCCGCCCCCCAATTGCATCTGCAGACTGAGAGCCGTGGAAAAAGCTTGTGAACAACCCTCAAACCTCGTTTGTTCAAGTTTGCGCTAGCGGGCTTCGAACGAGCTAATGGCAACACCGTTTTGGCGGGCCGCTTTAGGCTTCTAGGGTGCCAGTCACAGGGCCTTGAGGGGCGGCGTCAGGCCACGGTTGGGCGTTATTTTCACATCACGGAGCCGGAAAGGTGCCAGACCCTTCATGTTTCCATTCCAAGGTTCCCTTCTGTCCCGATTCCTACCTTGGGTACGGAGTACATATCCTTTCAAGGGTGGTTTTTGGTGTTAGGTAAGCCTTGGCTCTCAACTTCTTTTTCCCTTCTTTCTTCTCTCCCCCCTCCTCTCTCTCGCTTCTTTGTTCCAGTCTCTCTTTTTTTTTTTAAGCGCCTGGGCTGTCTGTGACATCACGTTAGGTGCACTTCCACTTCCACTTGCACTTGCACGTCCACCTTGGCAGAAAACTGCACTCTACCGTAGAGGTAGCAGATACTCGGCGCTACACAAAGTAAAGTCGCACTTGACCAACGAAGCAGTGCAGCACTTGTCGATGCAGGAGAATCCATTCGTAGACGCTGCAGATGGCACAAGCACAAAAAGTCCTCGCTCTCTCGATTAGCCATTTGCCATCTGCCCATCTGCCCATCTGCCCATCTCCCATTTTCGATGCACATCCATCCTGCCCATCTGATAATCCCGCTAACCGGTCTGCCCACATCAAAAAAGCTCCAAACGACCCACCTCTTCCAAGTTGTCACTTGCCTCCCAAGTACCAGTACCTCAAGCCTCCGTGCCTCAACCTAAAGCCACCGCCGCGCCTCACTGTCAGGTGCGCACCACCAGCACGCGCGTCCCACTGCAGATGCCCGCTGCCGCTGGCTGTGCCACCTGACGAGTTCCCCTGGCCCCCTTGTATCCCTTGTATCAGTACCTCAACCCATCCCATCCACAACTTCCCGACCCGTTCTTGGTAGGGGTCATCGCTGCCTGAGTGAGCTTCCGGCATCGATTTCGATTCATTCGATTTGATCCCTTCCTCACCGTCCCCTCACTCTTTTTTTTCTGACTGCAGTCAAACTTGCATCACCGTCAAATCTCAACTTTCCCGCCTGCCTGCAGCTCGCCACTTTCGTTTTGCCCATTGCCCGTTTGTCCTATCCCCAGTCTCGCCCTCCACCTTGGGCACCGCAGAAAAAAAAAACCCCTGCTCGAAATCTCCATCTCTCTGCCGTGCCTCGCAGAACTCCGCAAAACCGCAACCGCAACTGCAACCGCATCGCCAAACCCAAACAAGCATTCCCGCCAGCCCCCGATGGTGATTCGAGATGCCGTCCAAGGAACGTGACGACGACGTCAATGTCGACGACCGCATGCGCGACAAGGCCCGCCGCTCAAAGTCGGAGCGCAAACCTGATCGAGACCGCCCCCACCGCTCTTCAAAATCCGCTCGCAGCTCCAGCGATACCCATTCCCTCACATCCTCCGTCAGGCGGCACCGCAAGAGGGACGACAGGGACAGAGACAGAGACAGAGATCGAGACAGAGATCGAGACAGAGACCGGGAAAAGGACCGCCTTCCTCCGCGCCCCGCCTCCATGTCCGACCTAGGCGTTGACGGCATGTCCAAGCTGTCCCTGGACAAGGATCGCATCTCGCTGCCCTACCCGTCCTTTGACAAGGCTCACAGCAAAGAGGCCATCACCAGCCGCGAGGACATTGCCTCTACGTCTTCTCAGCCCAAGCCGTCCACCAATCCCCTGACGCCTGAACCCACCGACGTCGGTGGCGGCAGCGGCGCAGGTGGTGCTGCTCCTGCTGGTGGAGACGATCGTCGATTAAAGCCCGACGATGCTCTTCATCGATCGTCGTCCAAAAAGACTTCACGCCCGCCCACACCTCCCGAAACAGACGTCTCTGCCGCGAGGAGGCGTGCCGAAGACCTAGACCGTGGCAACAGGTCGACCGTCTCCAGGTCAGCCTCGCGCGCTACCGAAGAGAAATCCTCAAAGGTGAGCCGCCGCTCATCCACGAGCGCGGCGACCTTGGTACGCTCACCCAGCAACAAGATTCACGACAAGCTCCGGTCCTCTGTGCTCTCCCGCTCCTCGAGCTCCGCCTCACGCCACTCTACCAAGCGGTCTTCCTCGACTCGCAGCGTCAAGAAGAGCAAGCCTGAGCCGCTGCATGTCGACTCCTCCCCCTCCAGTGCCCAGGACTCATCTCCCAAGACGCCTACCCAAACTCACCAATTCCCTCACCACCTCTACGGCGACTCGAAGCGATCTCGCACTCCCGCCTCCGGCGTTGACGGCGACGACTATGCATCCACCATCAACTCAGGCACCGCCACGCCCGCCATGAAGGCGCCCACTCATCCTCCGCCTCCGATCCCTCCGCCGCCTCCTCCTCCCGCCGTCGACGTCCTCGAGATTCCCAGGGTAGACTACCTGCTGCAGAATGGTGGCCTCACGCAGCCGGTTACAAGACACTTCTTATCAGTTTTACCCCTCGTCAATGGCACATTAAGGCCCGCAAATTCCCTCCTCGGCGGCGCCGAAACGCTCTTCACGCCGTTTGTCAACCTCCTGGACCAGTATCAAACTGTCCTCTCCAAGCAGGGATCCGTTGCAGTGGCCACTGGCCATCGGTCAGTCGCTCGCCGCTTGCTTGACCGGCTCGAGAACGTCTTCTCTCGAGATCTGCCGCCTCACGGCTGCTCCTGCATCATCTGCGAGAAATCCAACGAGCCTCACCGCGGCCTCAACTGGGGAGATGTCCTGGAATGGGTCAGCGGCCGCATTGAGCTCCCTTCATGGCCGCCCTTTGACCTGGCAGACATCGGCACCAAGGCTGCCGAAATATCAGGCGAAATCCCTCCAAGGCCAGATTCGCCCATCCAGCTGGATCCCGACATTGCCGAGGAGTTCAGGGAGCACTACTTGCGCCAGTCGAAAAAGGTCAGGTCTGCTGTCGACAGATGGCTCACCAGCACGGGCGAGACACCTGTGCCACCGCCCCAGGACGTTGATGACGAGACGCTGAGTTTCGCCATCTTGACCAACCTCGACGCCGAAGACCGGCCCTTCTTCAACGCTCTCCTCGCCGGTTCAAAAGAGCTGAGACCGGCAACCCGCGCGCCTACTCCTCTCAACCGGCCGCGCAACGACTTCATCGTCAAGACTGGTCTCTCGCTGCAGCGGCTATATCGCCTTCAGCAGGTCCCTCGGGATGCAGAGAGCGCCACATATCTCATCAAAAATCACCATACCCACGACCTTCTCATCACCCTGTCCAACATTAACAATCAAGAATGGGAGATTTTGACATCCGGCCGGTTTGATGGCTTCCTGTGGTCCGGCGCCGATGATGACTTTGGCGGAGTGGAATCGAGGGGCCCGACGCCGTTCCGGGGCCCTTCGGCCATGGGATCCCGAACCAACACCCCCTTCTCGCCGTATTCCCGAAACACCACTCCGGCGTCATTCATCAGCCTTTCCTCTACGGGCGTGGGCGGCAGCCGACCCCCTGTCTCCAATGACGAAGAGATGGAGATGGCTGCCATTGCCGAGATTGAGCGTGAGATTTACCAGGGCATGGAGGCCTTGGAGGATGCATTTGAGAAGCTCCACCACCAAGCGGAGACGGTCCGAACTGCCCTGCGGCAGCGTGGAGCCGGACTCATGCAGAACCTCCAGAACCGACGACGCATTGACGTGCTGTCCATCCCCGGCTCGGGTAACTCGCAAAACTCGGGCTACGAGCGGCCCTCGTGGGCCGGAAGCGATGCCGAAAACGGCAGCGATGACGATTGGCAGATGGAAGAGTACGACCTATATCCCGATGACTCGGCCAGCAACATAAGCAGCAGCCGGCACAGGCGGCCAAAGAGGCGTGTTGAGCGTCGCACTCCGGCTCCCATTGAGGAAGAAGAGGAGCAGTGAGCTAGAGGTACTCCAGGAGGATTTTTAAAAGTACGAAGAGAGCGTGTGTTTGAGAGAGAAAGAAGTGCTCAGAATATCATGAATCGATTACGAATAACGAAAGCATTCGAGTTTGACTTTTTTTTTTTTCCTGCACTTCTTCGACGAACAAGCAAGCAAGCAAGCGCCATGGCACACGGCAGCTAAACATGATGACATATTCATGAAACAAGCAACGGGGAGACGTTGTGTGTGACAGAGAGGGGCCAAAGGCGGCACGAAAGACGACGAAGAGAGAGACAGAGACAGAGACAGAGAGAACCGTATTTGGGGATTTTAGAGAGCATTTCACTGAGATGGAGAAAAAGAAAAAACGGCCGTCTGTTTGCCGGGGGAGGCAGGCCAATGTCGAGGCCGGGGCATATTTGGAGTTGATATGAACAATGTACCTTGTCGGATACCATTTGTTGTACGGATTCTTTGTTTTTCTATTCTTGTTTTACCTTTTTTTTCTTTTCTCTTGTTTGTCTGGTCTGGATGCGGTTGTTGGCGGATCTTGATTTGATGTTTGCATTAGGTTTCCCATTTTCCTTTTTTTCTTGCTCCTGCGATTTCTATCCTGTCATTTTCTGGGAGAAGAGAGTGGGGGGTTATTCCGCGTGCAATGCCATATGCATAATGATTGTCCTGGTGATTTGCCGTTATCACTGTCATTGCCACCTTCAACGTCAAGGTTGATTGCTCTTTCAGGGGTGAAAGCTGCGTGTTTTATCATTTTTTTTCTTCCGCAGAGAGTCAAGGTGGGACTGGTTAATATGAATGAGATGTTTAATGCAGTGCTGCAACAAACAACAATTGGTCGATCACTCCCCTGAGTTGCGGTGTGACTGCTTCGTGACAACGCAACTTTGGCAGCTTGACACGAGGTTGACTTTGGCAACTTGATCTTTTGGGAGGGGTTTCGTGGGGGAACTCAAGACACGCATGTTCAAGAGACCCGTATTTAGGGATGGGAATATTAAACCCGCGGTTTAATTCCGTGACTGCAATGCAGGAGAAAATAGCAATCATGCAAATTCCAAAACCGGGTAGCATCATGAAGTTGAAGAGGCAATGATGAGGAATAAAGGTAAGCACCAGGCGCCACACGCATGCACTAGCAGAGGCCATCCAAAGAACGATTATAAAGCTCAACAGCTGCTGATGTGTGCAAAGCCCGCTCACCCGCGGAAATGCTGCGGTGAGGGGCCGTCAAAAGGCGGCTCTTTGTTCTTGTGGGCTCCCAGCGCTGCGCAAAAGCCGCACAATGGCCGTAGCTCATAGGTGAAAACATGATGATTGCCGTTTTAGGCAATTGTAGACAACCAACCAGCGACGGCCGGGTGGCGGCGGAGATTCCACACATTCCCCGACGTAGATATAATAATCAACTGTCCGCTTTTTTTCCCCAAGATGGGGGATGTAGGGCGGGAGCTTGTAAGAAATAAGGAGAACCCCCCGTGAGAAGAACAAATCAAATACCAAAGTGGGCAGAAATGGCGGCCGCAAATAACGGCAAAGAGAAGGAGGTGGAGAAGGAGGGTGTTGGGCTGAGGACATTCGCTCTGGGTGAGGATCTAAGATTGAGTCAGTTGAAGTATAAAGACGAAGTTGTGTCCTCGGCTTTCTTGATCTTGGGGACTCAGCACTCATAGCCATAGTCTCTTTTCCAGTTGATTCAGCAGCATCATAGCCTTGTCTTTCGACTCTTTTGTCATCCATTCGCTGCTGCTCTTGTCAGCAATACCAACAACACAACCCAACATCACAACATGCCTTACCCATACAAGAACGAAATCACTGGTGATGAGCTAGTCGCCGAATACGCCCCCCTCATCAAGGGCAAGACCATTCTTACCACGGGTGTCTCACCAAACAGTCTCGGCGCACGCTACGTCGAGACCCTCGCTGCCGGACAGCCCAAGCTTCTTATTCTCGCCGGCCGCGACCTGGCCAAGGTAAACCAGACAGCCGAGGCCATCAACAAGGCCCACCCGGATGTCCAGACCAGAGTGCTTCAGCTGGACCTCAGCTCGTTTGCTGCCGTGCGAAAGGCCGCTGCCGAGGTCAACTCCTGGGACGATGTCCCCGTCATCGACGTGTTGATGAACAACGCCGGCATCATGGCCGTGCCGTACAAGATCTGCGAGGATGGGTACGAGAGCCAGTTGACTTGCAACCACCTCAGCCACTTTCTCTTCACAAACTTGATCCTTGACAAGATTCTTGCGTCGGAGGACAAGCGCGTGGTCAACGTCAGCAGCGGTGGACACTGGTTTAGCGGCATCCGTCATGCGGACCTCAACTACGATGTGAGTTAGCAACAAAGCCTATTTTAAATATTTTGACAACTGTGGTGGCGCAGATTAGACTAACCAGAATATTGACAATCGCAGGGTGGAAAGACGTACGAGAAGTGGAACGCATACGGCCAGTCCAAGTCGGCCAACGTGCTCTTTTCCATTGGCCTGGCAAAGAGATTCGGCGACCGTGGCGTTCTGTCATATAGCTTGAATCCCGGTGCCGTCATGACCAACCTTGCAGGACACTTGGATTTCGCCCCTGGAGGCGATTTGGAAACTCTAGGTAAGCTTTCATGTTTTGATCTCTCCAGGTTGTTGCTGGGTTGCTGACTGTTGGCTTTTCTGCAGCGCGAGTCTCTCAATTGACTGGATCACCATTTGGTTGGGGCGACAGGGAAATGTTGTCACATGAGCGGGGAATTGCTACTCACGTGTTTGCTTCGTTTGATCCTGCCCTCAAAGGTATGTGTCTTTTTACCAGTTTCCTTTTTTTCTCAGATTCTTGAAACGCTCTTTCTCCATGTCTGATGTCTTCTCTTTCTTCTTTTTTCCTCAAGTATAAGCAAGCTAATGGTACTCTACATAGAACACAATGGTGCATATCTGCTGGAAAAAGCTCGCGTGGCCGACTATTATGTCGACGCAGTTCATCCCCATGCCATCAGCGATATCGAGGCCGACAGGCTGTGGGCATTGAGCGTCAAGGCGGTTGGACTGTAAGCGGGGGATGAATGTGGGACAGGGTCATGGTTGGAAAAGCGGGAAATTGAAATTAAATGATAACTATATAAAAAATGAGAAATTGGCAATATACCAAAGATTTCTGTTCAGAAGATACTCTACAGTTCTCACGTTGGGAATGGTGATCACAGAGTTGTTGGTATTGATGACTAATCTTAGACAACTCCAGATTGACTCAGAGACGAGCACTCCGTGTGTACGGATACAGTACGTGTAAGCTCAAGGATACACCCGGAGACGGTTCTTCAGCAAGTTTGGCAATTGAAGATACTTTTTGTGTTTTTCCTGTCTCGTCAACTATGTGTTGGCCCTTCATCAATGATTTGCCTCGACATCTCCAGGGATGAGATAACCTCCGTGTCTGTCTGGCAAGGCCCGTGTGTGTTCAATCTCAGTTCTTCGCAGTTCCACGCCAGGCCGAACTCTAGAAGACGATCCAGCGGCAGCACCGGCTCTCGTAGCGAACACGGTCATCAAAAGGCTACCTGTCGAAAGTGATCAGCCGAAATCGACACGGAAACGGCAAATGCTGCGCAAGCCTTATTCTCCTTTTGGGGAAGAGGCTCCGCTGGGGAGACGACCGCGAGGGTCTTCCCCCCCGAACCCGAACAAGATGTGGGATCGTGACAGGGTTGCTGCGGGTATCGAAACCGGCTCTCCCAGGGAACGGGCTCTCAGATGGCATCTTTAGGCAACCAAGTTGGCATGCCACGTGGATGTTGCTGGCTGATGCTACTTCGTACTGACGCTGTTCATGCTGTGTGCCTGTCAAGCTACACCCTCCTTGTTTCGAGCTGCCAGCATCGGCAAGGTCCATCTGAGATTTATCTGCAAGGTGTCCTTATCTACATTAGACACGATTATGATAGATCTTTGGTGGTACTAATGACTACTTGGCTAATGAGCTGTCAATGCGCGTTTCTACCTACCTAGCAGATGCCATCCTCATATCCCCATGAGAGTGCTACTCGATATAATTGCCTACCTACCCTAGATCTTTTTTTTTTTTTTTTTTTTTTTTTTTTTGGTTTTATTTACATAAGCCTTGACTAAACCTTTACGAGAATTCGGAGTAATAACTCGCAGCCTTGTCCCCCTTTCAAGCGACGACTGAGAACTAAGTTGGCGCCGGGCTTTTTCTCTCACTCTTTTTGGGCAAATCCCAGCAGCAGGAGATTTGGTAAGCCAATGCGCCCTGAATGATCCATGTGGGTAATAGCCTGGTATTTCCCTACCTAGTAAGTACAAGGTATTTGAAATCACATGGAAGAGCTGAGGCTACAGCACGAGTATAGCACGACTTGACACTCGCATTCCACTAGTACGATACTCCGTATTTCTGCGCTACTAGTATAGATCTGAGCAGCCGTCCATTCATCACATTGCCCCATGGAGAAAGAAGCTGGTGTTAATGATGGATCAAATTTATTCAGCCGCTTGGCATGTGCTGAAAAACATTGATCAAAGCTGCTGGGGAATTATGCCGATTGATTAATCATCCGGCCCTGTTAGCCGATGCAGAGCTAAGCTACAGCACCCCCCAGTTTGGTTACCCGCAACCTCCATTTTTGTTGCATCTCGAGACTCCAAAAATCACCAGTTCGCGTCGGGCCATGTCATGGCAGGCCTGGTCTTGGGTCTTACCACCAGATAACGAGACCAATGCAGACGCCCTTCTCGCTTGCAGCAAAGTTGCCTCTCTCTCGTTCTTTTTTTGCATCCCTCTCTCTTTCTCTTCTACGCGAGTCAGCTCTCGATTTGCCGTCTGACAACGCTACTAGGGCTCGAAAAGCCAACCACCACCACCACCACCCGAATCAATCAATATTGACATGGTGACACCCCCAAAAGCACACAACCTCGTCCCTTGAGCCGTACACTATCGTGTCATCTCAGTCTCCCCCCGCCAAGAAGCACAGCAGACAGTAGGATTTCTCCGTGCGTCGCGTGGCCTCGGCCCAATCGTCAGTCTGGAGAGGCCCAGATACCCCAGAGCGGATGATCCGCACCACTTAGGCTAATGTCTATTCACTGGATCCGTCTGTCCAGACAAAGCGCCGTCTCGACCCGGGGTTGAGGCCATGGTATCCCCAAACTATCCCCAAACCATCCGCGAGCAATTGCGGACCAGAATCCTCCGCACCTGCATCTGGCTTGGGCCTGTCCCCCCGCATTGTTACGAGGGCCGAAAGTCGACGCCACGGCACAACGCCGCCGTCCAATAGCCTCTTGACCGCAATCGTATGAGAAAGGAGACAGCCGTATAAGCGGAACGGCATGCCCAATTCCTGGGGAGCTTCTCTTCAAATAATCCGCCCGTATGACTTGCACCGGCGAAATTCAATCCTGAGATGGCTTGAGCAACTGATGCTGGCAAGACGTTATTCGCACAACGACGCTCGCTTGTTCGGGCCTATTGACAAGGGCCATTGCCTCATCCCAAAAAAGTAGCATCCGGCTTGTGAAAGGCCTGGGGAAGGATTGCACGCGGCAAGGGAGACAAGAAACATAAAAGCGACAGCGCCCCCTGGCCATCAGGACTGTAACCTCTCGTTTTCTTCTCCTCCTCCTCATCCCACTCGCATTCTACAAGAATTCGACCTCTCCCTCGCATCGACAAGAAACGGGGGCCTTGCAGAATTTTCCATCCCATCACCTCTCTCTCACACACTGAAGAGCTGGTCTGGCCGAGAGGCTAGAGATACCCCCCGTCACAATGGGCGAAAAGGACGACATCCACACCCATGAGGAGCTCGACCATGTATGCCGAATCACCCAATTGCATTTTTTCTTCTTCTTCCCCTTTCAGGTTTTGCCACCTCGCTTGGAACAAGGAGTTGCTGACACTTTCTGTTCTCATGTAGGGAGAAATCAGAACCAAGGTCGTGAGCGGCCACGAGGCCTTTGAGGAGGCCATGCTCAAGGAGCCGCCAAAGGCATGGACCACGGCTCAGATCATGATCTACTCCTTTTCCATCATTGCCTTTTTCTGCAGTACCATGAACGGCTACGATGGCTCGCTCATCAACAACCTGCTGCAGAACCCCTGGTTCCAAGACAAGTACGTGCAATCGGGCAACGACGGCATCTGGGCCGGTATTGTATCGTCCATGTACCAGATTGGTGGTGTCGTCGCGCTTCCCTTTGTCGGCCCTGCCATTGATGGATTCGGACGTCGCGTGGGCATGCTTCTGGGAGCTGCCTTTATTGTCATTGGTACCATTGTCCAGGGTGTGTCCAACTCCCAGGGCCAGTTTATGGGAGGCCGATTCTTGCTTGGTTTCGGTGTCTCCATTGCGGCGGCTGCAGGCCCCATGTACGTGGTTGAGATCAACCACCCTGCGTACCGTGGACGCGTTGGCGGTAAGGACTCCTTTTCGATTTCTCCATCTACTGTTTCTTTCTATGGATGGAACAATTGGTTTTGTATCCAACAAACAAGATGAAGGAAAATCAGCTAATTCTTAACTCTCCTCTCGTCTAGCCATGTACAACACTCTGTGGTTCTCTGGCGCCATCATCTCGTCCGGTGCTGCCCGAGGCGGCCTCAACGTCGGCGGCGACTACTCGTGGCGACTCATCACCTGGCTCCAGGCCCTCTTCGCCGGTCTCATCTGCATCTTCGCCATGCTTCTTCCCGAGTCCCCCCGATGGCTCTACGTGCACAACAAGAAGGACCAAGCCAAGGCCGTCCTCACCAAGTACCACGGCAACGGCAACCCCGACTCTGCCTGGGTCCAGCTGCAGCTCTTTGAGTACGAACAGCTCCTCAACATGGACGGTGCCGACAAGCGCTGGTGGGATTACCGGGCGCTGTTCCGCAGCCGCTCTGCCGTCTACCGTCTCTGCTGCAACATGTGCATCACCATCTTTGGTCAATGGGCTGGCAATGCCGTTCTGTCCTACTTCCTCGGCTCCGTTCTCGACACTGCCGGCATCACTGGATCCATTCCTCAGGCCAACATCACGCTCATCAACAACTGCCAGCAGTTTGCCTGGGCCATTCTGGGTGCCTTTTTGGTCGACCGCGTCGGCCGTCGCCCTCTGCTGATCTTCTCCTTCGCTGCTTGCACTGTCGTCTGGTTGGGCATGACAATTGCTTCGGCCCGACTTGCAGCCTCTGAGACTGGCCTCGATGACGGCGGCAATCCTATTTACAGCAACTCTGCAGCATCCAAGGCTGCTTTGGCCATGATCTTCATCTTTGGTGCCGTGTACTCAGTCGGAATCACTCCCCTGCAGGCCCTGTATCCTGTCGAGGTGCTCTCATTCGAGATGCGTGCCAAGGGCATGGCCTTCTCCAGCTTTGCCACCAACGCTGCCGGTCTCTTGAACCAGTTTGCCTGGCCCGTATCCATGAAGGACATTGGCTGGAAGACATACATCATCTTTACCATCTGGGATCTCGTCCAGGTTACGGTTGTCTACTTTTTCATTCCCGAGACCAAGGGACGCACTGTAAGTTCTACTGACCCCCTTGCTCATCTACAATGGCATGATTTTCTAACGCGTCGTTTTCTCTACAGTTGGAAGAACTTGACGAAATCTTCGAGGCCAAGAACCCGGTCAAGGCGTCGACCACCAAGAAGTCGGTTGCCGTGGACAGCCACGGTGCCATTGTTAATATCGAGAAGGCATAAGGCGTGGAGGATTTACTTGTCGTTACGACCCACCATAAGAAAACACTAATACCAGGGCAGTTGTATGCAGGACTTGAGGCTGAATGGGTTGATATGGTTGTTTGCGTTTCCACGGGACAGTCTTTTTTTGGGAGGAGGGGAATGGTTTTTTGATATTTTACTCTTTGATTTCACGTAATGATATGAGGGGAAGAGCGCAACAATGCAACACTCGGAACTACAACTGCCAACCAATCTGTACGGATCAATGCAAATGCAAATGTGCCGTGAAACTTGGAGCTACTATCTACTATAGCCGCCATCTATCTGGGTGCTATCCATGCTTGGCGATTGCCACCTACCTACTCGGTTAGGCGAATGGTGTCTCGTGCGTACATGTGTATGCAAGATGCTACTCTGTGGGAAAGCAATTAATATGGACGTGTTTGCCTGTCTAGGTATCTGGCAAGGCGGCAATTTACGGAGTATTACTCGTGCGGGTGGTCATACACTCTGGCTACCATCATGTGGTCAGCATATACTATACCTAGTACTCCGTAGTAGTATACTATCGATGCCGGTCAACACCATGCCTTGTCCATCCACACATGCTGGCCAGACCAGACCAGACCCCTGGTCACGACATCCGTATTGCAACCCAACCTTGCTCGCATCGTGCCTTGCCAACGTCTAGCGGCATCAAACTTACAACCTGGTACCGGTGCTAGTCACAGCTAGTGGTATAACCTCATATTAGTACTAGGGAAGGGCAACTGCTGAGCTACCTGGCCAAGTATTACTCCGGTAGCCATCCAGATTAATACTCCGTGCCAGTAGAATCTTGAGACGACATTAACCGATTTGCTCCACACTCGTACTACCCAAGACCTGCTAGTCCCCATACATCACCACATCACCACATCACCGTTTTCCAGACCCGGAGAAGCGTCTCCCGCTACGGCCCAACCTCCCGCAAAGGGACTAGCCACCGAGCCCCGACCTGCCCACGGGGTATTTCTTGGGGGAGGGAGGATTTTGTGGGCGGTGCGCCGATTTGCGATTTCGATTCGGGGGTTCTTGTTGAGAGGTGTGTGGTGCATATGCAGTGCGACTATTGGAGAAAAGTGAGAGAGAGAAGACAGACAGTGGGCGTTTAATGGGGTTTTTTGGGGGGAGTAGTAGTACTACTACTGTAGCATTCGCTTCTTCGCCTGAGCTTTACCCCGGATTATCGTTTTCCATGCTTTGGTGGGCTTTTTTTTTTTTTTTTTTTTTTTGGTATTGGAGAATACCCCGGTTCGCAATGCACTTCTCCGCGCCCATTTTTTTTTCTGCATCAAGACAGAGAAAAATTCGAGAGTTTCATCACAGGATGGATTGATTAGTTTTGTTTATTATTTATATACTTTTATTTTTTTTTTTATTTTTTTATTTCTTTTTTTAAAAGATTATTGGGCGGCATTGGGCGTTGAATTCATTTGCAGTAATACTTGTGCCTTTACACAGTGCTTCCCTCTTCTTCCCCCCTCTCTCTTTCCTCGTCCTCAGATTTTAGGTAATCCTTAGTGGTACCTTACCTTTCCATCACCTCACCTCACCTCATCCAGTCTTTTCCGTGCTCGGGGCTTTTTTCCCCTTTGTTTGCTGATACATGCACGCCAAACCTCGTTCTCTTCTCCTCACAAAGCACTATATGGTTGACCTTCCTATTGGCTCTTGGCCTCTTGCTCTTGCTCCCGATTCACTGCGACTGCTACGGTAATTGGTAATAATAACATCACCATCTGGACGGCATGTTCTACACCTGTGGGTGGAGTCTCTCTATGCAAAAGCACACCCCCTTTCATTCAAGTCTCTCAATCTGTATCAACTGGCTAACAAGAGAGTGCCATTCATTTAGTCCAGGGGGTCCAGGGAAAGGCCGTGGATCGCTCCCCCCAATCGTCCTCGGACGGCAACCGGTCTCAGGACACGGCCGGCAGCAGAGCCGCAAAGAGTCTCCATGCCTGTCTCGAGTGCCAGCGCCGCAAGATTCGCTGCGACGGCAAGCAGCCGTGCAACCGCTGCCAGTCTAGTCGCTCCCGGCGGCGATGCGTCTATGAGCAGCATCGCCAGCGCCTTGTTCCTTCGAGAAAGCATGTCTCTTCTTCCCCCCCTTTTCTGGCTTTGCTAACCTCTTCCCCTGTTCCGTCTTTAGATCACTAGAGGAGCTATCACGGAGTCTTGAGGAGTGCCGCTCGGTGCTGCGGCGTCTCTATCCCAACCATGAGGTTCCCCAGCTGCTGGCATTGTCACGCCAGGAGCTCCGTGACCTCCTAGATCAGCCGGTACAGCAAGAACCCGCCGAAATCTCGCCGACTCCTCCCTCTCCCAGTGACTTGGAGCAACAGCAGCAACAGCATCCCAAAGAGCTTGAGCAGATGCCCGCTCAGAATTCCCAATGGGATGAGGAGCGAAGGGACAAGGACCCGCTGCCGGCGGAAGCTGATGATGTAAACGCCTTGTCCCTCAACATGGACAAACAGGCTGCTTCGTATCTCGGTGCCTCGTCGGTGAAGGTCGCCTTGACTGTTATGCTGCAGATCCAACCTCAGCTACAGGTGTTGCTTGCAGCACAGTCGTCCCCTGATGCTTCTAGCGATGACAATGCACGCAGCAGCGTTCCTCTCTTCCGCGCAGTTTCCAAAGCCTCCAAGGCACAGTCTCCCATTCCGTGGACATACAAGGGGCAGGCTCTTGTAGATGCCTACTTCAAACGAGTCCACGTTCTTACTCCCATATTGGACGAGGCCTCGTTTCGGAAGCATTACAACGAGGGGCGGCGATGCGATGCCCCTTGGCTCTCTCTCGTGAACATGGTCTTTGCCACCAGCAGCATCATGTCCACGCCGTCAAGCAACCTGAGCCACATCAAGTATTACAATCAAGCCATAGAACACATCCATCTCAGTGCGTTCGGGAGCAGCAACATCGAAACCATCCACGCCTTGGCGTTGCTTGGGGGCTACTACCTCCATTATATCAACCGTCCAAACATGGCCAATGCCATCATCGGTGCCATCCTCAGAATGGCCACTGCCCTTGGGCTGCATCGAGAACCGCCTCCGGAAGAGCCGCAATCTGATCCCGCAGTTATCGAGTCGCGGCGACGTACTTGGTGGACGCTGTTCTGCCTTGATACATGGGGGACCACAACCCTCGGACGCCCTTCTTTTGGACGATGGGGACCTGCAATTAACATCCAACCCCCTAAACTTGTTACAGACCAGGTATGCTCTCTTGAAAAGAGTATATTCTTCTTTCCCTTCCCTCTCATTGCTGTCATGACACAACCCCTTCCATGTCTCAATCAACAGCTTCTGACCCTTTTTCTTCATTTTAGGAGGAGCACGACTCTGCACAATATGCAGGCATCATGCCTTTGCTCGAAAACATCAAATTCTGCAAGATTGCTACCAAGATTCAAGACATGCTCGCAGTCACTCCTCTTCTAAATGCGGAGGATCGGAATCATTTGGATAGCCTTCTAGTCGACTGGTTCAACAATCTCCCGTGGCTGCTACGATCTACGGAGCCTTGCGTGGAGCCGCTTCATCTTTCACGATGCATCATGATATGGCGGTATTGGAATCTGCGCATGCTACTTTACCGCCCGGTTCTTCTTACTCTGGCCAGCAAGGCCAAAATGCCCATCTCAGAACACGACATTGCTGCCGTGGAAATTTGCCAGGGCGCGGCGCGAGAGACGGTTGACAGCATCTCAAAGGGGTGGATGCGCCAGCAAATGTCTGGATGGAACGCCGTGTGGTTCTTGTACCAAGCAGCCATGATTCCTCTGGTAAGCATCTTGTGGCAGCCTGAAAATCCGTCTGTCGCCCAATGGCGGGCCCAGATCGAGACGATTCTCGAGCTGTTTACGGCCATGAAAGATTGGTCTCTCACGGCACGCCGCAGCCGGGATGTCGTCAGCCGCCTGCTGGAGGCCAGTGCCCAAATCTCAAATGCAAGACAAGCCAGTGCTTCTCACGATCCTAGTCTTCAAAAGGGGGGGCCGAGTGACGAGGCGAGTGGATTCTGGGGAGACCAGGGAGCCGATGCACTCGCCTCAACTAACTTCAGCGCTGGGGAGATTGTAAACATGCTGGATCAAGACTGGCCGTGGAACATGGACATGGACGGGCTGGTCTGGGGACAGCAGATTCCCCTGCTAGAGGAAGAAAACGATGCTGGCAGCTACACCGTCGATGAGGGTGCGATGGGTGTGGATTATCTGTCGCTGGCGAATCCGGAGAATGATGCCGTACCGCCGCCATAGTTTTGTTTCATTTTCAGAGAAGATTTTGACAGACTTCTACTCAAGACTCGTCGCTTGTTAAAGAGGAAAGAGCCTTGCTCTTTCGTCTTTATCACATTGTCTTTCCCCAGATGTTGTTTCTGCCAAGACGTGAATGCATTCTGCATTCGCAAATGCTATTACTTACTGTAAGTACTCCATAAGGGGCGGCCCATTATTATGCGGGCGGCCTAGCAGGGGTCTTCAGCCGGCGTAAGACTCACGACTTCCGTGCGACGCTACGCCCTTTTGGCAACCTTGGACCTTAAAACCTCGTCGAAAGACATCGCGAATTCATTCTCTCAGCACATGCCACTGTGGAATTGAATACGCGCATTCACGAAAAGATTGATCCTCTCAAGGCTTTACTCTGTTACCCTGAAATCCATCTTGAAAACCGATTTGCTACCCTTTTTTACATCACGCACCTTTGGGCAAGGCGGGCAGAAACAGAGGGAGAGGAACAAAAATAGCAACAAAGGAAAGCGAGCGTTACACAGGGACTTAAAATGACAGACCAGGTTACCCGAGTCATTGTCGCCTCGCGCAACAATGTCAAGATCTCAGCCGCAAAGGAGGCCTTTGCCGGCATGTTTCCGTCTGCGGCATTCTCCTTCACCGGTCTCAACGTGCCGTCTGGGGTTGCTGACCAGCCCATGACGGATGCAGAAACCCTGCAAGGCGCAAAAAACCGAGCTCTCAACGCCCGCGACGCAGAGCCCGAGGCAGATTACTGGGTTGGCATTGAGGGTGGCGTTGACGACAGCGGGGACGCCATGGAGACGTTTGCCTGGGTTGTTGTGCTGGGCTGGGGGGAAACGACAGCAACAGACTCATCAAAGTCACAGGATGAGTCTACCAGTGCTGCAGCTGAGCGCATGGGAAGGGGTCGAACCGCGGCGTTCTTCCAGCCAGAAGAGGTAGCAAGGCTGGTCCGCGGAGGCATGGAACTGGGGCCGGCCGACGACCAGGTGTTTGGAAGTGAGAACTCAAGGCTGCATTCCGGATCAATCGGGCTGCTGACGGGCGACTTGATCAATCGAACTGGATATTATGTGCCGGCAGTGATTGGGGCACTGATACCATTCAAAAACTCGACGCTGACGTTTAAAGAGTTTTGATGGAGCGGGAGGAATACTGGAACTAAATGTCTATGGAGGAGCTGAAGAGACTGAGGCTATGATGTCTTTGCTTCTCAGCAAAGACATCGATATCTCACAGTCAATCACCTAAGTGAAGAGAGAGGGACGGGGGCGGATTCTGTCTGACTAAGACTTGCATTCGGCAATGCTAACTTCATGCGTTGTCCATCTCTGCAAGCTCTAGGATTCGCTCTCGTGCCTGTAGGCCGTCCTTCGCCTACTACGAATACGTTGGATTGCTGCATACCATATTTGGTATCACTTTATCCCAATATACTGAATCATCCGGCGCACGTGGCCCGAGTGGGCAAAATCTCGTCGCCAATCTTTACACGAGTTGAATTAACATAGATCGGCCACTCTGCCTCTGCTATGGGCATGAGATCCTGGAAAGCATAATATCAAGTCACTGCTGCTACGTTACCCATTACAGCACCAAGTTCCATCTCGTTGCTTGGTGAGCTGAGATCTGTGATTCGTCCCATTTCGAACTACAAGTTGTACACCCCCCAGCCGTCAAGATCCAAAGATGGCTGGAACGGTTGTTCTCCAGGAATGGTGGCTGCATGAAGCCACAAAACAGGAAGGGTGAGTGTATTATGGTGAGGAGCTTCTTAGTTGTTTTCTGTCCACGGCTGGGGTGTTTTGCTGAGCTGGTTGATGATAGGACAAGGACTGGTTTACTTTTTGCCAAGATTTGGTCTGATTGGAAGGAATTTATGAGGCAGATTCTAGGCTTCAAAAATGCCACTACTGACCTCGTTCTAACGTAGCCTTCCGTGGCGTCCGGATTGCTGCTACTGCTACTGCCCTCGCCAAAAGGGTGTCTTTTACAAGACAGGGCTTTCTTCATGGCTGTGGTGTGTGCTGTTGGTCGTCCTGAAGATAGCCTTTCATGTTGTCTCTAGCTTGGAGACTCGTATGGCGGTTTCACCTCACAAGCCACCACGTTTCTTCCTGTTCACGCCTTTCCATTGGCGAGCACCTAGCTCTGTTGAAGACGACGTTTAAGGGTGTGAAGCATGATCAACAACTCCACTCCTCAGCTGGGCTATGATAGTCATTGCTATCGATAGACCAGTCGCGGGAGAGTACTCGGGAGTGCCGCTACTGCCACGTGGTGATGCTTAGCCTCTTTTCTTCGAGCTGAGGGCTTTTGAGTTTATCTCCCTCGATCTGTGGAGACAAGAGGGTTTCCCTGCATCTTGGACAATAGAGCAAATCGGCGCCACAATAACATCTCGAAAGGCACCAAAACGACCAGGGGTTCGGAGTTTTGCAAGCCTCATGGAAGATTGAGGAAAGGTGCGTACCGGCTGCTTTTAACCCGATTCGGGGTCTGCCAGTCCGGGAGTGAAGGGATTCGCATCTATTCAGTGGATGCCAAAGTGGGGGGTTCGGAATGCCATCTTGCTGGTGCTCTTAGCTGCCGAGCGGATTTACGTGGGGGATCATCATAGTTCTAATTATGGTGCTCTTCTGTAAGAATCACTCATTGCCATTGGACGTTGATGCCCTTTTCAGTATACACGACGGTAATATGAATCGATGCAGACGAGTCTATCATCCGGGGACGGCAATTGATGGAATCTCTAGAGCTCGAGGCTCTCTGCAATGGGTTAGGAACACCGGAACTGTTTCTGTTGCTCAATATCAAGCGATATCATGCAGTGACATGCCAGGAATCTTGGCAGCGCCTAATCGCAAGCGGATGATCAGCTTCTCGGTGAGGTTTACTAATGGGTCTCAGATATGCAGAGGAACCAACAGAGTTGATGCTACCCAAAATAGTCGAGGTATGTGGAAGTTGTCACTGATGGGCATGCCATTGGACAATCGACAGACGATTGATGCAACGGCTTAGAGCTTCTATTACGCTAGAACACGTGCGGCCGGCAGATGAGATGCCTTCTATTTAGAGGGTCTGGCGATGACATTCTGTTTCAACACTGATATTCGAGGGTACTTGTCTCTGATGTACCATTTTCTCTCCACTTGGTGGCATGGCTGGAAGCGATTCACAGCCTCAACGAAGTTGGAGACATGCCTTATTTAGCATCAAAGTTGGAGAAGTTTAGTACGTCTTCGGCAGTTGGCTTTCTCGATGCGGAGAAGGTGCTGGTCCAAGTTCGACTTGTCTAGGCCGGCTTGATCAACAGTTGGACATGTTGAAGATGATGAAGATCAAGCGGGAGCAGGTCTAGGCTTGGGGGTGTTAGTGCCCAGAAACACATGGCTGGGCGTCTGCTCTGCTAGTTGATGATGGCACCAGAGTTTTCTTGGTCTGTCATGAGTCGTTCATCAGCTCTTTTTTGAGTCTTGCACTATATCTTGAAGGGGGGTGCAAACGCAAGTTTGAGCTTGTTGGTTGTTGTGTTCATGCAGAGGACTTTTGCGCGATGCGCCGTTTAGTTTAGCGGTGGCGCTGAGGCTACAGGAAGCTTCAAGCTTGTGTCTGCGTGCGACGTTTTCCAGCCGTAGCTGGATTTTGCCTAGGGTACGAACTGTTTCAGACGGCTTTAGATGGAGTTAACGGAGGTATGAGCTCTTGGCCAGTTGTTTGATCTTTGCTTGTAGATGTCGGGGTCAAGGTTTAGAGTGACAGATTGAACACGATGCAGGGGAATCGGGTGTTAGTGCGTTGCATGAGTCGTAGAGTTTTCGTCAAGATGCATCTGCCGTGATTTAGTCTGTATGCCCTTTTGCATTGGACCTGGCCAAATTATGTCGGAACATAATGCATCTGGTTTGTTACATATGGTGGTTAGATGTTGATGCAGGGGACCGTCACCAAGTGAATTTGGTATGGAAACTCCAGTGCCCTCAACTCCAGAGCTTTTTGGGGGCTACCGCACTGGGAGCAGCCTGTAGAGCATCAATGTCGGCCTTGGTCAGCTAGTATCAGTTGATTGATGCTGATGCCTCATTGCAACATGTATTTCTATCATCATGCATGCAATATGTGATCGGAAAGGAGGAATAAATTAGGTAGAAGTGATGACTTTGGTTCCTGCTCCAATACATCCATGATGACATCACCGATAAGAAGTTGCTCCTTCCTTGTGTTGCAGATGCCTGATCTATCGTGATATCTCGCGTAATTGGCATTTTCCCCCCTCATCTCAACCATTTTTCGCTTTTCTTGGACTTTATGTGATGCTGCGTAGCCTGTTCAATTGGAATTTGCTTCATTCCTCTCCAAATTTAGCATCTCGGAAGGCTACAAACAGTGACAGCAACGACCCGCCGTTTGGGGGCGTCCTTGACTGTTTCTCGAGCATTATTTGCGTTCCAAGCGATGCAATATTTTGCCTTGGTCCTCGCCATCCTTCAGCTGGGACATTCATTCACCCAACAAGCAATAACCCGTTGATGCCGCCGTTGAAGATGTTTGTGCAGCCCACGCGGAGCTTGAGGATGTAGACATTGCCGCCGTTGGTCGCGATCTCGTTGGCACCGAAGATGAATTGCCCGAGACTAGGGATAAGGCAGCTTCATAATCTCTTGAAGACGTTCGAAGAGCGAGTTTGTCTTTACTTGGTTTGCCTCCTCTTCCATGAAATATACCCCGTAAAAACAATCAGATCTGAAGAATCGCCCGCAGTCTGCACTGTATCATGACTTCGCTAACCAGGCAAGTAGATATATCTAAAATGGGTCCATGATCAAAGGTCCCGGAAAGTTGCCTGCTCTCATCGAGGTGATGAAGCCCCAGAGTGCCCTCGCTTGTTGGCAATCACGACGATGCATCACTCTCCATCTACCATCCGCACTTTGTTCATGAGTTTCATCTTCGTTACCCACCTCGGCTTTATCAACGCCTTCCTCTGTGCCCATCTGCCGGTAATATATAGGCAGCAACAATGTCCTTTTTTTTTTTTTTTAGCTCATCCCATCAAAAAAATTCACTGAAAGACTCTCCCCGTCTGGGACACCACGGCCCCTTAAAAAAAGAAGAAGCATATTCTCACCTTAATCTCTTCTGTGGTCGCTTCTTCTTTGCCCCTATCATATCTGGCATCCACTACACCAAGGGCCATTATACCTTCAACCCCTCTTTTTGGACCAAGGTCACGAGAATTCCGGTATCCTTGTTAATGTGCGGTGATACTACAGATGAACATAAGATTTCGGCTTTTCTTCGCCCCCTTTCCAGTACCGTGTTTCAAAGGACTTCTTACGCCTTGTCACTCGAGCAGAGACTTGATGATACGCCAGGTGGGCATTGAAGCAAAATGCACACCTGAGCGTCATGTCTTCAGAGCTCGAAAGATTACAAGCTTATACGCGTCAATCACATAGGCAAAGTCAAGATTGTTGAAATGGAAATTTCCATTTCAGAGTCTATTCGGGGACCCTCCCATACCATGGCTCCCATCCCACCATTATATCCCAATTCCCGTTCCCATTTCCATCCCATTACCCAAACCGATATCCCGTCCCGTCCCTATCCCATTACCGAAACAATATCCCAATTCCCGATCCAATTACCCAAACCTATCCTCCACCCCAGCCCGGCCCAGTATCCAAACCAATCCGTCCCAATCCTCGCCATGGTATTTCCTCCACCCCACAGGAGGGCCCCCGAAGGACCAAAAATGTTTTTTTTTTTCAAGGGCCGCATGCCATGGTCTTGCCCAAACCTTCTGACGAGTTCCTCTGATGGCATGCGGCCCAGATAATGTTCATTGAAGCTCCTCCACCAATTCCCTTGAATCCTCCACAGTATTCCCCAAAAAAGTTTTTTGGGGCCGCATAGCATGAGGTTGTCTAAACCATTTGACGGGTTTAGTTGATGACATGCGGCCCAGAATATGTTCATTGAAGCTCCTCCACAGTATTCCCAAAATGTTTTTTTTTTTGGGCCGCATGCCATGAGGTTGTCTAAACCTTTTGACGGGTTGATATGATGACATGCGACCCAGAGTTGTTGAAGTTGAAGCTCCTCCACCATTTCCCTTGAATCCTCGACGGAATTCAGTCGATCCCAAAAATGTTTTTTTTGGGCCGCATGCCATGAGCTTACCTAAACCTTTTGACGGATTCATTCGATGGCATGCGACCCAGATGTCAATTGAAGCTCCTCCGCCCATTTCCCCCACACGTCCAGCCTTGAATCCTCCCAGAATTTCCCAGTTGTCCCATCCCTCCTATCCCAAAATCCTCCTATATACCCGTGGTTGCCCACTCCGACTCCTTTCCATCTATCTATCATGCTGGACTCCTTCGTCCAAGCACATCGGGTTGCCGACGGAAGTTTCGGTTCATCCCTGCGATGAACCGGCGGCTCATTATAAAGGCCAACATAACAGAGTTGCATCCGCAGCACAATTTGCACTGGGGGCGGCAGTGTTCTGAAACGACGACTTTATAAAACCCTTACCCAAATTACCTAAAGAAACCCTCAAATTGCAAATCGGGCATGTCGAGAACTCAAGTCCAAAATAGGGGAGAAATGCGTGTTTCTCAAAAACCCTAAGGATAAGGCTGCGGTATATGCTCTGGCCCCCTCCAGGAGCACGGATAGAGTGCTATCAGAGCGTGGATTCTCCTGAAGGGGGCTATGCGTCGGACAAGATGCAGACGAATAATTGCAACTTTACCACATGCTCTGCTGAAGTTGTCACAATACCTGGGCCAAGTGGTCCAACATTGTTGAGCAGAGCATGACTTAATACTCTTTTGATGGTTTTTATAATTTGAACTGGGGGTTCTCTCTCTTTTTTTTTTGGTTTTTGGATTTTCTGTAGGGGATGGTCTTTTTTTCGAGATTTTTCATTTCCAACATGCCCATTTGTTCGAGCGATTTTTTTTGGTTTTTTGTTGAATTTTTATGGGCATGTATCTGTAGGGGAAGGGGAATGAGGCTGCATTGTAAGGAATGTTAGCCAAATTGTCTAATGGATGTCAGGGACTGGAGAATGGGGCACTTACTAGATTGCATTGACCAAGATCGAGATCCAAAGGGCAGAGGGGAAATGACACAAGGAAATATCCCTGAGGGCACCCTGCAATGCCTCGGCCAGAGATACCTGAAAGGATGTAAAGAGTGGCTGGATCTCTGGTGCTCTTTGGGTGCCTTGCTCCCTCGTGACGGAGACGGCATTGTTGACGGACCGATGCGAAGGAGAATGTTGTTGACAACACCCAAGGTGAGGATGAGAGTGCCCCCAAGGGGGGGAGGGGGAGGGGAGAGGGGATGAAGGTGAGTTGTGGTGAAGTGCTTCTATTGGTTGTGATGAGATGCTGATGGTGGTGATGAGAGTGAGAAAGATTGGAGTGAGGAGGGGAGAAAGATGTGTTTATATAGACGATTTTTCTCTCTGGGATCCAACATAACACGTTCTTTCATCTCGGCCCCCTCTTACTGGATGATCTACTGGCTGACTTACTACAGGCACACGCTTTCTTACAGGCACATTCTCACCTACATGGTCACTTGCAGGCTGACTTACATGAGAGCTTCAGCTCCGGCCAGGGGCTATTACGGCATTGCTTGGACGAGCCCCGCGAACCTTGCCAGCCGATCTGGCCGAAACCCAGCGGCTGAGGCCGATCGAGGCCCCTGCCGTACGTGAGAATCGTAAGAATCTATCGTAAGGCCGGAGGCTCGATCGCCGCGATAGACTCATCCCGGCGACTACCGGCCTGAACTGTCCGATCTAATCATGTACGAGATAGGGGGCCTGAGACGTGGTCTCGGAACTATTGGCCAGAGTCCCGGCATTGAGGCCAGGATGCCAGCCTCACGCGGCAGATGGCGAGCGTATCAGCATCCGTTTAGATATTACAGGGACCCGTTTGGGGTTGGAAGGCGAAGCTGAAAGAAAAAGAAAGAAAGAAGACGGCACAGAGAGACATACTAGGTGGGGGGGTTATATGTAAGGGAGAGGCTGCATTGATTGAGGCGACATGAGATGTGAGCCGTCCGTGAGTTGTCTCGGCTTACCAATCTCTCCGTTGCATGAGGCTCCGGGAAGGAAAAAGCAAAAATGCGTCGTGATGGGTGATGTCTTTGATGACGCTGGGAGCTGCTGCCTGACCGGTGACTGGGATGTGAAACAATAATGCTTTTTTTCTCTGTCGCCTATGCGGTCGAGACAATGTTGGGAGCGGTGATGGTGATGGTGATGCATCATGTTTGGGGGCCATACGATACCGAGACCTGCAGGTGGTGCATTTGAAGGGGGGAGGCCGGAGTTTATTGCGGCTTCAAGGTGATAAGGAGGAAATGAGGGCCTTGATAGGCTGCGTTGTGCTTGGATATTGATTGGGCTTTGACACGATGGTTTACCGAGAATGCTGGGCATGCATGTTATCACGAGGAATGCCGCCGACGGATATAGCAAAGTATTGGATTCCAGGGTAGACGATGATGGTGTGATGGAATGGGTTGAAGGTGAGCGATGGAGGTTCTCTTCTCTGCGATGGAGAATCTTTGAGATGGAGAAGCTTTGGCAGAGAGAATTGTACAGAGGATAAACGGGAGAACTGCGAGCAGTGGGATTCACATTCACATTGGCATTATCGTTTGCCGGGTATTGGACATTGGTCGGTGAGTTGGTGTTTGCATTTCGAGTGTCGGGGCCCGAATACTTACTCTCCACCTCTAGCAGCCGAATACATGAACTGGCACCACCAACACACCACACTCGCTCTCTACTGTCTGTCCCCGGTTGCACCCTCCATGCTTGGGCAAGTTGGCTTGACCGCATCTTCCCTCCGCCCATCTGTGATACAATACTTACTACCAGATTTGTGAAACAGCTTAATGTACTCCGTACGTGCGGTGCAGGCACTTGTACTTTGTGCTCCGTCGGGAAGCGGGGAATAATACGGAGGCGCATTTACGGAACGCACATCAAACAGCGACTGTTTACAGCATCAAACGCCCAGAACATACAAGAATCCCCCGCAGCCAATGGCTTCCCCACGATCTGGATGAAATGGCGCCGGAGCATGTAAATCCGAAGTGGACGGCAAGAAAAGATGCCGAGCTCTTTTTTTTTTTTTTTTTTTTTTTTTCCTCGACTGTATTTTCCGAAAATATTCGGGGTGGAGCGTGTCTCATGGGCAGCGGTCGGCCGAACAGGCATCAGGATGTACTTCTTATTCGGAATCCGAAATATTTCGGGGTGGATAGGCATTGTCTCATACTCGTATACGCTTTGTGCGAGGAGCAGCGCCTTGAGAAGTCCGAAATATTTCGGGGTGGAGTGGCATTGCCTCATTGTCTCTCATCTTGCTTTCTATGAGCAAGAGTATGCCTGGAAGTAGCACTTCAGGCAGTCCGAAATCTTTCGGGGTGGAGGCATTGCCTCAATGTCTCATATTTCCTTTGTGAGTAATAGCAGCATTTTGAGTATTACGTACGGAGTAGTAGTCCGTAATACTTCGTGGTAGAGAGACATTTGTCTTGTGAGATTTTCGCAGTCCGAAATATTTCGGGGTGGAGGCATGTCTCAACTTCACTTTGGCAAGACAGAGCAGACATTGTCTCATACTCGTATGCTCTTTGTGAGCAAGAAGACAACTTGAAAAGTCCGAAATATTTCGGGGTGGAATGGCCGCCTCATTGTCTCATCATCCCTTTGTAAGTGATAATACTATGATTCCGAGAGTCCGAGATATTTCGGGGTGGATAGGCTTTGTCTCATGTCCTCATTCTGATCAACACTCCGCAGCATCTTTGAACAGCCCGAAATTTTTCGGGGTGGAGTAACATTACCTCATTGTTTCATGTTGCTGTCTGTGATCAAGAAATATTCCTGTAAGGAGCACTTTTTGGGCTGTCCAAGGTCTTTCAGGGTGATGAGACGTTGCCTTGTGAGCAAGAGATGTATCATTTTCGCAGTCCGAAATCTTTCGGGGTGGGGGCATTGTCTCATACAACCTGATCAATAACACTCCGTGCCGTCTTTGAGCGGCCCGGAGGCATGTCTCTGATATTACGGTGTGCGGCACGCGGCCGAAAATTTTCGGGGTGGAGAGGCTCATCTCCTCCCTTGGCGAGCAACAGTAGCATCTTACTCAGTCCGAAGTATTTCGGAGTGGAGGCATGTCTCATATTCCTTGATTGTATTGCGGCAACGAGACACGGGGTCGATATTCTTCGGGGTGGAGAACAAAAGCAACGAATTCTGGCGCATATCTTGCCCGGTGACCGGCCGGTAAGACAGATGCTGTCACTTTTCCGCAAGCAAAAAGCAATGCTTCCTACTAAGCGATCAGATGATCCTTCAAAACAAAAAGGAAGCATGAGACATTCCGCCTCCTCGAAATGCCTCAGATAATATTACTTCAATATCAAGCCATGTTATTGGTCAAGAGAGGAAATCCCGAAGAATTTCGGCCGCACATGTCTGTTGAGGTCGGCGGTAAACCGCACAATGAGTTTTGTTGAGAAAGATGATGCCTTGTACCTCGATTTCGATAGATCCAATGTCTCAGTTGAGAGCCTCGTCACACAACGATGCCATTCGTCTAGACAGAAAATCCGAGAAATATCGGCCCCTCACGCGTCATGAGACCAGCGGCGGGCAGCACAAGCTGAGCAGCTGAATAGCCTCAGCTCTTAGCGAATCTCACTCAATCGCCAGGCGATCCCTGTATGTATGATGAATGCCTCACTCCAGGGCATACAATGAAGTTACATCTCTGGCCAAGACAGGAAATCCGAGAAATATCGGCCCTCCATGAACTATGAGTGTGTATGCGTTCTGCAGCTGGTATAATATCTGCCTTTTCTGTCTCGTCTACCCTCAGCTTGACCCTAATTACTCTATAACCTCTGTATCTCTACTTCCAGCATCATAGCCTCTACATTTTGCCCATTTGTTGAGACAACCTGCCAAACTTGTGTGAAAATGAATTTCTTCACCGCTGCAGCTCTTTTTGCGGCCGTTGTCGTCGCTCATCCTCTTGAGCACCGCAGTAGCAATGTGTGCCCTGATGGCCTCTTCAGCAATCCCCTGTGCTGTGCGACTGCGATCCTCGGCCTGGTTGGCCTCGACTGCCAGTCTCGTAAGTTTAGCATACCTACCCAGAAGCCTTAAGAGTTTACCTTTTCTCATTCCTTTCCTACAGCACCTAGACTTTACGATAACGCCGCCGAATTCCAAACCAGTTGCGCTAAACTTGGCCATGCACCTTTTTGCTGCGTTGCTCCCGTTGTAAGACCCAGTTCAGGTTTCTTCTTCCTCTTAACCTGCTCTGACACAATTCTAGGCCAATCAGGGTATTCTCTGCCAAAAGCCTGTTGGTAACTGAGAAGCCGCCGTTCCATATGTCTCTGATGCCAGCGCTGAAACAGTAGTATAAGCAGAGAAGGGTTAATCTTTTGGGGCCTGGCGGTGTCTGGGTATATCTCGCTCAGAAGCCTATAAAATGCGATACTGTTGGCCGAGACCGGAAGTTAGAGGAATGTATAGGGCCTTGATGTCTTGTAGTGCCAGCGGCAAGCTGTAGAGAAAAATATACTTCATGTCAAACATTAGGCGGAATCGTTCGGCCGCATATGTCTCGTGTGAAGTAACGTAAATACATCACCAATTCCTTAATCTCGTAGGTGCAAAAGCCTGCCGTATAGTCATGAGCGTAAGCCATAGAAGCTCCAGGTCAACATGTTAAAAATTATCGTGTTTCTCCGGTTCGAACAAACGCCCCAAGCGCGTGTCTCATTCAATATGCTTCATTCAAGGGCCATGGAATATAGTCGTACTATTAGTCAAGGCCGAAAATCCGAAGAATATCGGCCCCTCATGTCTTGTGAGGTCGGCGGTAAGCAGCACAACCTGAACTGAGAAAGATGATGCCTTATCCCTCGATCTCAATAGATCCAATGTCTCAGTTGAGAGCCTCGTCACGCAGCGATGCCATTCGTCTAGACAGAAAATCCGAGAAATATCGGCCCCTCATGTCTTAGAAGACCGGCGGCAAGCCGCTGAGAAAGATGGTTCATGTCAAACATGGAGCGAAGTCGTTTGTCATGATAACAAAAGCCCGAAGAATTTCGGCCGCACATGTCTCATGTGGTCGGCGGTAAGCAGTGGAAGCTCTTCAAGTTGGCTGGTTGAGAAGCATCGTGTTTCTCAAGTCTGGACGCCTTGGACGCCTTAGGCGCGTGTCTCAGTCAAGGGGGCACACGAAGCTGGGTTGTTGTTCTTTTCTGTCTCGGGACACTGAGAATCCGAAAGTTTTCGGGCGCCAATGCTGCCTCTTCTTGTTGCTTTGCGTGTCAATGAGCCGGACCTGAGACTATCCGAAGCTCGTGAATGTCTGTGTCACTCACTCACTGACCCGGACTTTACCACTTGATGGTGCTCTCTCCGAAACACGGAAAATTTGCGGGCGCAAGGGATAGCTAGGGTTTCACTTGATGATTGGTGATTTTGCAGCATTTGAGAAAAGGAAGACGAATAATATTAGGGGTAAAAGATATTCCGGGTCTCGGTAGTGGTTGTAGGTGCAATTTTGCAACCAGATGAAGGTAATCATTCTCACTTGACATGTCGTGTCATTACCTTTTGGAATCGTAGAAACTGACAGCACACAAGTTCCGAGTTGGAATGGGATCACCAAATGATGGAAGCTGAATTGCCCCATCATTCAAAACACTCCGAATCTGTGTACGTATGCTTCAAGTTATCATGCAATACGACCAATCTATTACCACGCATTGGGCAGACATGCCGCGTTTGCTATGTAAACCCGCATGAATTCTTACTGCTACCTAACCCACTGAGCAAATGGCCAGGCATCTTGAGAGACGTAGGATGGATATCGGGGGAGATTGGCCTCTCTGTCCGTGGAGTATTTGATAATTAGATAATGAAAAAAAAAAAGTCGCGAAAGTTGCTCTGAGAATCTCATCTGAATGATGGTTGAGGCATCACATCAGTACTCTTGAGGAAATTTTCATCATTTTCATCACCATCAAACAATCTTCAATTTTTTCATAATGGCTTCCGGGAATTTGGTTCTTTCCTTTGCTTTTCCAAGCATTCCCAGCATCCCAATGACAAATGCCTCTAAACATATTCATCATGCGAGAGCACAGCTTGAGCCTTACACCAGCCACATTTATGGTGTGAGTACCTACCCTGATATAGGATACGAGTATCTTAATCCTGCCATAATTTCTATACATGCAGCTAAAATGTTTAAACTTCCCGGGTCTGTCTGACAGGTTGACAGGTACTACATAGACTTGGCTCTATTTTTGATCTGCGCGCCACTGGTTTTGGGGGCTTGTGGCGGTTGAACTTTACCTGCACCAAAATCCAAATGAAGAAGATCTGGGGGAAGCGCCCATCTCTGTTTCGGGAGTCGCCGTGTCAAGTTAGCCAAATAAGATAAAATAAAATAAAGAAGAGAGATTATCAATCAATACTCCGTACTACATTCTCAAATGAGGAGAAGAAAAAGATACGAGTGTCACTCTGACAATGTCGCATCAGTACTTGACAAATGTCCATCGTGGCAATATCGGTGCAGTACTTGATGGACAGAGCACGCACACGTGCAGATACGAATATTTGCTCCGTATTTGATTTGGCCTGCACACTTTCAACGGGGCGATGCAGCAAATGTCACCCAAGCCAAACGCTGAGGCGATGCATGAATGGCGCAAGTGGATACCAATAGCAGACTCCGAGGCTGTGATTGGGCCAGAGGGGGAGCCCGTCACGGGTTGCGACGCCGGGTGTGACGGGGCAGCCAGAGGTAGCTGGTACGGCGACACGGGTATGTTGTCACCCGGATACACGGGTACCAGCGACTTCGATGCTCATGTGCAGGAGGTACAGTACAGGCACCCTCTTGGCAAGGACAAGAGCAAGCGCAAATAATACAGTACACAATGCAAAGAGGCAGGCGCATGTCAAATTGCCTCTTTTCTTTTTCGTCTTGTCTCTAATGCGTATGCGCACAAGCCAAACGACTTCAAGTCATCTCTTTTTCTCCTCCTCTTCAATCATCTCCTCCTCCAATCATCAACTCCCATTTCCCGCACCAAGACGCCGGAAATCCTCCCGCAAAAAAGCCAAGAGGCCAAGAAGCCCAAAAAGTGGTGGACGATCCGCGATTTAAATGCGACACGGCTGCGGCACATGGACACGCACAGTATGGACCGCAGCCCCCCCTGAGCTGGCTAGCTAAACAACTAAACAACGCTTGCTGACATCAAGAACAGTGGCAGCAAAAAAATGGCCCGACCAGGGGGGCCCCCCAGTTCTCGTTTCGCCTCGTCGAATGAGCGTGCAATTCGCTACTCTTTTCAGGAGACGCCCAGGGCCCCGTATTTTATTTTAATCTGCTAGTACGGAGCATGGAGCACGGAGTCCGAGTAATAACACTACCGCTCGTATCAACCGCCTGCCGAGTTGCCCGCTGCCATACGAAGCGCTGCGCTTCACCTGCTTTGCACGATCTGCGAGCGGATCCTACTTTCATACGGCCCTGAAACGGCGCCTTCGGGGGACTCAGCCACCACCCATGGACGCGTACTCGTAACAATCTGCAACCACACTCACACACACACTCTCTCTCTCGTTTTCCCTTCTCGTAACGACTCCATCTGCCGTATTCACTCTTTTCCCACAACTGCTGGAACTCGGCGCCTTTCTGTCGCTTTTCTTGTTCTTCTTCCCTCCCCCAGATTTTTCCATCGTGTGTGGATGGATTATTTGGCGACAGATCCATCCATTGTTTTACCTTCACGATAAACATGGTCGCTCGCTTCCTTCTCTCGTTTTGAATATCTTAGATTCTTCTTTTCGACCTTCGTTTCTCCTTTATTGCCGCCGTGCGACCTTTTTCCAAGCACGGCGCTTCCAATCGCTCCCATAACCATTACCGCTCCGACGACCTCGATAACGACGACTTGATTCGCAAAACAACTCAATCGAAAGACCAAGCCTCGTTATTCGCTGCGTTGCGACTTTGAGTCCCTCGACCCCGATCCCCCCCCAAAAAAGACTCCCTTTGGCCGGACCATCGTCTTCAAAACCTCGTCGGCGCAAACCTCCCCCCCTTTCACCACTCCGTGACATACGAGACGTTCCGCGGGACGAAAACGGCTCTTTGATTGCGCACCTATTCTTCACCCATCTCCGACAAATTCTACTTCCTCCTAGGTCAACTCTCTGCTCTCGCCCAGAGAAAACAATCGTACAAACAAATCACGAGTAATCGCAAATCTCAACCGGTGCAATGTGGTTCTCAAGGAGCGCCCTCCTGGGCGCAATGGCGGCCCTGCTATCGCCAGTATTTGCCGAAAACATGCTCGTTTCCACCTCCCTCAACACCTGTCAAGACAACTCGGGTCTCCAGGCCAGTTTCTTCAACGTCGTCTACACCCCGAACAATAATTCAGCCACAATTCACCTGGTGGCCACATCCTCCGTTCAAGGCTACGTCATGTTCGACATTGAGGCCTCTGCCTACGGTTACACCTTTCTCAAGACCCAACTCGACCCGTGCAAGATCAAGCTCGCCGGTATGTGTCCCATGACGGCAGCTGCCAAGTTCAACATCCCCTTCAACATCCCCGTCAGCGCCGATGCTGCCAAGCAGATTCCTTCCATCGCCTACTCCGTACCCGATCTGGATGCCAGCGTTAGGGTGCGTATCAACCTTACTAGCACTGGAGAGAGTATTGCCTGCGTCCAGGCCGACATCTCCAACGGCAAGACGGTCAACTTGACCGGTGTCAAGTGGGCTACTGCCATTATTGCTGGTATCGCCTTGGTTTCTTCTGCCGTCTTCAATGGCCTCGGTCACTCCAACACAGCCGCTCACGTTGCCGCGCTGTCGCTGTCCCTGTTTGGTTATTTCCAATCCCAAGCTATGATTGGCTTGACCGGCGTCGGTCTACCACCCATTGTCCAGGCCTGGACTCAAAACTTCCAGTGGTCCATGGGCATCATCCACGTCAACTTCATGCAAACCATCTTCACCTGGTATCAGCGAGCCACCGGCGGCACACCTGCTACCCTTTTCAGCTCCCTGGGCTCTGTTTCCGTCGCCGTTGAGAAGCGTGGTCTGGATGCCGGCCTCGAAATGAGCAAAGCCGTCATCAAACGCGGTCTTGCCATGATGCCAACGGCCGCCGCCAACGTCCTGAAGCGAAGTGGAAACATTCTGTCTCCATCCGGAGGCTACGTTGTCTACGGAATCCAGCGTGTGGCTTTCCAGGCCAAGATTGAAACCACCAATCTCTTCATTACGGGCCTGACCTTTTTCTGGCTTTTTGCCATCTTCACCATGCTCGGCGTAACCCTGTTCAAGGGCATCTGCGAACTCCTCGTCAAGCAGGGCATTATGAAGGCGGACAGGTTTCTCGAGTTCCGTAATGGCTGGCGCACCGTCCTCAAGGGCATTCTGTACCGTATCGCCCTCATTGGTCTCCCCCAGCTTTCCATTCTGTGCTTCTGGGAGTTTACGCAGGTTGATTCCGCCGCCGAGGTTGTGCTTGCCGTCTTCTATTTCTTTTGTCCACTCATTGCCCTCTGCTGGGGTGCTAGCAAGGTGATTCAAATCGCGCGTCGGTCTATCAACATGCATGGAAACCCGGCCTACATCCTCTTCTCCGACCCCCAGGCTCTCAACAAATGGGGTTTCCTCTATGTGCAATTCCGTGCCTCTGCCTACTACTTCATCGGGCCCATCTTGCTCTACACCCTCATCAAGGCCATGTTTGTGGCATTTGCGCAAAAGACAAACGTTGCTCAGGCTATTGGCTTCATTATCCTCGAGGTTGGCATGCTCATTGCCACGTCAGTTCTGCGCCCGTGGATGGACAAGAAGACTAACTCGTTCAACATTGCCATTTACGTTATTAACTTCTTAAACTCCATCTTCCTGCTCATCTTCACCAACGTTTTCGGTGCCCCCCTGCTGGCTATCGGTGTTGTTGGCGTTGTCCTGTTTGTTCTCAACGCCATCTTCTCACTTGTTCTCCTGCTCATGGTCATCGCCTCAACCGTCTATTCCATCGTCCGCAAGAACCCCGATGCCCGATACCAGTTCATGGCAGATGACCGAGCATCCTTTATGAAGTCGCAGACGCAGCTAAACAACGGCGCCGCCACCGAACTGGACGCATTGGCAGTCACTGCCAGAGGCGACAAGGCCGGCTATAAGCTCGATGACGAGGAGGCATCCGTTACATCCAACGAGATCCGTCACCCGACGGACACGACAGCCATGACTTATGCTCCCCAGTCCATGACGGCCCAGGCTCCGTTCTACCAGCCGGCTCGTTCAGTATCCCCAGTCAACCCATCCGTGCCACTCTTCCCGGCCAACGACCAACAGTCTCACTCATCGTTGGGTCACAGCCACTCACCGTCGCCAATCGGACGTGTTCCCTCGTATGGCAGCAACACGAGCCCTGGCGGCTACAGATCACAAAACAACGCAAGGTATGTCTCGATATGATAGAATGCTGGTGCCTCGGACCTAAACTAACTGATATGTCAATAGCCCCTGGCAGCGTGGTGCTGGTTACGACTAGACAAGCTCCATCCTGACTGTCTCATTTACCTACAGTGACGCAACATTATTTTTCTTTTATTGTGAATTTGTTTTGTTTATTTATAATCGATCGCGCGAATCTCACGAGGGAGATTGTAAGATGGTTCAACCTGATCCGCGTGTATATCACTGCAGCAGCCAAGTGTGTATATGTGTGCCGGCTGCCGTCGATATTTTTTGAGCTATTCGTCATGTGTGGCAGAAAGGAGCGGCGGGTTGGCTCTGTTACGGCGATGGATGCGATGCGATGCGTGTAAGGGCGTTTATATAAGAAAGGCTGACCTTTTATCGTTGTCTTGGCTACTTGAAAGGAGTACCTGTTTGAAAGAGCGAGCATCTCTATAAAGCATCTCTATTGTTGCTGCTTGCTCATCTATTATTTCTCATGTATGTACATAGGATCTCGCAGGAGAGATCGAGTCGGTCATTAGAGGCCGATAGTTACGACTACTACTACTACCTACCTACCTACCTTACCTTGTTTTTGGGCTCCGGATATGTAGAGCATGCAAACTTGGATAGACTTGAAAATGATGCTCCAGTCATGCGGTTCCAAGTGGTCCTTATTTCTCTTCTTCTCTGTGTTGTTGTTTTCTTCTCTTCTCACTCTTGCTTTCTTTCTCTTGTGCTTGGTACACCATCGCATTCCTTTTTCTGCTCTTTTTGCCTTTTCTCTTCTTTGATGCTACTTGCGCCTTTTTGAAAAATGGTTATTTTATGAAGTATTTCTGGACGCGACCCTTCTTCCTCCCTCATTTCTTTACTCAGTTTCCTTTGTCCCTCTTCTTCTTACGTTTGTCTTCTTTGGCTCATCCTTATTTTGGGTTTCATTTGTCGAGTTACAAAAAAACAAGAAAAAGTCCCATCCATGCATACAAGGCTAGGGTCAGATGAGCTTGGCAGGCACCTCCGTAGACCCTTTTAGAGATTTTCACGTTTCAAGTATGATTGCCTGCTTACCCGGCCGAAAACAAAAAAAGAAACAAGAAGAAGCACTGGCTAACCCGCGCTGGCCTCTTATTTTTGGCTCTCGCATTCGCATCGGGCCGGCCGTTCATAAGCTTGTTTCCGATGCCTTGCTTTTTGCATCTCCCCGAAAAAGAGCCTCTCCCCAACCCGCGGAATGGGACCAAAAAAGAGGAGCGATGTGGTGCATTTTGACGCACCCCGGGCGGGCTTCAAACAAACTGCGGCTTTGGCTAAAACCATGTGCCGGAGAATGCGGGGGAAGGCAGTCGGTAGTGTGTTATTGGGCCGTGGATCGTACCGAGCGGGAGAAGGTAGAGTAGCAATCATGTGGCGGTGTCGTCGTGTTCTGACTGTCTCCTTTGTGTGTTGATGGTCCTGTTACTGATGGGTGTTGTGAATAGGAGAGATTGTGTGATTATATGCTGTAATTGTTATGTGCTGAGCATCATATCACTTTCCTCCTTCATCGCTGTTAGTTAGGCACGGGAGTGAGGTCCAACGGACCATCACCCCCGTGGGTTGTTCACACCCCGGTCCCGTCGATGAAGCCATGCTAACCTTGAGCAGGAAGCTTGAAAGGATGCTGGTGAGGCCCATCCACTCTAATTGCGCGTTTAAGGGCCGAATTCATATGCACAGTTGGTTTCGATTTTGTATTCCATCCTCTTCGTTATTTCGGCCCTAACACCCCAAGCAGAAGGGCTAATGGTCGTCATGATGCAGGAGATATACGAAGACTCGGCTCGGGGAGTCTCGGTCGCGACGCTTCGAAAGTACAGAGAGGAATTAGGAAAAAAGAGAGAAATCGTACTAGTAGTAATAATATGTCAGTGTGAGAGAGGAGTCAATTCCCGAATACTCGGTCCGATAGTACGAGATGTGCCGCTTTCCATGAACGGGGGGTCCGCGGGTAAGCAAGTTAGTACGGTTGGTACGGAGTTTGTTTGTTTGTTTCGAGTTCCTTTGCTATGGCCAGAGAGAGTCCAAGGCCAGGTCATGGCATGTCATGGCGTGCTCACTTGCACGAAGTCCAGGCAAGATGGACAGGGGACTGCGTTCGGAGGAGACAACGGGAGCTATTCTTGCTCTCCTTCGTGGGGAATTAATAATAATCGACGATATTTCGGATATATAAACCTGGTCATGGAGACGTTCAGAATGTCCAGGGGAGAGAGGATAAAGAGAGACTGCATCATCCGAGGCTTCTCACTTTCGAGTCAGTAGAGCCGTCTTCTATTTCACTTACACTGACACTTACATACTTCTTCTTTCTCTTCTCGGTCTCTTTTCTCTATCCATTCCTTATCCTGTTGTCAGGATCTTCGAGTCTCTCGCAACAATGGCCATGCGCTTCCTCACCACCGCCGGCGTGCTGCTCTCGCCTCTCCTCGCGGCCGCCTCTCCCTCACCAAAGCGAGGTCTCATCTTCATCCCCAACTCGACGACGCTGCAAGACAACTCCATCTGGGTGCAGACGGGCTCAGACTTGACGTGGTACTACAACTATGGCAACCTTCCCAGCTCCGACTACGTCCACATCCCGCAGTCCAAGTTCGAGTTTGTGCCCATGATGTGGGGAGTTGGACCGAACCCGACGCAGGACTTTGCCTTTAGGGACAGCGTTATCAATCTTATCAATAGTGGTACCAATATTACCCATGTCATGAGCTTTAACGAGCCTGATGCTCCGGCTGCTTGGGGTGGCAGCGATGTGGCCCCGGTCAACGCTGCGAAGGCTTGGATCGCGAACTTCGTTCCTCTACAACAGCGTAATATCAAGATTGGAGCTCCTGCCTGTACTGGGTCTCCTTCAGGACTAGTTTGGCTTCAACAGTTCTTTGGAAACTGTACTCAGCTCCTTGGGAGGAGCTGCCCGTATGATTTCGTGTCGTTGCACTGGTATGACAACTTTGAGGGGCTGGCGAGCCACATTGGCGAATACTCCGCAGCGTAAGTTGACCTGGATGCACCGAAACATCAGTAATAAAATCAAATACAAACGGATGGCTAATTCGATCAAAAAAAAATGAAATAGATTCCCCGGCAAGAAGCTCTGGGTGACCGAGTACGCCTACGCCAACCAGCCGCTGGCCGCGACGCAGCAGTTCTTCAACACCAGCGCCAACTACATGGACGGGCTCAGCAACCTGGAGCGGTACAGCTACTTTGGCGCGTTCCGGTCCAATGTTAGCAATGTCGGGCCCAATGCGACGTTTCTGAACAATGCGGGACGGCTGACGGACATTGGATCGCTGTATCTTGGCGGTGGCCTGACGGGAGTGCTTCCTACGTCAAACTCGTAGATTGTGGGATGGTGAGGATGATGATTATGATGATGATGATATTCGAGGATAAGTGGTATATAACGGTATAAGAAAAGACAAGGATGTATATAAAATGAAGATGCAGTGTATATGAGATGACAAAAGAGGAGAATTTTGCCATACCAACAGAAGCATGTTGTGCTGTAAATACAAAACACAAGTGTCAATAGGTAGTTCTGTACATTTACAGTTACCGGTACCTCCCTTAGTAGTAGGTATCAAGTGCCTTCTCAATTGGGAGTGCACGACGTCATGTTGTCTTTGCTGACTGCCGTGCAACATCATGATCGGAAGGAGCCTCCCATATTCTTCACCCGAAGCAGCATCCATCTCCTCTCCTCTCCTCGATTTTCTCTTAGGGGAATCTTCTTTTCTTCTTTTCCATCTCCATCGACAATACTTCTTCATCTACCAAGTGAGTATTGGCATTGGAGATGCTTTAGTTGGCGTGCGTGCAAATGCACTAATCCCCTCGACTGCTTTCCTAGATCCTGACAAATCGCGCCAATACACACTCTCCAGCTCCAATTCTACATTGCCTACGGCTTAAAGAGGCAGAGGATAATCAGTGACGACGCTCAGATTCGACAAAGCTATCTACCCATGCACCTATCTACGAAGTAACATGGTGAGTACTGAGCGTTAGTGACAGGGAAAGCAAAGGAAACTCATGAGCAAAATATGGTAGAAAGACTAATCGGCATTGAATTGGTAAAAAGAATAAAGAAATCTTCTCATCTAATTCCCTCTCCCTCAAACCTCGTTTTCTCTTTTCCTCCGCCTCCTCCACGTTCTCCCTCTCGCTCCTTTTTTTATTCTTCACCTTTTCTGTTTCTCTCTTCTCCCCATTCACAATACCTCTCGAACAAATCAGCACCCAATAAAAGAAAAGAAACTGACGAGACAAACACACCAAGGAAAACACACCAAGGAAAACACACCAAGGAAAACACACCAAGGAAACGCACCAAGGAAACGCACCAAGGAAATCCGACTACATAAGAAACCTCCAGTCACAGCTGGCCAACCAAAAACACAAACAAACTCCAAGGAAAACCAAGACACCCGTCATTTCCCCAAGATGGCCCTAGACTATTGTAACGGAGTAAAACGGGTCATTAAAGTCGAGCATCGTACTCGGCAAATCTCTAATGCAGCCAATCCGCTCAAACAATCCGAGGTATCTCATCGACCGAGTCAACACCAGCCCATCCCACCTATCGAATATCATGCCCCCACGCATCTCATCATAGTCTCCTCTCTGCCTGATACAAAGCACAAACGCCATCCCTCTGGTTGTCTTGGGCCCCAGAACATTGCGCTGATACTCGAAAAGGTTCCGCGTCAAGAATGCACGCGTAAGGCGCGGGTTGCGTTGCTTTTCGCCCAGCAGCCCCTTCTTCAACAACCGCAGTCTAGTTTTGGCAGCATGTCGTACACGCAGCAGCTCCAGAGCCCCCTTAGACTTGACCGTGGCAAGCGCACCATCTCCAACAAAGGGATACGTCTTAATCGTTCTATCGTCCTTGCAGATAAAGTGGGCAAGCTGCCAGCGGTCTCCTCCGGCGCCCGCGAGCGTCTGGCTGACTTCACACTCCAGCAAAAGGCCTTCCACATGAATCCAGGCTCCATCAACGCTGCCGCATGGGTCATTGGGGTCCGTGGGGATGCTGCCACACCCAGTGATTCTTGCCTCGGGCCTGGCAGTCCAGTGCTTGTGTCGCCACACAACCGGCGTATCAACAGAGGCCCAAGAGAAGGACGGCGCCTTTTGCTTCTTGAAGGGCAGAGTTATCTTGATCTTGTTCGTGTTAGTTTGGCCTGGGCGAAAGTTCACCTCCCACAGCAGACCCGTGGTCATGCTCTTCTCCCAGAGGCCTGCGACATACCGGTCTTGAATTCCCATGTCAGACATGGAGGCCAAGGCTGATAACTTGGAAAGTCTGTCTTCTGCGCGGAGCATTTCGCACGAGGTATGGAACTCAACGGCATGAAGCCACAATTCCGACGCATCGCGGGCCCCGTATCTCTCCGGCATCCCTTGGGTCCAATCGGCCCTCCTGTACTCCTTGACCCCTTCGCGAGTACAGTCATGGCGTTTGCACTGGGCCATGACCCCAGCCGACGTGAAGTGAATTACGCGAGTTCCCAGGAGAGCTTCGTTAAGGCACCAGTGTCGTCCGTAGAGCGGACCGGTTCGCCGAAACGACCCGGGGGCAATTTTAACAATATGCGATGACTTGTCGAGGGCATCCAAGGGGGTCTCGGGACGGGAGAACTTTCTACGCAGCGTCATGGTAGCTTCGGCACCGCTTGGGGCTACAAATTCAAGCTGCTTGGTGATCCAGTCCTTCTTTGGAGGATGGAGAAACGCATCATTCACCGTAAGAGCTGATGCTGCCACAATAGTCAGGATGGAATCTCGAAAGTAGCTGCCCATCATGGGTAGTTGCATCCTGAGATCCTCTTGGCTGTCCTGGATAATGCACAGGGAGTCGACAAAGAGGAAATGAATATCGTTGAGGTGTGCGACCCTGGCAGCGTCTCTAATAGCCGCAGGCAAGCCGGAAATCGTCCTGCCCTCATCCTTCCACTCGTCTATGTTGGATTTGAGGAGTTTAGGAACCCCTGGGTCGGTATTGACCCAAGTATGGCTCAGGGTCGCGTACTCTATCCGCTCCGGGACGTCTGGCATTCCCGGCGGGTTGGACATACGCTCCCACAGTACAACATCATCGTTGTCATAGTCGAGATAGAGCAACCGATTAGGGATGCTATAGCATTGGTCCGTGGCGTCCTTGTGATTCGAACAGCCTCGGAACCAGTATCGAAAGAAGCCTTCACTTGCACGGTGTTTTTGCGTGTCCTCGTTTTCTGGGAACTCCATTTCCACGCAGGGGAAGTCAGAATCGGTCAAAGAGCCCCGATCCAGGGTGAAGACTTCAACATCAGCTCGAAGAAGGGTGAATTCGTGATGGACAATGAAGGCCATTTGGCAACCCAATACCAGGGGCTGGCCTGGTCGAATCTTGACCTCGACGCAGAGGGTAGAACACTCCCTGGCATCCTCTCTCCAGTTTGTGGTACCGTCTTTGAAGAAGAGGTTGAGAGCGTTGAAAATCAATCGGCAGTATGGACAGTCACGGAGCCTGTCGGCATCCTCGATGGTCGCGTACTGGTCGTCGTCGTCTCCGTGTTCATTCTTACTATCACGGAGGAGGTGATTCGTGAAAAGGGTGATGATATAGAATTTAGCATCTCCGCGAATTCGGGTTCGCTGGGTGCGACGGCCATCTAATGCGTGCACTCGTTCGAAGTCTTCACAGTACTGGAAGTTGTTGCATACGCGGCACAAGTTCTCGAACCCGATGGGTTTCTTGCTATTGTTGGTATCCTCAGGCGGATAATATCTTAGAGGGCGAGAGAGAGACATGGAGTTTATGCGAACCGATTGAGAAGGTAGAGTATAGTATAAGAGGGGGTTAAGGAAGTGGAAAGATGAAAGTGGGCAAGTTGGGCTTATTTGGATACTGATGATGATGAAGCAAATAGGGACAGCGAAGATCAGTTCCGTGGCAGATGGAGGTTTTTCATTCGGAGATTGTAGGAAGAATCCGATTCTTTATACTAGTGTGTCCCAAAAGAGAGGATGGGATATACACACATAAGAGAGAGAGTGTGTGTGAGGGAGAATGGGGACGAATTCGGATACAGAGAAACGGAGGTGACAGAGCTGGGGAGTGTCTATGTGTCTGTTCATTCGCTCATCTCGTACACCTTACGCAGTGTCCATGCTGCGTCCAGCAGCTCAGCAATGATTTTCGGCTTTCATTTCCTTTTCTCTCTCGGTCTAACTCTTTTCATTTCACCCGCAGCAGCTCACCAGAACAGAGGTTTCAAGCCTCAAAACGCCTCTTTTTCCAAGAACAGGCTCTTGATGCATGGTTCCATCTCGGTGACGGCGAAGGCGCATGGAAGTGAACACAGGCTTCTCCACCACGGATCGGTCGAGGCACGCGTCCCATTCGCCGATTTGCGAACCTGACTGCCTCACTTTTGAGTTAGCTCGATCTAGGGCATGAGTTGAGACCAGGGATATTTCTATCAGGCGGTCGTGCGCTGCAGCCGCATGGACAGGGGGGGCCCATGGCACGAAGCAATAGCGGTAAAGTTGGGAGGAGGTGATCTGCCGGGAGCTACTGTCCAGAACCCACTCTGTAGGAAGAAGGGATCCCGTCTACGGGCATCTGGTCGTGCTAATGCTGGGCTACAGCAGGTACTAGTCATGTCAAAGTGAGGCCGTCTTCGAAGCCCTTTTTTTGGTAGAGAGGGCGATTCAGCACTCGAGCTCGATCCATATCCTCCTCCCCTCTCGACGCCATGTTCCCAGCAGGTGTGGCCCCGGAGTCGCGAGACAGGTAGGGATGCATGGGCAAAGGCAAATCAAAAGCGAGACAGAAGAGAGGGGAAAGAAAAAGAAAGAAAACAAACAAATGAGTGCCGCCTGGAAAGTGCAGTGCAGTGCAGTTGAGCGCAGCAAACCATGCTAATACCGTACAGGCTATGCGAGCGGCTGGCATTCAGTCCCCAACAGTCATAGCGTCAATCCTTCTGGTCCACACGCCCCTGAGAGATCTTTGTTTTCTCCTTGTGCCGGAGCCCGATCTCCTTAGCCGATTGAAACCCCAGATGGGGCGATGCTGGAGCTGGAGTTGTCGGCCATGAGATCAGAGGCCGGCCATGAGGAGAGGAGACGAGGTTGTATTAGGTGGGGGGTTGGGCTGCTGACGCCAAAATGACAAACCAGCGGGCTTTTGGCTTTTGGGGCCTCGTTCTCTCGCTGGGTGAGTATTATTTAATTTTGGCCTAATGCTTACGAGTAGGGACTCATGCTGTGAACTCTGTTCCCGAGGTCAGCAACTCTATATAATTCGCACAGGATGGGAGGCACATGAGTAATGCCTTTCCGAGGGCTATTTAAACATCATCGAGGGACGAACAGGAGCTGCATCGTCTTGGGCACCATCACATCATTGGGGTGCATTTTTTTTGCAGGGACAACTGACATACGAGTACGGCTCTGCTGTATTATTACTCTGCTCATGCACAAGAGACAACAAGACGACGGTACCACAGCGCTCGTAACTTTGCCATTCCCCCCGGTTTCATTCCACTCATCAACTCAACCATGGCATCCACAACTAACTACACCCCTCCTCTGCTCGACCTCACCATTGACAACATCACCGAGAACGTGGTGCGAATCAATTCGCAGAGTAGCGATGCGCGGCTCAACTACCTAATGGAGCGTCTTGTGACCCATCTGCACGACTTTGCGCGGGAAACACGCCTCAGCACGCACGAATGGATGGCCGCCATCCAGTTCCTCACCAAGACTGGCCAGATGTGCAGCGATGTCCGCCAGGTGTGTTTTCTCTTTCTCTCTCCCTGTCTCTTTTGTTCCTCCTTTGCTCGGTTTAATTAAAACAAGTGCATCCTTCGTCTTGCTCGGCTAGCTGCACGGTTCTATTACTGGATAGGTGGATGCAGCGCGCCTCCCAGCCTGATTTCTGTTTCGTTTGCTTTTTCCAATCTTTCTAACCATTTCCCTCTCCCTGCATTCGGGGAAGTCTTCCTCTCGCATCCTTCTGCCCCTCATGGCTCTTGGCCCCCAAAATACCATGTACCAGGTCCATGACAAGACCTAGTCTTATCACCTAGAGTGACACGTAATTCTGTCTCATAAGCTTGTCTTTCTTTTTCCAAGTTGTGGCTTGCCGGACTGACATTTCCGGGCAGGAGTTTATCCTCCTCTCCGATATTCTTGGCCTGTCGATGCTGGTCGACTCTATTGATCATCCCAAGCCACCAAATTGCACGGAAGGCTCCGTCCTCGGACCCTTCCACACCGGTGATGCGCCGCATCTTCCCATAGGCTCGTCCATGAGCTCTGACGCTGCGGGCGAGCCCATGCTCGCATTATGCACCGTATCCGACTCGTCTGGCCGGCCAATTTCGGGCGTCAAGGTGGACATCTGGGAGACGGATTCCTCAGGCCACTACGACGTGCAGTATGCAAACCGAGATTCGCCGAGCGAGCGGTGCGTCATGACGAGCGACGTGGACGGCGGCTTCTGGTTCAAGGCCATCAAGCCTGTCAGTTACCCCATCCCGGATGATGGTCCGGTTGGCAAGCTGCTGCGGCAGCTCAACCGCCACTGCTGGAGGCCCGCACACATGCACTTCATGTTTGAGAAGCAAGGCCTAGATCCCCTGATCACGTACGTACTCGCACTTCCCCCTCCCAGATACATGCGTTTGTATCAGTACATGTGCTTGGCTTCACGCCCCGGGTTCACATCTCATGCCTGTCCCCTGTCCCTGTTGCCCCTCCCCTCCCTCCCCTCCCTCCCCCCCTGCCCTTCATCTAAGCATAATGCATAAGAATAGCAACGAGAGCTGAGTGGCTGGAGCTGAACTGATATCGTGCCGCGTTGCAATAGGACGCTCTTTCTCCGCGGCGACAAGTACGAGACATCCGACGTCGTCTTTGGCGTCAAGACGAGTCTCGTCATAGACTTGGACAAGGTTGATGAGGAGACGGCGGCCAAGTACGGCGTCCCCGTTGGAGCCTTACTGCTCAGGCACAACTTTGTCCTGGCGAGCACAGAGGAGACTGAGAAGCTGCGAGACAACAACGCTATGGAAGCCATGGAGAGGCTGGGACTGAAGACGAAGCTCATTGACCACCTGCCGGTGCCTGATTTGGATTAGCTGGCACAAGCAGTTTGCCATTGTCACATAAACCGCTCTGTTCATGTATTCACGCTCTGTGCTGAGTTCAGAGCACCTGTATTCCAAATTCTGAAGGGCAGTCTTGACGGCAGACCCCCTTGGGCTGTAGTAATTCCAAAACCAAGAGGAAGCAAAAATCACCATCAACCATCAACCATTAGTGACCTCTTGGGCCAGACTTGATGAGCTTGGCCACGTTTTCGTAGTATCCACCCGTGCCGCCGTACTTTGCGATGAGAGTTTCAACATCGGCCTCTGGCACCTCTCGCGTGCGGGCCCTCCCCAAGAGACAAGTGTTTCTGGTGCTAGGGATTCGCAGCATCTCGGTCTCGACCTTCCAGCCGCAATCTTGCGCAATCCTGGAAACCCAGTCGACTAGCGACGCATACGTCGACTTGGCTTTGGTCTTGTCCTGGGGAGGGGGTGCACGGAACTTGTCCCCGGTGAGGTTGTGGCTGCAACAGGGGATCATGATAAAGGGACACCTGGAGCAGGCGGCAAGAATCGGCGTCCAGGGCGTCAGCTCGTCGGCGTGGTTGGATATGATGAATGTGCCCGGCGGGAAGACTCCATCATGTACGACGCCCTCGGATGGGTCAGCTGGTTTGTTGTTTCGGTTGCCTTGGCCGCCTTGTTTGCCTTGGGCATTGGCATTGGCTTGCCCCTGACCGCTTCTTGAGACGATGGCTGGGAGCAGCAGTCGCTCTTCCAGAGACGAGCCAGAGGGGGAGGCCTGGCCCCCCGTTCGGTACTGAGCCCACGACTTGCGCTCTCTCGCGTCAAAGCCCCAGCCAGAGTAGCCCTCCTGTGTTAGCAGGTAGACCAGCAGGCCGTTTCCGCAGCCAATATCGACGAAGCCCGGGAAGGCAGCAGTTTCTTTGGGATACATGTCGCTCCATAGCTCGATCAGAAAAGCGGCTATCCCCAAGTCTTCAAAGACGTGCTTGGACGGGTCTGTCTTTTCGGCCCATGAGTCGACGAGTTGACGAGCATACTTGCTCTTGAGAAGTGCGTACCGGTTCTGAAATCTATCCTGGGGGATGACCAAATCATGATTGACTCTCTTCACATAACCCTCCGCAACGCCATGGCCGTGCTTGTCGATGATTTCGAGAAGATGATAGGCTGTTCGCTGTAGCCTCGCGTCGCTCAAGGGATGTTCCGGATAGGGGAGGAAGTGAATGGATATGGTGCCTTTGCCTGACTCATCCCACTGATGAAGATGTGCGATACCCTGGACCTTGGGATGGTAGAACGGGAGACTGCCTGCGGAGGACGAATGGGGCATATATATGACGAGCGTGGATGGAGACGGAGATCTGGGTTCGGATCCAGATCCAGATCCAGATTCAGATCCGGACGCAGGTGCCGCGGAATTTATGTCGTCTCCATCTTGGGGTCTCTTGGTCGTGAAAAAGGAGCATGTCTGCTCCAGGGGCTTGTCTCTCCGCTCGTTTCTGGGGATGAGTCTGCGGACGAGGGTGCGCTCAAGGGTCATGCCGCGGATCTCGACGGCGATGGGGCGCGCGTCGGACTCATGCCGAGATGGCGGCTGGGTCTCGTGATGCTCGGGTGCTTCGCCCTCAGCGGCAGCAGTGAGATTAGCATTAGCATGAGCATTAGCATCGGCATCGGCATCAACGACATTAGTATTACTACTAGTGGTGGCATCGGCGGTGGCACTACTGCTGCTGATGCTGTTGGTGTTGCTAGTCGTCTTGGCCTGGTCGTACAGAATGTCGGCCCGGAACAGCCAGCTCGAGTTGAGGTTTGGATTCTTGATGAGATTCATCATCTTGTCCACAAAGATGTCGGGCCCAAAGGAGCAGGGATGGCTGTATAGGGGCACCCAAGTCCGGTTGGCCTCATCTTGAAAGAAAGGCGGCGACCCCAGGGGGATCTCTTGGGGCTGAAACTTCATGGCAGCTGAATGACGAGTCTATTGTGTATCTGTGCCTGTATCTGCATCTGCATCCGCATCCGCATCTAAGCTCCCTGATTGGGCTGAAGATGACTGCTGTGCCTCGGAAAAGGGATTCTCGTGTAATCAATATCGCAAAACCGACTGTGGACGGGAATAAGCTTAGGGCTGCATGGGACGGGACGGATCAGGATTTTTTCTTCAGCGACCCCTCCAAGGCTGATGGTGAGCCCCTCAATCTGCACCGCGCCTTGTTTGGACAAGACCGGATTTGGGTGTCGATCTGGATTCCTTCTTTCCTTGTTACGGACAAGGAGAATCGCGGATCAGGGGGTCTATCAGATTGGGTTTGAGCTTGAGCTTGTCTGCTCCTATTTTGGAGTGTGGACGGACCTGGTTCGTTTTTTTCTTCCTTAATCGATAACTACGGGGAAATGGGGTCTGTGTCCAGAATTGGCAGCTTGCGGCGTGCCTGAACCCACTCTCGAATCAAAGAAGGATTGATGTAACACAGACATTTTGTTGCAGGCGCTTCTTTTCTGGCTTTGTTGGCTCATTCAAGACTCTGTATTGTAGTCTAAACTCCAGACTCTTGATTCCATCACAACTGTCACTTGGCTGTTGCCGATACGAGTACGGACTACTCAAGACGATTGTTGGAATGCTCCATCCAGACGGACTAGGGCCGAATTTCTTACAGCGCTATTGAGTGGCTTTTCTTTAGCTCATCTTCAACACCACTGCAACTCTACATACATGGTTGAGCACAACTCTTGGCCCTCCGGATACAAGGATGGCGCTTCCCCGAGGATGATGGAATCCCTGACAACGACCCCATCGCCAACCTGCTTTTTCCCAATCGGGAGTGCTTCCGGTGCATGAGAAAAACGAAAATACGCGGATGGAAGTGAGAGGGTGCGTCCGGATGCAGAGCATCTGCGTCCGAGCAACCACTTTGAATGAATCCTCGTCAAAAGTTGCAAATCGGATCCAGTCCCGGTGCATGAGAAATTCAAGGATTCTACCGGGTCAAGTTCCGGTGCATGAGAAATTCAGGGATTCGACCGGATCAAGTTCCGGTGCATGAGAAATTCAAGGATTCGATCAAATCCATGTTCAGGAACGCTTCCCCGGATGGAAGTTGAGAGGGGTGCATTCCGGATGCAGAGCATCTGCGTCCGAGCAACCATCTGAATGAATCCTCGTCAAAGGTTGCCTATCGGATTCAGTCCCGGTGCATGAGAAATTCAAGGATTCTACCGGAAGCTGTTCCGGTGCATGAGAAATTCAGGGATTCGATCGAATCCATGCTTCAGGAACGCTTCCCCGGTGAAGGGATGTTGTCGACAACTGCCAACCGGATGTGCTTCCGCTGTGTGATGCCAGTCGATTTCATGTCGGGGGCTGAATCATGTTTACCAGTAGGATTGGCTTTCGGTGGTGGTTTCTTCTCGCTTGACCATGCAATGTGCTTGAATGACACCCTTTGGCGAGGTTCTTTTGCCAGTCGGAAGAGAAGCCGCCATGAGGAAAATGCAAAAGGATGGGTATCGAGCAGATCATATCATGCCATTTGAGGGCGATGTGACAGGAAGGAGGCGAATGAAGATGGAAGATGGTTGAATGAGGAATGGTCACGGTCAGTCGATTGCAGATTTGGGTTGTGCCCGTTGAGAAGCGCTACTGTATAATACGGATGGTTTAATTCATTTCGCCTATATATAATAAGCTGGCAGCCAGACAACCCGAGTTTCGAGTTGTGGAACTTTTACTGCTGCTACACACATACTCGCGGCGCTGTCCAAGCTCCTGTCCGGGGAACGGCCCTGCGAAATGGCTTCCAACTGTGGGGTTGGAAAGGCTTCGAGCGCGCTCAGACACGGCGAGACGCCACGTTTATTGGCCGTGACTGGCTCAGACAGCGAACCTCGTGGCGCAAGGCGAGCTACTTGTACTATTACGGGTTCAACTACGGAGTACTACTGATGCGAACGATGTCTGTTATCATTATCGATACCTGCCCATTGCGCTCCTCGTGAAACCGTTCGAAACCGATTTATTCCGACGATAATCGAGAAACTCGTCTTGTCGCATTACGAACGGACACGACAATTTACTTGACGAGCAAGAGGGGGCGGCGTTACAAGCTGCGTGGCGCACAACTCCTGCGAGCGCCATGTCACCTTTTTGTGTCAGGCTGGGCTACCCTGTACGAACATCGAAACAGCCCCCTTTTTTCTCCTTTTATTGGCAACCACCCAATAACGACGCATGTTTTTTTGGGCGGTGTCGGGCATGCAGATGTGACTTGTCATTGCCAGCCAGGACAGGACAGGACAGCGATAAGCGGTGCTGGTGCTGCGTGGTTGGGCGGCGACGATGCTTTGCTTTGCTGTGCTGTGCTGAGTGAGAATTAAAACATGCGCTTTGACTCATTCATCCGTCTGCTGTCTTTCTGCCCAGCTAACAATTCATGGAGCTAGGACTCGGACATTTGGCTTGTGATGGTCTTGGCTTACGTAAAGAACAGATAAACCGTCGGATTATTCTCGTCCCGACAGCCCCCAGCTTGTGGATTCTTATCGGAGCAATGAGGACCTGGAGTCACTCGAGAGCGTCTTTTGTACTGTCTGCATTCCTGTTGACGCAACAATCAACCAGCCCGGCTGAAGGTTGTTACATTATCTGCAGGGCAAATGACTGGCGCTTACTGCACTGCACTGTATCCAAGGTATTCACTGTATATGCCATGTGCGACACGACTTGGACGCATCGGCTTCTCCTTTTTTTTACTTTGCCCAGTGACAGACAGGCTGGCAGACCAACCTCATCTCACGGGAGGCCCGACCCAGTTGCCAGCCCCCAGCCCAGCGCAGCCCAATCCAATTCACCTGTGTGGCAATGGCCCTCGTAATTCTGCGTACATGGCTGAGACAGACAGTGCGACATGGCGGTGTGCATTTGCCCGTGTGTCAGTGTCAAGTCCCGTCAGTCATTTGGGCCTTGTGGCGGGGTGGTGCTGTAGTGGCGCCCATTAGGTGCTGATTTGCGTGCTGTGCTTTGTGCTGTGCTGTGCTACAGTGTGTGTATTCGTATTGATGACAGTTGACGTTCCATGTGAAATTACGGAGAACAGTGAAGTATATCTGCACGTCCTCCATTACTTGAATTGGTACAATCAAAACAAATCCAGGTCAATACTTGCAGCAGAACAGCACTGGACCAGACACCTTATCTGCAACTGCCAGCTCCAACTCCCGCGATAATACTGTATGGACCGCTGCTGGCTGCCCGCTGTAGGGCTCAACATCCACCCTGTTTGCCCACTAGACTCTCCGCACTGGAGCCCGCCGCCGCTCCTCGCCTCGTTTCCAAGGCTTTCCGCCCACCGCCTGAGCGGGGCCAAGGGTCAGCCTCTCTCTTGGCCACCTGCCGCCCTAACAGTCACCACCACGTAACAAGTACCGGGTACCTGCCCTTCTGCCGTGGCCACCCGCAAACTGCCAGGTACCGCCCACTTTGCCTCTTGCTGTAAGGGAACCTTCTCCCTTGGCTTCTCCTTCCCCCACCCTTTTTCGCCCACCTTCTTTGTGCATCAAATCTCAACCAATCTTTTCCCTTCGATTCTCCCCCCTTTTGCCTCTTCAAACTTCACCTGACTCTAAATTTCTTCGGTCATCACCTCACCAGTCGCCAGCCCAACCTTTCTCCTTTGCGCCAGCGCATTTTGACAACAAAAACTCATCGAGTCCACTGCAAACAAAAAAAAAAAAATCCACCTACAAAAGGCGCTCAGCCCCTCTCCCCGCCGAAACTTTCTCTGTCCCGCATCACCAAAAACCAAAACACCTCAGAGACCGTCGCCTTTCGCCGCCGCCGGTCCATCAATCTCGTCCCCCCAACTTTCCTTTTTTCCCACGAGAAACCCCGGAACATCCGAGTTTATGTCCATCGAAAATCTCAAGTCCTTCGGTACGTTTTGCCCTGTTTGTGTTTGTGTTGTTGTTTTTGTCTTGCCTTGTTTCGCTCGCGCCTTTCCGCATTGCTTTGTTTTGGGGTTGGGCAGCTTTGTCGTGTGCGATACCCTCGATGGGTCGCAACGCGCGCTCATGCATCGCGACAAGTCTTGCACCTCCCTAGATGCCTGTCCTAAACACCACTGCCATCTGCATCGATTTTGATTCATCTTGCTGACCGTCGCTTGTCTACTGCAGACCCCTTCGCCGAAGCCGACGACGACACCGGTGATATCAAAAAGGTCGAGAACCACATCCATATTCGTATTCAACGTAGGTTCTCTCCTGTCTTTACGCCATCCATCGAGCTTGGCCTACATCCGGTTGCGCCTGCGACGGCGATGGTCAACCCACAACCCATCCATCCTCCCAACAGTTGCTAATATCCTGCCACAGAGCGAAATGGTCGCAAGTCTTTGACCACGGTCACTGGTCTTCCTGCTAAGTTTGACCCCGGCAAGATTCTCACCTTCTTCAGGAAGGAATTCGGTATGTTGTGCCGCGTCTCTTCCATTGCGCCCCCAATCCCGCGACCTGTAAGCTGACCTTCTTTTCACTACAGCTTGCAATGGCAACAAGGTCAATGATGAAAAGGCCGGCGAGGTGATCCAGCTCCAGGGCGACCAACGCAAGAAGGTCTTGGATTTCCTCGTTGACAAGAAGAGCGGTCTCGGTCTCAACCCCGACAACATCACCGTTCACGGTGCCTAAATCGTCCTCTTCGCGCCGCCGCCCCCGCCGCCCTTCCAGCGACTTGGCTTCACAGCATGCTGGTGATGAGCGTGTCGGAATGGGGCTGTTCGAGCAGCCTGTGAATCTCACACAGACGCCTACCGCTACCTCCATCGTCTAGTCGAAACCGCTTTGCGCCCATATCTTCTTTTGGAGAGGCCTCAAGCGGTCTCACGCGATGAAGGCCTTACCCCGGCATAATCCACCGGCGTGCGGGTAGCAGCGTTGTTAGAAGGTTTGGCCGGCCGGACGCCATTGATAGGACGGGGTTGAGAGAGGCAGCTTTACTATTAGCATAACTTACGCACCTACTTCTGCTGCGCTGCGGCACAGTAGCCCAAGTTAGCTTCTTTTTTTCTTTTTTTTTACGTTTTGACCAAAGGGTCTAGGCTACGGGCCAAGGAAACTGGCCCTGTCAGTCTGTCGCTATTCTTCAACTGGCCATTTTATTACTCCCCTTGCGTTCGGGTCTAAATGTCGGACGGGCTTAGCCGTAGTCTAGGGAAGATAGAAATAATGCCAAGAAAGTGTGGTGCGACGAATGCCGCTGTATCTGCATCAATTACCTAAAGAATGTGACTGTGAATGTGGCTGTGGCTGTGAATATCTTGGGCTCTTTACGAGAAGAAAGAGACTAGGTAGACTCTCCAAACAGAGCAAGAGAGGGGCAGGGAGAGGGGAGAGAAACACATCTCCCACAACGTCATTGTAGGTAACCAACATGGTAGTATGGAAAAAGTATGGGAATAAGATGCCTTATGTCCAGGATTTAAAACCAACGCCCGGTAAACCAAACTGTAAATATTGGTGGGGGAAAAGTATCTCTATCGGTACAGCAGACGAAAACATTGGTAAAATAATCAGGAACTCAAAGAAAACTGCCTTGTCCAACACATCAACGCCTGTATTTGCCAGAATGAACCCAAAACTGAGGTGACAGGGAAAAAAAAAGGAAACTCCCCCAAACAAAACTCTCAAACTTTGAAGTCGTCGCAAAGAGAACCGTTGAAAAGACGCTGGTATATCCGACTCTGTCCAAACAATCATTTCGTGTCCCTTTTTCTTTCTGTCTCCTCATCATGCCTTCCCTTTGTTTGTACCTTCTCTTTGTTCCTTTGTTCCTTGACTTGCAACACCCCCTCCTCGTATTTATCTTTTCTTCATAACATATTGTTGGTTCGTTCATTGTTGGGCGTGTTCGTTAATCAGCGCCTTGATGTTGGCTACGAGACGCTTGCCGTTTTGCCAGAGACGGCTGCCCTTCGATACGATGGGCATGGTGGGGTAGTCGGTCTGGTACCACTGCATATGAGCTAACAACACAATCATAGTGATGTAGCTGGCTATGGAGAAGACGTTGACCGAGGTGATTGTTTCTTTTCGAATGTTGATTTTTTGGTGCGTGACGTGGTAGCATATGGTGAGGGACTATGTAGACGAAGCTTGTTAGCTATGCAAACTTTGGAGCTTCCGGATTTGGAGCTGGGAGATGAGGCTTGTTCTTACAGTTGCTATGCTGACCCAGCCCGGGAGAAGCAGTCGCGGGTCTTGGAAGCCGCCGGTAAGGGACAGCACGGTGAGGGTAAGGTAGGCATTGACGGCGTTGATAGACAAGAGGCGCACCAAGGTGGCATGAGGGGTATAGTTGATGAGCCTAGGTCAAGGAAGCTGAGCGTTAGTTTGGGGAGTAATTGGACAAGGGGAGGGAAAAGCATACCATCGAGACATGAGGCAGTCGGTGAAGAAGAAAGCGAGGTAGCCACAAGCAAAGCACTAGAATCCCCAAGAGTGCCCAGTTAGTTTTCTGACAGCTTGGAGCTGGAGAGTACTCAACGGAATCATATAATACGCACCCATATTGTAGCCAAGGCTGTCTCGGTAATGGCGTAGGGTGCCGCCAAGACTGCTGCCGTTGCTGCCGCTGCCGCTTCGCCCTCCTCTCGCGAGCACGAGGACAAGAGGGACGCCTGGATAGCATCCATATTGCTGCCCGAGATGGCAATTTGCTTGACGAGCAGGAACTGATCAGGCGGTCCTGGCAAAAAGTGCAGCAGCAGGCGTAGCAGCGAGGGCAGCCCCCACCACAGAGCCGGCAGGATCGAGCACAGGCGTAGGGCAAAGAGCCAGGGATGCCATGGCTGAGGCACGTTGAGGACGACGGCGACGCGGGGCTGCAGCATGGACGGTATGGGAGGCTTTTCGGTGACGGAGCCGGACCGGGGGCGATCAGCGGCCGACAAGGACGCGGTCGAGGTCAAGGGCGCGATCAGAGGGCCATTGGTCAGAGGTATTAGGTTGGGAGGTCTTCCGGCAGAGAGGCTAGAGGACGAGACGTTGCGCCGCAGGACGGGCGCGGGCGGAGGCGGGCATGACGACGAGGACCAAGACTTGGACGGCGAGGACCAGGGGCCGGACGATGGCCAGGATCTGGACGTGGTCGGCGACGAGGGAGAAGAGGCGGGACGGCGCTTCGAGAAGCCCGGCGTCGCGACGGAGAGGGGAGGAGGAGGAGGAGCGGCGGACACGGCCTCGTAGCTTGGAGGAGGTGTTGTCGCCTTTGCCATCACCAATTGGAGAGAGGAGAGCGGCGTTGGTTTATGCCATGAGGGGGTGAAAAGAAGGAAGGAAAGAAAGATTTGTTGCTGTTCTGTTTGTCTTCTTGGAGAGGTGAGGCTGAGCGAAGTTGAGTAGGCATATACAGAAATGTACAGAAGAGAAAAGCCTGAAAGATGTTTTGGACGGTCTGCGCGAGGCTCGGCTCGATGATGCAAGTGCGGCTAATGCAGTGCAGCGAATCTGGTCGTTATGAAGAGGTGGCAGCTCCAGATCGATTCGATTAGGGGGGATCCTTCAAGGCTGTAGCGTCGGCGTCGCCTGTAGATTTTCGCGGCCAGGGAGCTAGCCCTCCCAATTGGGCGCTACGTGGAGGGGTTCTTTAGCGGGCTGGGTTAGGCTGATGCGGCTGCTTCCGCCTCCATGTCCCTCTCCTTTGGGGGGGCCACAGCCAATCGAATCCATGTTCCATCTCGCTCGAACTTCATTCCTTTGCATTTCTTTGCAGCAGAGGATGGGCAAGGCGACATGCAAACGAGGTCATGTGCCGTTGATGACGGAGGATTATCATGCATAGGAACCGTCTGCAGTAAGTACAGTATAGCCACTTTCGACTTATTATTACGACTCAATACTTCCTAAAGCCCCAATATTACTGCAGTAGCCACAGATTGCTCTGTAAGTACTGCTTATTACTACTGCAACACCACACCAATGCCAAACCATCTTTCATCTTTCATCTTCCATCTTCCAACTTCTACTTATCCAAGACAAGACTACCCCTAATCCCTTCTTCTTCTTAATTGCTCATATCCAACAAGACAAGAAGAAGAGAGGCAGCCCCTCGCTAACAGTCTACTAGCAGCTCTTAGAAGAACTTGCCGGCAACAGTAGTCGAAATCTCAGTCACAAGCTGAGCGTCATCCTCCTCCACCTCACTCGTCGCCAATGGGCGATCAAGACCATCGAAACGCTCGCCTCGCATCTTGGCCTGAGTGAACTGGACCGACAGCCTCAGCGCCAAAGCAATGAAGCCCCAGATGATGCCTCCCACAGGCGCAGCCACAAAGGCGCCAAAAGCACCCCAGTCGCCCGCATAGAGGCCCTGCTCAAGCAGAATCAGCTCGCCGCCGCTCTTTGCGTCGCCGTAGTAGATGGCGCCGTAGATGAAGACGGTCAGGATGCCGCCCAGTCCTCCCACGACGACCTCAAATCCGCGCCACCAGTAAAACGTGTCGAACAATCCGAGGCATAGCACAGGGATAGTAGCCGCTGACGCGAGATCGCTGATGAGGAAGATTTGCAAGATGGACGGGGCCTTGAGCGCAATCACCACAGTAGGGATGATAACGAGGACAACAAGCACACGAATGATCCAGATGTTCAGCTTGTTGCGGAACAAGTCGTTGGACGCCGATGAGATCATGGCTGACTGCAGAGAGTCAAAGGCAGAGACACTCAGACTAACAACCATGACCAGAACAATGCCCACGACCCAGCTCGGCAGCTGCTCCAGCAGAGCAAAGAAAGCGAGAGATCCATCAATATCGGAATCTCCTGGCCAAGCACCTGTCCACGCAGCAATGAGACCCGTGGCACCAACCAAGGTGAGGATACACAGCACTGCCACCGTTGCAACAGAAATGCCGACCCACAAGTCCTTGTCCGTCTTAGATGAAAAGGTACGCAGCCAGAAGTTGGAGAGGAAGAAGTCGTTGGTCAGGACGGCAACGGGAAGAATGTAGACCAGCTGCCAGCCCACAAGACTGGCCTTGGTGAGGCCCGAAGAGTCGATGAGATCGCGGTTAATCTCGGCCTTGACGCCAATGGTGATGGTGGCAATGATGATGAGGCCAACGACCATGGCTCCTTGGATCACATCTGTAAGAAACGAGATTCGGAATCCACCCAGAGCTGGTACGCGTATAGATGTTAGCCAGGTCCCCACCTCTGATGAACCAAACTACACTTACAGGTGTATATGGTTGTAACCACACACTCCACAATAATCACCGGAAGCCCATCGAGACCGGTCAGAGCGTTGACAACTTGTCCGACGGCCGACAGCTCCGCAACCATGTAAAGGAACAAGGTCACGAGCGTCATGAAGCTCAAGTACAGCATAGCAACGGTGCCATATCGGTTGCGCGTCCACTCCGTCAAGACGAATCCATCAGGACACTTGCGACGAATCATGGGGCCAAGATAGGCGAAAATAAGCAGGGGCAGCGCCGACGCCAACGCGTAAACGACGACACCCTGAACACCCGCGATAGTTGCGAGCTCCGGGTACGAAAACAGGATACCGGATCCCAAGGCTGCGGCAGTCAGCATGACACAAATCTAGAACGGATAAGGGTACAAGGAAGGGGATCTGGAGCGGCAGCACGTTTCCCACGCAAGCATTAACTTGATCGAGTATTCACGGTACAATCTCAGCTTCGTTGCCGCAGCTGCAACATCTCCCTCCGGCAGCATCTGCCTCGGGTTGGATCTCGCAAGCTGCTTCAACTCGGCGCCCGTAGTGAGCCGCATCCTCTCCCCCCTCTTTGTCCCCAGCGATGGACGTCTTTCTTCCTCATTTTCTCTACCCGTAAAGGCACGAGAATTGAAACCCCCCGAAAGTTCCCTTGGTTAGTAGCAGAATGAGAGAGACGCATCGCAGGGGAGAGAGGGGAGAAGACGAAGATTGCTTTTGTGGGTTACGAACCTATTCAGCCTCCTGGATACAGGCATCTATTTCCGCGAGTTGCTGTAATTTTCGACTTGTTCCGGGGGAAAATGCAGCGAAATTCGGCCACAGGGCCTTTCTGGAGTATTAATTGCTTGACCTAAACGCGATCAAGGCGCTGTAGTTGACGTTGCTGCTACCGCTCCGTAGACATGTCTCTGTCTGCGACAAAATTTCACGGAGCAAAGAAAATTGCTCTCGTTCTCGACTCACCAGAGGCGATGAAGTTGAAGGCCAGTGGCCAAGCTGCGAGCAACACAGAAATGTTAGTTTCAGACCATGGGTAGAGTGGGGGAAAGAGAGCTGAATAGAGATGAGCGCCAGAGGAAGTGGGCGTCATTTTTTGCGTATTCTGACCAGTCTGTGTCCTGTTGCCGGAGAGAAAGTCCGTGTTGGGCTGCTTTCTCATTCTCCAGGCAATGCCTGTGCCCAGGATGCTGCATATCCGTTCATGTTAGCTTCAAGAATTGTGTATTTTTTGTTTCTTTCTTTTGCTTCTTTCACCTCTCTCTGTTCTTCCAAAATAGCAGACAGAGGGAGCGCGATGCAAGTGAAAAGACCAAGTTTACGCACAGGAAGAAGCCATAGGTCACATAGATGATGGCGTTTGACGCCGCAAAAGACGGTTGGCCCATGTTTGAGCGCAAAGAAATCAGGTTATGCTGACGATTTGGTTGTTCAGAGTGCGCGCCTGCGATTTGCCAATAAAAAAGCAAATATCTGGAGGTGTCGAATTAAGGTTGAGAGGGGGAGGTGGGAATTGTTGAGGCGACGAGAATTAAGACCCCGGGGGGAAATGAATTAACAAGAAAACTTTGCGTGCTTTTTACAGGCCTGGTCCAGGTCCAGGTCAGCCCATCTTTGGCTTAGTGGGTGACTATCGCCAGTTTTTCTTCGCGTTTTTTATGGCGGATCCCAGCGCCGTTCTAGATAAGCAGAAAGCAGGCAAGGGCTATTGTTACACTGTATTGGCACTACTACTACTTTCTCTTGGCTGAAAAAATGTATTTTTCTTGAGTAGTCTGGGGTTGGGTCTAGAAAGATTCTTGTTACGGTTACTCTTTGTTGGCCTTGACATACGGCAATGCATTTTCTTTCGTGGAGAGTGCGGTAATAGGCGAGCAGGATGGAGTAGCCTGCAGCTCATGAGTACTAAAAATACCGCTGTAATCCTCTCTAGACCTCTAATAATTGACTGCCAAAAACACGTGAGATGTGAATCTCTCACATATCGGTTGGTGGGTTAATCTTCAATTACCTCGTAAAATCACTTCTATCTCCCGCCCTCTCCTCTCTCTCACTTTTTCCCCCACATGCGAAGCTGCAAAAGTAGAATAATGGCATGAATTGTATCAATCTTCTCTAAAGACCGTAGAACAGCATCCTTATTTCTCATCTCACGTGTCTAGATTACCTAAAGAAATGAAATAGCTGCTGCTGATATTGTAGACTGTCAAGTAGACAACTACGTAGATAGAGATCAAAATTAGAAACTGAAACCTATAAAGAAATGAAATTCTTCAAGTAGTTGTTCCTGGGAACATATTTTTGCGTAAGAAGATACAAAGAAAACTGAAAGTGTTTGAATCCTGATGAGGAAAGAAGAAAATGCACGAAAGTGTGCAAATATGATTTAAAAAAAAAAAAAAAAAACTAGAACACAAATATAAGAAATGAAGAACAAGCAATGGAACACTCAAAGAAACGCATGAATCGTTGATGAGCTTCAAGTGACCACAGCTCTGTTGATGAGCTCCTATTTCAGTGAGCTTTTCCTTTGCCCTCTTCATCAGTCTTTTCACCAGACTTTGGGGATATGGCATATGTCTCGGTTCGGGACTCTTGCTGTTGATTTCTGCCGCCATGGGATGATGCAGAAGCGCGAGTAGGCGTTTCTACAGCAGCACTTGGATACTGTTGCACCATCGGATACATGGCATACATGTCTGAATATGGCGGGGGGCTGTAGTACGCATGTGAGAACGAGTTATACATAATAGATCCACCCTGAGGTGTCATGGGGTTAGCCATGAGTGATTGGATTGGATGAAATCCATAAGGCGAGTAGGGATAAGGATGAATGATGGGATAAAAGCAGGTTGCTGCCGACTCGGCACCATATGCTGGAGAAGGCCTGACAGCAGTCTTTGTCGGAGACTTGGTGGGAGTTTCCGGTTTTTTGGGGTCATCTTTTGTCGTGTTATTGATCGATTCGACATCCTTGAAATCGCAGAGACTCTCGTTTAATTTGTTTTTGTGGCTGCCATGCGAAATGAACTCTTGCTTGTCTGCGGTTTCAATACTCTTTGACGCAGACTTCAGTCCTCTTTCCTCTTCTTTGGCCTCGATGTTATTAGCTAACTTCTCCTCACTCATTTCCTCTTTGTTCTCAGCGGGGTAACGGCCTTCCACCGCTTTTCCAAGCTCACTCTCCTCGACGCGGCCAAACACCATTGATTGGCCAGGGGAGATATACTTGAGGGTATTTGGGAAGCGGACAGATGTACCACAGCTTTCTTCGTTAAGTGTTGGCACGGTCGCGGTGAACTGGGTTTGCTGTTTGTCGTTCATTCGAGGAAGTGGATGGGATCTATCTGCCTTCGTAGGAGAGACCGTACAATCCTCCTGATTGTTAACTCTGGTTGGAAGATTTGTCGCCGGTAACATTGTACCAGGAGGAATGAAAGTGTGAGCATTTATGATCCGATTGCCATTGCCATTGCTATTGCCCATACTCCCTCTATCGCCATGCCAAGTTGACGGCATACCAGCAAATGATACTCGCTGAGAGGTATTTGTACCGTAAGACGGCCCATTGAACGTTCGTGTGCGCTTCCTCTCAACCTTGATGATGTGACCATCGATAGACTTTCGGTGCTATTTGGGAGTGTTAGTGATGACCACTCAGCAGGACATGTGTCAAGCTGTGGAGTCAACTCACATAAGTCATGATGGCATCGTCGATAGAATCGGGCCGAACAAATTCGACAAAGCCAAAGCACGTTGTGACAGCTAAGTTCAATCATTAATCCAGCTCATGATAGATAAATATCCAGGTGTAAACTCACTTCTGCCACCAACTTGAGGAACTTCTTTGGTGGCAACCTCAGCGCAGAGCACCTTGCCACACTGGCTCGCTAGAGACTTCAGAACATCCGCAGTCATCTTCAAGGGCAAATTACCAAAATATGCCGATCGGCGGTCCTTCTCGTATTGTACATAGCTCTGCTGATCGCTTTTCTTATGCTGCTGCCGAATCTCAGCCTTGGGGTCGTATGCGTCGACACGGAAAACGGGGTGTCCTTCGAAAGTCTATAATCATAGAAGCAGAAGTTAGCTCAAATATGATAACTTCAAGTTAAAAAAGTAGTGAGCAGACATTGCAGACCTTTGTTACAGATCTCGAAGAGTCATAACGTTTGTAGTGAACAACCATGGCAGGCGGGAACTTCTCCGTCTTCTGCTTGTTAAGATCCAGCGGATATACTTCAGATATTGGTCCCAGTACACCAAGAAGGTCGATAGCTTCTTGTCTAGTCGTCTCAGCTCCAGATAGCTTGTAGACAACAAAGCACGCTATGAAAGATCGCAGTTAGTTCAACATATCAGTCTGACTGAAGAGGAGTGATATTATTACAATGAGCAGTGGCCTTCTCGACGCGACAAGGGCGACCGAGTATCATTGCCCCGTTTCCGTGCTTTCCAGCATTCTCGGCATCGGCATCGCACTACAATTGAGTTAGCAAAGAATATGTGCTTGTGTATCTAGACATTTTATCAGTGCTCACCGTGAACTGACAAAAAGCAAACGGCATCTGATGACTATCCCGACGGATTTTGACAAAAACAGTTCCAAATTGCGAGAAGTACTTGGTGACTTCGATTTCTAGTCTCCGATCGTCAAAGGCTTGAGTTAGACTTGGGAGCATTAATTAGCAAACGCTTGAAGTTTGGTCTATGCTTTTCGGGAGCAACTTACTTGGCGACAAATACGCAGGCTGACGACGGATAAATACTCTGTGCATCGACTTGGATAGTCTCACGAGGAATCAATGACCAGCTGCCATCTCTCTGTGAGGCTTTTTCCTCGCTCCCAGTTGAACTCTCTTCAGCACTGTCGCCAGTCTCCTTCGAAGATGAAGCCCTACATCCTGCTCCTGACGCTGGCCGATCGGTAAACACATCGTCACCGCTGGTATTTCCAACTTGAAAGGCAAGTGAGCTAGGCAAAACAAGTTTAATACAGAACATGAAGGACAAAAGGCCGGGGAAGGAGGTATACCTTTCATGCTCACCATACTTGGCAATCTGGGCAATCAAGTTGCCAGATGATGCAGGTCGCCTAGGGCTTTGAAGTTGTTAGAATAAGTGAAGTAGCTCTTTCGGAAAACAAAGGTTTGGCTATGACTGACGTGGTATCCTGCTTTGGCAAGGTGCTTGGGCCTGTGCAATTTTTTAGTGACTATGAAGAAGGAAAGGAAACGGGAAGCTCTTGCGTGTTGCATACTGTGGTTAAAGATATTCTCCTGCTCAAACGAGAGTTGGCGGAGGACATCAAAGGAAGAGGCCTTCATGAGTGTCTTCTTTGGATGGCGGAGGGAGGAATGTGCTGGCATGGTTGCTTTTCTGCAGATATGTGTCAGTGTTCGTGAGAGAGAACAATAGATGGAAGTCGAGAATGAAGAGAGAGGAAGTAGTATTACGAGAAGGGGAAGAATGGAGCGATGGATGACGAGAGAGATAGAGACGGGAAAATTGTGAACCAGGAAGAAGACAGGCGAAAGAAGGGCGAGACTGGAAAGTAGGAAGAGGAGATGGGAGGACAGAGTGCAAGGGAAGAAGAACAAGAAGAAGGAGAGGGGAGAGAGAGGGGGAGGGGGAGGGGGAGAGCTCGTATGTATCCAGGTTCAACTTGCTTACTTTCTCAAAAGAAGATGTGAGAAAAATGATAATGCCAGATGCGATGAAAACTGCCCTAAAACCGGCGTTGACAGAGTTCAACAGACAAAACTTCGACTGGGATGCTCTCCTAGGAAGAGAGAGTAATGAATGCGGAGGGGAGAGAGCTAGTAAATGTTTCGAAGAGCAGATTTGAACTGCCTTTGAGAGAAAATAGGTGATGAAAAGCCCGCAAATCCGGATGAATCTCTGGACTTTGGATTCGCGGTTGATGGTTGGGGAGTTGAAAATGGAAGATTGGGAGGGAAGTGGGGAGGGGGGTAAACATCAATGGATTAGAGATGGACTGATTGGTAGCCCGGAAACCCAGTCACAGCAGTGCCAGCAGCTGGAAGGAAATTGACAGCAAAACGGCTTGCAGTTGGCGGCTCTTTTGATCAGCTGTCAGCCCCTGAGTAGAGCTGCCGAAAGTGATAGCATCAACATGCAAAAAGGTGAAATAAAGAGAACGTGGAATTGGCACAGAGACTACAAGTAAATCAACGTCGTTGTACGAGGTACCTAGTTAATGAAATGCGCGGAGTTTACATACTTATACTGCTGTGTAGGATCCAAGAGTGAATGCTATGCCCAGACTGTGGATAACCGAGCCTTGGAAACCAAGACTTCCAACCTCGAGGTTAGTACCTGTGAGGAAAAAAAGGTCTTGCTCCCCTGTCAGACAAGCAGCTGTTGAAACAATTTTACTCGGGGTATATCCTACCATTATATAGGTACGCAAGGACTTTCAGAATGCCGTGATTCAATGCTAGGTACTTTGCTTGGAATCTACAGGCAATGCATTGCAACTGAGTGGTGTTGGTTACTCATACAAGACGCTCGACTGAAAAGCTACATGTACAATCGAGTTCATCCAAGCTTCCAGCCAATGGGCAAAAGGATTTAAACTGTTTAATTGTATACTACCTATACTAGTACCTACCTACCTATACCAAGATGCTCTACATATGTATATACCGCTCTGCCGCCGTAACTCTTTAACTGTACTAATACATTAACCTTCTCGGTTCCTTTTTCTTACTTTACAATTTTCAACTCGCTCTGCGTCAGCATCGTTACACGCAAACGCCTGCAATACAGTGCATAGCACCCCATCTGTCGATAGCATGTACTCCCTCAATTTGTTTGCTTTGCCACATAGAAACCTAAGCATCTACTTGGACGCTGGCTTCCATCCGGCACGTCTTGCTTGCTCCTTGTCAATGGCTTCCTTCTCTTCCAGGTATGCCTCCAAGGTCGTAGGAGCTGTTGTTCCCCACACTCTCCACGTGTCTGATTCGAATGTGACTGCGTTGACCTGTCTTGAGAGCACTACATACTCCACCTTGTCTTGGATCTTGACGCTGCCGGGAATCGTTTCTCCTGTAGACGCATCATACCGGGATACTTGTTGGGTAGATGAAATGGCAACAACAGCTTGTTCAGTCATGAGATTCTTGTCATACATGTTGATCTGGTGGATCTGGTGGGCTGTTCGCTTGGGATAGAAGAGCGGGCTGTTGTACTTGGTAACCTCGAAGTGAACTCGCTCTCGAGGATTTCGGCGGTCTATCGCCGCAATGAGTTTCTTTGCAAAGTCGTTGACGCAGATTCTCTCCAGAGTTGCTTTATCCCCGGCGGCAAAAGCCTCCAGCACTTCCTGGTACAGAGCCTTAGCCGTGGGCGCAATCTTACCACGCCGGGCTTTCCACTGCGGTCGAGTCGTCCAGTTTGGCATGGATTTCAGCTTAAAGTTGAGCAAGGAAACGGTTTCGATCACCCAATGCCTTAATCTGTTCCATTGATACTGCGCAAAATCCGCGGGGTTCAGTGGTAGGCGAGAGAGTGGGAGGGATACGAATGTGCCTAACGGATGGGCTTTACGTTAGCCAGAGCGCATTCAACTCCACAGCTTGTCAAGATAGAGACATGATATGATACCGATCGTTTCCATCACGCCAAATTAAGGAAGAAAAGAGACAACAGGTAGAAGGGTTGAGAGCAAATGCGAACCTGGAAACAGCGGGCCCCCTCCATCCTTAAAGTACTCGGCGTTTGCCATTTTCTGCAGCTGCGAGATGCTCTGTTCTTTGGTCATCCTGCTGGAGCCCGCCCGAGCTGCACGGTCCATCTCTCTCATTGTCCTGCTCCTCGATGGCTGCGTCGCATATTGCCGGAATATCTGCGCGGCCAACGGCCTGGCGGCGCATCTGGGAAGATTATTCGCAGTGCCATAACGAATGGCCGGTGCTGCGATTGAGCACATTGCGGGAGCGCGAGACATGGCGGTGGCTTGAAGCGGAAAAGGAAAATAGCGAAAAAGATTTCTTCTGCTTTTCCCCAAAGAAATTATAACCGATTATTAACACACGCACATCGTCATCATCCCACCAAGCCGCAATCGCCAAAAAGCTGGCCGTGGTGTTGAACTTCTGCAATAAGATAAAAATCGGCGGATTAACAAATAATCCGAAGACTAGAGCTGAACACCCTGTGCGGGGTGTGAAAATGTCTGACCTTCCAACCTTCTCACCTAATTTCCAAATCCACACCGGTCTGCCCCGTGTGAATCTCTAGCCTCTACATGATCTTTCTTTCAACTCCAAAACGCTGCGCATCGCTGCCTCTCGCGATCGGATGCAGGGCTGAAGCATTCGAGCTCCTCTGCTGCGTGCTTCACAACGGAGAGTCTCTCATGTTGCTCAACTTTAGGTGAGCCGATTGGCTCGTCCGCTGTTATCGCCACCAATACTCCTGTTTGCCCATCATGAGAGCCACACAGTCTCTTCTCGCAAAGAGCTTCCTTGCGCGGAGCTTTGACGAGCTCAAGAGGCGCTCCAGCATAGGTGAGTGGCATCATACTCTCTGATATCGCATATCCTGGTAATCGGACTCATCAAACGCCTTCGGATTCACTAACATTCACGTTCGTCAGCCTGGAACCTCGACGCCGTCAAAGGCCCCTCCGGACCCCGCGAGCTCTACGACTTCCACAGCTCCGATTCCGTGAGCAACTGCATTGTCATGTCCGACCAACTGATCGGCGGCTCTTCCACTAGCCATTTCGATTTTGTCTCTTCCTCGCCCTCGCCCTCGTCCTCCTCGCCTCACGCACGCTTCTACGGCCACATCTCAACCTCTCTACCGCCAGATCGCCCAACAATCCAGCGAACAGGCTACGCCGCATTCCGGACGCCAGATCAGCCGCCCACAGTCTTTGGCCGCTCTGTTTGGGATATTGACCCTTACACATATCTCGCATTGAGGATCAAATCTGATGGCAGGGCGTATTACGTCAATGTACAGACCGAGAGTGTTGAGCCGACAGATTTGCATCAGCATCGGCTATTCGCAAAGCGCCCTGGGCAATGGGAAACGATTCTGATTCGGTGGAATGACTTTGTACGCACAAACCATGGTTTCGTTGTCGAACCACAGACGGAGCTTCTAAGACAAAGAGTCCATAGCGTTGGCATTGGACTGACGGATCGCGTGGAAGGACCCTTTGAGCTCTGCATCGAGAGAGTGTGGGCGACAAATGGAGCAGAAGAATCACGTACAGCACAAGGGACACAAGAGGGAGAGCTGAAGAACAGGAAGGGTGAGAAGATTCAGTGGTAAAAAGCCAGCATATAGACTGGGCTCTCAACCAACTGATTGATCCAATGTGTACGAAAGAACAATTGATTTCATTGCCAAGCAGAGCTGCGAAGCCAGGTAGCATGATCGAACAAGACAAAGTTACTTAGTCTGGCTGCCTACAATCCGTCTAGCTACCTAAGGTCAATTTGGGCAGTCTCATTTGAACAAGGTGATCGGGTAAAGCAAGCTGTTCTCAAGCAAACAAGCTGTTTTTGGTCAAACCATACTGTATTCATGGTCGATCAAAGTGCCATTGTCTGAATTGTTTTGCCGTCTCCTTTTGGGCAGTTTGTTTGAGCCAAGCGTCCTTGAGCAAACAAATTGATGCCGTTCCCGTTTAATTAAGGGGTTCTCAACCTTTCCAGTAGGATGATCTCCAGCAAACAAGGTATTCTCAAGACGACAAGGCGCTCGTGCTTCGATCGGTATGTTCTCAAGCAAGATGTTCTCGACCAAACAATATGGGTGTCCAAACACTATGATCCAGCTCCACCGAGGTCCTCACGACCGTCACTTCTGAACTCCCACTGCAGCTGCCAACAATCAGTCGGCAGGGTAGTTTATGTTTGCCCTTAAAACGATTTCGTAGGCATCACATATGTCTACATTTAAGCATATGACACTCATGTCAAGCGGGTTTGGATTATATTGGGTATCATTGCAGGTAATCTCGTATCGAAACCAGGCCTACAGCCTGTTATGCCACCCTTTTGCTTATGGTGTCCCTGCTGGCTATTCCCCAGCGATTCCAGCTTCCTGGTTTCCCCAAAACTATAGTACAAGCTTGTGATCGTGATGCCAAGTAAACATGGATATTGTCCCATCCCCCAAGCACCTAACGTAATGAAATGCGAGCGCCGATCATCATACGATTGAGCATGCCAATCTAAAAGGTGTAGTAAAATTCATCGTGTGGGTTGTATTGATTGTTGGGGGGCAAGCCAGCAGCTTCTGGGAGTTAGCAAGATATCGGGTCATTAGATGTCTGAGGGAACGTACCTCTCTCGCCTTCATTCTCTTGGTAGCCCAGCATCTTATCAATGTCCCAAGGATTGTCGACGTCGAACGCATTGCTCTCAGTTGTCGTGAAATATCCCATCTGGGGCACCTCGGTCTAATATTGCTGTGTGGTGGTAGAGCGTCCGTAGTTGTAAAGCTGTCGCGGGTCTGGGTAAACGAATTGCACCGGAAGATGGTTTACTGTATTGAGATCGTCGACTAAATGGGACGCAGCTCCGAGGACTGATACCATCTCCCCTCCACAAGCCGTATCTAGAAGTTCCCTCGCGACTCAAAGTGTGCTTACTTTTTTCTCTTAAACTTTCATGAAGTTTTAGATCTTTTGGGGTTGAAACGATATAGAAGGAAAGAACTTGGCGCGTTGGTCACGATGTCACTGCTGCTGACATTCATTTATTTCGTGATTACCATTTGACTGTACTCGAGAATAGTGAACTAATGCTTAAAAGCTTGATTTGGCCTTCACGGCTGATATAAAGTGACCAAAGAAGAAGAAGAAGAATAATAAAAGTAAACAAATAAACAAATAAATAAATCGCATTAATGCTACGAGAAAAAGGCATCCCACTCTCCGTCAGAGTTTTGAGTAGGGTTGGGGTTCACATGGGCCCAGTTCTGCTGCCATCCACCTAAAAACAAAGTAGTGTCTTGTGTTAATCCGAGTTCAGTGTTCGGTATGGAAATGGGAGTATTGTCGACAGCAGAGGGGAACATTTCATTGTTCAGCGGCCACTCAGAAGTTCCGGGAGCGAAACTTTCTTGTGAAAGATGTTGGCTGGTGGACATAGGATATGTTTGGCCATGTTGGTAGAAGTTCGATTGAGGAGCTAGTGTCGCTTCTCCAAATCGAATGCTGGCTTGAGCTTGTGATTCAGGCGGCGAAATAATGGCAGCTTCGGTGCTAAAAAGAAGATGTTCTTGGAGTGGTTGCTGGATGCCCGTTGGGAATTGTCGCATTACGCCCTCTTCTTGCGAATGATAGAGTAGTGATGCGGCTTCCTGAGAATCTCCGAACTCTGTAGGAACTTCGGGAACGCTTTGGTGGTAATATTCGCTCTCAGAGACTGAAAATCTGTCAGATTTAATTCCAAGTTTTGAAGAGAAACCATACCGTCATCAGTATACTCGTAGACAAAAGAGGCACAATGTTTACGAATATCCTCCTCGGTCTGACACTGGTGTAGAGTGTATGTGATGGCCTCAGAGCCGTTATCCATCACATATGAGAGAGAGGTGGCATCACCTTCTTGTCGATTAATTGTCCACTGGCCACCGGGTCGTGGCTCCAACGCAGTCAGTGCGGAAATAGGTGGTATTTTTGGAGAGCTCATGACGGTGTCAATCGAGTTGGTATGGTTCTTGGTAATGCTAATTGCGAAAAAGCAGCTCTTCAAGTCGTGATAGAGTCGCAAAATCTTTGGGGTGGGATGTTTAATTTGAGATTTTATGGGGTATAAGAAGCGCAGCAGAGTGAGCAGCTAAAGTTTTCTCTTAAAGGGTGGTCACCTTTCTAAAATATGTTTGAAGAAGTGAAAAAGATGTGAAAGATCGAAGGAAGTAGAAGCTGACGTCTATGGTTTCGCCTCACTTCTCACTCACTGGCACCTCAGGGACTGCAAATAAGGTGAAGCCTTTCATGGGATGGGGTAAATGACCCACGCCACCGTTTATATACGTATACCGATATCCGCTAAACATGGCCGTTGTTTGTGTTGGCTCTTTGCCGGATTCGCCATTAAGTTCTCCCAGAATTTCAGGTCAATTATTGTACAAATTGCGCAGAGAGGTTTTTCTTCTCGCGAGGCCACATACAAATGTTCCGTATTGCACTCTCTACAGATTTTGGAAGTAATACCAAGAGTCCAACGCAAGAAAAAAAGAAAACGAACCCCCGTCCCCCCGGGCCTTTTTTTTTTTTTTTTTTTTTTTCTTTGAGTTTTCATCCCACGGTAATATTTCTTGCTGGGAAATATTCACAATTGCATGCCGTTCTCTGATAATTATAGTTATTTCATATGTCCAGTACAATGAAGAAAAAAGAAGAAGAAAACAACGACAACGGTGTACTTTCTCCATTCTCCCATATAGTTGGATATATCTACTCCTGTTTCCCATGGTCGACTGCCGCTTTCACAATTTCTAGAGTATGGGCACACACCTCAGCAAGAACTCCTCCAAACACCATGTGTGGCAGGAGTATAAGTCTACGGTAGGGTACGAGTAATAACAATTTTGGAGACAAACGATAAGTGGGTCCGCTGAAATTTAGCTCCAACACCTTTGTTTGTTAGCATGTTGTTGGTTGAGAAAAAGCCAATTCATTTGGCCACAGAACTTGGAGAACGGCACCGGAGGGGGGGTGAACAGAGAAATGGGTGATGCACTGACCTAGCGCTAAATAAAGGGGGGCTGGGTGGGTACATATTCAGATTAACTCACCTGGCAGCTCTCAATAGAGACCAATAAGTGAACTACCATGCAGATTCCGTGTTCACTTGCAGCTCACTATCACCTGTAGCTTTTTAATTCTTCGTGGTACAAAGCTCTAGAAATATTTTATTTCTTTAGTATTTCTCAATTTCCACATCAAAATTCTCAACTCTCAAGCCCCGACTACACTTTTTTTTCCCACGATAATTCTGCGACCACATTTCGAACTTAGAGATCACCTAACAACGTCCCATCATTGCCTGCAAGTATTCATTCTAAATCCGCCATCTTTAATTCGATATGGATATCTCGCAGCAAATACCTCCGCCAAGCAATGAAGTTGCAATTTATCTAGCCGCTATCTGGGATCGACTCAAGGACCAGATAAATCCCTTTCTCCAGGTCCTTCTCATCGATGACTCTATGTATCGTATGCTAGATACTTATGGGAGGCGCTATATTGCCAGGAAATTCATGTGGGTTCAGTGGTCACATCAATAATTTCAGCAGAATTAACATTGTTGCAGGGAGCATACGCGGGAATCTGCGATGTATTGCCGTGATGGCAATAGAGAAGACCGGCATTATCTCGGTGCACCGCGTTATTTTATTGCCACTGGCGGCGTGCTTCATTCTGCTGATGGCCTTGAGCCAATCTGGACGATGGATGATGGCTTGAATACTCGCTTTGAAACCGCTGCAGTTTGCCAGCCTACAGTTCCATCCAAACCAACTAAGATCCCACGTCCTCCGAATGCGTACATTTTGTACCGCAAAGACCGTCACAATATAGTTAAAGCTGCCAATCCTGGTATTACCAATAACGAAATCTGTAAGTTTTTCTCCCTGTTAACATGATTATTTGCTAATCTAGTCCCCATTGCAGCCCAAATTTTAGGACGAGCTTGGAACCAAGAATCGAGAGAAGTGCGGCAAAAATATAAGGAGATGTCAGAAGAAATCAAACTCGCCTTACTGGAAAAGCACCCAGATTATCAGTACAAGCCTCGGAAGTCGTCTGAGAAACGCCGCCGTACTCGCCGTAGCCAACAAGCGCACGCTCTCTTGGTTGAGGCTAATCTTGCTGCCCCTGACAATGAAACGGCTGAAGACAACTCCGTGGGCTTGGTCTAAATTTTCACGGTTGAATCCTGAGAAGATTCTACATGAATGCCTTCAGCTATGGTGTATTCTATTTCCTCTGCGGTAAGCATACAATGATATTGTCTCACGAAGCGGAATTTGTCTGACGAGTTCCAGATAAATCCGAACCCAGGTTAGGCGATAATGGCCGCGAAGCAAATCGCATCCCACGTCCTCGCAACAGCTGGATCTTGTACCGCCAGTTTCTTTCGGGAGAATTTACCAAATGTTATCTAGGAATCACTGCATCAGAGCTTTGTAAGTGTACCTTTCATATCCAAACTACTATACCTACCTAGTAGGCAGCTCCTCAGTACATGCACTAATGTATCGATACCTATATGAAGCAACTCTCATCTCCACGAAATGGAAAAGCGAGCCACCCCATGAGAAAAAGTTTTGGCATGATCTGGCTGAACAAGAAAAACGCAATCATAAACAGAATTACCCAGATTACAAGTACAGAGTTAGGAAGCCTCAAGCAAAGAAAAGGAAAGGAAGGCAAACTGTGGCCGCTGCTGTGCTAGAGACAGATTGACCAGCCAAAGTTTCATGTCTGCTTACCTATAATATCTGGTAGTTCTGGCTCTGACTCTAATTGGACTCATTCTCGTCGCTTTGCCATGTAGGGCTAGAAGTAGTGAGCGGAGTGACAGTCTCAATATATGGTTCTTTTCATCTCGATTAAACAGGAACACGTACAACAATGTCCCAAAACATAGCATTCTACATGTACTGCGTCACTTTGGAGATGCTACATCTCCATGGAGGTACTACGTCTATATAGAGATACTAGAGATACTACGTCTATATGGAGATACTACGTCTATATGGAGATACTGCATCTACCATCGCGCGCCACGGATGTTTCTGGCCATTGCCTATGCCCTTGTAACATGGCATTTGGGCGTGTTACAGGGCATCATAAATTATTCTTGGCCTCCATGAATCGTATTAGAGTAAGTAAAAGGCTTGTGGAACCAATGACGAGAAGAGTCAACCATTCCCAGAAACTTCCTTGGCGCGCGTAGGTATTACTTCTATTATCTTCATATAAACACCACCAAGTAGCTTATAGAATATCGCCGAGAGGTTTGACGGCTGCTCATCGGTATTTCGGGGCACCATGATTATGAGTTTAATGCCTACAAAACAGATAGAGTGGCACTATGCTATCGAATGAAAATACCGCGGACGCTCTGCTACGATGGCGATCCGTTCCAGTCGCTACTCCAAATGAAAGTACCGCACCGCCACTCAGAGCCGCGTTCTTTTTCGCCAGAGGGGCCTAGTGGTCGGGCACAAATGTAGAATGACCGTCCTGTATGTAGCAAGCGTCAGCCACCGGCTTGTCTGCGCACGTGGTAGATATGATTGTGTCCACACAAACGAGAAGGGAGAGGGCGTGTCTCCATCATTGGATCTAGCAACCAACAACCTTTGCTAAGGTAGAGGTGTGTGGAGAGCAAACAGAGCCAACAAATAAAGGGAGCAAAAGCAGAAAGCATAAAAATAGCTCGCCAATGCTAGAGCCACTCGCAAGAGAATGGAGGATATAGGGGGCAGAAAACAAGGAAAGTGAAGAGAAAAGGAAAAAAACAAAAGAACTGAACATACCACAGTTCACTCCTGGCCTCTTAGTGGTGAGGCTGATGCAGGGTTCATTATGCTCACATCGGGGAAGCATCCGTTTTCCGAGAAGTTTCGACCAGGATTCCTTTGCTTGAATCGGATCAAATACCCTGTCAGCTTCCACAGAATGGGTGGGGCCTTCAAGAGCTGGCTTCGCCGGAAACACTGAATCCGGCAAGCCCTCTATCCAATCACCACCGCTTCTCTCTAGCGGCAGATTGTCAACAGGGGAAGCTAGCTGGGCCTGGTGTGACAACGGGGGCTCAGAGGGTTGCGTTGTTGTTTGCTTGCAAGAAAATGGGGCGCTGGCGTTGGCGTTGGCACTCGTGGTGGTGTCGCTGTCTCTTCTCCCTACCACCCGGTTAGTAGATGAGGGCTGAAAAAAGCCCTGTAGAGTCTTTTGCCCTTTTGTGCCAGCGCGAGAGCTTCTGGCATTCTTCCTTTCCGCGGCGCCCAGATTAGCGTGAGTGCCAGTGTCAACCACTTTGTTTCGCTTCGGAGAGGGTGGACGAGAGCGATCGATGGACCCCGCAGCACGTTTTGTGGATGGCGCCTCTGGTCTCAACCCAGTTAAGGATTGTGAACTTGCGGAGTGGCTAGCGCCGCTCATTCCGAGCCTATGATCAGCGACGCTCGTCTTCGTGTTGGCACCAGGCTGCTCCAAGCGTGCCAAGTCGTCTCCTTCCGGGGTAGACTCTGTAGCGCTGGAAGGCGCCAATGACGATGACTGGCTCGACAGCTTAGCGCCAGCTTTCTTCGTGAACATATCCCGGATGCTCTGTCGCCGGTCAAACTCAGGAATCAACTTGGCTGATAAAGGCAAGACGTCCTTCGGGTGCCATTCCCGGAGGCGTCGACCGTCTCTGTCAACCATGCCAGGTGGGTTGACGAGGTTCAACAACGGCACCTTTTCGCTGCCAGTCGTCACGACATCAGCTAGTGTGGCAAATACTGGACAGTGATCGGATCCCATTAAGCCCTCCTGAATGTTAGCTTCTGTGACCCAGTCTCTCAGCCCATGGCTGCAGAGCACGTAGTCGATGCGGCTGCCGTTGTTGGCTGGTCGTGTGTTTCGTTTTGTGTCCCAACATGTGTTCATACCCTCTCGTGCGGGGTGGAATTCTCTGCATAGATCCCACAGCACAGGCTGCTCCCGTCCTTCATCGCGATCTCCTTGCACCGTGCCTCCGTAGACCAGATGGTTGAAGAGGCGGCGTGAGGGTAAGTTCATCCACTCCTCCATGCTCAGACCTTCTTTTCGAAGGTTCTCGACAACGTTGGTGGAGTCGGCCGCGGAGCGACTCACGTTCAGATCCCCCACCAAAACCACCTGCTTGCCCTCGGCAACCAAGTTTCGCACCCTAGCATCGAGGGCCTGCAGAAACTCCATGCGGAATTCCACCCTTGACTCATCGCGGTTAGCTGGACTGTAAACACCCAAGAGTACGAAGGCAGGAAATTCGAGAATAACACATCTTCCTTCGGAGTCCAATAGCAATTCGTCAATATTTCCTGGAAGTTGCTCCGGTCTTGGGTAGCCTCCAATCTGTTGGTCTTTGGGTAGATTCCGGAACTGTGTCGAAGATTTAGGGGGGCAGAGCACACCCAAGATTCCTTCTTCTGCCCTGATGGGCGCACAGGTGGCATTTCGCGTGTATATGGCAACGCCAGAGTATCCTTTGGTGTATCGTGTTAATTGCTGCTGCTCCTGTGGACACGGGGACGGTCTTGAGTCAAATGTAGTTACCTTTCTTGTGCCTGGGCAGACTAAAGTATACGTCCCACCCAGGAACCAAAACCATATCATCTGTCAAGTCTTTTCGCTGAATCTTGGTCTCCTGCATCACGACAATGTCGGCTTCGAGAATATCGAACATAGCCTAAGGGATGAGCTGTCAGTAACGGATCGGCCTTGACCAGAGCGCCTTACGGACCTGAAAAGTACGCTTTTCTCTCCATGGCTGATACCCGAATGGATTTCTGTAATTGTTTTAGTCTATATACTCGCCGCAGACTTTGCGAAGAAGGGTGAGACAAACCTAATGCCGTTGACTTGAAACTATGTCAGCGTATGGGCTGCTGTCAACGGGTGATTATACATCCTTACCATTCCATGTTGTAATACGAAACCCCATTGTATCTCTAAATATCGTCCAAGTTGAGAACTCTATCACAATCTAACAGCTCTTCCACGACTTGCTGCAACGAGAACATCCCGCTTCAATGCGCCGAACTGATTGAGGAGATTCTAAGGCCGGAGAATGCGGTTGAGAGAGGGAATCCGTGTGTGTAGCTGACCACTAAGGGGCGCTCAAAAATAATCACATCGAAAGAGCTGGCACGCGTGATACAGTCGAACTGGCTCACATGCGCCTCCAAGGCACTGCATCTCAATTCGCAGAGAAGATGGATGGACGAAGCTGCCCCACGCATCGCGAGCTTACACAACCTGAGCGCGAATACGTCACGAGGTCACGTGATTACTTAAATTAACTGTGGCCTGGAGATTGAGGCATCCATGGGCTGCTCTAGCCGAGCTCCATTCGAATATGACCTGATCTCACAATCTGCACTTTATAGACTCAAGCATCGACGAATTCGAATCGCCCACGATGTTTGCCGCCCGACAGGTTACCCGCAACGCCCCGCGCTTCGCTGCGCAGCTGCGCACTCCCATGCAGCGCCGCTTTGCCAGCACCACCGAGAACCAGTTCATCGCTGAGCGCGAGCACATCAAGGAACACGCCAAGGGCACCACTGGTGAGAATTCAAGGCCCTGGTCTCCAATTGCGCTTGAGGGAAGCTTCTAACTGTGTGTCTAGAGCTCTGGAAGAAGATTTCCATCTAGTACGTTCACCGCCGGCTCTCGATTGAGCGGATTTCCATGCCGCCTTGTGATGGATGAGGGGAAAAAGCTCTGGGATGCGCCGGTTGCGTTTGGATCAAGACAAAGAAAGCTGACAAAGTCAAAGCGCCGTTGTTCCCGCGCTGGCTATCGCTGGTGCCAATGCCTACTGGCTGTGGAATGAGCACTGGGAGCACTGGAGCCATCTTCCTCCTCTGCCAGAGCGCACCGAGTATCCCTACCAGAACATCCGCACCAAGAACTACCAGTGGGGTGACGGTGACAAGGTGAGTCGTTGTCCCGCCGCTTATTCCATGGTTCGCATGCTAACTATTGCCATAGACCATCTTGTAAGTTCTTCTAGTGCTCGTCATGAAGAGCAAAGCTTTGCTGCGATCAATATCATAACGGAAAACGTGCGCTAACCATGTTGGAAAAAAGCTGGAACGAAAATGTCAACTACCACAACAAGGACAAGACCAAATAAGCTGGAATAATGGCTCCCGGAGGAAAACTGCTGGTATTTGTAGATTACCCTTTTTGGGACCGCTCTGTATATTTCTCTTGGAGCTTCAATCAATTATACTGTGGCTGAGGAGTGAGAGATTATTTTCTGGCGACTGAGCTTGAACTGCAGTGTTTTGCAATGTACATTATTCCCCTACATCCCTAGGTACCGCACACGTCCAACACTTCTCGACGTTCCCCTTTTGTGTAGGTAGGTATGAAGGCATCAAGGTGAGTTCCATACAGAAAGCCATTTCAGCACATATTGTAAAAGTGACGATGTGGAATTCAACTGTCCAGTGCCCAATGACAGCTAGCGCCACAAGTACCCAGGCAAAATTATGCTTGATATATACGGTCCGACAGTCAATTCCACAGAGAAACTTGACGTGAATTCGTAGCTGGGCTTTCATATCAAGAAGTACTAACCTAGGTACCAAGGGAGCTGGCCCGTGATTCTCCGAGAAAATTCCGCATCATGCACGAAATGCTTCGTTCCTCCCGAATCTGGCACTGCTACCCAAGATCTGATCCAGGTTACATAAGCCATTTGGGACCACCACGATACCTCAGTACTAGGTAGTAGCGCTTCACTCCTTCCAACACGTCCAGCTACGATACCTACAGGTACAGGCACCTATACTTTACTTCTCCAAACATGACCATGAAAAGAAAATAGGCCAGAGACGCTTTTTAATCTATCCATCTCTGATTTGCTCTCCCTTCTTCAGCGTTCACGCGAAATCCCACACGCTAAGCTGCTGGCTACCTACCTTAGTAGCTATAATATGGAGAGGCCTTGAGCTCTCCGTGCTGGGCTTTTTAATTACCGTTTTACTGGCTGGCCGTCGCTTGATTCCCAGTGTTTGCCTCTGGATTGGGTGTCTCAAGATTTAGCATGTCGCGGTATCTCACGCCGGCCAAGGTTGGCCTTCTCGTTCTGGTCGAGCTTTACGTTGAAGAGGCGATCCCTGGTGATGCAGTCGTGCCTGTCCTGTCATTCATTGCATCTCATCTAACAGGCTACGATCCAAATGGGCCTTCTACAAGCCAGGCGATGAGGTGGGCAAAGGCTGAGCGCGCCGTTAGTCTGGTCATCTCCATCAAAGACTTTGAAAAGCTTCTCAGCAGTTACCCATTCTTGATGAGCTTACCCGGGAAGAGACTATGGGACCAGTTCCTCAATAAGCTGTGGGGAATCGATTCGCTCCATGCGCTTGAAGAATTCTTCGAGCATCTTTCGTCGACCTTGCCCAAGACAAAGGAAGAGCTTCGGAAAGAAGGATTAGACCCCGATGAGCCAGAGCCCGGCATCAAGCTATCTCACAACTCTCCTCTTGGTGCTTTCGTCCGCAGAGCCCGCCTTGAATACCAACGTCTGCAGTTCCATGACTGTACAGAGCTATGGAAGGACTTTGTCCGCTATCGACAGCCAACATCTCACTACCAGAAACGTAAGAATCCGGACTTTGGCAGATACAGCTTCGACAATGTGCTGCTGCGCGGCGAGTTGGAGGACTGGGACGTTGACAAAGTTGCGAGCTTGGCATCAGTAGCATATGGGGACATGCTGGCGGGTGATCGCACTGGAACTCTGCCTGTCAGCCTAGAAGACGTGGAAAACTTGCTAGACTTTCAGATTGAGCAGATGCAGAGTAAGTCTGCCATCAAGGAAACCATTCCGCTCATCTCATTGTCATATGTGTTCGCTAACAGTCAAGTATGTAGAGTACGGCAACAGAATACCTCTAGAGATTCGGCACCAGTTTCACGACCTCCTTAACGATACTTTCATGATCCCAAGTCTCACACACTATATCACGTAAGTCTGCGCACTGCCCTGACTTCCCGTCGACGGATGGTGTGCTGATATCCGGATTCAGCTTCCTTGACGCTTGGAGAGCCGGAGATTATCCAACGGCATTCGACTTTCTGCACCGGTATTTCGACTACACAATGCATCATCGTGATCGTCTCTTTTACCAGTACGCGCTGATGAACTTGGCTGTTTTGCAAGCCGATTTTGGCTGTTATAAGGAAGCCATGACGGCGATGCTCGAGACAGTAGCCACGGCGAGAGAAAACCGAGATATGACTTGCCTCAATTTCTCCCTGAATTGGCTATTCCACTTTGGACAGGCACATCCAGATCTCATCCGTGACCTCCAGTCGGACAACTTGCTCGGCACGGGGAAGGAAACACTGGCCTTCCTCCGAGTCAAGGCTAGAGAAGCTGGGATGTGGACACTCTGGAGTTCTGTGCTGCTTAGCGAGGCAAAACTTTGTCTTATCAATGGCGACAGCATTGCAACCACTTTTGAGCACATGGTACGAAGTTCACAGATCATCGTGGAGAAAAATATGAAGGGCATGTTTGGGGCGCACCTTGGTTTGTCCTCGTCGCTCTGGGGTAGGCTCGGCCTGGGTCATCTCGCCGCCGCCTCGTGTGAGATCTTTTTGCGGTGCCACACATACCATTCCATGTTCGATGATGAGCTCAAGATGATAAGTCGGTTTTCACTTGCGCTTCTAGAGCAAGGGAAATACGGCGAGGCCATGGAAATCCTCGACAAGGCCGACGAAAACTCGTTGCGCTCGTGGAAGCCCAGCCAGTATTGGTATAAGTACAGAGGGATTATACGGCTCAGAAGAGATTTACACCGCAACAACCTGGATGGTGCGGAGCAGCTATTGGATCAGTTTCTCCAATCTAAAGGCGATGATTTCGAACCTGACCTAGCATTCGTAATCGACACCGCGCATATAGACTACTTGACACGCCGTGGAGACTTGTCATCAGCCTCCGACAAAGTAGACAAGCTGATATCGGAGCTCCAAGATGAGAATAGGGACATATGCCTACGCGTAAAGGCACTTCTTATCAAAGTTTCGCTCTTAGATCATTGTGGGCGGCCTCAGCGTGCGTTTTCAATTGCCCTCCGGGCGGCAAACCTGTCTCTGCGAGCGCGGCTGATATCTCTGCTCTGGGCCGCAATCGGCGCGATATCCAATATCCTGGTATCCATGGGCGAGTTCGAAGCTGCCACACAGCTTCTCACCGCCATATTACCGCGGAGCCTGGAATGTGAATCTCCGGCTCTCACAGCCAAACTATACGCTTACCTTGCTGATGCCAATATGGGGCTGGCGGGCCAGTCCGAGAGCGAAGCCAAGGCTAGCGAAGATGGAGAAGCCCCAGGACGAAACCAGGACGCCAGAGAAAGTGAGGCGTCCAAGGCAGCTATCAAGCGACGCGATGAGTATTTGAATAGAGCGGCAATGGCAGTACAGAGGGCATTTGATGAGTATTCCAGTATTGAAGATATCACCAGCCAATGTGAGATGATGGCGAAGAAGGCTGTAATCATGAAAGTGTTGGGAGATATGGCCCTAGCTGCGGATTACGCTTCGGCATATGTTGAGCTCAAGAAGAAGGCTGAGTCACTGGGCTTACATAGGGGAGAAACCGGATAGCATCCTAAGAAGCAGAGGCCAACCACCTACCTAGTAGCAGTCGGGGCCAAAGGAAACTACAACCTGTACCTCGAGGTACCTTATCACTACCTAGTACATAATCTCAGTGTGGGAATACAATTTGAGTATTGGAAAAGTAAACCACTGATACGAAATCGTATCCTCTATGGATAATAAGATGACGAAATACACAGTTATATCACTGAAATGACTGGCCCGTAAAAGCAACTGTCAGGATATCAGGACTACCTTGGATAAAGTTGTAAGGTTCAATAAGCTCGCAGACAAAAAGGGGGCCGCTTTCTATTCCTCCTGGTAGGAGATCTTGCGCATTTCGCCAAGACGGTGTCTTGCTGAGGCAAGCGCGTTTTCCAGTTGCAAGATCTCAACCTGTAAAAGCAAGGCAAAGAGTCGCTCTGGTTAGCTTGTTTCCATCAGTGTTATGGGGGGGAATAAGAGTTGCGACTTACCTGTTGCTCCATCTCGCGAACCTTGAACTCGTGTGCTCCAAGTTTGGAGTAATCCACCTGATCCTCCTCCTGGCTTCGCTCACGAATCATGGCCTGAACTTGGCGCACCAGCGATCGGCATGCTGCTCCAACAGCTTTGCTAGCCTGTTCCAGATGATCCTGGCTCTTAGACATGAAGCCAGCCTTGACTCGGCTGGCTGCCACCAACTGGGCCGTCGACGCTGCGACATCGTTGGATGCCACAATCAGCTGCTCTGGACTGTTTCGGTTAGACAGCACTCCGTCCGCCGTCTCGATGAGCGTGTTGGTTGACGATGCTACCGCTTTAGCCGCCGAGATGAGGCCCTCCGTCCACCTGTTATTCTTCTTGTAAAAGGCCGTTCGCGACGATGAGCCTCGTCCGGCTTGAACAATCTCCTGTTGTGTCGCCGTTGCCGCGCGAATGAGCTCCGCAATGGCCGTTGTGATGGCTGTCGCAGCATCCAAGATTGAATCATGCACTCTGACCTCGTACGTCGTGTATCCATCACGAGGCTTGTTCTTCAGTTTAGCGAGGCGAGCAGCCGCCGCTGCGATGGCGTCAGCCGCTTTACTCAACTCCGAGTCAACCAGGTCTCCCAAGTCTCCCTTGTTGTTCATCAGCTTTCCAAAGCCCGGGGCAAGGCCCTCGACCAGCTTGTTGAGCTTTTGCAGTTTCATCTGCACATCGTTGTTGCTATTGATGACGACGTCTGTCTTTTGCAGTGGCTCCATCCCTTCGAGGCGGAAGCTCTGTAGGCCTCTGAAAAACTGCACCGTAGATTGAGCCGCTTGCCTTGCGCCTTGCATCAGTGAGTCTGTCTTTTTGTCATCCGTCGCCAAGCGCACCACACCCTTTGTATTGCTGCACACATCGGCAACAGCTCCAGAAAAGACGTTGATAGCCTTGATCAGCTCTGAGTGTGTGCTATTGGGCCCGTCAGCGATGAAGTTGTTGAAAGCCGTGGCAAACTCCATTGCACTCCCAGACGCCTTCTCAATCTGAGACAGGACATATGACGGCGATGCATTCTGGTTGCCTGCTTGCATGGACGAATCCAACTCGTAGAGAGCGTCATCCACCCGCGAGACACCAGCCTGTAGTACCGAATCGATAATGTCGTTGATCTTGTCCAAGTTTGATAGGATCAGCGCGTCGATTTGTCCGTCCAGTGCATGGTCCGTCTCTCCCTGATTCTGTTTCAGCTCGTTCAACTCTATGAGCGTCTGGTCCATCCCCGCTTTATACACCTCAAGCTCTTCTTCTTTGTCGCGCAGGAGTTGCTCGAGATCGGAATCGCCCTCGCGAATTTTGCTTTGCGCCTCCTCCAACGCCCGCGACTTGTTTCGCAGTGCCTCTTCCAAGTCGCTCATCTCACGGTTGTACTTGGAGAGCATCGTGGACAGCTCATTGCCCTTGCTACGCTCAAGGTTGTCCGCCCGATCTTGTGCCAAGCGTAGCTCTCGCTTGAGCTTCTCTACCTCATCCTTGCTGCTTCCACTGGCCCGATCCTTATCGTGAAGAGCTCGGTCGCGCTCTCGGATCATGTCGGCTAGCTCAAGATTCTTCGTCTTAATCTCGCGCTCCAACTTTTCGCGCTTTTCGATTGCTTCCTGAGCACTTGCCGCCTTCAGTTGTACCGCCTTGAATCTTTGTAGCAGGTCCAAGTGTTCATGCCGAAGCTGAGAGTACAGCTTTGCGAGGGACTCATATTTGGACCTCCAAGTATTGACTTGCTCTTGTAGCGCTTTGATTTGGTCATCCTTGCTACTCATCTGGTGTCCATAGCTATTTTGAATTTGCAACAACTCGCCCTCAAGCGCCTTGACACGCTGGTCGTACTGCTGCAGCATCAGCTGGTCACGTTCGTATTGGGCTCGGGCATTGAGATTCTCTCGTTCGAGTTCGGCCAGGCGACCCTGAGTTTGCCACTGCGCTTGTTGTGCGAGAAGAGCCTCCTGTTCACGCTGTTGTTGTTCCATCAAACGTCGTTGTTGCTCTTCGAACTCGCGCTGGGCTTGCTGCTGCGCCTGCTGCTGCGCCAATATAGCAGCCCGTTGTCGCTCTTCAAGAACTCGCTGTTGCTCCTCGTATTCGCGGTTTTGACGATCCAGCTCGCCCTTCCAAAATTCGGATATTTCATCTGGCTCATCTGACTTAGGAGCTGGTGCGGGGGATGGCTGGCGCTCGATTTCTTGCTTTGGTCTGGCGGGCAGGGCCGGGGCATCATCATCAGTAGCAAGGAGATTGGGCGGATCTTGAGGCAATTTGGGGATTGTGATGAGGCTTGTCAGATATCGAAGATTAGAGCATTCGTAGTAGAATTTGACCAGGCGATAATGCTGAGCGTCGTATCTTTGACGGAGGGGCTGCAGTGCATCATCGTCACCAGTGACTATTGCGTCCGTCCAGGTCAGTGCTCGTTCTCAGTAGTACGTGTTCTTTACTCACTCGAGTGCATGGCGCGCAGCATGCTAGTAATGAACTTGTAAATGCCATAGCTCTCCTGAACCAATGGCACCAGGGCTGCAATTCGACACTCGTTGTTTCCAACATTTCTAAAATGCGAAAAGATCAATTTTTGAAACTGCTCTATCTTGTCTTGCAGCACCATCAGGTCGGAGATGGTTTCATATCCCTCGTTCGGATCATTGATGGCCTTGAGGCTGAGGTACTCTTCATACTCAAATGTGCCGTTAAACTCCGGGTGTTGATGGTGAAAGGACAGCTTCGCGAGGAGATAGTATACGTATTCGCGGATCAAGGGCCCATATCCACGAACTCCCTCTCCGCTCATTCCGCGATTCAAGGAATCAATCCAGCCGCGGTTGGCCATTGCCTCCTTCAGAGCCGAAGGATGGCCCTCCTGCAAAACTTTGTGGACGGTTATCAGAGCTTTGAATGTCTGGACCTCGTCGGCAAGAATGGGTTGGCTGCATGTAGATAGGTACCCTAGTTAGCACAAGCTCTTGGAAACCGAAAGAGTCTTGAGTCAACCTACACCTTCATAGCAGCCCAGAAGGGTTGCGAGGATCGGTGATCCCAGGTATAGACAATACATGCTCGCACATGTTTGCGCTTGGGAGAGATTTCATCGGGGTTGGTAGCCTTCTTGATGCTGACGGCAAGCTCCTGATCGGTTCTAGTTGATTTGACAAACACAAATAAGCAGGCGTCGTCTTAAGCAGGTGGAGGAAAAGGCTCGACGAACTTTGTATGCTCGGTCGTGCGTATGGAGGCCATGATGGGCGTAATACAGCTCAACAAGCTCGGCGGCGGAGCTTGGATAGGAGGCACACGATGGAGGAATCGCAAGGGCGCGCACTCGAGGCGCAACAGACAAAAGAATCGAGGCCGGCGAGATGAGAACGTGCACTGCTATTGGACAGCTGGGCAGTCCCTGGTCAAAAGGATTACAGCCCAATCCTCAGCACACAAAGAAAGAGACAGAACTATCGCCAGTCCGGAATGATGGGAAGGCGAATGCGATTGAAGCTGCGGACAGGCGAGCATCGTCACCATGTGGGGCTTAGCGGGCCATTAATTACCTGGGCGAAGCGGTGTTAAAATAATCCGGTGTCTTTCATCGATATCAGGAGGCCGAGAGCTTTTGCTTCAAATTACATAATCCGTCCATAAGATTTAGTTCCTCCAGGGTAATTAATGATCATGGCTCAGATTGGGTGTTGATAATTAGGGGGGAAATTATCAGTGATTTTCGATGGAGGTGGCAGGGCTGTATTTTGGTATTGGAAGAGAGGTATGGTGATTCTTACCTATGGAACTCAATGGCCTCAAGTACAGTATCGAGCGGCAGCGATGGTGAATTAGTAGGTAGGTACATTCAAGCCTTTGTTCTCTCTTTGCCAAATTTGTAAAAATCCGGCCACTGCAGTTACTCATATTGTTGTACATGGTTACCATAGGTACCTACCTACCTAGGTAGGTAGTAGCCAAAATGCAATGAGAACATTACCAAGGCGTTGCCATTTGTATGCCACATCTCCCACTATGGCACTATACTATTCTCCATAAAGATCACGATGCGATTCAACGAACGAGCATCTACTGCGAACCCACGGATTCAGATGCTTACCCAGGTAGGAGACCGAGAGTCGAGTCAACATGAAGAAGGGGTACTTATATGTTCTGATGAGCAGATGGCTTACATAGCCAGCGTCCAGCTCAAAAGTCTTCAAAATTTGCAGCTCTCACTGGAAAGGGACTAATCATCATAAAATCACTAATTGTATTTGGTCATGTCTTCAGCCTCAGTTCCCATTGTGTCTAAAACCAGCCTGTTACCACGGGATAATGGGAGACACTGCACAGGTTGTACAAATTATATGGATACTCGACTCTTCCAAGAGGGGTATTCACGGAGAATAGATGCACTCTTTGTCGATGTCATATTGTCTCATTTGCTATGAACATCAAATAAAAAAAATGCAGACCTTGGTCACATGCTGAGTTCTTTTCCATCCGAACGCAACACCATAAGAAAAACCGAAGCAAGCACCACACCGACCAATTCCCTTAGATAGTAGTTTCGTATGCCAGAGGAACAACGGTCTCGGGAGGGTTGTCAGTCAGAGAGACCGTGGTGGCTTCTCGGGGAAGAGCAGGCTGTCGCTTAACCTGGACAGTCACGCCATCGGCTCTGGCCTGCTTCTTGGCCGCCGCGTTCGCCTTGACTCGCTTGATGAAGTCCTCACGGGATCGAGAGGGCTGGATGTGCTCGATTCGGACGTTGATGCGCTTCTCGATGTAGCGGTGCTTGACCTTCTTGTAGATGATGATACCGACGGCGCTCTTGGTGACGTTGTAGATAACGCCAGTCTTGCCGTGGTAGACCTTGTAGGGCATGCTGTGCAAAAGGTGTTAGTTTTCCTCATGAATCCTGCCATGTCCAAACTCCAAAGTACAAGGCTTCCTTACCCCTTCTGCACGGCACCGTTGGCCTTGATGTCGACAATATCACCGACGCTGGACAATTGTTAGTCGATTTGATTTTCGAGCACCAAAGATTTTCGGGCTGGACTCACTGGTACACCTTCAGGTAGGTGTTCAGGGCGATCATGCCCTTGCGGCGGAAGTCCCTGCTGAAGGCATACTGCGTACTTGTTAGCAACGATGTTTTCACATCACCACTTCATTGCAGAGAGGATAGACCAACTCGAGTGCCCGCTCGCTTTCCGTAAGAGTGACCCATCGCGCCTTAATTGCCGTCGATATTCGTTCGAGGATTGACGAGGATGGAGGTGAAGCTTTGCTAATTTGGCGTGGTGAAATTACGCACGGCGTGTGGAAGCGAATATGCTTAGATAATCCACTTAATTTTTTTTTCCGCCGTGGTGATAGGGCAGGATTGTGGGATTTGGCGGACATGCCACATGCAGCCCGGCTTAGGGCTCGCTGCTAGGGATCACGTGCGTAATTTTTCGGCGCCAAATTTCCTATCCACACAACCTTGACGATTTTCGAGATCACCTGCGCAAAAGTTCACCAGCAGCCACCACTCCAGGAAGCAAGTCAAGTGAGTCTGAGATTCTCAATTCTGGCGATTCAAGTCACAATCTCTGACCGTATACAGAATGGCCCCTCGTGCGCATTCCAAGACCTCGCGTGTCCCTCGTCGACCCTTCGAGTCTGCTCGTCTGTCAGTATCACCGGCCACTGAACTAGAGCATGGCTCTGTTTAAGTCGATAGTGACAAGGAAACTGACATGTTTTCATCAGGGACTCGGAGCTGAAGCTCGTCGGTGAATATGGCCTGCGCAACAAGCGTGAGGTCTGGCGAGTCGGTTTGACTCTGTCCAAGATCCGTCGTGCTGCCCGGTAAGTCGTCGCTATGGCCACCTCGCAGCGTTTCGATAGCTAATGGCCAATTCCTTGCAGTCAGCTTCTTACCCTCGACGAGAAGGACCCCAAGCGACTTTTCGAAGGCAACGCCCTGATTCGCCGTCTCGTCCGTGTCGGTGTTCTCGACGAGTCTCGCATGAAGCTCGATTACGTGCTGGCCCTGAAGATTGAGGATTTCTTGGAGCGCCGCCTGCAGACCTGCGTCTACAAGCTTGGCCTCGCCAAGTCCATTCACCACGCCCGTGTTCTGATTCGCCAGCGCCACATCCGTGTCGGCAAGCAGATCGTCAATGTTCCCTCCTTCATTGTCCGTCTCGACTCCCAGAAGCACATTGACTTCGCCTTGACCTCACCATTTGGCAGCGGCCGTGCTGGTCGTGTCCGCAGAAAGAAGGCCAAGGCCGCCGAGAAGGGCGAGGATGGCGAGGAGGAGGAGGATGACGAGTAGATGCATCATAAGTGTGCTAATGACTCTCCTGCATACGAAGCTGGTGACTGAAGGATATCACAAGCAGGAAAAAAAGGTTTCTCTTCCTAGCTTTCGGCGTTGGCCAAAGGATACAATGGAATGATTTAAAAAAAAAAAACTTGAAACGTAATTGCCACTGGGATTGGACATGATTTTTGTAAACAAGGAATGCTGCGCCTGTTGTGAATGAAGTGCATGATACCAATGTCCATAAAGTTCCCTTGTAGTACTGGCTTAAGGAGCATGTGTAGACAGAATACCGCTAATCATGAGAATGACTTTATGTACAGAGTGATATCCATCAGCTTAAGAGCTCGTCCTTGCCCAACAGGTTTGCCATCGGATCCTGAGCAACGGTCCTCTTTCGGCGGTACTCATCCATTTCAGCCTCTGAAACCCCATTCATCATCTCCGCCTGCGTACGCTTCTTGGTCTTTGCACTTTGAAGCCCTGATCCTGATTCAGACTCTTCTTTCTCCGCAGACATGGGTTCAGTCTCCTGATCCAAGACAGGGGCACCGAACCGCTGGCGCTCGGCAGCCTCCCACGCTCCTTTGCCCTCCTCACCAGTACAATAACTGTTCTTGATGAACGAGTGACAACATGCGTAGCCCCATTTGAAATTTGACCACCAGCTGCCCCAAACAGATGTATGGTTATTGATCAAGGTATCTTCCATATACTTGGATTTTGCGCTCCTTAGGGGGGCTCCTTTGATAAGGCCAGCCTCATCATATTCAACAAACATTTCTGACTCTGACATGGCCATATTTCGCAATGCAGCCGGCATTGATTTATGCCCATCGCTGCCGTACTTGTCCATAAGCTTCTGTTCCCTTTCCATGCGCTTCTGCTCCGCTTCTTCCAGTTGCTTTTTGCGGAAAAAGGCACCAGCTGTGGGATTGGCTTGCAAGTGTTGTGATGTATCGCCACTTTTCTCTTGTGCTTCCCACGCGTATCTTTGCGCCTTTTCAAAGTCTCCAGCATCACCAGATGATCTCATGAAGCCTTCCTCTGCAAATAAGTCGGCTGCCTTATCTGCTGTCGCACCAGAGTTGACGAGTGCTCTGGTTTTGGGGTCATATTTCGCAGATTCAAGGTCAAGATTCAGGAGATACTTGGCGGTGTCTTCTCGTATTCTAAGCTGCCTTGTTGCCGTGCTTTGATGCTTGCTCATGTCGTTTTCTTCAGCGTATTTGTCGCCATCATCCTTCTCGTCATCGTCATCGCCATTGGTAATTTTTTTCGCTTGTTTTCGCAGATCTTCCATCTGGTTGTAGTCGTCGATAACTTTGCGATATTCTCTGGCATCGTACCCATTCCAGCGATCTCGTTTGGCATCCCAACCCAGCTTGACATCTTGAATGATTTCGTCCGCCTGAATATCCTTGCCTGTCCACTTGGCACCCTTTGCTCTTGGTCGGCTCAGGCAGTCTTTGGCTTTGTGTGTCATCGATCCACAGTTTTCGCAGGCGCCTTTTCGATACTTGGTCGCGGCCGGTCCAGCCTTCTTGCCACGGTCGTACCATTGCGACTTTTCGTTTTTCTCTTCGCGACGCTGATGCTTGAGGTAGTCATTGTCATCTCCTTCTTCGCCGGCATAGAAGGGCCGTTTGCTAATGAACGAAGGGATGTAGATGTTTTCCTCCTTCGACGCTGCGCCTGTTTCGGGTTTTCGAGGTGGCGGCATGGTTCTTGAATGGGCGATGATGAGGGAACAGGCCGATTATTTTATTCAAGCTGCAGGCTGCAAAAGAAAGAGGATGATGATTTGAGCGATGTTCGGCAGCGTGAAGAAACAGGATAAGCTGGGAGAAGTTCAAGTCATTCATTGGTCGCGAAACGAGCACCTCGAATGTCAGTAAAGCAGATTGATAGGTCGTTATCGACACGTGATCACGCGCTTGAGAGACCCCACCAATGACGCGACCTTGACACGCCTCTATCATGAACTTGTGATTAACCGCGAGGCAATTCGATCGTCCACTCTCCGGCTTTTCTCTCGAGTCGAGCGCAGTCTTATGGATTTATTCGATGAGAATGGGCTTGTTTCGCGTTCGTTTGAATTGCATTGATCATTATCAAGCTTTGCCCAGCAGACATGATCCGCCGCTTCGCAATGATGTCCAAATCCAAGGACCCCCGCCCTTGAATGCAACCAGAGTGCCCGTGATTCGGATATTTGGTTCGACCGAGTTCGGCCAGAAGGTTTGCGCTCATGTGCATGGGGTATTCCCTTATCTATATGTGGAATATGATGGCAACTTGAATCAAGATGCAGGTGAGCTTTGCGGTGTGGCGCCGGCCAAACCTGTGGCTAAAGGATACCATCGATAGTTGGAGCATTTATATACCGCTTGCACCTCTCCATCGATCATGCGCTGTCTATAAGTTACCGACGCGATCAATATGGAGACAAGGCCAAGTTTGTTGCGCGAATCACGCTGGTGAAAGGAATACCGTTCTATGGATACTCCGTTGGTTATAAATCCTTCCTCAAGATCTACATGTTCAATCCCCTTGTCATGACACGGTTGGCGGATCTGCTACAGCAAGGCGTTATTATGAAGCGAAAATTCCAGCCGTACGAAGCACATCTCCAATATCTCCTCCAATTCATGATTGACTACAACTTATACGGATGTGACTACGTCGAGTCCTCGCAGACATACTTCAGATCTCCAGTTCCTGCGCATCATGGGAATACCGCCACGTCTTCATATTTATGGAATGAACACACTATCCCCACCGCATTCGTTACGAATGAACTCACACTCCCTCGGGAAAGTTATTGCTCGCTTGAAGTCGATATCGCTGCCCAAAATATTGCCAACAGAGAAAAAGTCAAAGAACGACGGCTTCACCATGACTTTACTGAGTTTATAAATCCCCCAACTGGGGATGTCAAATTGGTCTCCAGCATGGCTGGACTTTGGAAGGCCGAGGCTCGAAGGCGCCAGCATCAAATTTTATCCAGCCAAATGTCTTTCCAGCATTTAGGATCCTCTTTTCCACGAGAAGCCCTAGTGTCGATGTCGGCGGAGCCTCGATCGTCCCAGCTGCAGGCATGGCTGCATGAGGAAGAATATCGCCGAAAGGTGGAATTCTTGATTTCCCAAGAAAGGGAGCAATGCCACCCGTCAGAGTTAAGCCTGGATACATTCTTGAGACCATCGCCGCATGGAAGCTCTGTAAAAACCGCTTTACAGTCCGTTGAAGATCTCCACCCTTCCAATTTATTGCCTATACTTGGGATTTCGCCAAGTGTAGTACAGCCAAACGAAGATCCTAGTAGCAGTATTGAGGTCGACGAAGTGAAACTTCAGCTGTCTCAAGTAGATGGAGATACCCTGCCCGCAACAGATTCGGATGGGTCCGATTTAGAGCAGGATGCTGTAGCGAAGCATCAAGATGTAGCAGTGGAAAGTGTCGATATCGTATCCCTTAAACCTCTGACGGTGCAATTCAGCAAGAAGATCGAAACTGTGAGATATACCACGCAGATCCTAGGGGTTGTCGAAAGCGGTCTCATAACCGGCCAGATTCCACGAATCCCGTTGCCATCTAGACTGATTGAAGCTGCGCAGCGCAACCAGCTCACCTATAATCAAGACCGGGGGGCTGTGGCCAGTCAAAGTATCAAAGCTACGAACAAACGGACGGCAGCATGGCCATCAGATGGCAACGTTGCCAAAAGGGCCAAGCATGGTGCTGCATCCCCGGGGAGATCTTCACCTCTTTTATCAGAGGCGGATGAATTAGGCTCTTCTTATGAAGCGCAATCTGACTTGTTAGACTCCACTAACATTTCCGAATTATCACAGCGCGATTTAAATTGGGGAGAATCCAAGGCATTCAGTCGCTCTGTGACTTATGCGATCCATCCGCCTTCTGTTGCTGATGTTACTTGGAAAAGTGAATACAACCTACCAGGTGTCATATACCAGGATGCCTTTTATAGTAATGAGAAAGATCTTTCATTACGTCGACGGGAATACGCCGGCAAGGAGTTCCAGCTTATCAGTGATACCCTGCCATTCCTGCCCGAGTTTGACCCAACGGGCAATACTTCGCCAGCCTGGAACCCTAGTGCTGAGACAGGACTCTCCTATAAGGCTCGTATGCGGCAAGATGATCAACAATTGAGGAAGCGGTGCTCGTGGAGAAGCTGGGAGATTGCGCAACCCGCGCCTTCTTATGATGAAGTTGCCGAGTGGACGATTCAGAATGGTGCAACTGGCATTCCAACAACAAAACCAAGACCAAGTCGTCCATGGCTCTCTCAAATAGACGGACCAACGCCAAAATCCAAGTACGACTTTAAATACAGCCAAAAACAGCCCTCGGCGGCCGTACCGCATGAGGCTCAATACATGAGCACGATGAGCCTCGAAATCCACGTAAATACAAGAGGGAATTTCGTTCCCAATCCCGAGGAAGACGAGATTCAGTGCATTTTTTGGCATTGGAAGGACGACGAAGCAACTGGTAACGCTACAAATGAGCTGCTAGGATCATCAAAGTCGGGGATTTTGGTCCTCTCCGTCGACGATATCCTGGCTGGGCAAATAAGAAGCGCAGTACCTGATGAAGTGGTTCAAGAGTCCTCAGAATTGGATCTTCTTAATCGAATGGTTGAGATTGTCAGATTCTACGACCCGGACATACTCACTGGTTACGAAGTCCATGGCGGTTCATGGGGTTATCTAATTGAACGGGGCAGGCTGAAGTATGATTACGACCTTTGCAATGAATTCTCAAGGATGAAGGCGCAGTCCAAGGGGCGATTTGGTAAAGAGAGTGATCAGTGGGGCTTCAACACAACCTCGACGATTCGAGTAACAGGGAGGCACATGATCAATATATGGAGGGCCATGCGTGGTGAAGTCAATCTTCTCCAGTATACCATGGAAAATGTGGTGTGGCATCTTTTACACCGTCGAATTCCACATTATTCATGGAAGTCTCTCACATCCTGGCATCGCAGTGGCAGAGCTCAGGACTTGAATAGGCTTCTGAGATACTACCGGACGCGGACCAGACTGGACCTGGAGATCCTTGAATCCAACGAGCTAATTTCGAGGACTAGCGAGCAGGCAAGGCTTCTTGGAGTGGACTTCTTCTCCGTGTTCTCCCGGGGCTCGCAGTTCAAAGTTGAATCCATCATGTTTAGGATTGCAAAACCAGAGAACTTTATGCTTGTCTCACCGAGTCGAAAGCAGGTCGGCCAACAGAACGCTCTCGAGTGTTTACCGTTGGTAATGGAGCCTCAGAGCGCCTTTTACAGCAGCCCACTGATTGTGCTTGATTTCCAAAGCCTGTACCCAAGCGTCATGATTGCGTACAATTATTGCTATTCAACTTTCTTAGGGCGGATCACAGATTGGCGCGGCAAGAGTAAAATGGGTTTCTCCGAGTACAAAAGACAAGATGGCCTTTTAAGTTTGTTGGGGGATCATATCAACATTGCGCCAAATGGAATGATGTATGTGAAAGCCGAGGTTCGGAAATCTCTACTCGCCAAAATGTTGACAGAAATCCTGGAGACGAGAATAATGGTCAAAAGCGGAATGAAACAGGACCAAGACGATAAGACTCTGCAGCAGCTGCTGAACAACAGACAACTTGCCTTGAAATTGCTCGCTAATGTGACCTATGGCTACACTTCTGCCTCGTTCTCGGGTCGAATGCCGTGCTCGGAAATTGCGGATAGTATTGTACAAACTGGTCGTGAAACACTGGAGAGAGCCACCGCTTACATTCATTCGGTGGAGCGATGGGGAGCAGAGGTGGTGTATGGAGATACCGACAGCCTTTTCATCTACCTCAAAGGGAGATCAAGAGACGAGGCATTCGCCATCGGCCAGGAGATTGCCCAGGCCATCACGGAAAGGAACCCTAAACCAATCAAGCTCAAATTCGAGAAAGTCTATCACCCTTGTGTCCTACTTGCTAAAAAGCGGTATGTTGGATACAAATACGAGACTAAGGATCAGACGACGCCCGAGTTTGATGCCAAAGGCATAGAAACCGTCCGCCGTGACGGTACTTCCGCGGAGCAGAAGATTGAAGAGAAGGCCTTGAGGCTCCTCTTTGAAACGGCGGACCTGAGCCAAATTAAAGACTACTTTCGGAAACAATGCAATAAAGTGATGCGTGGCAAGGTGTCAATTCAAGACTTCTTCTTTGCCAAAGAAGTCCGTCTCGGCTCCTACTCTGAGAATGGCCTACCGCCTGCAGGGGCACTAATCAGTGCAAGGAAGATGCTGAAGGATGCCAGAGCAGAACCGCAGTATGGCGAACGAGTCCCGTATCTGGTAATAACAGGAGCGCCAGGTGCTCGGCTCATCGATCGGTGCGTCTCGCCAGAGGAGCTACTTCGCAACCCTCACTGGCAGCTGGATGCAGACTATTATATATCCAAGAACCTGATACCTCCCCTGGAGCGAATATTCAACCTCGTTGGCGCCAACGTGAGACAGTGGTATGACACGATGCCAAAGATACGGCGTATCCACCGGACCAAAGGGCTGGGACACAAGAAACGGACATTGGAGGCATATTTGCGGTCGGTGAATTGCATGGTCTGCGGAAGAAAAATTGCCAGCACCGCGAATATGTCGCTTTGCCGGTTCTGCTATGCCAGGATACCTGCCTCGCTGCTGACTCTGCAGTCGAGATTAACGGCGGCGGAACGCAAATACGACGAAATACTACGCGTCTGCCAAGGCTGCGAGGGGGTCGGCCCTCTGGAAGAGGTTGGATGCGATAGCCATGACTGTCCCGTGTTTTGGACTCGCATGAAACTGAAGAACAAGATGCTTCATGAGCAAGCAGTAACGATACCTGTGATCCACGAGTTGAATGCCAAGATGGGGGGCCTTTCGTTGAATTGGTAACCTGGATACCCGAGACTTGAAGGAAGATGCAATATCTGTTGGTCACTGATAGAAACTGATAGAAACTGACGAAATAACTGGGATGCCACTGGATTAATGGGAAATCTATCCATTCATACTGTACTATTTGATGCTTCCCCTACCTAAACGCCAGCGCTAATTACAAAAAATGAACCATCCCACTTAGCCTAAGATTTGCTCTGTGCGCTTTCGGCCTACTTAGTTACCTATCCGTCTATTCGTCTTGTACAAGTAAATCTATAACAAAAAAGAGGAAGAAGAAAATGCTCGGCGTTAAAAGCCTTATCTGATGGCAATATGCAAGATTGAGAGAACCGGGTGCCTAGACATGGCATGTCAAATTCTAGTCGTCCACCATCCATGCGGAATAATCATCATCGTCATTCGGCTCTGCGAAAGCTGACGGGCTTGGTGGAATAGGTCGGCTCGCAGTGTGAGAAATCTCTGCGTCCAAGCCTTTGGGTGTGTCATTCGCAGGGGTGAGAGTTGCAGATTTGATGCCACTGATATCGTTGTCGCTCTGTTGCTGCATCTCTGGGAAGTCTCTATTCCAAAGCTCGGTCTGGTGTGACTCATCCTCGATCGCAGGCGTCGTAGGTTGTGAATCATCTGGCGCAGCAACAATGAGGATATTTGGGCTGTCTTCTTCCTCTTGCTGGCTATCTTGTCTCCTTCTCCGCGGTGGGGAGTGATGTCTCCCGGGAGAAGGTACAGCACCCTGACTTTCTTCAGCCACAAGAGCAGCCTGATCCTCAAAGATTAAATGAGGGGACCGTCGCTTTGACGTGGGAACAGGCCCTATCTTGGTGCCTCCATTTGTTGGCATTGGAAGTGGTGTCCCTGGTGGCGGAAGGGGCTGCCCTCGGCCCATAGGCTGGCTCAAGTCGACGGGGACATTCTTGTCATTGTTCCTCATGGCCTCTCTTTGTCTCTGGATAGCATTCCACCCCCATTGCCTTGCCTGCGCAGCTGCATTTGTGACTGCTGCCAAAGTATTCCGCTTTTGCCCCGTGGCCTCACCCTCGAGAGAAGTTGCTGCTGTGGTATGGGGAGGTTCTCGTTTTTGGAACAGGCTACGGCTAAACGGGCCTGCCTGGGATTTTATGGAGCTAGCGGTAGAGGATCTAGAGAGATCCGGTTCAGAGCCCGTCGTTGCTCCGGAGGATGATACCGCATAATGTTGCAGTGGTTGCGGCGCAGGCTTGTGGTTGGCATTTATATCGTCGTCTGCGCCAGAGTTGCCGTGCGCCTCCTTTGAAGAAGAGGAAGATCGTCTAGAGACCAGAGTGGACTGTGACAACTTCCTTGTAATTGGTATTGGTATCGGTGAGGTGTCCTGGGATCTAGAGCGCAGTGCCGCAATATGGTTGATGGCATAGTCTGGTGGAGATGTTGAGGGCTTAAACAGATCAGCATGGGTTATTTCTGTCCCGACAATGGGCTCCGTAGATGTTTTAACAATCCTGGGAGAATGGACTGGGGCTGGAGGCGCCAGATCCACGCTGGTTGAGGACGCCAGAGCCGGCAAGGCGATTCCTACTTTGTCTGATTTTTTCTCGAGTGGACTTGGTGCTGGCTCGAGAGGATCGACTACTGTCATTGTTTGGCTCTTCTCTATGGATTGAGTATCGTCAGAGGGTTGGGCAACGCCGGCGTCGAGAACATCTGGTATTTCACCATCGCCAACCTGAGCCAAGGTTTCGGCAGGTTGCGGAGAGGACTTGACTGCATCGTCTCCTTCAAATATTCCGCCTCTCAAGTGTTTGTGTTCCGTGTTAAAGAATGGAACGTCATCCCAGAACGGCTGAACTAATGTCTCAGCAAAGACTTCCTTGATGCGATTTTCTATCTGACGAGTGATGACGGTATAGGTGATTTGTCTCGAGCTGACAATGGGCTCGATGGTCATCTCCAACTTTGGCATTGTCTGGAAGGAGAACCATATTCTGTTGCTGGGGGGCGGTTTGATTTTGAACAGAACATGTCCTTCCAATCTGCGAAGAACCACGGCCAAGATCAGATTTACCTCTCGAACTTTGAACCTCGCCCCCAAATCGATCTTCGCCGTGGCAGCAACCTCAATCCGAAAGCTCCCGGTGTACCTCAGATCGGCCTCTACAACGCATTCGCCCTCGACGTTGAGGTCTTTTAGCTTCAGATTGGCGAGGTAGGGTGCAGCATCTCCCGTGTCTATCTGCTGGATCTTGATGTTGGTGAGGAACGAAGGCGTTTTTACGCGCGAGATCTTCTTGGTAATCTTTTCGTGGATGAACGATTCCAGATCTCGGGTCTTGTATACGCCCAGGAAAATCCTACCGATGAGTGCGTTAATCCAGCGCGAGTGTGTCTGATCTTCTGACGAGTGTAGCTTCTGTACAAGCGAAATGATGGACTTGAGTTCAAACTGTTTGGGGTTTGGCGCAACATGTTCAAAACCGAAAGTATGCTGTTGGTTTTTCAGCATGGCAAAGTAGAAATCCTCTTTGGCCGAGCAATTTTCCGAAAACAGGTAAAACGGCTTTGACCCTTGGTTGTCGGGCGTATGATCAGGTTCGTTGGCTTTTCGCGTCAGAGATATTGCGTTACGTTTGATGAACAATTCACCTTCGGGTGTAACGTCGCCTCCCGAATATAGCCCTATTCTATGGTGCGCTAGAGAAATCACATGTCGCACTTCGAGCTGCTCCTCGTCGTCGAATAGCATAAGATGCCCATGTCTGCAGTTGGTCAATACAAGGGAAGGTGTTTTACGCAGGCTGAGATGTATGGGGAAGCGTACCTGAGCACCACGTAGAAGACATTACCTGCCTTCTTGGGCCGCTGGCTAACACTGCTGCTATTCTCCATGGAGCTTGCAGCAGCCTTGCGATCGAATATACTCCTATACATTGTCTGGTAGACGCTCGGACTGGTAGGGGTTACGGTGGCCGAGCCGATGGGTGTTGAGCGCTCCACGGGCTTTGCGTTGATGCCCATGGGTATGTATTCACGGCAGACGGCAAAATACCCAGCGGCGACATCGATATCGGCGTTTGCCCTCTTGGATTCGCTATTGTTCCTCTCCCTCCTGGCTTCGTCAAGCGCTGTCGTATCGTCGCCGGGATGGACAATGTCGCCCTCGTCGTGATCATCTTGGATGCCGAGAACGCGTCGGTAGGGTAGATTATAGTATCCGTAAATGAATATCGAAGCAACCACCAAAGGTACAAAGGTAATGCCGCCAACGAGGTAGGCTACTAGAATCGTCGTCCAGGCAGCCATGGCGAAAGAATGGACAGGCAGCTATAGATCCCGCCGGGGATGATAGCGGCCCGCTACAGACGGTCAAGGCGAAAACAACGCGATGAGGGAAGAAACGATCATTATGCTGCGCTGGGGAAGAGTCGTCAAAACGATGATAACCAAGCTGGAAGCTTGATGGTGAGCTGTCCAAAATGACGATTGACTTGAGGCTGACATACGTCATGTGATGTGGAAACTCGTTAGTAATGCTCTCTCACGGCCTGTCCCTGGTACTGTACTGTACTACAGCCCGGCACCTTAGAGGTACTTAGTACCTGTACTAAAATACCTGTTCTAACCTGCATTTGTCTATAGGTAAGGTAGGTACCTTAGTACCTTAAGTACTTAAGTACTTCGAGTACTTGAGGTACTAAGGTACCTATTTACGGTAGTGGGTTAGTAAGTTTCCAACCTCATTTTCTCGGCCAGCCATTTTGCCCATTCGTTGCCGCCGGTGGCTTTGGCGGCCAACTATGGCCATAATGGCATGATCGAATATTCGTTGCAAACCAGAAAGTGCAATTACCTGGCATACTAGATGTGCATACAGGTACCTAAGTATATTAAAGCATTTCCAGAATTGAGGAACGACATACGGAGTGTTAATATACATTAAGGTACTTCTAAGATTAGGTACAGGTACTACCTAGTAGATAAGTACAGGTACTAATGTAGTACCTAGTATTAACTACCTAGGCACCTAGTAGGAGGTAAGTTCTAAAGTACTCTATTCTATAAGGTATCTTGAGGTCCTGTAGGAGGTACTAACGTCTCTCTTTCGAGGCACCTACAGGTGTCTATAGTACTTTAGTACTAGGTACCTACTTAGTACCTGTATCATAGAGGCTAAAGTACGAGTGCTACCTGAAACAAACGTAGGTATATAAAGTACTTAAGTATCTACTTAGGTACTAACCTACCTACCAGGTAGTAGGTAATATAGGTACCTAGGTAGGTAGTTCAAAAGTTCGGGCATGATTGCAGAGTGCAAGAATACTTTCGTGTGATAAGCTGCTACACTGGATCCACGAATTCCTCGACAATCCGACTGTTGGTTGAAATTACATGCCCTGGAAGGAATAATGGGCTTATTTTCCCTCATTAGTGTGCTTCTATCTTTGCTCTGATAGGCTAAGTCTCCCACCATCTGTTTGCGCCCAGCAGGTGTTTTCGGTCTTCTACCAATCTACGCCTAAAACAGATGATTAGGGTACCGCGGGGTGTCTCCGAGCGGTTAATATTGGCCTACCGTTGGCTGGTCCTGGTACCCACCTTTACATTGCTACGATGTTCAACCAACATGCATAATGGCAGCGAACTCGTCAAGGACAGCTATGCTACGGGTTTCCGCCGTCTCCTGACCTCCCTACTTACCTGTTTAAAGGCGCAATAATCAGGAAAGGTACAAAAAAATACTCGCACTTTGTTCCTTGTAGCCGCGCTCTCCTGGGTTTTCCCCTTCGTAAACCTCTGGGGAATAAATAATCGGGAGGCTCCCATTTCACCCTAAAAGGCTTCCACCCCTCACATCCATCCTGCTGCGCCTCTAGCCAGCCTCTTCCCATTCTTCAATATCTATTGAACTTTTACAAGCACCAGGAGACCTGGCAGGTAGTTACTCTTAACATTTACGACTATCGGAAGGCTAGGAGAAAAGGAAGGGGCTGGCTTGCTTATCTTGAGTTTGAGGTGTGCGGCGATTCAACGAGGATGAGGATTGGGTGCTTGCAGTTTGCGCCCCAGGTGGGTGATGTTGACAACAACCTGAACCGCGCCGACGCAGTTCTTTCAAAAGCAAACCCGGAGGACTTGGACATTCTTGTTTTGCCCGAGCTGGCTTTTTCTGGTATGAATCGCGCTCTGTATCTATTCGCCGAGTCCCCTGATATTGTTGCCATCAATCCCCTCGTATATTGTGGCACCGAAGCTCTGAGCGAGTTATGTAAACTGATTACCACTAGGCTACAATTTCAAGTCTTTACAGGACATCTCGCCATTTCTTGAGCCTTCAGGCTCAGGTATTACTGCGCTATGGGCTCGGACGATGGCCTTGAAATACAACTGTACCGTTCTCGTTGGATACCCAGAGAAAGTCGACGTGTCTCCCAACTGGCCCACTGGCCCCGAGTACTATAACTCAGCCATTGTTGTGAATGGAGATGGCGAAACAATCGCCAATTACCGGAAGTCTTTCCTTTATTATACAGATGAATCATGGGCACTAGAAGGTAATCGTGGATTCTATGATGGGTATATCCCAGGGCTTGGCAATACTTCTATCGGCATTTGTGAGTCTACCAGAAGAAATTAGATTTCCGTTTGGGCACCATTTTACTAACCTTATGATATTAGGCATGGATATCAAGTAAGTACCGGATGTTGAGCTTTTAACACGCACCTATAAATATAATTTGCTGTGTGCTAAATCACCTTGACTAGTCCCTATAAGTTCGAAGCGCCATGGCATGCATTTGAGTTCGCCTTTCATGTCCTCGAAGTTGAATCCAACTTGGTCATCGTTTCCATGGCATGGATGACTAGAGAGGATCGCCGGCACTTCAGTCGAATGCCTAATGAACCAGATATGAGTACGTTGACATATTGGGTCACACGATTAGAACCCATTATTCGCTCTAACAACGACGACGAAATTATCGTCGTCTTTTGCAATCGTACCGGCATCGAAGACGAAGCAACATACGCAGGCACAAGTGCTGTTATAGGCATACAGGAGGGAGAAGTTAAAGTCTATGGCCTGCTGGGAAGAGGTGAAAAAGAATTGCTTGTTGTTGATACGACTAATCCACCTTATGCGAAAATGGTTTATCGGCCAGATGCTGGTGCCTTGGGCAAACGTATTGGTGAGCTTCAGCCACCTACTGTTGCCGACGATCGGATTCCTGTTACCTCTGGAGTCGCACACACCTCCACGGATGATGCTTTGTCTTACCTCAAGGCGAATCATGACACTGGAGCTCTAGATCTGAATGGTGCGGACATGAAACGCCATATTGGCACTGGACGGCCTAATGATACACTTTTTTCTTCGCTATCCGCTTCCGAGGCTCATCAATTTTCGTCTATCGAGACCTCAATTTCACCGACAGTGTTAGACCCTACAACAAGCAAACAGTTATCTCCCACGCAGTTAATTGGAGACTCACAGCAAAAAGCTTCCGCCAAGCAAACAAAGAAACGACGAGTGCCATCTATTTCGATTCCACCTCTATACGATTTGATTGGTCATGATGAGTCGATAAATGCGGCAGATGGCAACATCCCAACCCCTTCTGCGCCGAGTCCAACACCCATGGCTGTTCGCCCGCGACTCGTTATCCCGCAGCCACCGTCCTTGGTATCAAATCAGCACAGTTCTGAAGACAATCTTCCCAGTGCTACATCCATAAAGTCTGCAGAGTCAATGCATTCAATCAAGTCAAACGAATCAGAGGTTTCAACTCAAACAATTCGTTCCAATCCGAGACCGCCAGAAGACAGCACACCATATCCCCATAGCGGCCTTCCCCTGAGTGGATATCCCTCGAATTCTTTTCAAAACGACTTCGAACGATGCATCTATGGCGGCAATGTTACCATTAGTCACGAAACTGATTCATTTTCTCCAACAACTCCTTTTGCTGCTGCATCCACAGCGTCACCCCGCTGGTTTTGGCGACCACACGACAGTATATTTCGGACCCCAGTCTCTGGTGGAGGATGGACTCCCAGTACGCCGGTCGGACGGAAATCAGAACCTTTTCCATGGGAAGCAATGAAAAATATCACCACATTACCGAGTAGAACATACGAGAATGAGAGTATAAGCAGCGGTTCAATGCCACAGCAGACCAGGTCCAAATATTCGCAGTCTCCAAGATCGAATACATCGTCTAACAAAACTGGAAAGTCAAAATCGTCCACAGAAGCACAGACGCAGCGTACCACTACAAGTACTCAGAAGGAAAAGCATCCTTCAAGACCTTCATCTCCAAAGTCACGCAATGCAAGTCGCTCTGGGGTTAGAGGGAGATCTGATTCATCATTGAGCCCGCAAAATATTCCAAGCGCAGTATCGCAGCACATTGAACAAATCTCTCAACGGGCGGAGTCTAGAAACAGGCACAACTCAGATAATCAGCAAACTGGGCCAGCTATCGACCGTCCTTTATCATTAAACCTTAGAAACGATGGCCAACACAGCAGTAGAGCAGAATCTGCAATGGGCCACCTGATACCCATTGTTGCGAGCCCTAGTCTATTAGGGCCAGGGACTCGAGCATACATACCAACCCCCGTGGCAATAGATTATTATCGTCATTCTGCAATTGGAACAACTGCTCATGATATGGGCTCACAACTGTCTGATGGTAACCCTAAGCCGGGTGCTAATGGCAACAACGATGCCAGCGGTTATCAAGCATCTACCAACAATGCGAAAGAGATGCTCATGTCCCCTCCGATTAATAGAGGCACACCGAAAGCTACTACACGATCCGTAAGCAGAGGCCGTCAGCCTAAGCGCAGGGATACCTCTACCAATGCAGGCAAATTCGATCCTCAGGCTGATAGGGCTACCTCTGCGGATTCTATTATAAACACTATACTGCACTCTCGAGTTGGAAAGCGACATCCTTACGACAAAGAATCACAACGGTTACCAGACGAGAGGATATCTCATGATGAATGTTCGCATGCTCAAAATACCCGGGGTGAATCAGAGTTTGAGAGAGTTGAGGTTGTTAGTTGTCCTAGTTGTCCGGTTCATGGTCGCCAAACTGTTTCTGCTAATGGCTCTTCAAAACGGTTATCTGATCCCTCTGGCCAAATGAGTCATTTCACCCGAGATGCGGCATCAGAATTCCGCACTGACCAGAGTTTTGCTATAACTGGTGGAGCGAAGAAGGCGGGAGCGAACCAAATCTTGACCGAAGGGGCTACTGCCGCTGATATATTGACTGGATCTAACAACCGCATCTCATATAATCCCACGGATGAGCAAATGGGTATACATCGTACCGCATTTATTAAGTCTATAGTCAACACCACGTCTTCTAAGTCTGAGCCAAGATCTACAAAACCGAGATTCAACCCCACTACACCAAGAGCAATGAGATTTCATCCTGATGATGCTTGTATCGATACATTGCCGGGTATTGAGCCAGGAGATGATGAACAGCCACCAAGTTGGTTCACCGTTGAAAAGAAAGCACGCAAAGTCGAAGTTGGCTCTAAAGCTTGATTCGACAAATCAACCGTCGTTAAAGCATGTGAGCAGCGTGACATTTGGTAGAATAGCTCCTCGATACGAAATGATTCATATCGAAAACATCATTCTCAAGACCAAGGGAGCCGATATTGTCTATGCGTTATAAGACTAGCATATCCTCAGATACCCAATGTATATTACTCAGTAACTTGCACAGTATCCTTCAAATATCTTGACAAAAGATTCACTTGTACATTTTGTATGTTCTTTGAATCAATTATCTCATTCATCAGTAAAGGGAAGCTTAAAAGCTCACCCGATTTCCCGGGAACATCAGTGATGGAACCCTCTTGTCCACAATGTGGTGCTATGACCAATCATAACAGTGATGTATTTCCGGCCGTTCTATCAATGAGTATAGATTCTATGTAGTACGCCAATGGAGACTAGTTCTTCTTGTATATCTTTCGTGGTGACAGAATTACAGAGTGGAGTAGGGAAAAGCTGACGACGGTTTACCTCCAGACAACAGATGAATCTACTATTTACGTAAAGTATTTCTTAAAATATTGTTTATTCATTGCTAGGCGATTTGATATGAGTGATTGGGCCTGTATCGTCCTAAATCAAACATTTCCGGATATATGTAGGCACTCTTATCTCCCCTAGAGGTAGCTCCCGGAAATTCCTGCACAATTTCGAGCCAAAGTTTCCCAGATATTGTTCTAGATGCCCTAGTCATTTCCACCTGTTTATGTGCTCTTCATCATCGTTTAGTTACATAATATAGTCCAGCCCCCCAAATCAGCCACAACTTGTTGTCTACGGGTTTAAACCCATCCACAGTTAAGCGGGTATTCCGCCCGAAAAGAAAATAGAGATATAACCAATACAGGTACTCTGACATCTCCGTGTAAAGATATATGCGGAGAACGTAGACAAAAAAAGTTATACTTTCTTTAATACCGGTCATATAATTTATCGACATACTCCTCTCAGAGTCCCCTTGTCGTTTTTGCGAGCTCTTTGCCATCGATGCTGCTGCCATGCAGAATGACATGTACCAAAAGCTTATCGATATAGCCATGAGAAAGTGGCCGAAGGCGATACTGAGGTGTCTCCTGAGTGCTATAGGGAATTGGAACATTGTCGCTTAAGAAGAGAAGGTATTAAGTCGGTATCTTGGTGTTGATTATGGAAAGATGGGTTCAGATTCCAGCCGATATTATTTAGATGGCTGCAGTATAGTGGAGTGAAAATTGCTTGAATTTGATATAAGAAGATGTATGTGTGGTGAGAAATAAATACCGACGTTGGAGGGAAGATGATGTTTATATAGCCAGGCTATCAGGGGCAAAGTCCGATAGACTTTTGAAGTTAATTTTCCACAACCAAGCCGCAAAGATCAAATGGCACCATATACTTCGCCAACTATTTACTATGCTTCTGTCTTTCAGGGTGAATATGGCCAAAATTCTTCTAAGAACTAAGTTTTGCTGACTAAACTCTGTTGCTCAAGGAATCGTATTCGTTAAAATGCGGCAGCGTTTTGCGAGGAGAGCCCCAAGGTGAAAATCTCAAAGAACTACCCCGTCATGCTGCATATGAAAATACGATGAATAGTGAACCAAATATATTGTCGAAAGTAATTGATCATGGCGGCAGATTTTTGAAGAAAAGTATGCATGAGTGCAGTAACTGCGTTAGCGGCGACTTATGATAGTGATGGTGGTCCATCACTGGCGCTTTAAACACGTTGGAATCTGGCTATAGCAAAGGCCTCCTTCTGGGCTGTTGCTATGGGTTTTTTTTTCTGTTGACAGGATCAAAGTATGATGATGAGATAGAATGCGTGCACGCCACCTAGGTAGTTACGGATGGAAGCGGGCTGGTTTAGACACTCAATGAAAACGAAGCTCGAAGAGTATGTTGACATTATCAGCAATAGAGAATCGCGGATCCAGTAATAGTAACCAATTTTAACGGCATTTTCTGATATGACAATATATGCACGATAAATTATAGAGTAAATGCCATTGGGGGGAGGGCATAGCAACTTCAACCATCCAGGAAAAACAAGACGTTGCACTGCAGCTTCAAGCAGTACATAGCTGAAGAACGAAAAGCTTAGCAACAGTGGTTTAAATCTTGGCTTTTAAGCACTTCATACTGAAAACCTAGGTGCAGTATTAACAATTTTTTTTTTTTTTTTTTTTTTATTTATAAATTAAATAGCACTACGGACGTAACAAAATAGCGTACATCATTCGCGTGACAGTCACAGACTCCAACACTCTGAGTTTTCCCTATCCAATGCACACCTAAAATTCATGGCACCATAAAAAAAAACAAATTAAAAAGAAAAGACACAAGAATATTACAGATTTTGTGAAATGAATGAATGTTCCCCCCTTGTATCTCTTTTTCGGCTTGAATTATTGTTTTCAGCTTGAATTTTTGAAGAATCAAAAACCAAGAACAAAACAAACAAAGCAGAAGAAGGAAAACAAGAAAGAATAGAAAAGTAAAGGAAAAAAAAAAGAATAAAATTCTTCTACCTAGGCATTATGCTGGAGGGATTCTTTGCTGAATAGCGCGAAGTATACCGCAGACCTCTCTCTCTCTCTCAGTGATAAATGCCTCGATGGCACTGGAGTATGCAATAGGGTCCAGTGGGACTCCTCCCAGGGGTTGCACCGATGGAAAGACGTGTGATCTAAGTGATGCCGATTCCATTATCAGCGGCCACGGCAGTTCGGCAAGAGCCTCTATTTGTTGCTGTGGTCGCAAGAAGCGCATTTGAGGGAGTCTGCTCAAGACTGAGTGAACAGTGGAGATTTGTTGATAAATAGCGTCCGTCATGGCTCTCACAACTTCAACTAATGCGTCGCGCTGAGCCGGATAGATAGCAGCACGAGTCGTGCCAGGTGCTTCGAGGATTGGCAGAAGACTGAGATCGCACTGTAGAACAGACAACAGTGCACTAAAAGCGCCGAGAGTGACTGCGTGGCACTCAACGATGAGTCGACGCAAGTCGATGTCAATCTCATGGACTCCGTTTCCCTGTAAGAATCCTCTATTGCGAAGACGCCCTATGATGCTCACCAAGTCACGCGCGGGACAGAGAGCTCTGATCAACAGGCAATCGAAGAAATTGTAGTTGGTGGTGCTGTTGTTGGGATTTATGGCGTCATTTTGCAAAGATTCTGTTATATGATGCTCGGCGGCCAAATTCTGCCAATGTTGGATCCAACGAAGCGTTCTGGGGCCAACTCGAAGAGGGTCTAGGATCTGGGCGGTCGTCTGATTTCCATCTCTAAACGACTGGTTCATACTCCTAACAATGCCGCAGATTGCGTTATAAACCGCCCGGCAGCGATCTCTAACCAGTGTGAACCTATTTATGTCGTCGTTCTCGGGAGGCGTCTGGTTCTGGGGTTGTAGTTGCAGCAGCAGCTCCTGTTGCTGTTGTTCTTGATGCACTTGATGCATTTGATGCACTTGATGCACTTGGTGTACTTGATGCATTTGATGCATTTGATGCATTTGATGCACTTGATGCACTTGATGCATTTGGTGTACTTGATGTACTTGATGCACTTGGTGTACTTGATGTACTTGATGTTCTTGAGGCTCTTGATGCTCTTGAAGCTCTTGAAGCTCTTGAAGCTCTTGAAGCTCTTGAAGCTCTTGAAGCTCTTGAAGCTCTTGAAGCTCTTGAAGCTCTTGAAGCTCTTGAAGCTCTTGAAGCTCTTGAAGCTCTTGAAGCTCTTGAAGCTCTTGATGCGCTTGATGTAGTTGATGTTCTTGTTGTAGTTGATGTTGCTCTTGCTGCTCCTCAGAGCTACTATGTGCGACTTGGAAGTCGGCATTAATAGAAGCATTATGCTCGCCGGGTTGATCATAAGCTCCGATTTCCATGAGATTCATGGTTTGAAAATCAGCTCCCATGGCCATGAGGTTCGTGGTAAACTGATTATCACCTTCGATGGCCATGAGATTCGTGGTAGGCTGGTTATCAGCTTCGATGGCCATGAGATTCATGGTGAACTGATCTTGAACGTCCAAGGGATCCGCGATGGACTGATTACCAGCTTCGATGGCCATGAGATTCATAGTGAACTGATCTTGGACGTCCAAGGGATCCGCGATGGACTGATTATCAGCTTCGATGGCCATAAGATTCGTGGTAGGCTGGTTATCAACTTCGACGTCCATGAGATCCATGGTGAACTGATCATCAGCTTCGATGTCCCTGGAATTTATGGTGACCTGATTATTAAGTTGGAGGTCCCTGGGATTTACGAACTGAATATCAGCTTCGACGTCCAAGGGATCCGTTCTGGTTGCCGCGGCCAGAAGGCTCATATTGTGCTGGATCTGGAGCTCGGGGTCGTTGACGAGGCCATTGCCGTTTACGACAATTCCACCTGGGACTTGTGTTGATGTAGCGTCTTGCGGGGTATCATCATCCAAGGCAGCTAGTAGCCAGCCATAGAACCCATCTAGCGAGTATTCATCTTGGGGGGGCTCCTCGTTGGAGCCAGTAATGTCAGAGGCATCGCCGTTTTGCTGCTTGTCAAACATGTTTGTGGAAGTGACGATATCAACCAGGAAGTATTCTTGAGAAAGAGATTTGGGTTTGGGAAGAATGGTTGTTTTGGAGAGGAGGGCTTGGGGGATTCTTGTTTCTTTATATAGGTCTTGTTGACTAGGATTTTCCACTCTTCAAACTCTAAGAGAGGAACACAGATTATTAGGGAAAGCTTGAATACGGACTGTATATAGATGTATGTGGCTTGCTCTATGGGAGTCACCAAACTATAAGATTGAAAAGAAAGGAGGATGATAGGTTGAAGGTCCGAAAACCTAAGCGCATTGCTATTTCAAATACTTTGATACACTCGTACCAAAGGCGCAATTGTATGCCCCGTTTCTGATCTTTCTTCTCATGTTTGAATTTCAATTTCTCTCGTTTTACACCTCTCTTGGTAGAGATGACGCATAAAGGGGGTACCTATGGCGCCCTTGCTGATAAGAAATGTGAACACGGAGTGGGGATGTCGAAAGGTCGCGGCCGAGAAGAAACAGGACGAAGAAGCCATGATATTACAAAGTATCACAGTCTACTTGATACATACACTTATCCGTGACTAATTGTACGATTCTGTGATGATGAGGATAACGTTTATCTCCTGCGCCATGACTTTTTCTTCTTGTTGATATTTGCCTCCACTCGGATTCTTCCTTCGAGATATCTCCTTGTGAACTCTTTTCCCTTCCCAACAGCGATTGGTGGGCATAAGAAAGCTTGTAAACAATTCCCCAAAGAATGAAAGCTTGCAAGAATAGACCGCAGGCAGTATGAATTGGATGATGGATGTTTAGAGTACTGAGAAGATAGTATATATGTCTAGGTCAGGTACAGGTATGGAAGTTGAGTTCGTCTTGATAGTCAATGTCCCTACATGTATCTACGACACATGAGAAGACACCGTAACACCATCCCGCTGCTAAGCCAATAAGCTTGCGCGTGCGCTTCATCGGGATATTAATACTAACCGCTATAAAGTTTATCGGAGTTTATTCAGTCAAGGCGCAATTTTCTTGTTATCATATTTGGGTACATACCTCCCCAAGTAGTGGGTAGCTATGCAGTCATGCTACAGTACAGCAATAAGAAACCTTGGAAACATTTGGGAAATTGTGTCTTCTCTATTGAGCAGCACTCGTGGGATTGACATCACAACATACGGGCACGGCAGATATACATGGAACGGCTTTTGCGATTGATGCTCGTGAGAATATAAAACTGTGGCGCCAAAAAGGGAAACGGCCCATGAGAGACTACATGTACTGGCGGAAGAAGAACGGGGAAAAAAAGAACCTTGAAAAAGAAAGAAAAAAACACCTTGCAAGATTCGCTCGCTTGAGATACCCGGAGGTGATGACGACTCCAAAGTCTGGCGCATTGATGCAGGCGATATTATAATGTTGGTGGACTCCGTCGTTGAGGGAGTGTGATTTGGCGCGGGTAATTATAGCCACATGGAAGCCACATGAATGGGATTGAAGCGCAATCAAAACTCCAGTGAAGTCGATGGGATAAGCGCCACATCCGCTGTAGCTTTGCCGGCGCACTGGATGGCCAGAGTTTACCGCTTTGTCAGTGCACCCGGACATTTACATACATGTACTCTAGGTCGGGATTCGAGTCGGCAGCTTCCGGTGGACGGAGAAAAAAACATGAACCTGCGGAACTCTGGTGGAGGAGCATCAGGCAAATCAGGCAAATCCCCTGTCAAGCCACAAAATCCGGCACGGTGCAATTCGATTCCAGATGGCGCTAAAAACACCACCTGGGCACCCATTTGACAGCGCGTCTACAGGGGGTTTGACGCCCACCGGCAGGGGCCTCCCGGTATCTTACAGGGGCAGGAGTGCTAATCAGCCAATCCGAGAGCGCCAACGGACTTCCCCTGGTCGGTTGGTAGCATCTGCAAAACGCCACAAAAACAGCCACCACCTCCAAATCTATCCGATCGGTCTCGTCTCGAGAGTCTCTGTTGACGTTTTCCTTGGGATCTCTCTGTTCCTCTGCGTCAACTAGAGGGCTAAATCGGGGGGACACGCAAGCAAGCAGAAGAAAGAATCGTCATGGCATTGATTAATTTCCGCAGCTCGTCATCAAGACGCCCTGCTTTCGCATATTAAACGCAGCGGCCGACTGGATCGAAAATGCATTCGACTTCCCTCGCCAGACAACGCCCTCTCCTCTACAAAAAACTCCTTGACATTCCCAATCTCTTTACTCACATCTTCTCTGCGTCTTCCAACACTACCAACAACAACAACAACAACAACAACAACAAGCTCCAAACATGGCTCTCGTCAGTCGCATCTGGCAATGCTTCAACCCGCCCACGCCCCCAAAGAGCAGCGATGCTATAAGATTCGGCGTTTTGGGAGCGGCTGGCATTGCGTAAGTCCATCAATGCCCTTTTCCAATAACATGTTTGGCTAATTAATACATGACGACAGCCCCCTTGCCCTCTTCAACCCTGCCAAGTCACATCCCGAAGTCATCATCCAGGCCATCAGTGCCCGTGATCGCAAAAAGGCTGAGGCGTATGCAAAATCTCACGGCATCCCAGACATCAAAGACACCTATCAAGGTAGACAAGCATCAATCCCTCCCATCAGAACCAAGCTAACTCTCTGTCAGAAATCCTCGACGATCCCAACATTGATGCCATCTTTATCCCCTTGCCCAACGGCCTCCACTTCGAGTGGGCTGTCCGCGCCATTCGAGCCGGCAAGCATGTCCTTCTCGAGAAGCCCTCCGTGTCTAACTCGACCGAGGCGGAGATTCTCTTCAATCTGCCAGAGCTGGACCAACCCAACGGACCTGTGCTTCTCGAGGCCTTTCACAGTCGCTTCCACCCTTCTTGGGCCCTGTTCCACTCCCTTGTCGACCCCACCGAAATCGAGCACATTGAGACTCGGTCCATGATCCCCTGGTGGGCCAGTAGCAAAGACCAGATTCACTTCAACTACAACCTGTCTGGAGGCTCCATCATGGCCATGGGTACTTATAACTTTGCCGCTCTCCGTCTGCTCTTTGGAGAAACCCCCGAGGAATGCCTTAGTTGCGATGTCAAGTCGTATACCGATGGCATCCACGACAAGTGTGACTACGAAGTCAAGGCTACCTTACGCTTTCCCAATGGCGGTACAGGCGTCGCATCCACCACCCTAATGGGTGAGACCATCATTAAGCCCTCTTGGGTCGTTGTCACCACCAAGAAAGCTATCATCCCCAACAGTAGTCTGCCGGCTGGCCAGCAGCAGTACCAGAGGCGCGAGCTGACGCTTCAGGGCCTCGTCCACGGTGTCTTCTGGCACCGCATCGATATCAAGGAAATTAATGAGATCTGCACCAATGAGGGCGCTGTTGTTAAGAAGTGGGAAAAGACGACCTCTCGTAAGGCTTACACCTGGGAAGAAGCCGGTGGGGAGTTTGCCGATTTACCGGGCGAGGTCCACTGGATGTCGTACAGACATCAGCTGGAGCAGTTTGTTAACAAGGTCAAGGGTCGCAAGACGCAGCAGTGGATCGAAAGAGAGGACTCTATTGCCCAGATGAAGATGATTGACATGGCATATGAGAAGAGCGGACTAGGGCCCCGGCCGACGAGTTCGTTCCGGTAATGTTGGTGGACGTGTTAATGTTGACCCTTCTGGCATTGATGCGGAGTTAGAGGCCCTTTCTTTACATCTTCCCTATCCGTTCTGATATACCATTATCCCTTTGTCTATTATCTACATTTTGTTTGTCTACATACTTGGGACCAGCTTAGATAATCTGGCATCCTCATCTAATTTCCATACATGTATCACATCTATAGCAACGAATACTATATCCCCTGAAAACATAAGTACGACAGTTTTTCTCTCTCTACATTTTGCTATGGATCGTTGTACAAAGGTACCAAAGTAAGAGACGTTCCTTTACCTACAGTACCTTATTATACAAAGCTACCCAATGTACCTGTCCAGCTGGATGATGTCTAGAACCGTACACTCAGACATACGCAACGGAGAATCGGGAGAGTAGGAACTCCAAAATGGCGCTTCAATATCCAATCTCAGCAAAACAGGGAGATAGTGGCTTAACCAAAGCGGTTGACTTTGGTATCATACATTTCAAGTCATGCTTGCCCATAATTTTCTCGGCGGCAATTTCGCCAATCACGTATGCGCTGGCTTGGGTGTGATTGCTATACACAAAGTTAAGTTCAACTTCTGCCGGAAAGCTTCACTCGCGTTACCGAAGCTTACCGCAAAAATCACGGGAAAGATGCTCATATCTGCGACGCGCAGGTTCTCAACGCCGATGACGCGGAAGTCCGGTCCAACGCAGGCGTGTTAAAACAAATGGAACTCAAAACAAACAATGTCAAGCTCCATCTTGCATCCTCAAACCACGCGCGACTATTACATGCCTCAAAGCACAGCCTCACTGCTTCATTTGTGCCGCATCTGTAGCTTCTTGCTTTGCTTCTTTAATGGGACAAAATTCCAACGCTAAAAACGGCCAAAATCGAATTCGACTGGCAATTCGCTCTTCTTGCCCGGCGTCACCGCCCTGTGATGTAGTTGAACCTCTTTTTTTTGGTGTTTACCTGCACCCGTCTATCAGCCAATAATAAACACACAACTCCAACGCCTCTCCAAGCAACGATGCGTGAAAAATATGCCCGTTGATTCGCCGCATTTTCTGCAATAATATTAGCATCACACGCGACCAAAAAACCTTGAGGGGCAGAGCGGCAAAATATGCAGAACAAACTGTGTCCAATGTATAAATAGGTATAGAATGGTCGGCAGACGAAGACCGAATAAGTTTTTGTGTAGTGAGGACTGAAAAAAAAAAAAAAAAACTCTGCAAGCGATGGATATGATGCGATGGTTGAAGGAGAAAACTGGCGCTGAGTGCAAGAGGTGGGAGCCGTGCTAGATATAGGGAGTGACTGTTCAGCACCCCAAGTTGGCTGTTCAGAATCCTATTTTTAAATTTGAAGCAGCCTGGGTAGTAATGACAGCAGATATTAGAGGAATATATGGATAGTAGCAGATAGCACCTATCGATAGTAGTAGAAATTAGCCATAGTAGCAGAAGTTAGCGATAGTAGCAGATACTCCAGGAACGGGACAACGCAACAACCTGCTGGCACCCCAAAAAATCGGTGACGGACAGTCGAAAACGGGACAGGCCCGAAAAGAACCCGGCGAAAGACTGCCTTATATGTGGCACAAATGAAGCAGTGAGGCTGTGTTTTGAGGCATGCAATACTCGCGCGTGGTTGGACGATGCAAGATGGCATTGTTTGTTTGGGTGCCATTTGTTTTAACCGCCTGGGGTGTCAACCTACATTGCGTGCTATTGGTTAGCTCCGCCCCTACAGCCGTCTTTCCGTCAAACAGAATCCGGGCCACAGGTGACCACAGGTGATTCGGTCTTGATGATCAAATTGGGAGGTACGCTGAATCGGCCATTACCCGTAGGCCGTTGTACGACGTCGCGGCAAGGACGCCCAGTCCAAGATCTCCAGAGCTAACATCTTGCAACATAGGAAGTTTTTAATTATATGATGTTAGCCTAACGATAGCCAATTGACGATTCGTGAATATACTTACACTATATTGCTCTGCTACGCTAGAGAGGAGCTCCAAGCCAGGCGTCTATGTCGAAGGGAGAGATACATGGACAGGTCCGCATGTATCGGTATCTGAATTTGCGGCTGCTGAAGTCCCAGCCAAGAACGTTGATGGTTGTAGAGCCGCCAAGCCCACGGCCTCGGTCCATCAGAATCTCTCATCCGTTAGTTCGGGCTCAGGAGCACTTTTGTATCTATAGGTCATTGGTGTAGCGCCATCAGAGTTCCAGAGCGTCATTCTTTGACCGAGAACCCTATGGGCAAGCCCGTTGTTTTCCACGCCGGCCTCGAGTAGAAGCACGTGAGGCGCTGATGATGCCTTGGCCAAGCGAGAGGCTATGACACAACCAGCAGGGTCAGCTATATTCCACTGATCAGTGCATATAATGGAGCCACGTCATGAGTGAAGTCGGATATTACCCCTTACAACGATGAAGTCGAACGATGGGTTTGATGCCATGATGTACGTATTGCCTACATGTACTACTAGGTAGTAGATGGCTGATCAATTGACTCTTGGAAGGTTCTGAAGATATATTCATAGATAACGGACCATGTCTGATTCTTAAAGATGCAACATCATGCGCCTCCCCTGGTTCCTCCGTGTAAGAACTCTCGGATGAGACGTATTGACCATACGATTTGAGTTTACACAGAGCCTTGTATTAGTACAAAGGAAAATGCTGCCCAGCTGCTACACACAGCTACCTATGTAATGATAAAGAAAACACAGTGCTGCTTTCTATAAATATATCTTCAGTACTGTACCTCGAAGTTGTCTCTAACCTCGCTGCTAAAAGCATAGATGGAAGCATTACAATCTGGAACCCAATAATAACCCCGCCACCCCAGCTGCAACTAGAAAAGCCCGCTAAAGCCAGGCCGCTGCCGGCTCAGATTCCGACAATCCGACCATTACCCCTAGGCCCGCCCCTAAACCGCCTTTGCACTGGCTCGACCAACACCCAAACACCATATTACAGTAGTGCTAGGTAGAAACCCAGCCCGTCCGACCGCTATAAGGACCACGGCTGGAGTACAAGTCAGGGAATCATTTGATCTAGCCACCGCAACGAGGTCATCATCATTTTGAAGGGAAATCTTGTCTTGTTTCTTCTTCCATCTAGACTTGAAGAATTATTCCTCGTTTATATCAACGAGCCGGGCTTTGGCAGGGTTAGTCACTAAGCCTAGGTACCTAGCTAGTATCAATTGATCACGGGCCAGTCAAACGCCCTCGTCAAAATGATAATACGCTGTCTGAGACATCATCATCAGGCCATAATCATAGGGCAGATGCATGTCCCCCTTGTTAGCTGAGTCTGTTAACTTGGGGCATCCATGCCCACTAACGCTGTCAATTACCGCCAGCTTATGCACACGTAGGATTCACGCGTTTGCTCTTCAGACTGATTGGATCTTAGGTAGCATCGAGCTGACTAATCTGCTAAGCGAACAGGAGAGACAATACAGCACCTTACCTAGTCTACCACGGAATCCTGCCAGCTGATTGTTTGCAATCTTGGAAATGCCGAAGCAGTCCGCCGGTCTGTTATTGACGAGGCCAAAAGCGGTGCGCTTCTTGTTGAATTGCTGATTTGCGCTTCTCCATCCCGGCAGCGGAGTTCAATCGCTGCTAGAAATGGTCTCCAGCTCTCACCGAGGCCAGCGGGCCCGAGCCTGCCAGAATTGCAGCCGGTGAGATTCTCCCCTGGTTTGGTTTCTACCCGATGTTTTTGGCCATTGCCAGCTAACTGAATCAATCGTGGATAAAGGAGGAAAAAGAGATGTAAGTTGGTACCTTGTGTTGTGAAATCGCCGTCAGATGCTCATGTTTGTGATGTGCGCTTCTCCAGGCAGTGGAACGAGGCCGCAGTGTTCTCTGTGCACTCAAAGCGGGACAAATTGCGTCTATCCTTCCTTCACCCAGAAGCCTGGCCCAAGAAAGGGATACAAGAAAGAAACATCCACGAATGATAATACAAATGGTGAGCGCACTTGATTTGCATCTACAACTTGAACGCATCCAGCGCGTCCAGCGGCTTCTGACCCACCCTAACTAGAGCTGCAAGCGCCCCAAGAAACACAGCCTTCAGGCTCAAAACACCAGGACGTATTGAATGGCGAATGGGGGGAAGGATGGACTCCAAATACCTCGGAGCAGATGGCTTGGTCTCAATCCTCCTTCTCCGAGGACACATTTGTGCCTTCTTTGCTCCTGGACCCGACGCTTGAGACCACAGCATTAGCGTCGTGGAGCGATTCTCCTGCAGAGTACTCTGTTCTTCCTCCCAGCACGCTCATCATTCATCTAATAGACGTCTTCTTTGACCATGTCCATCCGCAGATACGTCTGCTTCACCAGCCGAGTTTTGTCGACTGGGTTGGAAGCGGCTCGTACGTGATGGACGAGCACGCAACCCTGATCCTGACAAGCATGTTTTCTGTGGCGGCAAGATACACCGAGCATCCTGAAGTCGACCTCTTTGATCGTATGTTATTGCGCCGGGCATCCGCTAATAGCGGCACGCCAGAGGAAGTCTACTACAAGAACCGCAAGCGATGGGAACGCGGGAAAGGCTTCCTTAGTCAGGCAAACCGGCTCCTCATAAGCGAAACCTCGAGAATGGACAAGCTGGAGCCTGGAAACGGCGAGACACAGAGGCCTTCAATTAGGGTCGTGCAAGCTGCCGCCATCATCACGTTTGCGCAAATGGGAATTGGGCTTAGCAGTCGAACGTATTCCCTGTTGTCAACGGCGGTGCAATTGGCCCATGACTGTGGCCTGGATCAGGTTGATGGCAATGATGAAATAATTCTCACGCCGGGGGGCACCGATTTCGACGCCTGCAAGTCTATCTGGGCTAAGAAAGAGGAGCTACGGCGCACCTGGTGGGTTATCGCCTATCTAGAGAATTTTGTATGCGTTACAAAAGAGAGGCCGCGCATGATTGATTGGGGGAAATGCAAGACGAAGCTTCCTTGTGACGACAAGGATTGGTTCCAAGGGCGTCATTGTTCATCAGATTTCCTACCAGCGAGCCTCGACGACCTGCGAGCGTCTCTGACAGTATCGCCTCAACTCTCGGTTCTGGCGTTTCGGCTCAGGACGATGCATCTTGGGGCGAAGATGCTCGAAGCGGCCATGAACAACGACAGTGAGCTTGAATCACACAATATCCTTACCAAGATTGAAGAGTGCGCTACGTTTTACAAGCAGAATATGCCCACAGAATCGAAAACGGAATATGATTGGCAGTACAATGTCTCGACAGACTATCTCCATCTACGCTTATTGCTCGAATCGCAAGTCTCGACATGCCCCATCCCAGCAGGTTTGCCACTGACCAGAATCTAGTTTCTTTGCCATCTCGAACAAGATTCGCGGTTTTAAAGACGCAAAACCCTCCGACATCTTTGAATACTGTCGCGATTTGTCCCGCCAGCGACGGCAGGGCAGTAACAGTACTGCATCGCCCGGTGCCAAGGCGTTTTCTCTGGCGCTGTCTGCATCCGAGACCGTTTGCTCCATTCTTCGCGATTCGTCCGCCGAAGATGTGGCTCGCTTGTGCCCCTACCTTGCCTACGTTCTATGGGTGCCCGCATGCCTCCAGTTACTCGTCAAGCTATTCACTCGAGCCGATCCAGAACTGGCGGAGAAGGCGTCGCTGTCCTTGCAAACCTTGATCATGACACTGGAACGATTTGGGGAATTCTCGGCCCTTGGCCAATTCGTGCTGAGTATGTTGCAATGGGATGTAAACAGAACATGAACTGATGGACGACATATAGGTTCTTTCCGGCGGTACGAAGAAAAGTTGACTGATATCCAGTGGACTGACGGCAAACCGAATGACGACGACCGCTGGATCGTATCGCGTGTCTTGCGCTTTCCAGGTCACATCGACGCTTCATTTCTACAGGAGGCGAATTCAATCGACCATTCAGAAGCCCCGATAGATCCTGCTCTCGCTCTTTACCAGCTACCCAACACACAGTCTAGTACAGAGGCAGAGATTCTCCAAGGTGAAATTGCAAGCGTTAACTATCTCGCCGAAGACCCAATCTGGATATGGCCAGAGGCCTACACTGAATTCTAATTCGCGACGCTGCTTCTGCAAGATATCGGACATGTGTGATAAAATTATACCAGTTACTTTGTACAGATGATCGTCTTGAACTTCTAGCATGCGAGCCTCTAGACTACACTCCATGTCGCCTGAACATCTCCCGATAGATCGAGCTGCATCAAGCACTCCTCATTTTCGTCCAGTGCTCGACAAATGACTTGTGCCTGCTCTTTAATTCTCTTGGCCAGCGCTGGACGCAATGCCCGGTATCGTTCGTTCGTTCATTCGTTTTGAGCCTGGGTGGGCTGAAGGAAATTCTTGGACCATGTTTTATGGCGTATTGGCTCGAAAGGTTGCCTTGTTGGCATATCTCAATGGGAAAGATTGTCAGATTAGGATCGGAATCGTCTCAAAGGGTAGAATACAAGATAAAATACAAGACGAACTCACTTTTAGATCACATACACAGCTCCATTTAGAGCGTGTTGACTGTGTTCAAGCGGGAGCAGGATCCTTCGTCGGGGATTTTGATCAGGTGCGGCGGGATCCATGCATCACGTGTATTCGTGGAGGATGATGGCAACCAATTCAGGGATAGCCGGCGCATGGTTAAAGATGCTGATCACAAACCGTCTTTCATTTCGGGTGGACTGTTCAGGTGCTGTGTCGGGCAAACTGGTTGTGTCTTGTAGTGTCGGGCGGACCATCTTCTGACGGGCCATCTTGGGATGACACGAGAAGAAAACTCCCGCTCAGGTGGAAACTACGAGCTTACTGCTGCTTAGAATCTATCATTCACATAATATTGAAACTATGATGGCTAAAAGAATCCCACCCCGCTGTTCAACTTGGTGCATGACGGCAGTTGACGCTTTTCCCTCGATCGAATCGCCTCCCTCCCTACGCCATGGCTACCGAACACCCGCCGACTGAGGCTGCGTACGCACGCAAAATACGACGGCCTGATTTCAAGAAAGAAGAAGCGTTACGACCGCCGTGGGATGATGTCGCGCCAACCTTGGTTCAAACTCCAGAGCCCGGACCTTTGGCTCCGGTCCAAACCACACCCATGCGCGTGTCTCAGCCTCTGCCGCGACGGCCAAACACATCGCCATCGACCCCTTTACTTCAGACCGTAAGATCATGGACAATGGAAAATTGCTCGTGAGCGGAGTGGTTCCGCCGCTCATTGCATTCATCTCAACGCGGAGCCACGACGGCACGAGCGAGAATCTAGCGCCCATGAGCTTCTTCTTCCAAATGGTCAACGTAGACCCGCCCATCTTGGTTGTTGGGCTGTCGAGCTCAATGGCCGAAGCTAAGGATACGTCAATCGACCTCTTGTAGGCGAGAGAGTCGTCATAAACATGGTTAGCGAAGGCTTCATCGAGGCCATCAATGCCACCAGCATGAGTGCGCCCTAGGTGTCTTCGAGTGCGATATTGCTGGCCTGACTCCTGTGCATGGTTGCAAACGGTGTCGTGCGCGCGCGTCAAGGAATCTGTCTTTAGTATAGAAGCTCGTCTAGAGAGTGTTCGCGAGTTCTCGAGCCGCAACACTCCTGGGGTCAAGACGGGTTGCCTCGTGTTCGTTGAAGCTACCCGCTTTTGGGCGAGAGAGGATGCTATCAATGAGAGCAAGAAGCATCTAGATCCTGCAGTCCGTCTCACAACTTCCCGTACCCCAATGAAACCACTTCCATATTTTCTCTGAAAGAGAAATTACTTTTGTTGCTTACTTGTAATCTAGGTGCTGCGTCCCATGAGTAGGTTAGGAGGTCTGACATTCGGCAAAACAAGCCAAATGATTGAACTGATGAGGCCCGATTTTGAAAACGACTTGAATGGATTCGAGGGCAGGCCAAAGTTGGAAAGGCCAAGCAACAGTAGTAAGGGGATTGGATACCTATGTATTTTCGGGCACTGTGTAGCTCTAGACCAACATAGCCAACAGATTGGATCTGAATATATGTCTCAGGCTAAAAGGAGTTGAAAGCCTTCTATATTGCAGTATCATTGTTCTATTAATAAAGGCTGCGAAAGGGCTGAAGTCGGTCTTGGGATCATTCAGCGGTGTATCGAGACGCTGGTCGTCAATGATGCCGAGAACAAACTCTTGCATCGTGTTTCAATGAAACCAAGGCAGCGGATGCGTGTTTCCGGCGACTTACCAGCGTGGTCCGACGCAGGCAAAGTCAATCACAGCAGTTCCAGGGACCTTGCTAAAGGAGGGAGCTGTCAGAACGACAAAGACTGAGGGATCGGCGTGGCCGTAGCGGATGTTGGCGATGGTGTCGAAGCGGGCCAAGTCGTATTTGTAAGGATAGAGCGTGCCTTGCCAGCTGACGACATTGAAAGGGGATGTGGGTTGGGAACAACACCAGAGTTGAGTGTTTAGACGCGAGACTATGTTCCATCCCGACGCCTCGTTGACAACGGCGATCTGATCACCATTCGGCCCCTTTTCCACGCGGCCCTCGAAAAATGCCTTTGGTATATGAAAGTCGTATGAATTGGCCAGACCAGTCGTTCCGATGATGCCGAGTTCAGGCAGCTGGAAGTGACCCTAATAGAGCTCGCAGATGTAACCGCGGCACGGCTTCCCATCAGGCAGTGTCACACGATACCTAATGCCGCGCGGAATCACGACAATCTCGTTGTGCCTGACTAGCATCTTGCCAAGCATCGTCGTGATATTAAGCGACCCGAACTGCGGGACAATAAGAGCCTCGCCGTCCAGACTGCTGAAGACGGTTTGCGGATCCATACCCTTGTGAACGTTAAAGAACCAGATGGAGAGGCCCGTCTTCCGCTGAGGGTCGTCATTGCTGCCTACCAAGCGCTGTGTAATCCAGTCTCCCTTCTCCGGCCACGGAACGGTGGGCCATGACACGGCGTTTGGAGTGAGGCTCTTGGCCGGGGGTGGATTGGCGTATTCGAGATGGTGGTTCCACTGAGTGAATTCATGATGCTCATGGGAGGATTCAATGCGATACATGTATGTGTATAGATTATGCGCTCACGGGCCGACTAAAGACGTTCCTGACATTTTCTCCGTTGGCAGTCCGAGAGGGGGCAGTTGCGCATGGTTATTGGGAATAGGAACCGCGCCGGGAACGGCCTCGGATCTGTGACCCAAGCATCAGATATGACTCGTTTTCTATACTTTCGGAGGGAACTGAACTTCCCTGAAGTGGTTTTCAAGCCCTTCATGATGGCTGTACTTTTCCTTTACCGCGAAATCTGTCACGAGATGCATCTTTCACTCTTGTTGCTAAAGTATTGAAACTTGTTGGAATTGTTGATTGGAGGGGCGTTGTAGACAGTATGCTTTACTTGGATGGTAAATTGAGGTCGACTGCTTCTCTCATTCATAAGTTTAATAGTATTATAGTCCCTCAGCAGTAAAGACAAAATCTTTTTATCCGCGAGCGGGGAGATTCATTAGGCACGGCGGCATATCTAATGTTGGAGAGCGGCGTATCATGAAGCGGCATATCATTCGGCAATCGAAGAGGCCTGTATAATTGTTATTTGAGCGGCCAAACTGGGTATAGAGAAGATCATGGAGACATCTACGTCCATTTGCCGTTATCCTCAAGTCTTCTGTTAAGGTTATTGGACCACCTGTCCCTTGCACGTTTATTGATTGTAGGGAATCACACAGTCTCAAACTGCGTAGAGCTGCCGAAACCAATGGCCAAGCCGTAGTCAAAACTTCCTGAGCTTCTCGGTGGTCAGTTTGATGATGGGCCTTTGGTTGGCCCAGGATATCGGTCGGACTCCCAGCAAGGCGTCGCTGACGAGCAAGGACGTTTCTTCTACCAAGATGGCGAAACAGTGAGCTTTTCCATCGGCAAGTTGTCTATCGGCTCCGCGGGGGGCTGCTCATTGGCGCTCGCCGCGCTCCGCGATAGTGGCACCGAGCTGAGGAAACTGGACTTGACACTTCCAGAGACGGTCAACCGAGCGTGTTTCGTCCAGAGCTTGGCAACGCAGAGGAACCTCGGAGACGGCGTGTATATCGACGATACCGTACGCGATGTTGTGAGTGGACATGTGGATGGTATATCGTTCACTTCCGATATCCACACCTTTGTGCAAGCCCCGGCTGTCCAAGCCGTCTTCAGCGAGCTTGGGCGCCGTTTTCGAGGAGTAGAAGAAGCTCGAAACCATCTGCGACGTGCTCAGGCGGGTATAAAGGTCCTCAGAAACGTGAAAATCCCCACCCGCGATGGGCGTCATCTCCTCGCGGACGTATTGCACCCAAATAAAGCTGGAAGGTATCCTGTCTTGATGAGGCTTAGGATCTACGGTAGGGCGTTCCGCATAGGGGCCATCTTTGACGACGCAGATCGTGAGACAAGTGAGAAGCGCGAGGATGCCTGGTTTCAGGGAGATCGGCAACACTTGCATCCTTACTGGAGATTCAGTGATAACGCCGCAAGCGCCTGTCCATCTGTTTGGGTTTCCCGCGGCTATATCGTGGCATTGGTGGATGGGCGAGGCGTAGGCAATGTCCCGGGCAAATTGAATCCCTACTCGAAACAAAAGACTCGGGACTATTACGACGCCATTGAATGGGCAGCCAAACAGCCCTGGAGTGATGGAAATATCGGCCGCTACTGGCGCCTCATACAACGCAACGACCCAGTGGCATGTATGTAGCCGCGTTACATCCGCCCTCCCTGAAAGCAATAGCTTCGACTTCTGCAGATGGCGATATCCGTGACCTATCATACCCTGGTGGGATATTTCTCGAAGCTACCGTCGCTGGTGGTGGAATGAACTGGTGTTGCCGGTCAAGCTCCCCGATACTAAGGTTGAAAATTATGTTGGTAGCCTTCAGAGTCATCCGTAGGCCGACAAGTATTATCAGGGTGAAGGGGCTCTCTCTGCCAACTTCCCCAGCATCGACATACCCGTTTTAGCGGCTGTAAGAATGGCCAGCACAATTCACCCTCGTTCTGGATTCGAGGCTTCGAGTCTCTCTTCGCGCGTCAAAAAGCTCATGGACGCTGTTTACCCTGGCTACATGTATAAAGGCTTCCAACCTGACCTGGAGGCTTTCTGCGACCAGTAACTCAAGGGGAAGAAACTGTACAAGGAGCTGCCAACGGCGCGCATGGCGCCGACCCGGCCCGCCCCCATTACCGAATATCGCGAGCTGTTGTTGGAAGCCGCAAACACGGGTGTTGGACACATCTCTTCTGGCGTACCCAGCCAGGATGGAGTTGCTGAATATTCGAGTGACGTAGGTAATGGGAACAAAGTAATGCCCATGGCCGTTTTCGAATCAGCTCCGCCGAGGGAAGCTCTCGAGTTGGTGGACCATTTCCGGGCAACACTGTGGGCATCGTCCACAACATCTAACGCCGACGTTTTCGTTGCTCTTCATGTCATTGATGGAGACCGAGAGGTTTCGTACTGCACGTACGAGCCGGGATCTGTCGCCCCATTGACTTGGAGATGCCTCAAAGTCTCTCGTCGAGCGACCGATCCTGAGCGGAGCACGAAAGAACGCCCCTGGCACACTCATCGGCGCGAAGATACCTAGCCCTTCGTCCCGGGAGAAGTGTTCAAGATTGATGTCGAGATAATGCCAGCCACTGGACGTGTTCAAAGGGGAAATTGGCTGCGCATCAAGAATCTCGCCGGTGGGCCCTGTATGTCCGCGGGATGGGAGCGCGAGTACGATGCATCGTATCATGCCGGCGTCATTAATCGCATCTTGACTGGAACTTCATTTCCCAGCTCCATTGCGATTCCTGTTGTTCCTCGCCAGGACTTGTAGATGGTCAAGGCTTGTAGCCAAGTATAGGTATGTTTCCTCATCAAGCCGAGTTTAGAGGCCCGGAGTGATGCCAATACTGCTGGTTTCTTCATACATAGGTATGTACGTAGTATGTACCTGCCTGTACTCAATGGCGCAAGATTTTTCGAGGAAGGCGTAAATGAACAAGCGTTGAATTTTTCACTGACCCAGAAGAAGGAATCGCCTGATATCCGCCGGATGCGTGTGCCATGCTGAGGTTGGGCCTATGCGTACCATGGAGAACAGTATGATCGTTTTCGATGCCAAAAAAGATGCATCGCATATTAGCCTACCATTGTTGTTTCTTCTACGGAATAGCAAGAGTTTATAATCAATAATTTAGAGCTGCTGTTCCAACAAGCCGCCTTTCGAGCTCAACCGGTGTTTCGCCGGCCCGGTTAGCTCAATCGGTAGAGCGTGAGACTCTTACGAGACACACGTTCTGATGTCGCGATATCTCAAGGTTGCGGGTTCGACCCCCGCATTGGGCTTTTCCTATACAAGCACCTGGTTGGGAGCTCAAGGTGGTTTATTTTTTTGTTAATTTTTTTTAATCTTTTTGACTTGCTTCTATGTATAAAACTGGGCGTATCTGCCATTTGCATTTGCCGCGATGCGATTTTACACCAAAGATAACGATTTAATAGTAGGTACACACAATATTTTGCATTCTTCACGTAGCCTCTTCTCCTCCGACTAACTTCCATATATGCGAACCCGTACGAAAGCAACATCGCAGTCGAAACCCAAAATGCGCATATAAGTAACTACCTGTAATATGCTTCCACGTTGAATATTCTTCATCCAGTTTGCTCGCAGTGGAAATGAGGCTTCGAGGTCATTGAGATTCCAGATATTAGTGTGAAGTCGGAACTCTTGAGAGCCGTAGACGCTGCTCTGCACTTCAAAGCTATCCGAATACCCTCCTTCAAAATGAGTGCGTACCTCGATCCGAGCTTCTTTAGAGCCAAAATAAGGGCCTGGGCCCTTAAAGCGCTTCCAGGGTCGGTTCCTTGACACTGTCTCAACGATTTTTTGGATCGGTAATTGAACCGTGTCATCAATAGCGACTTGAAGCAGTCCTTTATATGGGTGATCATCATAGCTGTGATCATCATAGCTGTTTGCTGTCACGGGGGCGTCACGTTTCCCCCAATATTTTTGTTTTGTTATCACAGAATTCGCAAGACTCGTCTCAATAAAATTGACAGGATACGGAGATGATTCTGATTGAACCGCGGGCCACTGCAGCGCTGGAGTTGCATTATTTTGAATCAGCGTGTCAATCATCGTCTTTGAACCAAGCTCATAAGCATAGTCAAGGGCTTTCTTTCCGTTATCACAAGGGAGATTAACATCAAGCCCTTGATTGATAGCCTGTTTAAGTTGAGCGACACAACCCCGTCTGACAAGGTAATGCAATAATTGTGCATTTTTTGGCCATTTTTCCACATTCGAACCTAGAACTCTTGTTAAGCCGTCCTCGACTAACAGGTCCATAGCAATGTCAAGAAGCGATTTATCATTATATGGTTGTCTGAGTGTCATGTCCATACCATGATCTAGGAGAAGACTTTTGAGTTCATTCCTTTCATGATAGAGGATCAAAACCTGGCTTATTAGATGTTGCGCGCGGCCGTTGGTCCCATATAAGTTGACATGAGCTCCTTGGCTAAGCAATATCTTCGCTATTTCCGGTTGATCGTATAAGATTGTAAGCCCTAATGGGGTCGCTGGGATCGGATTTTTGACCGGAAAACATGTTTCGTAATCATTGATGGTCTTTGTAAAAGCCGAGAGGCCAAAAACCACTATCCAATGGACGCCATTAATATTGCCCGGTGTAAGACCGTAGCGCTCGAGCGCTCCGACCGAGGGAAACAAAGGTCTGGGGGCCTGAAGTGACTTTGCCAGCATCATCTCTGCCACTTCATGTTTAACAACATCATTCCACCGATAGAATGGAGCCTTGAGAAACTCCTCAGTACTCTTCCAGAGCTGAGTATTTTCTACAAGTAGACGCTTCAGGTCCCACCCCCAGTATTTAGCTGCGTAAGGAATGAGCGGATGGCGTGTCCGAAAGTCATCTTTTGAGTCAGCATCGGCTAGTGGTTCCATCATACATCCTAGCAACAAATATTTCATCAAAATGGTCGGAATGTACTCGCGAATGCTTGGAAACCACTCCTGTCGCGTTTCTCCCTTAAGAAGATACTCGGCAACTGTTCTATGGCCAATACTGACCATTCCGGATTCAGTGTCGACAATCAGTAGCTCGCCACATAGAGCGTCAAGGCCCATCAAATCCTCCTTTTCCTTGTCGTAATCGGTATCTTCGAGATCAACGGCCAATGCTTGTCTCAAATGCTTTTCTTGTAGGAAACCATTGGCATAAGCCACCCAAAACAAGGCTTGAATGGCCCGACATGGGAGCGAATTAGATGTCTGTTGAATAGCTGCCTCAGATAGCCGCTTTAATCCTGTACTATAGGCTTCAGAGGCTGTCCTTGGAAATTTTCTGATGATATTCCAGCATTCCGTTTCATTCGTTGCTCTCAGCACTTCGTCCATGTACAGTTTCGCCATTAAAAAAGATCCACTACATTTGCAAATCAATTCTCGGATAACGTCTTCGACAAATTCGGCCATATCGAGGCCCTTAAAAAGTATTTGCTGTGTTCGTTGGACCCTCTCGTGTAAATATAGGTTGATATCGGAATCACTTGCTTCTAGGTTGAATCTTGGTTTCCCTTCAAATAGAGATTTGATCTTGGCATAAGGGCGAGACGTAATCAGTAAGCGGCATTGATTGCTTCGCTCTTGGATCTCCATAAGACGCTGCACCACGTCGTGTTGGTATTGCCCGGGAATTTCATCAAGACCATCCAGTATCAATACCACTGACCCGACTAGGGTTATTGTCTGGACAAATGCCTCCATCTTCAGTTTGATGGCGTTTGTGTACGATGCAAATCCACCAGACGAAAGGTCTGCTCGCCATTGCTTAATGAGTGCAGAGTCAAATACAAGCTCCGGTGTATACTTGACTAGCTGGACCCAAAGGCTCATCACAACATCCATGTGGTCTTCGAGGAGACTCATTGTCTCATAATCACAATGGACACGTGCCACACAGAAAGCTGGAGGGTTGCCTGCCTCTTTTCTGAGGGTGTCGCCAATATGAACCCTGCTTTTTGTCAGCCAGACCCTTGTACAAAAGAGATTTACATCCTCACGCGAGACCGGTTTTACCAGTGCCTTCTGTTTTCTTATTAGAGCCTTTCAACCAAAGCCATGCGAGAGTAAATGACTTACGAATTCCACTGATCCAAAGAAACCCTTTCTCTGAATTCTTCCATTCTACACCCTCTTGCGTATTCCAGAACTCTTTACATGTTCCAGGCGTGATGAACTGAACTTGTTGAGGCGCCGCTGATAATTTTTTCTCGAGATCAGGTGTAAGCCTTTCGATAATTTCGTCAATCTCATGCTCTGCGGGTGCCCGCTGAGCCGCCAGTCGTAAGCCAAGTTCGCTGTCCAATTCATCTATTTTCTTCAGCGCTGCCTCGATGTATTCTTTCTGTTTCGGCCAAACGATATTCGCCATGCTTTCTCTCGGAGAGTTTTCATCCGGTTTAAATTTCTCCTTCAAATCATTCATGTAGGGGACCAGCTGGTCTAAAATGTGTTGGTAACTGTCCTGATCGTCGTCACTACACTGAATGCAGGCTTTCTCCAATTTCTCTAATGTCGCCCCCAGGCCCTCGAATTGTCGGCACAATTGCCCTTTCTCGTTGGTAGCATCTTCAACAACACTCGCGTGTTCGATTACTTGATAAGTAGCACGTACAATGCTAATTGCGTTGTTGAAATCAAGCATGTTTAAGAACGAGGTTGGAAGCACAAGTATTATTTATTGAAGAGGTAGCTTAGTGGGAGTGCAGTTATAGGGATCTTGGATTTTTTTTTTAAACAAACAAACAAGAATAATTTGAGATTGAGCAACGGAAGAGCTGGGATAATTAAGCAATTCGAATTTAATCATCAGGCATCGATTAGGCAGAGATTACCAAGGCGCCAATGCATGCGAGGGAGGTTAATGGTGTGCTCATCGGATCAAGATCACGCCGGAACATATGTATCTAGGTACTCGCAAATCATGAAGGTACACACACTCCCGGGGTCTGTCGAGAGCCTGCAGTGCAATGCAATTTGTGTCAGCGTATGATGCAGTGTGAATGGCTTTTGTGTATTGGGGAGCATCTGCTTGATGGGTGTAGATACAGGTATCAATGTATGGCGTCTACACGCAGGCTTCCTGAGTGTCTGGATTCGTTTTCCGTATCATTGCAGGGCCATGGATTATCATTTTACAAAAGTATCGTTTCCTAATTTGCATTGAAAGTTATATTATGCCTTATCGAAGCTTGTAATCATGTACATGTATACACGTACTCTGTATGCTCCCTCATCAAGCCAATTCTAGATTCACAGTTTTTGGAAGCTCTGCATTGCAAGGAACTTGAAGTCTAACGCAGGCCTTCAATAGCGTCCACAGCCCCACCCACACTTGGTGCTTGCACGGTTGTCCAGGGAGTGGTGAGGTCTCGTGATTAAGCGGGGTTTCATTCTTGCACACCGACTGCTCCTCCAGCTTGTGTCAACAGTACTTGCTGCAGAAAGAGAATTCTCACGTTGTCTTTCATGGTTTCTTCTTCTTCTTCTTCTTCTTCTTCTTCTTTTTTTTTTTTTCCAAGAGTTAATTTTGCAGTGCCATTGTGCGCATGGAAGTGCAGTTACACAGTGGGCCATGATGGAAGTAATAGAACACGCAAACAGATGATGCATGAGAATGAGCAGAGCAGAGCACACGTCTTGACGGGCAGTGAAATGACCACAAAATTTCCAAAGTACATGTACCTACGATTACCATATTCAAAATGCATCTCAACTCGTTATAGTGGCTAAATGGTTGCGAGCATACACAAGGCAATTACATAGGAAACATAGGAGTCAGTTGCTGAACCAAAAATACAAGTAATTCCACACCGCTTCCAAATTCTCACGCTTTGGTGGCCGTGATACGCGCACCTCCCAACTGACGCCCAGCAAATAATGCGTCGACTGTATCGTAGAAGAAAGTAAGTGGTGCCGCTGTTGTTCCCTTCTGCCGGTTACTGATGGCCCGTTCGTGGACGAATTTGGCCCACTCCTCCGACATGTCCTCAAATTGAACATCACGGAAGCCTGCATTTGTCAGATCGCGTATATATTCATCACGGCTCGGTAGATGAGGGCAGAACAGAATGTTGCGTAATTGGTCGGCGGCGTCTTCACTAAGTGTTGTTCGAGCAAAGTAATCCTCAATGTAGATTTTGCCTCCTGGCTTTAGGGTGTCGGCTGCCTTTTGGAACAATGTATCCCTATCGGGGATATGTAGAATGCATAAGAAGGAGACAATGTAGTCTACAGGAGTATCTATCGTAAGCTTGGTGAAGTCGGCATTGACTGAGCGTACGCCTTCAGAGAGGCCGTTTCGTTGGGTGATGATCTCTGCGAATTGATGAATTTCGGGTTGCAGCTCGATACCGGTCACATCAACGCCATAATGCTTATGCAAATAGCGGCCGGTAGCGCTGAAGCCTGAGCCAATGTCGACAACTGTTTGTCCCGGTTGCATTCCCAAAGTTTGGCATGCCTTCTCCAAGGCTATATCGCCCAAGTAGTGCATGCAATCGAAATCTGCCGTGTCGCTGAGGTTCCATGTAGGCTTATCAGCGAGGGCATCTAAGCTTTTCTTGACTCTCTCCAAATTGTATAGAGCCATGTCGCCAACCGGCTGGTTGGAAGTGTTGTTATCGCCCATTCTGTATTGGATGAATCGACCTCGAACAGAAGGATAAGGATCTAAATAAGGCTGCACTGTAAGGTATGGTTGTGTATGTTTGGGCACCTGGGGAAGTCATACATGATCTATAATAGCAATGCTCACAGCTTCACTGCCTCCGTATTCCTATATAGCGGAACTAGCATGAGGAGACAATGAGAAGCAGCAAGAAATGGCGCTTGACAATTATATGTAAGAAAGTAATATAGTTAGAAGTGGCGGTGACGACGACGACGATGATGATGATGAAAAATGTAGATCAACCAAGGGAGGAGATGAGGAAAGATATATAGTAGGCTTTAGGTACCTATGCCGAAATAATACAACCCTAAATTCCAATGAATAAAGAGTGAGATCAATGAAACATGCCCCTCTTTAGGCCGTTATCTACTTGGGTAGGCATTAATGCAGATTTCAAATCTTATATACATGTCGGTGGGTTAGTCTAAACTATAAATCAAGATGGCATTTTGAACAAAACTCGGATGCCGATGCAGACGGAGTATTATTGATCAATAGTATGAAGCATTATACAGCTTAGGTACCCCACACTACATGTACCAGGGAGCTGGAGTGCCGAAAATTGCAGCCCCCATATTCCCGATTTAGCGGTATAACATGACAAAAACAGCGTCATCTTACGCTCCTGAAAGGAGTCCTGAAAGGAGAAGGGAAAACAATCCGATTCGGAATCTCCAGGATGCTCACATGGCTATGTGTGAGTTTGCATTATGAGAAATGCGGTGGAAACCATGGTTGGGTTTGCGGTGCGTCAAAGTTTGGATATCGAAAAAGGCCCCAGGCAGAGGCTTGATCCTATTACGCACGTCCACTGGAAAATTTAACAATTCCCTGCTCGCTAGACAGGCAACAGAGGAATAGGCCGCGACATTCAGTATCAATGAGAGGCTTGCATCTCATTGGTAAGTTCTGAGATATTGACTACAATTCTACTACGGAGTACATGCACCTACCTAGGTACTCGTTCCGAAGTGCCAAGGTACATAGGTACGTACCTAGTGTGACATGGACCGGTTCTACTAAGTTCGGAGAATCGAAAGCATACATCGAGATGGGCTTATGGCTTTATAACGGAAACAATCGAGTGACCACATTGCGTATAAACTGTACGATACACTCGTATATACCCTACCTATCAACAGGTTTGTGTAAACGAAGCATAGCTCAAGCGCCTGGGCCTGGCCAGCTGGCAGTACTAGCATGCCTCCCAACCCGTAACATTTGAACTGCGTCTCAATCTGGCCGAGATTATTATGCGAAGCCTTATTATAAACATTAAGGCAACCGCCTTTCAACAAATCCGCCTTCGAGCTCAACCGGTGTTTCGCCGGCCCGGTTAGCTCAATCGGTAGAGCGTGAGACTCTTAAGAGGCACACGATCTAATGTCGCGATATCTCCATATCTCAAGGTTGCGGGTTCGACCCCCGCATTGGGCTTTTCCTATACAAGCACCTGGTTGAGAGTTCAAGGTGGTTTATTTTTTGCTGGGTTTTTTCCTTATCTTTTTTTCTCCTTCCACCTGTAGCCAGTTTAGTAATTATTTGGTCGTCACACAGGGAATGGCGACCTACTTCATTGTTCTCTTCCTAACATACCTCAGCCTCTATTAGTGGGTGCCATCATCATTGATTACTTTCCTTTCCGTGACGCCAAAGAATTCCTTAGCCATTTCCTAACCGTCGACTGTGTTGAGCTGGAAGTTTGAGTATCAACGGCATCTAGCCGTCCCGGAGTGATAGCCCGGCTCCCATCAATATTCGCGCCGGGTGCTCCCTCAAGCCATCCTGGAAATGACAATTCGTAATAACCGGGAGACATTTTGAAACTGGGATGCATGGTGGCCTGTAATGACATCTCCCACTCCTGTCTGGTGGAAACGTTGAGACGCCCTCCGCGGCGAATCAAGGCAGACGCAACTGCGCGTTCGCGATGATAGGCGACATAGGTTTGAGTTCTCCGCACCCAACAGTCGAGCGGCGTCATATTTCTCGAAGTCATTCCATTGGGATCGGCGCCTCTGTCCAAGAGATGTTTTGTAATTCGGTAATGGGTAGGTATATGGAGAGCCTGGATAGTACCGCCGCGTCCATGAGACAGCATCAATTCATCAAAATGGCTGCTAGTGAGGGCAATGTTGGAGGTGTCCATATTGATTTCGATATTGGCTCCTGGCTCAAAAAAGGCAGTCATTACTCTCTGGACAAAGTCAATGAATGTGTTTGTCCAGGAAGTCGTATGGTGTAGTCGGTCCATCAATATGAGCAAACTGAAATGACTTGAGTAGACTTGCAGTCCTTGGGCGACCATATCTCGAAGCAAATCTATAGCGCCACCTATATCGACTACTTCTTGCTCAATCATATGTGCAACAATGGGAAAGATAAACATCGTTCTCGTCTCCTTATCGTGCTTCAGGGTGTCTTGTAGAAGCAACTTGAGGCTGCACGCAAGAGCCACCTCCAGCGTTGTGAAAGACGCAAGTATCAAATACTTTGGGAGAACATTGTTTTCTCCAGTTCCAGTCCATATGTTTTCTCTAGTTCCATCCCATATGATACCTCTAAACAAGAAATACATGCTGTTCCCTGTTGTTGACTCTGCTTCCCGTACATAATGTACTAATGTCTCGTTCACCGGTACTTTGATGCCGCTATTAGAATAGAATGCATGTCGCATAACTTTATATTTCGAGAGTATTGTATACCCATTCTCCTTCACAATTCGATATCTCTCTCCAAGGACGATACATTTAAATTCTGGGAGCTGAACAAACTCGGCAAGGGTTTGATGCAACAACTGAAGCTGATGATTCTCATCAATGGTTTCAATCAAGCCACCCGTGTGTGCTCTGAGATGCTCCTTGGTGTAGCGACTTGCGTTGCCTTTCCGTCTACGAGATCTCTGCGAGTAAATGTCATTAATGTTTTGGGCATTGGCGCATACGAGGACATCCGACATCTCCCTGAGATATATTCGTTCTGTCGATTTGCTGACAACCTCGAGCAAGCAAAATGCCTCCCAGCGGTATGAATAAGGTATTCTTTCAATAATAGTCCTATAGTATTGCTCTAAATCGGTGGGTAGCGACTTGAGGACGTCTCTGAGCGTTGCATGAAGATCCACAGTATTTTGTCCGGATGCAGTCAATCTGGCAGCGTTTTCCACGAGATCATTCAGCACCAGTCTAGCCCATAAGAAGACACCTCGAGCCTGTTTGACAATCTCCTCGACCAACTGTATTATCTCCGCTGAACCTGGTTTGTCAGGGCGTATCGTATGTAAACAAAGCTCTCGAATGTCATTTTCAGTAAATTCATGGATTTGAATGCCAGGACTGTGTCCAAATGCGTCGATAAACGGCTGCCAGGGTCGGCTAGAGAAGAGGATTTTCAGTCGAGTACGAGTTCTTTCAGTAGAAGCAATATCCTTGATGAATTGAGCGATAAATTCTGGCGGGCCGTCGTGCTCATCTAGAGCATCGATAAAAAGGCAAAGATTCAAGTCAATCAACTGTTGATCTGTAACAAGAGTGATTGCATGACTGAGCTGCTGTAGACTCCAGCTACCTGTTTCTACACGATGTCGTTGCCTTTCCCGAGCTAAAAACCTGACAAGCATCTCTTTTATCATGTCTTCAGGCTGGACTTTTGTATTCTGGGCTTTGTAAGATTCGTTCAATCTTCGAGCCATCAAAATATCTTTAAAGATTGACAGTTGCGTGGTTATTTCGATTGCTTCGAGCCATCCTTTGACTAGTGAGATGATCTCTTCATTTGTTGCCCATTGCGTTTCGATTTCGGAGAGAATGCTCTCCACAGTAGAAAAATCACCGGACACATTGAATTTGTCTTTATACTGCGCCTCCATTAAGACATCTTGACGGAGATAAATTTGGTGTATAAGATCTTCATCGTCGGTCGCCCCCATGGATACCATGGGTTGGAGGACCATTGTACGAAAGGCTTTTAGAGGCATCTCACAACGTAAAACCTTGTGAAATTGCGTCAATATTTCGGCATCCAGATTAACATTGCAGTATTTAATCATAGTCTCCAGATCATGAGAAAGGCTCCCAAGATTATTTGCATGTATGGCAGCTTGATATGCTTGCGTAAGATGCGGTTGCATAGCCAGGAATGACTGAGGGGCCTGCCTCAGAACCTGGCTCAAGATTCCGCGGTGAAGACCTTCAAGCGACTTCTGGATCGCAGTACCACGATGGTGGAAGAAGAATGTTGCTCGGACAAAATTAACATTGCGATGCCATATGCGTAGGTACTCTGCGGTGAGCGGATTGTTGTGGAGATATTTCATAAACGTAGACTTGCCAGACGCCGGCTTCCCGGATATCCAGAACAGCTTCTCGTCATTTTGTAGCCAGCTGGTTAAGCCAACAGACGCTTTTTCAAAAGCCCATGTGAAAGAGTGGCCAGCTGCTTCGTCAATTTGCTCCAATCGGCTGTCACGTTCAGGGCTGTGAATTGCCTGTACGACGGCTACAAAACATCAGTATGATCAAGACTATCCATAGGTATGATGGTCTTGTTTACTTACAACAGATGTCCCAGAACTCTGGATCGACAGTAGGGTCGACATGATCCACCACGGCGTCAGCTGGCAGGATATTACTTTGAAAGAGTGTTGTCTTTGTGACCGTTGGTCCACTTCCTCCTTCGTCGCCTTTTTCAACATGAATTTTAAGCATGGCTTGCAGTTTAAATGCAATTCGGTCGATTAACTCGCTTCCTGCAGAGAATTTAACCATATCAGAGTGATTGGCATTTATTTGTATCGTTGAGCCCGAGTCAAAGTTGCAGCGTTGGCTTGTTGCAGAGAGTGGGGATACGAAAACAGTTCCAGGCCCAGATCTCTGATATTTTCCGTCAACGGTCTACCAGCTGCACTTAGTATGCAGCATCTTCATATTCAAGAGGGGTATTAATGGAAGCATACCATTACAGTAGGCGTTGTTTCCGTTTCGTACGCCCAGAGCAATTTCATTTTCTGGAGATGAGAGATCCCTGAAAACTGTTCCTCTAGTGTCTCGATGAAGCGCGATTCCTTCGAGATTTCTTTAACAAGGGAATCCTTGTTTGGCTGCCCTTGCAACATGATCTGCAGATCAGAGACGTCTAGACCTTGACTTGGAACTCCAAAGAAGATCGCCCCCCGGGTGCGGGTAAGGATCAATTCATCCCTTACACTGCTATCGGCTAACATGCGAAATGCTTCCTTCAAAATAATACCTCCAAGGCTATGGGCAAAGAAGATGAGCTTTCTAGAGCCAGGTGTAGCCCATCCGCCTTGTTGAAGGGTATGAATGAAGGTCAAGGCAATATCTGGCACTGTTTGAAACGACTTGCTTCCTGCTAGTTTCGTGTCATATCCATACAGAATGAACTTGATCTTCGGAACAAGATGTGGGAGAGCGTCTCGAATCCACATGAACGACTTGTCTCTCCCATATGGCTGCCATGAACCAATCGGGTGGCTCGCAAGTCCCGACATTACGATGCAGCTATACGAGGTTTTGTGTTAGTTGGACCGTTGTATAACAACATTAGTAACTGTCACACTTGTGCTCCAATACCAACGTACTCATAGTGATGCTCGTATTCCGGGACATCGTTGAGAGGTGATAGTCCGAAAAAGCTATCATCGAGCAGAAGTGGTTTTTCCCACGTAAGATCCCGCAGTAGCCATTCACCCGCCGCCGGGTCCCTGCTGACAACATCTGGAAGCTTCTTAAACGACAGTGTCGCCGTCTTGGTGCGTGTTCTAGCCCATATCTCGCAACTGAGAGCCAGCGAGGCTACATTGACATCTCTCTGATCGCCGTCAGGAATAAATCTGCTGAGAAGAAGAGCCACTCCAAGTCGATCCAGGTGCTCAGGGATCCCCCGCAGGCGGTAGACTTTGCTGTCCACGGAAGTCATTTCACCTGCAAGTACGACATATGGCCTTAGTTTGCTTTTGTTTGCTTCTGCATCTGTTCAGACTAGACGCTTTCTTTCGTATAGATAATGCCCGATGGCTACAGACTGCGTTTGTTGTGACACAGCCTTGCCGCAACGTACTTGTATACATTAATGTGTCTCGATACCTAAAAGATTAGGCAGCGCTTGATATGCAGCTTCCACACGTATCACCCAACCCCTGTAATTTATCCCGGCTGTTATACTAGGTATGTACCTATTGTTACTGAACCTGGATATAGCACGTGGAGTATAGCGCTTAAGTACTCTCTGGACAGTTTTTATTTTTCATTTTTGAAGTCTTTTCTACGCTGATTTATTTAAACTTGGCTATCAAACTTGGTATGCAGGCCTTTCTTCAATACCAAATAGCTGAATAAGGAAATTTGACTCTTAAGGCGTGCCAAATCGCCTAGCGACTCACGATATCATGGAACCGTGTTGCGCTTTCTTGCCTTCAGGGTAAATTTGCAATGAATTGGGTTTACCAACGGACCCTGAAGGTGGTTAGCTTGATCCACCACTCGTTCTTCTGCCGTGTTCTGCTTACCTGGCGCAAAATAGGCACCTCGTCGTTACAATATATGCCCCATTCTAGTTCGTTAAACAGCTCATATAGAACAACCTTGAGCTGCATCAATGTAAAGTTGACTCCCAGACAGGTCCTAGAACGCGACGAGAAAGGAATAAAGACCGCTTTTGCTTGCTGGGTTCTGAACATGGCATTGATACTAGCAGTGTCTCTTCCCCACCTGTCAGGCCGAAATACAAGAGCATCAGAACCCCAGACCCGCGCATCGGTTTGGACTGCATATGCATTCCATCCAATCCATGTACCCGCGGGAATGTTGATGTCACCGCCTAGAAGAGTTTGTTGGGTTGTATAGCGGTTCGTGAGCGAGGGAAAAGGCGGATGGAGACGCAGGGTCTCCAAAATAACCGCCAGAAGGACGGGAAGCCGGTCCAAGTCTTCTAAATTGTATGTAGCTGGCACCAAAGAAGACATCTCATCGTGTAGTGTAGATTGGATCTGGGGGTTCTTTGCCATTTCTACAACGGCAGACAGGAGGACTGATTCAACATCCTCAAAGCCAGCAAGAAATAATTGCTTCATGTTGGAGCGATAATGAAACTCGGAAATTTCTCCGGTTTCCCTAGCAGAGTTCAGGCGATCCCTTAAGGTGTTGCCATTAGTGTCCGGCTCATTATCTGTATTTAGCTTTCCGATTTCCATCACAACTTCTTCAAATTCTTTTACCAAGCGAAATGCTCGACTAATTGACGGAAATAGCCAGGGAAACCGTTGTAATATTGGGAAAACCATAGTAATCCCCCCCATGAAATTCTTCTTTCGATCTGTCAGGACGCGAGTCAGTCGACGGTCAATATCAGGTACTCTCTCTAGGTCGATGCCCATCAGGTATTTGCAACAAATAGAGAGCGACCAATCCTGCGCGTGCTCATCGATGTCGATGCCAGATTTGCAGGTTTTATCTTGCATCTCGTGCTCTCGCCACAACCTGGTCCGTAACTCTGAAGATCTTCTCTTCATGTACGCAACATCAAACTGTTGTTTAATCGCCGGCAGCACGATGCTTCTATGTTGCTTCCATACCTGCCCAGTTGCATCAATAACATTTATCCCAAATAGTTGGCCCAGTGGACCCCACGGAACTTTCGCGTACGAGCCACCCTTGGCGAACACTGTGTCCTCACGGAACATCTGCATCAGGTATTCGGGTTTTGTGATTTGGATGCTCCATCTTCCAAGGTGCCAAATGACAACTGCCCCATGTTTTTCTGCTAGGTCGCGCACATATTTATTGTAAAAGCTAACCCTGGAGGTTCCATAAAAGGTGTCATAAATCGTGGTCCAGAGTGGGATTTTAGGGATGTGTTTCGGAAGTTTGGATGAGTAAAAGCTGGCATAAACATAAGAGGTAATAAACAAAAGAAAGCCAATGGCAAGGATATAGGCAGCCATTATAAACGATATGACGCAAGACTTCAATGCAGAAGCAATTACCATAGATAACCAACTAAATTAAAAACATGGATTATGTTACCTACTTATATTGCAGTCCGTCATGTGGTTGTGATACTGCTTCGTAGATCTCATTTAAACCTACGAAGGACAATAGTGAGGCGTATCACACATACACATAGGCATACCGCATGGGACTATCGCCGATCAGACCAACCATTTCAATCCACGCCCGAGACGCAGTCCGACAGTAATCCCGAGTTACTTTTTCTATCTGACGAGGTGAAGCACACCGCAAGTCTTGTGTCCGTATTATCAATACGCCTCTCGTAAAAGCGGCGTAACTGAACTGAGACATTGTGAGTGTCCAAGTGACACGACGAAGTAAGACAGGAGACATAATATCGGTTATGGGAGCATCAAGCTGGCGTTGCTATCTGAAACATGCAGATACATCAACAAACTGCGGCCACTACTCCTTGCTACTGGGAGGCTGCAGTCGCCCAAATTCAAGTATATTACAGAGTAATAGTCTGGTGGATAGAGTCAGTCATCGCGATAGTCCGAGGGAGGTTTTTTTTGGTGAAACCTCGGAGACATCATTAAGACACAGCATAGCATCGCGACACAGCATAGTATTACATGCATGGCATAGAGAATTATGGCATACAGGAGCATCAATTAGTAAGAAGAGGATGAAATATTTGATAAGCTCAAATGTAGGGTGATGGGAGATGATAAGTATTTAAAGGCTGCCAGAAGGGTCGAAAGGGTCGTGATGAAGCACGTATCAAACAACAACTTTGACCGTTGGTGATTTCAACAGAGCAAGGATCGCCGTACATGACATTAAATCTTTCCAGTTTGGAGTCCTCCCAGTCGCTTTGTCAGGTTTCCACGACTCATTGGATTCACCATGGCTCCGCTGAAGATAATTGGAGCAGGCTTTGGTCGGACAGGCACTCTGAGTCTCTGCCATGCTTTGGACATGCTCGGGTAGGCAAATATTAAGCTCATCATGCTTTTAGTACCTAAAAATTCGTATAGAGACTGACTCTTTCAACAGATATAACTGCCATCACATGCAAAAAGTCATTCTTGACCCATCGCAAGACCCACAGGCTTTTGAAGCCGCGTACCACACTCGAACTGCAGACTGGGACAAGATCTTTGCCAACTATGACGCGGCAGTAGACTGGCCAGCTGCTGAGTTCTGGCCTGAGCTTCTAAAGCAGTACCCAGATGCCAAGGTGATCCTTACTGTGCGCGACCCAAACGACTGGTATGCATCCGTTGGTAAAACAATCAAGGAATGGCCGATGGATCCTACCATCAGTTGGCCAGAACGCATGATCAAGACTAGAGCTATGGCGCGTGTTATTGTCAAAGAGGGAGCTCTCAAGGACTACCCAGACAAGGATAAGATGATTTCCCAGTTTATGGAAAATATTGAGCGCGCCAAGGAGATGGTCCCAAAGGACCAGCTTCTGATCTTCCGGCCCAGCGAGGGCTGGGTTCCTCTCTGCAGGTTCTTGGATATAACCCCGCCAGATTTCGAATTTCCTCGTTTCAATCGTGGCGAAGATTTCGTGGATAGAATGCACTGGCTGAGAGAGTCCATCGAGACCGGCAAGTATCTTGCGGCAGTGTAAGTCTTTCCAAATCCTCCTGTGGGCATTGAAGTTGCATGGAATTAACTAGATGAGCAGGCCTTTCAAGGGGGATATCATAAGTGTGAGTTCAAACTAACAAATTCGATTGCGATGAGATGGGGAGCAGGTTGCTTCAAGCCGGTGTCTCAACAACTCTTTGTGGGGGGATTCAACATCCGTACTGTTTGCTTATCTTGAGAGCTTAGTTGATAATTTATATAATCCTAGCATAAATTGATTGAGCTTGAGGCCTATTACCCTCACCCTAACTACCTCCTAGAACTGTAGCGGTTTCACAACGATGCTCTCTTGTGCAAGCGGGCGCAAACAGGTGGGAAGGGAATGCATTTGGCTTGTAGGGTTAAGTGAGCAGTGAAACGACTTTAACAGGATGCAAGCAGGCGCGTGGAAATGCACCAAAGCGAATGTCAACACATGTTTCTTGAAACGATGCGCCGTATTCATCGGATGCTGAACATGTGTATACTGCGCCTCATACAATATTTATACAGTTGTATTATTTATTAATATTGCTTACGCGTTGTTATTCTGTGACAACGGCTTTATTGACTTGAAGACAAGCGCACTTGGCCAGGACTTGTAAAAGCATAGACCAAATTTCACAAAACATATATTAGACTCAGCACTCTCCTCTTCCTCCGACATACTAATGTGAGAATCAAGTAAGCCATTTGTTCATACTTTCCACTACTCTCGTTCACTTAAATAGAACCTCTCCGCCCTCTAGTGTCCCCCCAGTCTTATATTGACCAATAATGCCACTTTTCACCATCTCTTGTGCCAGCCTCGTCAACAATCCGTCGCAACCCTTAGCTGCCATGAAGCCCAATCCCAAGGGCAACTTCTGTGTATGATTCGTGATACTGCTACTCACCTCGAACTCGCCAACTGGCATCGTAAAATCTGGGACTTCTGCAAACGGCGCGATGCGTGACAAGTAGAACTTGGGATTCACCTTCGGCGGATCCAGGTAAACGTTACGCGGCGTTGGATCGGCGAGGTATGTCGCCCAGATTATGATCGCTGAGGAGCATGTCTCTTCGTCCGGCGTCAGTAATTCTGACTGCAGCCAGTCTCGGAACATCGTCCTGTTAGCTTCGGCGGCGGCGAGGTCTGATTCGGATGTCTGATCGGCGAAATCCCATCGGATTGTGTTGGCTGGATCGACAGCTGGGAGAGCACCGTCGTGTTTTGCTAGTGAAAATGCGTCAGTCGAACAGTCTGTGTCTGGTTGTATTTCTTGACTTACCACTATAATCGGCATAAAATGGTTCTCGAACGAGCCGTACAACGTCTTTTTGTACCTTGGTAACATACACACGATCAAGTACTTCGTCTATTGTGGCATTCTGGGCTGCCTTGGGCCTGGTTTTGTCCCATTCATCTGCAATCTCAGTCACATGGAGCTCTGAGCCAGTTAACTCAATGATCTTGTCTCTGACATTCACAAGTACCTGCGTTAAGTCGTCAAGTGGTGCAAGGTCCCCCCAGCCGCCAATATGGTATACTTTTTTCGGCCACTTGGGTGTCTTGTCACCGGCGTAGGAGGTATACTTGCTCTTATATAAAGCCGCCTGAGCTGCATCCCAGAGCACTGGATCTCTGGTGATAAAGCCAATGGTGTCCATCGTTGGAGACAGGGACATGCAGCCATCTGCCGACACGCTTCCCCAACTTGGTCGGTTGCCAAAGGATCCGCCCATAGCTGCAGGACCGCGGATGCTTCCACCAGTGTCTGTTCCAACGGCCAAGTCAAGCCACTCGTATGCGGCGATGGATGCGCCACCGCCTGTTGAACTGCCGCCAGCATCGTTATAGCCATCTCCTCGGGGGTTGAACGGTGCGTGATAGTCAATCCAATCGGCAGTTGGCGAACCACCTTGTGCAAATTGCGCCGGGATCTGCTGGCCGACGATGACAGCGCCGGCATCGATGAGGTTGTAAATTGCATGAGCAGTCTTGTTGGCTGCAGGGTAGAAGTGGTACCACGCCCGGTTTCCGTTGGACTTTCTCACGCCCTTGAGATCGAAGAGATCCTTTACTCCGATGCGCACGCCGGCCAGCGGCTTTTCCTTCGTCTTCGTAAAGTATAGTCTCGATGGAACGCCAATGCTCACCGTGGCAGAGGAGCTAACCTTGGCCGAGAGCGTTTCGAAAGACCCGTCTGGCTTTTGCAAAAGTGACTCCGCGAAAGCTCCGACAAAGTCATCATACAAACGGTAAGCCTTGTATACCGAACCTGTCGAGTCGATGAAGTACGGCCCCGACGGCAAGTCAGAGGCATCAAGAGGAGCTACGACTGCATTTTTGCCGAGCAGGTTCTGCGTGCTGCTGCTCTTCTGGCCCGCAAGAAAGATAACTTGCGCGAAACCAGCCTGAAAGACATCATCGATGCTCGTCCAATTTCGCAAGACCGCGTCTAGGTCCGAGGGCTCGGCAGCTGTGGCCACTACTGTGACTGGGGTGAACCCGAAAGCGCTTGGTATATCACTAATTGCATTGAGAGAAGACCGGGGAATACTTCCTACTTTATGGTGATCGATGAAGTAATCGAGCTTGTTGAGCCTCACAGTAGCCCCGGTGGATGTAACCTGGCTGGCGGTCGTTGTGACCAGCGTCAACAGTGCCGGCAGGCATGAGAGTGCGAATCGAGCCATACTGTCTTTTTGAGACGCTGATGGAGCACTACGTTTAATTCGTGAGATCCCATAGACGGCTTTTCTATAAATTTGCTCACGGTCGGGACGCCAGATGCTGCTGTCAAAACTGCTCTCATCATCGTGGAGACTCCAGATCCATAAAGCAATTTGGGCTGGTTTTGTCTAGTTCTGCTTTTTCTCCCATTGTAGAATATCTGTGATGGAGAGGGCCATTAATTCACTTATGAAATTATACTATTTATGCGTCTTAATTATTTCCGACGATTGCAGAGTCGTTGAGTGTTTGCATGAGAATTTTGTGGACGTTTCCGGTTACAATTGCTTGCAGCCGCCAAATCCGGATTCTGCTATTGTCGCCTGTTAGCTCTCACAAACAAATACAACAGAATACTCCCACCAGACGAAAACTTATCGTCGAGGTTGCTCCAAGAATGATACGCACCTGTGCTTGCTTGTCGCTTTGGCCGGCCCGAGGTTGCTTTCATGTGACTTGAGCAAGGCGCCAATCCTGAGGTGAGTTCTAGACAAAATCTGGCGAGCGCACCTCTCACTCCACCAGGTACTCAATGCGCTTTAACAAGCAAGGGGAGCCAATTATTACAAGTCTGATGGTCTCTTAAAAAATACCCACAGAAGGGTTGAGCGAGATTCGCTCGGGTGAACATGGCCGGCAGTTCAAGCAGACACCTTGGATAGGATCGCCGTTGGCAAAAGATACTATACATATACTTTTTATTTTCTACAATCAGCTAGATAATCTGTGCCATTCGAATAACTCCCGGTCTTGACTTGGAATCACTATGAGATTGACCAGAGCCTCAGCTCCAGTTACAGTAAGCCATCGGGAAATCAAAATCATCCGGAGCACACGTCCGACCACTACTTTGGGCTTCTTGGTAGCACTTGGCGTCCTGCCACTTGCTGCAGGAGATGGTCCCCAGTAGCGTGTCTGGATCGGGAACCAACTTGGTAGGATCACTATTCGTATAAGTTACCGTGTAGGAGCACGACGAGTCTCCAAAGACAGTGAGGCCCTGGACGGCGTGGATCCACACCGACGATGGGTAAGTGGCATCAGACCACTCTCCCGTGCTGGTGCACTCGTCTGGGCGGCCGTTATAAGTACCCAAGCCATACGCGCTGGTGCTCAATTGGAGAGTTATAAACCAGGTCCAGTAGGTGGCAGCTTCGCCGTTGGGCCCTGTGGGAACCGTCTTGCCGCCACCGCCTGTCGGCATTGCAGCGAAGCGCGTCAGGTCCCAACTGTACTGCTCGCTGATGACCTGTGCGGCGAGTGAGCTGACGAGGCTGTCTGGCTGTCGGCCCATGTCGCGGTTAGATGCGGTGACGGTGACGGTTCCATAGGTAGGTTCAGTCCCTGTTTGAGTAGTAGTCGTCGTCTTGTCAGTGGCATCACAATCCACGTATGGGTGGCAGTTTGTCTGTGGTAATATGCTGTTAGTGGCTACCTATACTCGAGATATTGGAAAGAGTGTCTGGAACTAACCCTTGTGGTGGTGCTGTATTTGGTTGGAGAGGCAGTCAAAGTGCTGCTCACGATATATGTGCAATCATTTGCGGTTTGCGGCTCACACTCTCCTTCGGGCTGAGTTCCGCAACCTCCGTTCTTACAACCGGGACCGCCGCATACATTCAGAGGGCACTGGTCTATAACAGAGAACCGTTAGTCAAGTCTAGTTTGACACCTGGATGAATTATTTAGGGCACGTTAAGGGAGCACACTCACTTCCTGCAGGGCATCCAATAAGGGGCAAGCAGCCGCCGCCGCATCCAAACAAGCCGCAACCTCCACCACAGCCAAAGATGGAGCAGCCATTGTTGCAACCGAAAAGCCCACAGCCGCCGCCGCAGCCGAACAGGTGGCAGTCGTATGTCCCGCATCCACTGCCATGGCAGGTTGATGTAGGCTTGGCGCTGGTATAAGTGATCACTGGCCCAGTATCGCTCTTCGTCGTAGTCACTGGGGGATAAGTGATGGTCGAGGTACCAAAGGTCGTCGTTGAAGGAGGCAGAGTGACAGTGCTAGGCGACTCGGTCGGCAAGGTGACAACAACAGTCGGCTGAGGTTGGATCGTCACAGGGTGTGGTGTAGGGAAGAATATGGGTACAATCGTCGTCGTTGTGGAGCTTGATGAAGAAACCGGGATGCCGTTAGAGTACACCGGGATATGTGAAGGAGGCGCAACGGCTACGCCAGAGGGCAGGGTGATCTGGAGCGGAGGAGGCATCACGCTCTGCACGACGCTAATGACGGCAGAAGTTGGATCCCCGGAGTTGACCGTTATGGGCCACCAGTCAATGGCAGTAGTGGTGACGGCCGGGATGGAGATGGTGGTGGTGATTGTCACGATGCCGCCACCAGCTGCTTGAGACAACAACGTTGTGGTCAGCTTCGGCCACGATATCGTCGTCGTCGAACCAATCTGAGAAGGAGGGAGCACCAGCGTGCAAGGCGGGATACACGAGGCTGTTGCGCCGCCGCCGCCGCCGCTGCCTGGGGCCCAGATGGTGGTTGGGACATAGATGAGGTTTCCACCATCTCCGCCGTCATCAGGGACGTCGAGCGGCTCGAAAAGAGATAGCTGGCTCCAGAAGGGGTGGTAGTTCACGTTGGTGTAGTCCAAAGCGCTGATCTCGGTGTGGGCATCGTTGGCATCCGAGCTGATCATGTTCAGGGAGCCGATAGTGATGAGATTCCAGAAATGGATGTCGCCCGAGTTGTCCTGCATTTGCACCAGGGAGATCTGGCAGTTCTGTGTGTCGACACAGGTCTGGACATATGTCTGGAACCACGAGTATAGTCCTGCGCCAGCGACCGTGATGTTGGAGGACGAGACCATGCGGACTGCCCAGGCGGCATCACAACCTTCTTGCTTGCCATTCGGGCAGTTGTAATCCGGATCTCCGGGGAATGCGCCGACAGCGCTGGCATACGGGGCAGGGGGCAGGGGATTGGGTTGATAATAGGGCGTTTCGGTCTGGATCATGGAGGCGAGGACTTGCTGGGCCTGGTAGAACTCATACTGGTAGAAGACAGCGTGCTCAGACGCGGTGCCATAGAGCCAGACGGGCTTGACGCTTTCGATCAGCATGCCGCGAGCCACATACACCGATATCTGGGTCATGTTGGCGTCGTCTAGATCGTGATCTGCCGTCCAAAGCCACATGTTCTCGATGTAAGCGCTGGCAGACGGCGTCATGTGAAACATCATGGCGCCGGCAGTGCACTTCTGATCCGTGCCGGAGGTTACGGCCGGACAGTCGGCGACTGAGAGATCGGTGCCGTCCGCTCCGCCGATCCGGACATGGCTGTCCCACATGGCGGCGGTGCCCTGGCCGTCGGCGTTCATGTTCCACTCGACGGCAACAAGGCCGGCGGTCGGCCCCTTGGTGGTGAAGAGCAGGTCTTGGATCTCGACGTTGCCAGTCTCGCCGCCTTCCGCGCCGACGCGGAAAAGGGCGTGCGGGTTGGAGGCATCTTGGAACTTGGTGCCAGAGGCTACGAGCTGAGACCAGCACTGGCCGACGATCTTGGTTCCAGAGGGGATGGTGATGGTGTCTGTGAGTATGTACGAGCCGGCATCTATAAAGATGACAGTGCCGGTTCCGGCGTATTGGTTGATGACGCCTTGGAAGGCGGCTGTATCATCTGTGACGCCGTCTCCCTTGGCATGCCACTTCATTTGGACAATCGTCGCGCCCACATAGAGCGGCTTCTCCCTCGAGAAGTACGGCAACTTGGGGAGTCCGTTACTAGCCCCGGTGAGGCCCCCGAGATGGGACGTCGTTGATGTGGTACCAAGTGTGTAGTTGCCACTGTCATTGTCGGCACTGAAGAAGGCCGGTCCAATGGTGTAGGTATCGACTTTGCCCACGCTGCCGGCTAGCCAGGTCTTTCCAGCGTTGTCAGCAATGGCGGCACTGACGCCGGAGAAGACGACGTTATCCAGTGTGATGCCGGTTGTGCCCGCATTCTTCTGCGCAACTGGCGTGAATGTAAGAATGGCAGTATTAGTGTTGGTGAATGTCGAGTCTTGCACCAGTAGGGAGCCGGTGTGGTGTACTCCGTCTTCTGAAAGAAGGCTGATGCCGGTTTGTGAGCCAGAGATATGGATCTCTCTCCAGATCTAAAATATCAGGAATGTTAGAGAGATTCGCCCCAGCATGTAGATAATAGCAGCTGTATCAAGTTGGAACGTACCCAACCCCAATCCCAAATGAGTTTGACAGCAGTAACGCAGTTGATAAACTGCAGCCGCATAGCAGTGAACTGTTGATTTCCACCATCTGATAGCAGGAAATATATCACGTTAGCGAGAGTTGTTCGTCACTACACCCATTCTCGTTGCTCAGTTCACTTACAAATGCCGAATGCACCACCTTCAAAAATCAGATCACTCATGAAGCCTCCGCTACCGTTCTCAGCATCTATATGTATACGCAGCTCATTAGAACAATGCTTTTTCTTGATCACGTTATTCCATCGCGCACTTACAAATGGCTTGCTGGGTTGTGCCGGCATTCTGAGAGACGACGAACTGGATGTTGGTCAGACTCGTCGCCTGCGCGACCTGGTAGTGCAGAGCTGCGACGTATGCACCCTGGTCTGTGGCAGTAATATCAATGATGAAGTTGCGTATCTGACGGTAGAAGTTGGCCTTGTGACATGATAATCAGTACGTATTCGGTTGCTAACATTGGAAGTAAAGAATACCAACCGTGTTGATGTACCACTCCTTGGCATTGCCGTCAATTCCCGTGCCGCCATTGGGGACATAGACGTCTGTGCTGATGACACCAAGTCCAACAAAGGAGGCGGAGGCTTTGATGACGGGAAGATTAGTCGGCTAGATGCATGTTGGTTAGTCAAGAGGCCTGAAACAACCTGAAGCGCCCAAAGTCTCAACTCACGTCGCCAACCATCTGCGTGTGAAAGTATGCCACGATCGAGCCACTGACAAGATACGTTCCTTGAAAAAGCCTGTCAGCTCATCTTCTTTCAACCCAACAGAGACAAGAACGGTCATAATTAGCTATGCTCACCAGGAGGGAAGTAGACCACAGCGCCCTTCACACTGGAGCCATAGCAGTTTTCACCACAGCGGTTGCCGTCGGTAATGGCATTGTTAATGGCAACGGTATCATCCTGGTCCAGAGAGAATCAGTATATGTATATATTACTATGAGCAAAGTCAAGAAGAGTTGATATATATTCGACATACCGTAACTCCGTCTCCCTTGGCTCCGTAGTCCTTGACATTGCGGAAAACCTTGTACGAAGCATCATTGCCAAACGGCTGCGTCCCAAGGTTGTCGAGATTTGCCATCCAGTAGCCACTAGCGCGCTCTTCCAACGGCTGCTGTCGCTTGCTAAGCTTATGAAAGCGGGAGTAGTCCTTGTACAGAGTGCCGTTCTTGTACTCGGCAGCAGCATCTATCTGGGCAACGAGGGCCGCCGCAGCAGCCACGTCTGAAGTGACATTGTAATAGCTGGGGCCAGCATCTCGGCGGACGCGAGAGGTGCTCGCCGGATTAGCAGACCAGTTGTTCCTTTGCGGGTTCTCCCAGCGCGCTTTATTTGACGCAGTCACCTCTTTGAGAGCTTTGGCAACAATCGCCCTAGCACTAGAGATGGCCTCTGGGCTGATGCTTGCGACTTTGTTGACAGCGGCCTGGGCAGAGGCAGCCGCGTCAACGCGAGGCTCAACCTGCAATGCCTTTCGTCGAGCAATGTTTTGCTCAGTGACTTGTCTGATATCACTATGATCAAGAGCTTGAGTGAAGAAGATAAAGAATGAGAGGAGAAAGAGGGCAAGCCACGACGGGCGAGCACGTGAAGGCGCCATCTTGCCCTGGGTGAGGTAGACAAACAGGCGCGACTTACTATCGAAGCTGTACAGATTTCACATTGAGAGACTTGGCAGATAGACATAATGCTATATAAGATCTCGTCTCAACTTCTATGTTCTCATGAGGTGGGGTTCCAGCTTGACTTGCGACTCAAAAGCCTTGAGGTCTTCGAGGATTGTACCTGATGTATACCGATGTACTCTAATGTACTTCAATATACTTGAATTCAATTAAGCGAAGTTACACTGCATTAGATCTTTTGGTTGGTAACAAAGAGCTAGATCTGGTATTGTCCCCGTTCTCGGGCCTGTTTTAGGGCTTCGGGTGTTCCTTTTTGATCGACCCGAGAGGATTCAACCATTCTATTAATATAGGGCTTACGATATTTCACAGGAAAATAGTTTCTAACGGGAAACAGGAGTTTATTTCCGGCGGATTCTTTCAGTGATTATGCAGAGTTACATTGCATCAGAAGGATCTAGTTTCCCCGTTCGTGCGCTACTAGCTTTCAGCCCAAGGAACAATTGGTGTGTCACGGAGTTGGCATTGAGCCGGGGAAAATAACTGGACGCATACCACCTTGCGAGCTGCAAAATATTGGTCGCAAGTTATCCAGGTTATTTTTTTCATTTGTGTAGAAAATTAGAACGGTCCAGAGTATCATATCTAATCCATAGTCCATGAGAGGCATTGTGCAAATGGCAACGGAGAATTAGGAGTGAATAGATTGATTGACGACGTAGAAAAGTGAGATTCTGGGTAGGCAAGCCGGGCCGTCGGCAGACGTAGAATTGAATGCACCTATACTTCTCAAACTCAAAATCCAACTCTACGTCTACGGCAAGGAGAAACTCCTGATATGGAAACCAAAGCGTTGCTAGATCAAAGGGTTTTACCCGGGTTTGCTTCTGTGGAATAGATACATTATAGGACGAGCAGTCTGATTCAATCGATACCGATTCACTACTCTATTGCATTCATTCCTCAGCCCACCTTCTCTACAAGTGTATTCCCTTCGCTATCCAACTATCAAAACTTCTTCGTCAGTTCGTGTAATCGAAGCTGGGCCCTTAGGTTGGTGACAAGGGAAAATATCCCAAGTTCTGCGCGATTCCAGTAGACCAGTCATTTTGGTTGAGGTAGATGGCTAAAAGAATCTTCAAGTCAGCTCCATTCAAAAGCACAGTAAACACAAAAGTGCAACATTTATTTACCTGTCACGAAGAGCGAGAAGGTGTCTGTTATGAATTAGCAAGGGAGAGACTTGGAGCAATCAGTGCCACCAGCGAGAAGAACATACCAGAATTCGCGGCGGCCTTATCCACATTCTCCTGAGCGAGCTGCCGGATGCACTGCCATTGGTAGGCCGAATCCTTGTTGATCAAGCATTGATCCGCTGTGGGCAACACATGTCGTTAGTAAGCTCCAGTTCACAAGGGAAAACATAATCATACCGAGGGTTGGTGCGTTTTGTGTGTTCATGATGTTCGATGAATGCGTAAACTCGTGGATGAGCGTCGCTGGCAGATACCCCCAGAGATAATCCATCTGGTATACGTTGGTGATGAGCGGCGCGGCGTTGTGATAGTTTCCGACGGTATTTCCAGCGGTGTATCTCGCTGCCCAACCGGGAAGGTAGTTTCCGCAAAGCACAATGACATCCTCTCCAAAAAACGGAGGCGAGTTGGGGCGATACGTGTATGCGGTTGTACCAGCCAAAGCACTGCAAGATTGAAGCTGCACCCACTCTCCAATTCCAGCGCTGAACAGATAACGACTGTCAAACAGAGTGCCAGCGGCTCCTGTTTTGTTGACATTGTCTCAGTCTTGATGCTCTCGATTCATGTATGATTGGGCTTGACGAAATAAACATCATGTCGACGTACCTGGAAACCCCCATTGATCCGTGGTCCAGAGGAAAGAAGAATCGTCGCAGTAGCTATACATATATAGGTCAGTCAGCTCATGAAATGATGGAGTAAAATGGACTTATACATTTCGACGTTGACACCGCCGGGGTTCTGCAGGGCGCTTTGGATAGCCTGCGCAGTTCCTGATAGTAACCTTGATCAGCTTTCTGCATCCTCGGTATGGCAGACAAGGAAAAGATGAAGTACTAATAATTCCATTCAGTCTCGTAATAGCAGCAGCGTTCTTATTTTTATTCGTCACAGTGTCGGTGCCAAAGTACGCCTGCCCAAAGAATGCCTCATAGGTTTGAAACACGGTCCTGTCTGCGGTATTCATCCCAACGATGCTCGGCACAGGATTCGAGTTCAGATTCGCCAAAAGCGCCTGCAAACGAGGAATGGCATAGTTGATCTGCGTTTCATGTCAGCTTTGAAGTGTCTTCTCCAGCTTTCTTCAACCAAATCTCTCACAATGTTCAGGGCATCACCCAAGGCCAAGTTGACCGCCCCGGAATATGGGCCGCAGAAAGCGTCCACGGTGATGGCGCGTTTCATCAGGGAGCTGCGAGGAGCCTTCTCAAAGATCGAAAAGCCCAGTTCATCTTGGGTTGTGTTGACCGGCGCCGACCAAGTGCCTGGCAGACACGACAGGATAGCAGCAGCACCATAACAGGTGAAACCGAGGAGGGAGTGCTTCCTCATGTCGTTTTCTCTCTTCTTTTTTTCACACAAAACTGTGTCAATGAAGGGCAAGAAGAACCACACAGCAGAAGAGCTTAAGAGGCAAGGCTCACGGGTTTGCTTTGAGGATGACTTCGCTAAGGGCGGCTTTAACACCCGCGAGATCCATCACTGCAGTCGACAGGGATAGCTGCCCGTCATTAAACTAATCCGGATTAAAGAAAAGGAAGAAGAAGGGCATGACCAAACATGACCGGTTAATTTGCTGCGGGATACATTGTAGGACAAAAAGTACATGTAGCCTCGCCTTGAGGACATCACCTATCTTCTGCTTGCACCGACTGCGTCCTGAGGTTGATACATGAAAATACATCGCTTAAAACAATGCATGTATCTTGGACCCGACCCGTATGCGGTAGTATGTGCTGGCTAACTACGAGATAGGAAACCCCAGAGCAGCTGTGCCTCATTCAGTGACACAAGCGATATCCGCAGAGGGAGCAACGTAACCGTAACTGTAACCATATGCTATGCTTGAAGCTTTCTTAGATTAGCGCACTGCACGTATTTTCCCCCTCAGTGTAATGCCGGATCCGAATTGCCGGAGCAAGGCACGCTATATGTAAAAGTGCAAGGATGAGGATCCTGTAAATCGATCCTGACTCCTCCACAAGTGGGACTGCTGCGACCTTGAGCGGACATCATCACTCTATGTGTATAGAGTTGTTAACCACTATATCCTAAGGATTCAACTGTTGGTTCTGTTTTTTTGAAATAGCGGGGAAACCGTTGAATGCCTTAAAGACATCTTCCATGTTTCGTGGCATGTTGTTGGCACGGCTGTACCGGCATTGTCATCTCCGTCATCATCACCATCACCATCACCATGGCGAATCACGAGGAGCACGAGCGATGGATGCGTGAGATGCAGCTTCGACAGATTCAATTTCAACAAGAAGCGCGACGCACTGCCACACCGCGCTTTGGCCCTGCTGTCAACGGCGTGCTTTGGCGCCAAATCCTCCCAGTGGGAGATGCTGACAATAGCCTGCAAACACCCATCCTCAGCATCATCGACTTCCCGCTGAAGCCTGGCATCGACGTCCGCGATGAGTCCAGGCCGCCTCGGAAGCTCTTGGATGCCACATTGGGCTACATCAGCTCCATCCCTGGCTTCTGCGGTGTTGAGTGGGGGCCAAGGCTAGATGTAGAGGCCGGCCTCGTCTGCTTCATCTACTGGGACAGCATCGTCGCTTGGCACAAGTTCCAGCATTCCCTCGGCTTCACTCCCCTAATTGGGCTGCTTTCTTCGAGCGTTTCCAACCGCTGTGCGAAATTCACAGGCAGAATATCCGGCGATGCGGGGCTTGAGGATGCCGTAGGAGCCAACTCGATAGTTGATGTCGTATCGGTCACTCTCTGTGCCCAGGATGTGTCGTCGCCGGAACGTCGGTCAGCGTTCGAAGAGAGATGGAAAATCTTCATCGCTTTGGTGAAGCATGGAGGTAGCCATGACGGCCTTCGACACTCTCATGCCGTATGGCTTGAGAACAATGCGTCAATGTTCGCCGATCCAACCCTGGCTGAGGCTGCGGCTGCGACCATCTCGGCCACTTTCACCTCATTCCTCGTCTGGGATGAATCACATTACGACAGCCATTGCGTCGAGCATCTGTGTGACAGTCTACAAACGGCACAGTCATTCTCTCATAGCAACGAGCCACCTAGCATCTCAAGAAAAACGGTCCAACTCATCAACCAAGCCCAACAACAAGCCCATAATCCACAGCAACAGCCTGCCGCTCTGCTCACCAACTTGGAGTCTATTCTCCAAGGCGATATCCCACGACAATGTAACCCTGACCTCTTTAACCTTAGAGAGCATGCCCGCCAGGTCCTCAACAGCAGCATCAGCGATGCAAGAGCAAGGAAACGACTATTCCCAATACCAAGTGGCTCTTTTATATCCCAAGGCGAGCTGTACGAGGGCAATACGTCTGTGATTCCAGAATGGCGGGGTATACAGGTGCCCTTGAATGGCTATCACTTCGTGGACATTGTTTGGATACAACTGAAGCGCCGTTCTGTTAAGACTCAGGGTCCTCGTATATGCAACCAGCTCAAGAACGATATGGGAGCATTGCCGGGTTTTGTCAAGGCATTTTGGGCTCGTGATGTGGAGGATGAAACAAAATTCGCCGTACTTACAGGTTAGACAACGTGCTTTCATTGTAGTGATTACATTTGATACATTCGGCTGACTTATTCCACGGGCAGTCTGGGAGGACCAACATGCACAGGAAGCTGCTTCACATGACTATCATCGGATATTGGATGACTTTGTGGCATCATCAGCCAACCTGGCTTCGCCATTAGCACACCAAGCTTTGCCCATGGGCCGAAGCTCTGTGGATTCACCATGGCTCACCCACGTTCAGTATCTCGAGTTAACCTGCTTCTATATCCCACCAGGCGCGATCGAACGCCAACTCTTCAGGCATGCCTATGGCGCCTTTGCCCAGTTAGTTTTCCCTTTGTCCTTCCCCAGTACTCACGCAACAATTCAAACTAACGAAACGCCTCTCGGCCATTGGCGACAAAGAATGGCGGTGCCTTCACTACAAGGAGGAGTCCCCACCGCGTGCAGAGTTATTAGCGACGCAGGGGGCTGGCAGCCTGTCGAAGCCACCGACGGCACCGACTCTCAGGTCTTCACAGCGGTGCTGACTTGGATGAGCCCAGCCGCAAGACTAGAGTGGTACGAGGAGCTATTCGGGGCCGCACGTTGGTCGTATGAGTTGTTCGGCCACAGTCTCGATGCCCTGAAGATCTTGGCTGCTGGAGGAGTTACGACGCGATTCCTGGCATTGCAGGGACAGTAAACCAGTCTACACGAATATTATTACAGGATATCAGGCCCAATTAGCACCAAACGCATGATTGCCTACACAGTTTGTCAAATTGAACAGAAGAAAACCTCCAACTAGCTGACTGCTTTTTCGGTTTATACTGTCAACTCTACAAATTTCGAGACATCAGCCGCAGAGTCGGGTCCGAAGACGCAGCCAAGCGCGACACGTCTCTGCTGGTTGGTGTGAGAAGCCGTTTGCAAATTATCGCGGTCATTATCGTCAAGCCGGACGTGAGTGAATGGTGTGCCAAGATGGGCGCACGTAGCCGGACCAGATGCTCCAGCAACTCTAGGGACGAATCCCGTTGTGCCAGCTGTTTACGCAGACGGCAGACCAAGCCACGACTGAAATCTTTTACCTACCAAGATCAAGAGAAGGCGAAAGAGCCCAATGAGCAACGACTGTCCAAGATGCCTATCTCTGGTGTGCCATTCATCAAACAACTCCTACAAGGGTGATATTGGAGCTTCGGCATTCCCCTATCTTTCAGCTCAATTATGCCATGAGCCGTCAAACATTAATTGACCAATACCGGAAGTTCTATTCATACTTCCGGCGGGAACACAAAGTTTGCTGTGAAGTTTGCTCTCAAGACATGGCGACCGCTATTGCTGCAAGGATCGTGATCCTGGCCTGGAAAAATCACAACCCCCTCACTCAGCCGCCCTGAGCAAACAGAATCCAGCGTTTTCAACTGGATGCCACCGACCTGCCGTACACATCAGCAAACTCGCCTTGAAAGGAAATTTTAGACGATTGGATCAAATGAACTCGTAGAAAGGGGGAGAAAGGGGGAGAATGCTGTTGTGCTACACTGACTTCACGTGATGCATACATCTTGTGCAACATCAACTATGAGGTTGGTACATGTATTTATTAGGCATAAACTTAGATCTTTGGGTATCATTTACTTTCTCCTCTTTTACTCTTGTCCAAGCAATTCATAGCATCAGATAAGCGTTCATCACTGTTACACTGTCAAGCTACTGCGAAACCAGCAACACAACTTTACTTGCTTTTCTACTTGATTCATTTTCCTACTGTACATCTACAACATGACGTGGGGAAAGCCAAACAGCCATTGGATTGGAAAGAAGGTATTTGAACCCATTCCCGACGGCGGATGCCATACCTGCTTTGCCTTTGAGAAACTCTTGTCCGGGGAGCGGGCAACCTTTATCCTGCAACATCATTCTCCGGACTTCATATGCGAGTGCCAGAATTATCCGGGGCATATACGTGTGACCCATCATGACTTGGCATCCACTTGCGAGACTCACACATCCATGTTCGGATACATTCTGAAACTGTACGATGAGTGGTTCGAAAAGCTCGTTACTGCCGGCGTTTTTAACAGCACATGTCCTGCATATGGCGTGGAGCTCTCCCTATCCGAACATGGCGTGCCGACAATCACCGTTCTCGATTCCAGGTGCCGTCCCAAGAAGGCCTATGAATTCATACTACGAAAGCCTCCAAACACCGATGTATCGCCTGACGAAAATACGACGACGATAGACACCTCTTGGATGGATCTGAGTCTCGCCACCACGTGGAAAGACAGGTGCGCCAGCCAGCAGTCATCAAAGTGCCAGGACCCTGCCATGCCTGCACTGTGGGCCCCCGACTGGCTCATCGATACCGAACAAAACTGTCTTGTGCGAGGCGATGCTTCAATGAAATATGTTGCCCTGAGTTATCGATGGGGAGCATCTGTCTGGTCGAGAGAAGGTCTCGACAAGCTGGATGAGCTACGAAAGCCTGGAGGCCTGTCCAACAGCTTCATCGCCAAGAAGCCCATCATCAGGGATGCCATACATGTTGTCCAAAACATCAACGAGCGCTATCTATGGGCCGATGCAGTATGCATCATATACGATCACAAGGCTCATTTGGCAGAACAGCTTCAGCATATGGGAGCAATCTATGCCTCCGCCAAGCTCACTATTGTGGCGACCGATGGCGATGGCATGACGGGGATACCTGGTCTCCAGGGCTGCTCAGTCCCTCGAAAGGTGGATGGCATCTTCCCATGGACAGACAATCGAGAGATCTTTGTCAGAGACCTACCTGGTCTGAATCGCATATTTTCTCCCGAATACTTCAGGAGGGCTTGGACAATGCAAGAGTACATTCTCTCTCCAAGGCGCCTCATCATTGGGAATCAGCAGATTCACTGGACCTGTGGCTGCGGAACATGGCATGAGGATCTTCCACACAAATGTTCTCCGGTTAATCAATCCAGTGAATCTGTTGTATTGGCAACAAAATTTTTGAGAAGACGGCCTGATTTCATTGCGTTGGATTGCCTGTTCCGCTCGTACAATTACCTGGATACGACGTACCCCGAAGATGCTCTACCAGCAATATCAGGCCTTCTCAAGCTCATCAGCCCTTCCTTCGCCAGAGGCTTTTTATTTGGATTGCCCATCATGTGTTTCGAAGCATCTCTACTGTGGGGCTCTAAATTCTGGTACCTCAATGCTGTGGACGTAGTGTACAAAGGGCTTGAAAGACGTCAATATTCCGGCAGGTCTATTCTTCCAGATGCCGAACTGCCTTCGTGGACTTGGCTTGGATGGAACAGTGATTACTTGAGTTTCATGCAGGATGAAGAGGATTTCCAAGTGACCCCCTACTCGGTTCTGACCTCGCCAGACCTCCCAAGAGCAGAGAAATGGATCACGCTGCCAACCACTCAATGGTATTCCCAAGACACTCCAACATCCAGCACTAGGCGCCGCATCAGATCTTCCTGGTTCAAACCATACAATGATGATCTCCTCGATGCACGAGATCTTCCCGCGGGCTGGACAGTGGGATTATACCCTGCTGCCTACGGCCCGGGTGCACCCACCGTCCGCAGTGTCCCTTTCGGCCTCACCGGGAGATACGTTTATCAACACCCTGAATTCCCCAACTGTTTGTTCTGGCGCCCGTTCCCAGTTTCCGCCGATCGGGAGTTTAGGCCAATGAGGCAAGCCAAATTCCTATCCTGCAAAACGAAGCGAGGCTTTTTCCGATGCGTGCGACAGACAGGTTGCGCAGCGGAAGCTGGTGGTATGGACTATCATCTCCAACTATTCGACAATGACAACAACCCTTGTGGTTGGGTCCAGCTCCCGCGTGCGGATGCGGCATTGCCTAGTCTTTCCAGAGAAGCCAGTCCTTCGTCAGACGCTTCATTTTCTGGCAACAGTGTGTCGCAGACTCATGAAGTTGTTGAGCTTGTGCTGGTTTGTCATCGTTTATACTCGGTGAGCTTCAATCAACAACGTCTTCAGTGGCTCGATCGGCGATCCTATCGGCCTTTTTGTGGTGTCCTTTGTGTTGAGTGGGTAAACGGCGTAGCATATCGTAAAGGGTACGGGTATGTTACAAGGAGGGCTTGGGATCAACACAACGTTGAAGGTATAAACTTAGTGTTGGGATGAGCGCAAGGACGCAGCGACTACATAGTATCTAGGTAGACACAGATGGCTGAAAGAACAGTATTGATACAATTCTCTTTCCACTCGTTCCAGGCAATCAAGTCACGAAGCCGAGCCATGTAGTCCTTGTAAAAATGCTGGCCTATTACCTACTCCAATGAAATCTCCGAGAATCTTCTTCGTTGCTTGACGGCCGCTGACCGTCTTCGTCTCAAGGTCAGTTTTCTGCGCCCCAGGTTTCAATTGATTCCGTGATGATACGACTATCCTTTCTCATAAATCACTGACTACTAGTCCTACAAAGCATCGTGACAAGACTCAAGCATCTATGCAGTAAGACGCCATATGATACTGATACGCCAACTGAATTTGTAATGTCCGGTATGCCCATACCTACAGACACACCCCCGTGCTCTCTCTTTTCCAGAGCGGGAAGCGCATCCAAGCAGGCACCTAGTTAACATACAAAATTGTGTCAAAAACAAATCCCTCTTTTTTTTTCAGTTTAGTTTCCTTGTTACAGCACTAAAAGGAAAATGCATGTATCTGTTTGCAACCCTAGCATGATGAGGATGTTTTTTTTTTCGTCTGCATAAAAGCAGTTGCGCCTTGATGGGGAAAATTGACAGTAAAGAAAGAAATAATTTTAGAGAGAGAGGACTGCATTCTAAGAATAATGGTTCTTCCAAGGTCGGGGTATGCAGAGACTAAACAGAATGCTCGGTGTGCCAGTGACGAATTGAATCTTATCAAAAAGTCATCTATGACAACCTAAAATATCTGTGAGCATTAACAAGATCAAATTGAGAAACAAAACAAAAAGAAAAAAAGAAGAATCGTTCAGAGTCATAAGGCGGTCTTCCGTTAGATATATGGTCGTCACGTTTGCGAGAGAGAGATAAGAGAGAGGAAAGGAGATTCCCTTTTTTTGAGAGAGAGAGATTGAGAGAGATAGAGAGTCAAGACGTTGTTGATTAATAATGCAAAAGTCGAATGAACAAGAAATTTTACGCCCGAGAGCGCATAGATGCCATGGGGGTATTCAAGGCAGAGTGTCCACCATTAGAGTGAGTGGTGTGGTGATGATGTTTGTGGCTACGTCCTTTCTGCGTAGTGTGAGGAAGCGTCCCGACGTCGTGTTTGCCTAAAGAATTTTTAATCAGCATTGAAGTATCGCTTACATACGGGCACCCATTCACAAGACTTACCATCGCAACAGGCTCTGACATTCTCGAGTCGGTCAGCTTCCCTGTCTTGCTGCTCAATCATCTCACGAAGGTCTTCGGCACTATCATGGACCTCGCTCCCCTGGTAGATGCTAACATTCTGGGCGCTAACCGTCCTGCTGCGAATTGATCCAGAGAGCTTGGATCCGCCCACCTTCCAATATGAGCCTACCCTGCTGCTGATGCTGCCTGCAATAGAAGGCCTAATCGGCGTTGAAGCATGCTTCGACGGCGTCAGCGTGGGAATCTCCAGAGAAATTGCCTCGGCTTGTGAAGTTGCGCGGGAGTTATACGATGAAAGAGACGGGGCCGAGGGGCGCGAGGTGCCATTGGCAGGTCGCCGGCCGAACTGAGGGTTAAACTCGTCAACGTCTTCCCGAGTAAGATCAGCCGCCATCTCTTCCGCATCAGAGTGACCATCGTGACCATTGCTAGTTCTCAGCAGGAGATATGACAGAGCATTGAACCATGTCTCGTGTCGTTGGCCAGTGGTGCAGGTAAACTTGATGGTCCTGCCGGGAGAGATGATCACCAAGCTCTTACGGTGGAGACCTGGCGGCATGGGGTTGTCGTCTGTCACTACTCGCACGCCATCAATGGGGAGACTCTTCGCCTTCATTTCAGTACGACCAGCCGTTGATGGGTCTTTCTCGCTCCAGTAGATGGTTCTCGTGTACGGGTGGACCCAGAAGTAGCGGCGGTGTCGCTTCTCTGACAGCTCACCACGACCAGCCTTGCGCGTGTACTTCCAGATGTATTCTCCAATCATGGTTTGCGTGATGGCCTGGATCATTCTGGGGTCGGTGTTGGGTCCAAAGCCGGTGGGGTCAAGGCCCATCTCGTTGGCCCGCATTCCAAACCGGTTGTCCAGTTCCGATGCGAACGAGGTAACAGAAGACTGCCTGGACATGGCGGCAGAGAGCCTGACTGGCGGTGGCAGCGGGAATTCTGCAGTGCCATGAGACGAACCGGCTCGGACAGGAGCACGAGGAGTAGGAGTACCGCGACCAGAAGGAGGAGACATTGGTCTGTCTCTGCTGGGGGTGTGCGGTGTTTGCTTTGTCGCCGAGGAGGGCCTGAGAGACGGGCCCATGGTACCTTGGCTCTGGCTCTGGTCCTGGTTCTGGTTCTGCGATTTCATCGTCCCGTTCGATGAGCCGGAACGAGCCGCCTGAATCATTTCCTGATGGTTTGATGGCAGAGGAGGCGCGTCCATGAGTGAGGATTTGGTGCTATTGGCACTACCAGGTCGGCGCATGGGTGTAGACTCGAAAATTGGCGCGGGTTCCAGCGTCCTGTTCTTGCTTGAGACGGCTGAGAAGGGCCTATCAAGGCTTTCTTGGTAGGCGCGGTTGACCTTGGCAATCCCCACGGTGTCAGGGCTACCGATGGTGTAATGGCTCTTTGCTGGAGTTTCAATTCCAGTCTTGAGCAGCTCATCGATGGCTCCCGATGTCAGTGAGGTCTGAGCGCCTTGGTCGCTAGTCTGAGCCAGTTGCTGGCCAGGACGAGAGGTTCCATTGACTGTAATCTCCCTAAGTGGTCGCTCTGACTCGAATGTGTCGACTTGCGGTGACACGGGGCGTGATTGACTTGTCTCATCCTCAGCAACGATGGGTGATGAAGGGACACTCTCGGGTCTTCTGCGAGTGACATATGACGCAAAGAGGTTCTTGTCCGATACCCCACCATCTTCATCATTGAAGGGAGATTTGATGTCTCTTGGGAGAATGAATCCTCCTCTCTTGACTGGGCTGATTGGCTGAGTCTCAACAGATGAGATGGAAGAAAAGGCAAACTGCGGAGCGAGAGGGAAGATAGGTTCGACATCTTCTGCTACGATTGAGGATAGGCCAAGCGTAGGGGCCTCGGGTTGAGGTGGTGGTGATGGCAGGAGCAGCTCCTCATCATCGATGGGCAGCTCGTCGAATGGAATGGTGTTTTGGAAGGAGAGGGCAGAGAGTGTCAGTGCCGCGGAAACGGGCTCGGGTTCGGGTTCGGCGATTGGTTCGACATTTTCCACCGCAATGGTAGAAAGGGTCAAAGTCGGCAGCCAAATCTCTCTAGGCTCGAGCTGCTGTGCCTGAATGGATGACATGGTGAGAGATGGCGGCGGGGGCACCACCACCTCAGGCTCAGCGATGGGCTCGACTTGCTCCGTCACGATTGGCGAAATACTGAGCTCCTGCAGTACGACAACTGGGGCTTCCTCTGGGACAATCGCCTTGGCGGCAGTAAGTTCAGGCACCACTGGCTCCTCGATAACGGGCTCAACCTCCTCAGATAAGATGGAGGCTAGGGTAAGCTCGGGTAGAGGAGCTTTGGGTTCCGCCTTGGGCTCCAAATCCTCTGCCACGATGGTGGAGAGGCTCAGCACCGGTGCAGGCAGCTCTGGCTCTTCTACTGGCTCTGAGCCTTCGGTAGCAATGGTAGAAAGCGAGAGGGTTGGAAGAGGAATTTCAGGCTCGGCCACTGGCTCCAGACCTTCACCGACGATTGTCGATAGCGAGAGGGCTGCTGGGGGGATTTCAGGCTCGGCCACTGGTTCTAGGCCCTCGCCGATGATTGTCGACAGAGTCAATTCAGCCGGAGGCAGCTCTGGCTCCGCCCGGGGTTCCAATCCTTCAGCGAAGATGCTGGACAGGGTGAGGTCTGGTGGTGGAACGTCGGGCTCCGCTTCGGGTTCCAAATGTTCGGCCACGATGGCGGACAACCTCAGGTGAGGAGCGGGTACCTCCGGCTCGGCTAAAGGCTCCACTGTCTCAAATGCCATTGGTGTCAAGCTCAGGGTGGGAGGTACAGCAGCCGGTGCCGGCTCTTGGTGCTGTTCTTCTCGAGGCTCGATATCCTCGGATTGGATGACGGAGAGATTAAGAACAGCAGGGGGCGCAGGCACGGGGATGGGAATGAGGTCTGGTTCGCTGGGTAGAGATGAGGGAGGCAGAGGGAACTGTGCAAGCTTCTCGCCAATGTCGTACTGAGCACCGGCATCGCTGTAGGCAATTGTAGACGCGGGGCGCGAGTACGTAGCAGAACCCGCGGGACCGTCTTCGACGCTCCGCCATGAGGCTGCGGACGCACGGAAGTCAGTGTTGGGAATGACCGACTCCATGGATCTCGGTCTTCGAGCAGCCTCGCCCACGCTAAGCAGCGAGCCGCGAGATATACGGTGGCCCAGAGGCTCGAGGCTAGGACCGAATTCGATGGGGTCGGTCATGACGCCGCTATCCACCATGATGACTCGGGGCAGCCGGGGAACCGCAGGAGGCGGCGTAACGGGACGGCGGGTGGAAGCCGGAGTCATGGAACGGAGGCTTCTACGGCCGGGAGTGTAAAGGATGGATGATTCATCATCGCTGGGGAAGTCTTGCAGCTCGGCAAAGAGGCTCTGGCCGGGCGTTGCTGGGTCGCCGCCACCGCTGCTAAAGCTTGCACCGGGGCTCTGGAACTGAGGCTCCTCACTCTCCTGTCGAGAGCTTCTTCGGGACATTGATGATCTGTTGCTCATGCGCATTCTCCGCATAGCGGCAGCGGCGGTAGGTGTCCGATACTCGGGGAACTCTGGGAACTCGTCTTCTTCGGTAGAGGTAGACGCGGTACTGTCGAATGACTCCCGCAGGACATGTCTTGAAAGACCGGGCTGCAGGCTGGGAGGTCGTCTCATGTTGCCAAAGCCTCGTATGGAGAGTGCAACCTCAGTAGGGGCATCACTTTCATCAGATAGATCCTCGTGTCCTGTCTGGAAATCCTCTGTCTCGGTTCCCGGCTCGTTGGCCGTCTCAAAGGCTGAATCGTTACCCTCCTCGGCAGCAGTCTCAAAAGAATCGCTGGTCTCGATGGATTCTAGAACAATCTCATCTCCATCAGAAGCATCAGAAGACTGTCGTTGCCGCTGCTGCTGCTGCAGCAGCAGCTGCTGGTGTCGCTCAGGAGAGAAACCACCAGCGCGAAGAGCGGAAGAGCGAGGCGAGATGTCGTGAGTATCCTCCCACTCTGGATCTTCTGGGGCGATTTCTTCTTCCATAACAACTTCCTGGCGGCTAGAGCGGAAGCTGCCGAGCAACCTGGGCGGCCTGACCTTGACTTCCTTGGGCTCAACCCTGCGGCCACGACGAACGGGAGGCGGAGCAGGGCCTTTTTCAAGCTCGTTTCTAGCCTTTTCCAAATCGTCACGAAGGTCTTGGATGATGCGTCTGAATTCAAGTTTCTCCGTCTTTTCACGGTGAAGCTGGCTTCGCTGGCTCTGGATGGTTCGCTGGGCATGCTGCAGAGAGGTCTTGAGAGTCTCCGTCTCAAGCATGGAGTGTCTGGGAGTGGTTCCTTTCATGGGAGACACTGGTGGGGAATGCTCAGGTGTGATGTCGATAGCAGCAGCCTCCAGATCCTCGTCACTAGTACCGGAAGAGGACTCGCGCTCCTGAGCCTTGGCTCTCTGGGCCGCGATGGCCTTGGCGAGCTCCAGGTTCTGGCTGGTTAGCTCGTCAATCTTGCGCTGCATGGCGGAGCGCTCGCCCTCGGCCATGGCAATCGCGCGCTTGGCAGTGCCGAGCTCAATGTCATGGTGCTTGGTGGAGGCGGCGTGTTCCTCGGTCAGCTTGGAGAGAGATAGCTTCACTTCATCCAGCTCCTTTTGGGTGGCAGACTTGGCAGCGTTGGAAGCGTGAAGAGCATTATCGAGCTTCTTCTCGCGGTCAGATGCCTCCTTCTGCTGGCCATTCATCTCCTGCAGTCGGGTCTGAAGGTTCCAGTTCTCTTCCTTGAAGCGATGTTCACTCTCATCAAGAACCTTGAGACGCTGCTGCAGAGCCTCCGAGTCACCCTCGAGGCGGGCGACATCGTTGCGAAGGTCTTTGACCTGTTCATCTCGCTCGCCGAGCAGTGCCTGCAGATTACGGACCTGGGCAATGAGCGATGTGCTAATTTCGGCGGCAAATTCGATGTCGTGGACTCTGTTGGACGGCTGGTTTCTCATCTTGCGGTTGGGCACGTTGAGCTTGGTGGGTGAGGTCGAAGCTTGACTCTCGAATTTGGAAGGGCTGACGGAGCGCTATACCATGATTGACGACGGCTTTGATTAGCAACTGAACGACGACGAGGAGGGATCGTAGGTATCAGAGTGCATATGCGACGTGTATCTAAGTGAAATGTCTGAGGTGTAATGGATCGGCTACATATCCCATGGATAGACACATCACCGACCTTGGTTCTCGGTCGAATAAAGGAAGGAGGGGGGAGGGAAAATGGAAAGCTTGTTCTCACCCTGTCTGATCGGCTGTCCAGCGTGTAGGGCGAGCTTTGGTTGTTGTCGCTGGTGCTCGCCACTCGCTGCTTGGGCAAAAAGACCCTCGCCGACTCTCGAGCCAAATCATTGTAGTCCTTTTCGATGCTGACCAACTTCCTGCGCAGCTCGGGCGCCAGCTCCTCCTCGGCCTGGAGCTTTTCGATTTCCTGTAGCTGCTCGGCGAGGGCCTTGCGCTGCGATACGAGAGCTGTTCCAATCTTGCCAGCCTCGTCCAGGCGACGGTCTGTCTCTGCCAGGTGAGCTTCCAGGGCGCGCTTCGCCTGTCGCGGATCGGAACCGGGGCCGGCAGCGAAGAGCTCTTGATCAAAGTCGGAAAACCGCAGATGGGACGGGGTGGTCGACGAGGCGGAGAAGAAGGGATCACTGGCGCCATCTCCTACAGGAACAGAGAGATCGGGCCGGTCCGAGGTGACTGACGACGACGCCATTCTGATGAAGGCGAGTTCGCCAGAAAGCGCAACGTCCGTCTATGGCTAGCGGCGGACCATCAAAGAAGTGCGTTTCTTGCTTCAATCCCCTACCGGGTTCGGGAGGTGGCAGCTCGAGGGCGTGCCGCAGCTGCACCGGCGGAGGTTGTCGTTGTTTTTTTCGCTGTCGTTTTTCGTACTGTAAGACAAGTTACAACGAGCGATGCGGAGAATTGAGGGGTTGACTTTTGTTTCCTTGGTTGGTGACGAAAGACAACGGATAGAAACGCAGGAATTGGGTGAGTGAGCTGGCGTTTGGCACCGCGCAGCCCCTGGCGTTGCTGAGGTGCAGCGGCAAAAGAAAAACTGCAGGGGGGCCGAACAGGCGATTGGTGAGCGGCCTGGACGGGGAAAATGGATACAGGCACGAAAAAACGGCGTCGTTGCAGGCCCTGCTGCAGCAAACCGGGGTGCTCGAGGTAAGCGGAAAAGGAAAGAAAAAAAAAAAGAGGACACAAGACCTTGAAATGACGCTGTGGATGCGCTGCGCACAGGCGGAAAGACAAGCGCAAAGCGAACAGGTAGGCGAAATTGGCGGGAAATTTGGAAGGCCAAAAGAAGCAGAAGAGAAGCGCAAGACAGTAGGAAAGAAAAGGAAAAAAGGGATCCAGGCGAGAAGCGAAAGGCAAGGTGGGATAAATTAAAAGCGCCGAGGCTGTCTTGTCCTGTCTTGTCCTGTCTCGTTGTTTGTTATGTGTTTGCGAGAGCCAGGCAATACGAATGCCTACCGGGAAGGTAAGCAAGGCCGCAGAAGCAAGAACAGCGAATGGGGGGCCAAATTAAAGACGTATTATTTGTTGTTGTTTTTGGGTGTTTTTTTGTTGTCCAAGCCGGGTCAGACGTGGCTCGAGCCGTGTGGGCGGCCAGGTTTCAACTCTGGATCCAGTCAAGCAATGGCTCTCAGCTTAAGGTGAGTCAAGCCAAGCAAGCACACGCAATGGAATGCAGCTGACGCGCGACCGTCTCTTTTTGCTGATCAGCTTTAGGCAAGTTGATCTGCGCACTGTACGGCGACTCGATTCTCTCGATTTGCTAACGCGCAAGTCGAATCGAAGGCGGCCGACCGAGGGAAAAGGAGACAATGAGACGAGGCGCAATCCAATTCAAGCTGGTTGGCAGCTTGCAGGGTCAATCGGCTGAAACAACTTTTTTTGGGTGATTTTTTCTTTTTCTCTTAGGGCTGCAATGAATGAGCGGATAGGGTTGATCGGACGCGTATGTGGTTGCGAATCCTCCCCCAAAAACACGAGGCGTTCTATTATTATTCTAGCGGTAGGTCTTGATGGTGTAATGAGTGAATCGAGTCGGGGGGCCGGGCAAAAAAAAAAGACAAAAAAAAAACTCAAGTATAAAAAATCGGAGAGCCAGCCGCGCGGAAGACAGGGACTTGCCAGGACTCGGATTTTCGTGACGAGGTTAGGGAGAAAGAAAAAAGGAAGAAGGGTTGGAGAGTAAGAAAGAGGAAAAAGAGAGGTATCAGATGCCGCAAACAATGGAGGAGAGGAACAAGGACACTCGTTCGTACTGCTAGGACCACTTCGGGAGGACTAAGGCAAAGGGGCCTGGCCGTTTGGTGGAGAAGCTGACCAGGGAACCGAATATACAGGCCAAGGTTGTAGTAGGTAGTATGCAGGTGGTAATTGTTTGAGGTTGATGATGGAGCAGAGTCGGCATCACGAGGAGAGAAGAGGTGAGGTTGAGGTTGAGGTTGAGAGTGGCTCTGTTATCGGATCGATTTGATATGTATAGTACTAGGTAGGCAGGCATGCATCGTCGTTATTTCTTCTTTCCTGAGGCATCTCGCTGTTTGAGGGGTACAAAGTTTCTGGTGTGCGCTGCGGTGCGCTGCGGTGCGCTGCACAAGTCGCGACTACAACCGGTACATGCTTGGGGGCTGCAAAAAGCACGCAGCCAGCATGTCATCACATCGCATCACATCAATTAATCGCATCAATCAATCGATCAATCAATCAATCACTGCACGGACAAGCCATTTGTTGTTTGTTTGTTCCGTTTCTCGCTCTATTTCTGCTCCGTGCATGAATGCATAAATCAATTTGCATGAACCACCATTGCTAAATTAAGCCTCATCTTCCAGATCTTCCTCGGTCAATGCATCCGAGTATTTCATGCACGCGCCAGCAACAGAGACGGGATTCAGCTCGACATGTCACCAGTACAGCTGATTGAGGAGCATTCCGGAGTACTGCTTGCTTGTAGCTACTACCTACGACGAGCACGGAGCAAAACTCGAGAATGAGAGTCGCAGTTGATGCCCCAAATGGTCCAGTGCGCGTTTCAGCGTCTGCATCCCCTCCAATTTCTCATCAACACAATCATCATCTCTCCCCCATATCATTGGACTTTTATTCCGTACATGTGCGAAAGAATTACCCCAGAGCCGTCAATCAAGAGACAACCTTGCTCTGTACCTGCATCACACGAGGTCAAGGCATCACTCACATATTTTGCAGATGCACCAGCAGGGACCTCTGCGAGCAAGAGATAGGAGGCATGAGATGCGTACATGCACGTTATTGATGCTTGTACCTCAGTACGTACCGAATACCTGCCCATTCATGTACATCATTGCTCGGCTGTACGAGTTGGTACCAACTCCATTGTTCCGGAGCCAAAAGTGCTTCTGAGTTTTTTCTCCTCTTTTGCTGCTTTCTCCTTACATCATCATGTTCACCATTATCTTCGCCCATCCAACAAAGTTTCGGCCTCATCCATCGCTCGCACTCTCGTCTCCCGGTCACGCAGCACTGGACAAGAGGCCCCCCTCCCCAATCTCAGCAAGCCACACCCCGGCTGATGCCGCGAGAAAGAGGACAAAAAGAACCGCCTCCCGTCAGCCAATCATCCGACTCCAGTGCCTCGTACTAGCAAGCCACTAGCAAGCCTCTAGCAAGCCTCTTCCCCGCTCGCAAGCCCATGGGATGCCGCCATGATTGGGCCGGTGCCTGGCTCTTGTTTTCCATTGTTTTCTTGAGAACGGCTCGTTTATTCGCTCACGTTGTTGCTGCTAATCCTTACTGGGTAGCGTCCACCAGGACTAGCCAGCGTGGCCGAGCAAGGCCCGGCGTGTCAAACAGATTGTCGGGCGCCCAAGAGAGTTGGAGAGCTTCAAATTGACGCAATTCTGGCACTACTCGCATATTAACGGGGTGCTTAACCTCACTAGCAGCGTCCGTTCCGTCTTCCGAGCGACTTCTGGAATTTCCGAATCTCGAGACGCAAAAAATCCAGATCAATTTACTCCGTAGACCATCACCACTTTTTGCCACGGCCTCAACTGAGCGACTCCATGGTCTCCAGTCTTTTCAGCCTCCGCCCCAGCTTCGGCCTCGCACAGGCACCGTTTCCCCTGCATTAGCCGCTCGCTGATGGCATGCCGTGCTCCAAATGCCAAATGGGTGCACACCGCCAATTGTCAGATGCTTTTCCATGTGTTAATCGAGTTCCACTGTCGGTGCCATGGGCCGAATACTCGTAATGGGAGCACGAATATGTCCATGTCACTGCCGGCGGCGTCAATAAAATGGGCGTCAATTTCGGCCTCGGCTGGTGATTCGTTTTCCGCGTACTCGTACAGGCGCCTGCAAAGCCGTCTGTGCGTATTGAGTTCAGTACAGGGTATTATTGCTGCAGCCTGTGGGACACAAGAGTATGCCGTCTTGGTGCAAATCGATACTTGTGCTTGCAACATGCTGAAGGCTGCCCATCGCCAGAAATCAGGACCAAGGGCAAATATGGTGTCCATCTTCCACTTTGGATGTATGCAAGCTCCGTACAGAGCACAGGTCGTGGTATTATCCGCGGTATCCTCTTGACGGCTGAACACGGTCAGCTGGCTCCATCAGGGACCCAAGGCACATGTCTTTGAGTCCGAAAGGAAAAGCAGCACATGCTCGCCCAAGACGTGGCTTGGATGTAGTGGCTGGCTGTCATGCAAGATGGTAGCGGAGCTTTAATCTAAGATGACTCTGGGAGATTGCACCGTCACTTTTGGCATCCCCGGAAGTCGGGCCACGATGTGACAAGGCAACTCTCCATGCCACTTTCGACTAGCCTCTCACGATGAGCCGACGCCATTCAGGAGAGCGCCAGCAGCGAAGTAGTAAGACTTGCAAGTATGACTGACAGATGCATGCGTGTGTTCCCTGATTATTACTACAGGAGGTGGATAGTATTACATGTCCGTGCAGTGAGCCTGTCAAGGTCCGATCGTGATCGGATCGTCGGCGGCTATCTGTGTTGTATGTCACTGAGCCCTACCCGAGAGTTTAGCATTGATCGTATCGGGAATCCATCAATGTGCAAGATATGGTTGCCATATTGGATATTCATCCGAAGAAAGGCATCTCGAGTCTCTGACAGAGATGTTTTGATGAGAAACTATCGTTCTTGTTCAACTTACTTTGCGATTTTGAGCACTCTCTCCATGCTTTTTGCAGCAACGGTATAGCATTACGACAACATACAGCACCGGGCTCTGTCCAGTCTCCCCCCAGTCAGCTGAACAGCAACCCAATTACTAAATTATATGCAGGTCTTGAAACTATTGGCCCTTCCCTGCTCACCGAGATCAATCACGGCCCAAATGCCCCGTTGGCCAAGCTGGCGTTACCTTGCGCAGCCGCGGATGCGGCAACAGGCTTCAGCCGAAGGGAGATGAACGGGAGAGTCAAGTCTCCACTAGGCCAACCTCTGGCCAAATCAGCTTGCATGTCAAGAGACACCTGGCTGTGCCTTGAAATTAAAGACGAGGGCAATTAGAAGAACTTGTAAGACAAAAAAAAAAAAAAAGAAACAAGTGTGCCGCAAGCCTGGTAGATCTCGATGATGGCAGCTGAGATGGCACATCTTGGATCTTGGGCATCCGGCAGGCTTCTTTCTCCATTGGCCGCCTAGGCTTTACGCAACTTGTAAGGGCGTTGTGATGCTTTTGGAGCTGTGTTAGCCTGATAATCTGATAATCTAATGAATCTACGGCGGTCAAAGAGCCCAGATGAAAGTAAATCCAACGTTTGCACAAGTCCTAATGCCCTACCCTCAGCTTCTCATAACCGTCGTTCAATACCCGTACGTGCACTGACATCCTCGTAGTCATTCAATCGTGATAGTATTACGTGTCTCTGGCCAGTGTCCAAGACACGGCATCAAGCCACCGAGGTACTAGATCCAGTCTCCCTACCTATCCCTTTCATTGTGCAGCGTCAAGGAGATTGCGATGTGCCTCTCCCTACATACAGAGGTCCGAGCACGGCGGTGAAACTCTGGAAGGAGGCGAAACAAGTAGAATAGATGGAAGAGATGATGTTCGTGAGACTCGAGAGAAGGGGATGAAAAAAGGTATAAAGTCGACCTTCCTTCCCATCATCAAGACAATTCTTTCTCCTCATCCTCATCAGCATCTTCTCCTACAATCACCAACACTCTTCTACACACTCATCCACCAACTCTTTGTTGTATATCAACCACTTCCACATTCAAAATGCAGTTCTTCGCCGTCGCCGCTCTCTTCGTCGCCAGCGCCTTGGCCGCCCCTGCTGGCGATGAAGGTTGCCCAGGTGGTATCCTTCACAACGTCCCGCTGTGCTGCGCTACCAATGTGCTCGGTGTCGCTACCCTCGACTGTGGCACTCGTAAGTCTCCTTCTTCAATCTACCTTTCAGCAACTCCCACATGGAGCATTTCACTGAGCAAATACATCGCAGCTACTGTGCCCGTCCTCACTCCTGCCCAGTTCCAGAGCCACTGTGCTGGCAAGGGCAAGCAGCCTGTCTGCTGCAGCATCCCCGCTGTAAGTATCCCCTCCAAATGATATTCAACAATATTGAATTGTGAGATTCTGATGCTCATTTCTTTCTATCAAGGCTGGCCTGGGACTCCTTTGCGAGAAGCCCGTCGGAACCCAGTAGAGCGCTAGCTGTACTTTGGATGGTGAACCCCGTCCAAGGCATCACGGGGTTCACAAACACAGGTATTTTGGGGCTCGCAAATGGGAGTATTTGGATGGATATAGGCAATGGATCATGGTGGGGGAATTAATGGTAGATTTGCGAGCAGGACATAATTGTATGTAGAGTCACTCATTTAAAACAAATCGAATATCACTGGGGGAGCTTTGTTCCCTTATTTGTGAGTTTTTCCTGAATGTCCAAATGATTCAACAGCGGTGATGGACCTCAAACATGATCAAATGCTATAAGAAAGGTTTGAGGAGCCATGATCGTATGGAAACTTACACATATCACGCCGTTTTCACTATCTATAGACAAATATATACCTATGCCATGTCCATGGACAGTTTGATGCCTACTCTGGTCCCACGTGCTAGTTTAAGTTATCCTGACACCATGTGTAAATCAAATCCCTACAATTAGCATTCCATGGTTTCATCGGACGTCGATAATGCTGAATGCCGGGTAAGTGCCCATGATTCCAAACTTGGATCTCTTTCATCTTTCTTGCCACTCGCCTTTCCCGATTGGTGAGCTTCGCGGGTGACAAACCGCCCCACTTTTCCACACCTATCGATGAAATTCTACGCCTGCTGTAACACTTCTGCCAGAAGACTGTGTGATACTTCTACAAATCAGATCCAACTGCCAAAACCGCCTTCAATCAACACCTCGCAACTTTCAACTTGAATCCGATTTTCATAGTTTTCGAGTTCTTTCAAAATTCATCACATCGAATCGCACACGATTAGCCACAAGACAATGGCAGACACCGAGGCCGGCAGCGCGCCAGTCGCCCTCTTCAAGAAGCGAGGCGCAAAGGGCAAGGCGAATCTGCGAAAGCGCCCAGCAACGCCTCCCCCGGCCGCCAGCGACAGCGACAGCGACTATTCATCTTCAGAAGACGAGGCCGGGCAGAGAGTCAAGCGGCGCAAGAAGACGGCCGTCGTCACCGCCGCGGCAAAGGGAGCCGCGCCCAGCAACCAGGACGGCGGCGCAGCTGTCTTTACGGCCGACAGAAGCGTGCCCATTGCCGACAGCAACGACGCGACGAAGCAGAGCAACTGGTACGATGAGAACGCAAAAGACGCGCTGTCGGCGAAGAGCCTTCTGGGCTCGACTCGAGCTTCAAGAGACGACCAGCCGGACGGCACATACAAGGGGTTAGCGAACCAGACTTCGTTTATACAGAAGAACCCAGATGCCCCTCGAAAGACTGTTGGCCCTATGAAGGCGCCTACAAACATCCGAACCGTCACGATAACAGACTTTGCGCCTGATACGTGTAAAGAGTGAGCACATGACTATATGATCTTTCATCTGTATCATTGAACATATACTGACAGATATGACTTTAGCTACCGCATCACTGGCTACGTAAGTTGTTCTCTCTTCTTATTTTCATTACTCCCTCCTCTTTTCGCCTTACTTCCTCCTCCTTTTTTGTTTATATATGTCATACAGTGCAGCACAGTACTAATAACACGGCCAGTGCGGGTTCGGTGATAACTGCAAATATTTACACGATCGATCAGATCTCAAGGCAGGCTGGCAGTTGGATCAGGAATGGGAAAAGGTGACGAAAGGCAAGAAGAATCTCGGAGGAACCGTGGTGGCAAGCGCGAACCGGAACAAGACAAAGGCGGATGAGGAAGACGACGATGACGAGGCGATACTCGAGAACATTCCATTTGCCTGCATCATCTGCAAGGAATCGTACAAAGAGCCGATTGTCACGAGGTGTGGCCATTATTTCTGCTTGCCGTGCGCTCTCCAGAGATACAGGAGAGATCCGACATGTGCGGCGTGTGGCTCGGGCACAAATGGCGTGTTTAACACGGCATCGAGACTGAAGAAGCTGCTGGAGAAGAAGCGGGAGAGGGCGGCAAAGAGGAGACAGGAAGCTATTGAGAGAGGGGAAGAAGTGAGCGAGGAAGAGGATGAAGAAGGGGACGACTGAATGAAGTGATTATAAGGTTTATGGATATAGGAAGAAGGATATAATGAGGGATGGGATCGAGCATGATGCTCTCTCGTTTGCTGATAGAGACGACGGTATTGCTGCATGGGGGCGGTTTTCTCCAAAGCATACCCTATGAATATAATTCACAGATAATATTCTGGAAACAAAGCTCATATTCCCCCTTTGTTATAAGTGAATTAATAATGTCAATGCAGCTTGCTTCTAGCTAGCCCTGTGCACTGTATGACAAAACCGGCCGATGGCATCCATCCATACAGTATGTCATCAAAGCTACTAATTGAAGCTCCCCCCCAAAATCGATGCTGTCACTGATAAGATAGGCTAGACCACTCCCGGCACTTCAGCCTCGACCGCCCCGCCATGTGATCGCATCCAAAGCCAAAGCCCCTCAAACGCTTCTCCCATTCTCCCCCCAAAGACCGAAAAGCAGCTGCCTTGTCACTGGACTCGGAGAAAAAAAATAAGTTTTGCAACAGCAGATCACGGCCGGATTTCGAGTCATCGCCTTCTTCCCTATAGTCACATGCCCGCCCTGGGTCACTGCCTGGCGTCTTGACCACCTCGTTTTTGCTGCTTGTTGCTTCCTGGCTTCTGTTCTTGTCTCCGAGGCTTTTCTCATAGAATCTCAGCTCACGTTGTCCTATTCTTCTTCTTCCTCTTTACATTTTGCAAGACTCTGAAAGACCTACTACTTTGATCGCTGCCGAATAGCTCACATTACTCAACTACCAACGCCTGTCAACCCGCCAAGAAACCCGTGACAGCTTCAAATCACCACCTTCACGATGAACTACCTCTACTCGACCGTCAACACGCTGAGGGACCGCTACACTCCCGTCACGCACACCTCGACGTTCCGAAACACCGGCCAAATCACCCCCGAAGAGTTCGTCGCCGCCGGCGACTACCTCGTCTACAAGTTCCCGACCTGGTCCTGGAGCGACGCCGACAACGAGTCCCTCCGCGCCAGCTACCTGCCCCCGGGCAAGCAGTTCCTCGTCACGCGCAACGTCCCCTGCCACCGCCGCCTCAACGACGACTTTGCTGGCGATGCCGCCCACGAAGAGTCCATCATCAACGAGGGCGACGACTTCAAGAACAAGGCCGATGCCGCGGATGACGACGGCTGGCTCCGCACCGGCGGCCTGGCGAGCTCGCAACCGCTCAAGGCGCGCGAGGTCAAGACGGTAGACGACTCGGGCAACGTCGGCGACGATGACCTGTACGGGCTGGACGACGATATCCCAGACATGGAAGACGAGGAGGAAGACGATGCTGTTCTTCGCATCGAGCCTGGTAACACGTAAGCCAATACCCTCTTCTTGCTGCCCCTGTTTCGTCACTCACCGCCAGCATCACCATCACCACAACCATCTTGCTGACCTCTTCTCCTCTTTTTTTTTTTTTTTTTTTTCATAGAGCCCGACGCACGTACAACCTCTACATCATGTACACGCCCTACTACCGAACGCCGCGCCTCTACCTCTCCGGCTACCAGGCCAGCGGCCACCCCCTGCCGCCCATGAAAATGATGGAGGACATCGTCGGCGACTACAAGGACAAAACGGTCACGCTCGAGGAGTTTCCCTTCTTCGCCAACCACGTCCGCATGGCCAGCGTCCACCCCTGCAAGCACGCGCCCGTCATGAAGTCGCTGCTGGACCGTGCCGATGCTGCGCTGCGCCTTCGCAGAGAGAAGCTGAAAGCCAGCAAGAAGCAGCCGGGCGATGGGAAGGATGTCGACGGCCTGGCTGGCGAGCTGGAGAATCTCGACGTCAAGGGCGCCCAGGAGGCCGCTGACAAGGACGAGTGGGAAGAGGTGCAGGAGAATGAGGTGGATGACCAGGAAGTTGCCATCCGAGTAGACCAGTATCTGGTTGTATTCTTAAAGGTGCGTTATTCTTACCCTTTTCTGTGCTTGCTACCCCCTTTGAAAGACCTGACAATACTAATTACCTTGGATATCAATAGTTCATGGCCAGCGTCACGCCTGGAATCGAGCACGATTTCACCATGGGTGTCTAAGTAATGCCAATGAATAGAATCACCGAACAGAAGAGAATAAGTTCTGTAGCTGTTCCATCTCGAGCTTACCTGATACGCCACGCTTCTTGTTATAATATAGTCATCCCAATCCCTTATCCATCCTCTCATGGTTTTTGTGCGTTTACGGCAGGCGTTTTTGGAGGGTTAGTGCCGGGGGGTGATGGCACATTTGTCTTTATGCACATGTCGTTCTGCTTAGGGTAGTAAAGAATAATAGAAATGCTCGTTCCTTTGTTAATGTCTTTTGGCAGCTTCAATGAACCTTCTTCGACTGGGCGGGCAGTATGCTATGCCATACCTACTTAGTACTTCTTCCTACTCCCAAGTTACATACTTCGTAGACGAGTACAGCCGCCAAGTGGAGTATGTTCCATACATGTGCTGGGAATTCATGCTCGTATTGGACAGATACTTTGTCAAGTGATATGATGTTATGCAGGGAGAGTCCTTTCATTCGCCTATTGGAGAAACGCATTCACACTGGACCGCTCACCTGTCTGACAGATCAACTGCCCTGTGCTTTGTATATGGCCTCGACGTCAGATGTGGCCCTGTTTATCCAGATTTATGCACTCGCATCTCTCTGTCCCGCTGCTGATCCGGATGCCAGCAGACAGGCCTCGATCTCGGCCCGCGACAAGACAGCAACTGGGGGTCCGTCGGCGATAACCAAGGTCAATACCATCGACGGATGTTGATCTTGTACGATTTAAGGCTTCTCCACCAGCTTGTTGACACAACGAGGCTGCTCACGATTGGACCATGTATGGAACCGTGTCTTTCTCTCCTTGGGCTACGAGTATTGCGGTGAAACAGCATACAGAGAGAGGTAGAGAGAGAAAGAGAGTGAACAGGGCTTTTGAGCGTGACCGGCGAAGATGGTCTAGCAGTGCAAGCGTCCGATGCCCTTGTTGCCGCCACCCGCCTTCCGGCTTTCAGCCCAAACAAGGGGGGCGTCGAGATTCACGTCATCATCAGTCTTTGTAAAAGAATGGGCCAACAGTGTTATCAGACGGTTCTGGCCTGTTGAGACATGATGGCAGAATAATCAAGGTACAGTAGCTCCTCAACAATACCGCATGGGCGAGAAAGCTTCCTCTGCTGCTCCTTCAAGCTGTCTGGATCAACCAACTCACGAGGAGACACCCCCTCGCTTGTTCTGCCACTACCTCTACCTTATGTGAGTGGCGTTTCTCCCAAACTCGCCCAGTTGACAGGCAGCAGCTGTGTGCCAAAGTGGCCGGCACTATTCCCGAGTGCTCTTCAGTCCTTGAACTTGGGACAGTCATCCTGCATGGGCGCTGTAATGGGCCGCAGTGTTTCTTTTTTCCAACCACGGCTCAGCCAAGTGATTGGTTCGCAGGGCTGTTATCAAGGGAGCAGCTGAGACAATGCTTGAGCACATGCAAATGATATCTTAGCGGTGCCATTCCTCTTGGAGGGAGGATGCTATTCATCATGAGACATCAATCAACACAATGGGGAAGTATTTTGCGAGCGGGCATGGAAGTACTTGCTTGTCAGTGTAATATTTCCTTTTTCTCGCTTTTTCTCGGTCTTTCCTTTGCTTTCTTTTTTTTGACCCCCCCTCTCTCTCCCTTGCCTGTACTTTGTTAAGCTAGGCTGTGAGGTATTAGTGTAGTAATAGGCTGGGGTTACATGTGCCCTGCATACGACCCCCGGTCTAGCTCTTCAGCCTGAGCATCTCAGTCCAAGTAGTCCAAGAAGTAAAACGATATCATGCTTTTTATTATTATCTGGCAGAGACGTACCGCCCGTCAGGCTGCTTGGCCCATAAGCCCGACTACCATTCATTAACGGGCGCGAAACGTCAAGTACCACCCAGGGGGAGGCTCCTTTGATGTTCCAATCTATCTAGCATGGGCTCTCCTGTCCTCCGAATATGGCCATATTACCTTGGCTACCCACGTTGTTATACATATATTGTAGTAGAAAAAGAAAATATTCATTGTCTGGTGGTGGGTGGCTGTGCTCACCCCGGCCTGAGATATCCTTGGCAGTTGAGAGATGATGGCATCCCTTGACAAGCACCTGCACATCTGTGGTGCCTTATTGAAGCTTGTTTAATATACTCCGCACTGGTGCCTGGTAGCTGATCAAGATTGCTTTACGAGATGTGAAGCAAACTCTTGGGTATACGCTTCATCCTGCGGGGGCTCCTGCGGGGGCTCCTGCAGGGGCTCCTCGCGAAGACGGCTGAGTATCGCCTTCGCCGTCGTATTTTCTCTTTTGTCCTCCTGCTGAAAGACCATAGGTTACTGAGACCAACTTTTCCGGCATCACAAGCTCCAGAATCCGAGCACGCAAGGTGGCCAGCGGGCTGTAGTGTATTGTGACGATTTGAACCGAGACGGACGGCATTGTTGATGGCGCGAACCTGGGATTGTCGAACATGTCCAGAAGCGACAATGGGATATAAGCCTGGTAGAGATACAGCCAGCCCAAGTAGGCTTGCTCTTCCATGACCTCACATTCGCCCTTTGAGTATAATGTACACAAGACTTGAGACTGAGAGTGTAAAGAAGAGAGTGTTAGTCCTCGAAAAACATGGAATCAGAATGGACTTTGGGGTTAGTGACATACAAAGATCATGCCCGTTGAAGTCTCTTTATTGCAGTTGATTTCTTGGTAATGTCTCCGTTTCTGCTGTGCCACGCCAATGAGGAGTGCGACAATATATGGATCATTCAATGGCTCAGGCGGGCAGAATTTCTTCCACTTGTGGTTGAAGAGGCGGACGATGGGGAGGTTGCGACTTGAGGATCGGTAGCCTATCGAATCCCTCCGCCTTATCTCAATGTGCTCACGGTCAATAAGGGCCGCAATGGGCCGTTTATACCGAATTGCGGGATGAAGGGAGCTTCGAAGGCACAGACTATTACAATCCAGCCTCTTGAGAATGAAGCCATTGAAATAGAGGCCGATAGCATCGCTATTGAGAATCGTTAGCCAAAGTGATGGTGGATGGAGGCAAGGGAAGACAAACTAAGCAGTCAAGGGGCATCCGTCGGTAGTCACCAGCAGCCGGATGCCCTGTTCTCGCATCGGGCACTTGTAGTAGTAGTGGAAGAACTGGTTCAGATGGCGTGTACCACTGCGCTCCTCAGAGTAGTCTGCTTCTGTCACTGCATATGCAGCTGGTGTCAACGGTTCAGGAAGAACTCTTTCAAACGAACATTTCAGGAGCTCGAGTTGACGGCTAGTCCATCGAACGGGGCTGACGATGAGTTCTTCTCCGCAAAACTGGCGAGCAATGCCGTAGATGGACCCCTTGGCGATTCGAGCTGGCGCTCGCTTTTTGGCTAAAGCTGTCGAAGAAGAAGAAGAAGAAGCAGAAGAAGAAGCAGAAGCAGAAGAAACAGAAGAACTAGGAGAAGGGGCAGAAGAGGAATCAGGAGAGGAGGCAGAGGACGAAGGAGACGAAGAAGATGCGGAAGCAGTGCTGTTGATATCAGCCGTCGAGGACGACTGATATACGACGATTTCCATGGCGATATGACTTCCAAGGGTGATTTCTGTGCTTGTCTTGTGCGAGAGGAAGAGTAGAGAGATGGATAAAGAGATAGAAAGAGAGATAGAAAGAGAGAAAGAAAGGAAGGAAGGAAAGAGAGAATCAAGAAGAGAGACAAAAGATAAAAAAGACGACAGACGGAAAGAACGTGACCACGGCCGTAGCAGATCTACCTAGCATCTACCAAAAAAGCAATGCCAGACACCGAGTACTTACAGCCGGGTGCCTCCCGAGGTGTACAGCCAGGTACCAAGTGACTGGGTTGCTGGGCACTGCAAGGCAACCCGTGCGCCGCTAGAGCCGCTAGAGCCGCTAGAGCCGCTAGAGCTGCAGCTCCTGAGCGCCATGGTTGGCACTAAGGCCCTGATCAATCTAGTGGCGCCAGCAGCTCCAGCGACGGAGGGCCCCCGCCTGAGATCAGATCGACCGAGTGACAGCCCGCAGCAGCAGCAGCAGCAGCCCGAGCTCTCCGTGCGGGTAACATCCATGAATGTATAACATGTACTCTTACATTACTTTGGACAGATCCAACATACAGTACGGAGTACTCGTATACACAACTTGCCTTGCACTGCCCATCACACAGGGGGGGAACAACACCGGCCCGGTCCAGCGTGCATTAGCCAGTCGTGAATCTGACGAGATTTGAGATTTGTGTGCCCTGACGCTATTATCATTGCAATCAAGATGGGATGGATGGCTGCATCTCTCGAGACTTTTGGACGCGCGCATAAAAATACCTAGCAGTATTAGTGCGTCTTGTGTGTGTTCACGTGTGGTGTGTACATGTCTCTCTCTCTCTCTCTCTCTCTCGGCCTCTCTCTCCTTTTTTTGCTTCTTTTGGGGATTCGAGGGGTAAATGGCCACCGCCACCCTTTTGACGCAGCTAAGGAAAAAGAAAAGAAAGAGGCGTCACTCAACAGGTCATAAAAGTACATGCACACCAACCTAGGTAGGTATGCAAAAAAAAAAAAAAAATGACAAGAATCCATCCCCTCTACATTAGCAGCACATCACTAGACACCTACCAAGTACTAGTACGAGTAAGTAGTATTACTCGGAGGCTCGACAAGCCGTCGCTACTCCTCCTCCGCACTTACAAGCGCGCACCCTCCCTCTCTCTCCCTGCGTGTGCGGTTGAAACATCAGGCTAAACTCCAAATGACGGCTCCCTACCTAACAACTGAAAGCGATGGCGTCTAGACTACGGTGTACAACGGGGCACGGGACACAGTTTTGTGCTGTATGTACTCCGTACTCGTAAGAGTACTAAGGCAGCGGCACGCCAAAGACAATAGGTACGCAGGCATTCATCGAGGATAGACACTTTATGCGGGTCATGAACACGAGATTAGCAAAACTGGCTGTCAAGCATCCCGTGTCTCAAACTCAATGGTGATAGTGGCTTCACTAAAAGTTAGCGGTGGCAGCAGATACGAGAGAGAGAGAGACCTAGAGAGAGAGAGAGAGACCGAGAGAGAGAGGGAAAGAGGGAAAAGCGGTGATAGTACCAGGTGCTTCTTCTTCATCTCGCCAGGACTTGCTTTAGTACTGCACTTGTAGAGGTAGTTGCGATGCTGGATATCCAGCTCAAAGTACTCACTTCGCAGTCAACTCACCAGATCAACTGATGGTGCTGGCGCGTATCCAAAAGGCCGGCCTACTCGACGGACTGCCATATCGACGGCATACGTGCGGTTTTACAGAGGCGCGTGGTACAGGCCACCCTCGAATGTCAAGAGGACGGGTCCAACAGGGGGTACGAGAATGACGACCTCATCTACAACTTACCGTCCGTTAGATGAGGAAGCACTTAACCCAATGAAAGAAGTGAGCCCGTACCTAAGTAGTTACACCCCTTTAGCATTCACCGGTAACTTGTGCAACAGGTTAAGCATCAAATTCAACAACTAATACCCAGTAAGTACAAAGCACAAATAAACACACCCTACAAAGGAAATATACCCAATTACATCCTATACGATCCCACCAAACTTAAATTGTTCCCAAGTATTTCCATCAGTAGTCCAAGCCCAATTTTCCACCAAAAGTCCAAGCCCAATCTGTCACTAGTGAAATCAAACACCCAGTCTATCAACCTACCTGCGTTGATGCCAGTAAAACAAAGATAGCCGTGGCCACTAACAGGACCAAACACCATCCAACATGCGGCATTGTCTATGTAGCTCTCGTGTTTCCCTCGGATAGTGCTCTACATCCTCCCAAAGGGAGCTCCAAAGTTGCTCGTCGATTTAAACTTGATGGCGACCTCAGGTTCTGAGATTCTGGTGTCACTATCGTCGTCAGAGTCGTCAATTTTGATAGGATTGGAAGAGGTCGCCTCAGCCTTAGCAGGCAACTCCTCGTCATCCGTATCCGTGATGAAAATGAAGTCTCGGTTTTCGGGATCCGGCAGGATAGGGGTTCCGTCATAACCATACTGGGGCGGGTCAGGCCATTTGATGCGAACTGCGCGTTGATCGCGCTTATAACGAACATCTTTCTTCTTCCCCTTCTTGTCCATTGCAAGGGAAGAAGCGTGCTCCATTTTGATAGGGACACCATTATGTTCATCATCAACCTCGGACTGAGCCCCCGACACATCCGTGTTGTCAGGAACTGCGGTGTGTTTGGCGTTCGCACCATCAAGAGATCCGCTGCACACTGCCGACAATGGCACCGGCATTGCAACAGGGGACTGCACGGCCCTAGGAAGGGCATCCTGCCCCTGGCTAATTGGCTCCAGCCTTTGGTTCAATGCAGCAAGAAAGAGCTCATCCTGAGCGGGAATGTTCTTGATCATCAGGGGACCCTTGAGGGCAACATCGCCCGAGGGCGGCGAGAACATTCCTTGAGAACGAGAACCTGAAGAGGAGGACTCTACTCGTCTCAGAGGATTGGAGAGGTCTGGATTGAGGGCAACATCGCTCGAGGGCGCCGGAAACCTACCTGTCTGAGAACGAGAACCTGAAGAGGAAGAGGAAGACTCTACCCGTCTCAGAGGATTGGAGAGGTCTGGATTGGGGGCAACATCGCTCGAGGGCGCCGGGAACCTTCCTGTCTGAGAACGAGAACCTGAAGAGGAAGAGGAAGACTCTACCCGTCTCAGATGGTTGGAGAGGTCTGGGTAAGAGACCCCGCTACTCTCTCCCGCTTCCTCTTTCACGGTTGCAGTCGCACTGCGGTCTTCTGTCTCGGGGCAATCGATGGATTTGGGGAGGACAAAAGATGCGGTTGGCGTGGCGCTGCCTTGGCTGAGTCCCGATGTAGTGGCAGGTGGCAGGGAGGGCGAATGGTTAGGAGTATATCCGGCATACATGGTGAGCCGACGCTCCTCCTCATCTTCTTCAGTCTTCTTCACATTTGTCTCTTCGTCTTCTCCCGTCGGGCCATTGACAATATAATAGTCGTGAGACAGACTACGCCGCCGTTTGCTAGGAGGAGACCCATCTGAAGGAGGTTCCTCAAAGGTAGTCTTTCGGACAGCGCTTGCCCTGAGAGAAATACCCTCAAGTTTCGGATCAAGCTCATGCACATCGATGACAGAAAGTGGTCTCTTGGGGCTTCTCCCCGGCGTCTCCATCTCTAGGTGAGGTTGACTTCCCACCGGCGTCCCCGTCCCAGGGTAAGCTGGACTTCTCGACGGCGTCCCCATCCCGGGGTAAGGCGAAGCCGAAGATGAATAGGGGTAGAATGCCGGGCTGACTGGGATGGTATCCTGTCCCGGCTGAGGAGACATGGAAACGCGCGTAGATGGCGGAAAACTTAGTGGAAAACTAGGAGGTGATGCAATCGGAGGAAAGACAGGGGAGGCCGTTGGCGAACGGTTTGCAAAGTTTGGCACCCGAGGAGACTCTAGGGATCCGGGGCCAAAAGCATTCGAGAAGTTGCTCGGCATCCCAGGTGACCAGTGGCTGTCTCGGACGCTATCGTACATACGGGCGCCACCGTTGTGCTGGCTAGCCATGGGCGAAGGAGGGCTTCCATCAACCATGGGAGTATTGCCTTGGCCTTGAAAGCTGCCCTGGTGAATAATTGGCTCAGCATATTGAACTTGATCGGCGAGCTGGCCCCTGAGCCGCAGATTTTGATCTCCCAGCATCTGAACCTGGTGGTTGAGATAGGCGATTTCTCTGTTCAGCTGCGCCTTTTCAGCTTCCCACAGAGTGAGGTAATGGCCTAATGTGATTCTGGCCTCTTCTCTATAAATGATATCCAAACGCACACGGAAATCCTCAAAGAAAGTGCGCTGCTCTTCCCAGGTTCTAGTCATCAACTCGTACTGCTGGGCCAATCGAGACTGGGAGCATCTGGCGGGTGTACTATCGGAGCAAGTGAGACAGCCGCAGTTTGTGGCAGCATTTTCCGAGGCACGTGGCGGCGATGCCATGGGACGCACTCCGGCAGTGAGTTCAGCGGGAGCAACGGTAGATGTGGGTGGGTAATAAGCAGGGGCAAATGGACTGAGCAAGCCGGGTCTCCTAGATGGGCCGGGCATGCTGTCACGATTGAGTAAAGCCTCAGTGTATGCAGTTTGGGCCCCAGGCTCGGGAAGCATTGACGTAGGGCCATTCGTAACTGCATCAGTGCGGTAAGCAGTACGAAAGTGAGTAGTGCCAAAGGGAGAAGTGGTGATGTCTCTGTATCTATCATTGCCATTGCCAGTGCCAGTGCCAGTGCCAGTGCCAGTGCCAGTGCCAGTGATAGTGCCGCTGCTCCTACTACTGCTTCCGTTGCCACTCATGGTGCTTTGGCCGTTTAAACGCCAAGTATGATAAGGACCTGGAGGATACTCGACAGCTCCAGAAGGTAAGAAGGAATCGGCACTGTCCCGGGCTTGTCTCGCCCTGTGTGGTGTGTACAACAACATGGGTTTAGTGTCCATGTCTGAGGATTCCCAAGGAGGTCGATTGATTCTGCCAGCCATTTGGAACAAGAAGAGTGGAAGCTTGATGTGCTGCTGTATAATGCAAGAAGAATGTAATGAGGAAAGGAGGATGTGATATCGAAGGCGAAGTCTCGGGGGCAGGAACAAATATGTAAACAAAGGGTAACAAAGATGGCGACGACGCTTGCTAAACAAGGAAGAATCTCCCGCGACGATACTTTGGGTGGATATCAGCCAAACCGGTGTGGCTTGATATAGCTCGAGGGGCAGGAAGTTGGAGAGTTTGTTTAGTCGTAATCAGACTGAAGCTTAGCTCAGCACTCCGGGACAAGAAACGTTGACAAGAAACGACAGCTTATAATGCCACACGACTTTGGTGAACAGACGGTAGCTGTGCCGCAGCGACAAGAAGAGTTTGTTGGCGTGCGTCTTTGTTTTGAGCACGGCAAGAAGATGCTGTTTCTTGTTTGATGTCTGAACGATTGTAATTCGTAGAGCGGAAATGACAGTGCGTCGAAGTGACGTGCTTCTCGCTCAGTATAGAATCAACAACGAGGAACTTTTGTTCCGTAACAGTGTATAGGCTCCGTGAACCGTGTAATGCGAATTTTGAAGCTTTCAATCTCTCAAACACGAATGCCAGAATACATGTAGGTATGTAACGGGACTTGTAAGGGAATAGATAGATAGGAGAAGGGATATAATAGGCTGCAAAAGACGCAGGCTGAGACGTAGAATCGACGCAGGTACCAGAGCAAGGCAGAAGCCTGAGCACAAGCAAATAAAAAAACGAGGCAACAGACGGCAACTAGCGTAAGGCGGGTGTAACCTCGAACCGAATCGGTCTATGGTCGGCGAAGTTGCAGATTTTTCGTGCTTGATGAAGTCGTACTCGTACAGAATTACCCCGTGGAGCAGGCAAGGCAAGGTACCTAGGTAGGTTATTGGTTACCTAGGCTCCGTAGGTAGTGAGATCGAAGCGGGGGATTCGAGTATAAATGACGCTTGCTTTCGTATATAACAAGGGGAACATAAAAGAGCAAACAGCTGAACAACAAGGTGGATGAAAAGTGACGCACGCAAAGTGGCGTTGAAACGTATGTGAACTGCCTTGGCCCGGAAGGATCCCCCCAAGCAGTGCCGGCAGATGAGAGGCTCTTATATAGCTGTGCGTTGACTGTGACGAGGTGCTTTTGTTCTTGCGTCCGAGTAGCCCAAAGCTCAAGAGTCGGTGGCTAGCTGACAAGTATTAAAATTCGAGACACACTTGCCACGCCTGTCCAAGTATCCAGAACCCCAGATTGAGCGTCGAGATCAGAGGACGAGTACAAAACTGTCACCGGGAGCGGCACAAGGCGAGGCTAGACAGCGCCATGAGACAGGATGGTGCAGCGCAAGGCAATGCGCCTAATTTGATGCTAGTAATGCAGGGAGCGGCTTTGGACTCGAGACCGGGAGAGTCTACGCGGGACACTGAGCGACTGACTGGCTCAGCACCCCAGCCAGATGGACGAGTGAGAGGCCGCGATTAGGGGCTTTGGTCGGCGATACAAGCAAGGTTAAGGAAAAAGAAACAAGACGAGAGACGGTTTCTTAGTCCGGGGCCACGTCGCAGCAAAGGAGTGCGGCTAGTAATTCCAGGCGAGTTCAGATATACGAGTAGGTATGAATGAGAGGGGGAAAATTGGGAGCAGTGAGTAGAATGAGAGAGAAGTGAGCGAAGAGGAAACTAAAAGCTTTTCGCACCAGGGCAAGTACTTGCGGGGTACTGCGCAGTGCTAAGCTGGCGGGTGCAGTACTTGCTGGTACTTGACACATGACTGCCGGCGTCGTGAGTTTGGCCACCAGATCACCTATAGCGATACTAGATACCTGCTGTATGGAGGTTAGCAGTTCAGTTCAGTCGCTGTGCTTTCAGCAAATCTCAACTTTTTGGCTGGCACTCACCAAAAGTAATACCGAGACAAGACGCTTAGTACTCACTCACTACTAGGGTAATGCCTGTGCCTTCACTGATCCAACCAAGCATCCCCTCATGAGATCATGAGAGTGAGCATGTGCCCCTCCGGTCCGTGTGTCTCTTCTGCCTTTTTCCTGCCTTGTTTTCTGCCTCTTCTCATTAGCGTGCAATGGCGCAAGCACCGCGGCTCTGAGCCAATGACGCAGGTGACCCTCGTATACTGTACAGCACGGAGTAGCTCATTTTTCTTTTCGGCTGCCCCTCACTCACTCACTCCCAAATCAACTGAAAAATGACCGAGACAGAAGCCCACAGGGGGTTCAGCCTCAATTGAGTGCCGCCCCGTAATACTGTAAGCACCTCTTCGGCCCGCTCTCCACTTTGGCTTCCACTTCCAGGTACCGCGAACCACACGCTTCATCTCACAATGACTCTCTCTGGCTGTGTGTGTGCGTATAATCTTGCCACCAGAAACGGGAGAGAATGCCCCAACAACAGTGACTCGTTTCAGTTCGGTCCGGCCCAGTTCACTTCGGCTTGGCTTGGCTCAGTTCAGTTCAGTTCAGTTCAGTTCACTAAGAGAGAATCCTCCAGAGGTGCTTGGCACGCTTGCCCCCTCTCGTCTCGAGCTCCTGTTTGCTGCTGTTCAGCTGGCCTGCTTGCCTCAAGCTGATTGCTTGCTTGCCCTCGGCCCTGCTGCTTCCCAATCAAGTCGTGGCCCGGGC